AGTTTATTGTCTGGGGGGGGGGGGGGGGGGCGGGTCTAATGAAGGGGGGTTATGGGACCGAGGAGGTGGCGTCGCTGGCCAGGCTTAGTGCATCTCATACTCGGTATAGATTATCAATCGTGACTCGTTCGTGCCTTGCACTGGGACCCGGACTAATCTTGGACTTGGCGGGATCACATAATTCATCGATCTAGATTTTTGCCGAAGCTCATCTTTTGACATTCAGCACAGCGTCCCACAGTGGTCCAGCATAGTACATATGTGCTATATGTAACCAAGTGTGCTTTGTGATATTCAGGAAATGTGCATTACAGATGCCTCGGTAACCCCTGCGATGAGATGAGTCTTCCGACCGAAACTGCGCGAGCTGCTGCTGCAAGCAGTTGCTCAATTTGTTCGAGAACTTTCAGCCGAAAAGAACACCTGCGTCGTCATATGGTCACGCGTAAGTACTTTTACAGACACTACTCGACAAGTGCTGTTTCCCCTTGCGATTCCTTGTTGTAGCCCGGCCCCTCGTGGAAGAACGGTTGCACAGGAACCGATGACTGAGTCGCTAAGACGTGGTTGTCACCAGACACGAGTTACAGACCCTTCTTATGTTCTAGATGTGGGAAGACTTTCAGAAGAAGGCACGTGTGGCAAGCAATTCCAAGTTCCCCGGGTTTTTTATATGTGCTGCTGGAATTTTTAGCTCACGAAAGTGGCTCGTCCAGGGATGTCCGTTTGAGACACTTTGAAATTTGTCAGGTTGTCTCGGAACTCGATCAACAACGCAGGTCGGACTCGTCTCAACAAAGTGTCTGTGGCTCCAATCGCGAGCATCCCATCCTCTTTGAAGACGGCTCAATCGCACAATCATGGAGCTTAGGAAACATACAGTCCATCTTGTCGTCGCAGCTGGAACGAGAGTCCTGGGAAAAACTTCGAAGCCAAGATACTCAGGACTCTCTTCCTTTCTTTGTCCGAGTAACATCGGCCAGAGGACTTGCCGCATCGTTTGACCCCGACATTTTCCGACAGTTCGGTCAGCTTACACGTCCTCCTGCCCCTTGGGAGAGCGAGATATTACAAACCAGTGAGAGTCCAGTCGTCGATCAGTTCCCCAATTTCATACTTGACATGCCCGAAGACATTGCGTGCAAACACTGGATGCAAAGCTTGTTGCTTGGCCCAGAAGATGCCTACTCACAGCACGGGAACACTCTGCTGCCGGGGGAGCCCAGGCAGTCAAGTACGATGATACCAGAGCACTTACAGAGTGACGACAAGACCAACCAGACAAGTGCTTCAGACCCCCTCTCCAGCGTTACAAAGGAGATCGTGGCAAGACTAAATTCGACCATCATCCACAAGGCTCCAAAGAGCCCCATTCGGTTGAAGCCAAGTGCGACACTGGACAAGTGCCTGAGCAGCTTCTTCAGCCCTGGCAACATCCGACGCTTCATCGATCTTTACTGGCTGACGTGGTATACGCACTGGCCGGTGGTCCACCGAGCAACATTCGTCTACCACAACGCACCATACACTCTGATTGCAGCAATGGTTCTGATCGGGGCGACTTATTCCGTCGACGCCGAAGACCGTCACTGGGCCAAGGTCTTTTGTGACGCGACAGAGGAGATGATTTTTGGTGACGAGTATTTCGGTGACAGCTCACCTTATTCGGCGTTGAACGCGGCATGCCTCAACAGGCGACTCAGGGCACTCCAAGCGGCTCATGCCATCTGTCTCTACCAATACTGGGAAGGAGACGAGCGAGCAAGACGGCGTGTGAGAAAGCACCGTTATGGAGAGGTGGTCGCGGTAAGTTCCATGTTCTACTAATAGTCAGGCCATGACTGAAGCTAAACGAGACCAGATGGCTCGAGAATTGGGCTTCGGCAACGCGATGCATGGGGATTTAGCGTCTCTCACCCTGGCTGATTTCGACTGGGAGGAGTTTGCATTGAAAGAAGAGCTCATAAGGTTCTGCACGTCCCCACAACCGTATCTGATATGTGTTACTGACAGCTTGTCCATCCAGGACTTTAAACTACATCATTGTCCTGGACAGTGGCTTTGTCATGATGAACAACATGCCTCCCAGGATCCTCCCTTCTGAGTTGCGCGTTGGCCTAGTCTGCCCCGAAGCCTGCTTTCAGGCGAGTTCGAAATCCGACTGCTTCCATCATTTGAGGACGTGGATGTCGCACCCTCTCTGGAGAGATCGTCGCCTAGCAACCGCAGAGGCCCTCAACATCCTGACCAGCGGCAAAATGGACTCTGAGACTGTCCAATTCTTCACTCACCTCGGTTATGTGAACCTGGGTATTCTGATCATCGGTAAGTGGCTCAGCACTGATACGAGGCGTTCTGGATGAGTGAGTGCTTTCTAACATGGGTGGACATATGACAGCGATTCATTCTGTGATTTTCTGTATCCGAACATCAATCGGACTCCAGCACAGTGGCACATCGATTCAGAATTGGCTCCGGAATTGGAACTGCATATGGATGCTCGGCTCGCAGGGGAGTACTCGACAAGCTTTCGGAACACCATCACCGTCCGAACAGACAGGAGAGCTTTCAGAGGGACGATGGCGAGGTGCCGGCTTTATGAAGGACGCCTTGCAATTCTGGTTCTTGGCCCAGATCATGCTTCGCAGCGCGCAAGATGAAAAGACCGATCCACAATATACAGCGTTGACCACCTTGAGCAATTCTCAGACCGAATACGACCAAGCAAGTATGGCAGGTCTGAAAGCTCTTCTCAAAGCACAGCATGTCAACCGTCGAAAGGTGACAGAATAGCCCCAGAATCGTGGGTGCATTGTTGCACCATCGTGAGCAAAAACTGCCCGAGAACCAATGTGGCCGTTGACGGCGCTGGGGCGCGACAACACGCGCGCCAAGTCAGGCTCCAAGCATGGACGATGCAGCAGCGGTCGAAGTGTTTGGGTAAGTTTCGAGGTACCTGGAGGTGCCCGCACCAGGCTCGGTCGATCGCCAGCTGCAACTGTGATGTACATGGACTCACTAGTTGACATTTTGTCGCTCAACCCGAGGAGACCTCCACAGCCAGGGAACGTCAGCGTATAGCAAGAGAATGTCTTGGAAGTGCAGATTCGCCGCTGAATTCCGAATCACTGTTGTCCTCATCGCTATGTTCCAGGATCGTCTCCTGCAAAAGACCCGGCCAGCTTGGTGCCGTATTCCTTGGGCTCAGAGGGCTCAGCGAAGCCGCAGGCACCGCACCTGACAAGGGCATCTTTCTGGCCTCCCGAACCACTTCCTGTAAGAGAGGTTGCGAAGCAATCAATCGGGCCTCGGCAGCCAGCCGCTGTTGTTCCTCTAGTTGTTTCTTTTTCTTTGCTTCCCTTGCCTTTCTGTATGAGATGGCATCGTGGCCCCTGGCTGGAATCGGCCGCGGAGCGCTGTGATCAAGGCGGAACACAACAACAATGGCGCGCATGGTGAAATGTAAGGCAATAGCGAACAATAGGCCCAGCAGAATCGCACTACCGAGGAAGTACCAAAGCGGCTGTGTGAATGTCAGCAATTGATTCGGGCAATCAAGGCGCCGGATATGGGAGACAGACCTCGAAAGTAGCGAAGATGCGCCATGGAAGCAGCAAAGCGTCAGCGATGACAAGCCCCATGTATATAAAGGGCGCCGATAGAGACGCTAGAATGTACCATATTGCTCTTGAGAGAAACAAGACAGGATACAGCGCGTAGGAGAAGATGGTGAAGGTGTACGAGAGGACGACTCCGGTGACTGAAAGCCATGCCGGCCAACTCGAGTCGCTGGTAGCATTCATTCCTGGACCAGTCGCTGAACCATAGCGAAGACGCGGCACCTGGCAAATCCTCGTCGAGGGATCGTGGGCGCCGTGACCGAAATCAGGTGCTGTGCAACAATTGAGGGAGCTCCAGCATTTGGTTGAAATTTTTTGTTTACCTGTATGTTAGAACTGAGCCTCAAATCAGTCAGAAGATGCTCCCGTAACGCGTGCTAATTACTCTAACACACTGATGACGCCTCGCTCCCCCGCAAACGTTCCTGGAATTAGTTGGAGCTTTAACTATAATGACGCTCTTCTAGCGGGCATCCACTCTTCACTCCGGGCCGAAAGCAGCCTGAACTAGCGCAGCCTTCACTTCACCTGCGCTGCTTGCCCGCTTGATTCGAGCCCCTCTTTTTGCCTTTCACTCAGAGTTCTCTCAACCTCGAACCCACCGTCACCAGAGCTCGGAGGGCACGTCCACATATCCGTCAATTTGCTGACACTCCTGCCCGGCCGGTTGTGGTCTGTCTCTTGTTTTTGGAATTGGGCACACAACACCGAATGCTCATACACTTGGAGCCAACAAAATTCCGCTCCGACTTCCTATCTCCCTGACTTGGCCTTCCTTGACCGGCTCCCTTCCTACCCATTTCCGCAAGGTGTCGCACGACACTTGAATTTCGTGCTGTCAAAATCGACTTCATCATTCACCATGGGCCAACAACAATCGGCAGAGGATAAGAAGAGCTCGGGTTCCAGATCTGGCACGCCGCAAGCTGAAAGAGAACGGAAGATCAACCAAAGGGTTTCCATTCAAGCTCTCTCACAGGGTCGAGGCACACCCGTTGACGCTTCTGCCACGAAAGACACCGCTGTTGCCCAAACCACTTCTCAGCATCTCGAGAAACCCGCGTTACAGCAGTACCTTCAGGCCTCTGCGTCTGATTCTCATGCCAGAACCAATAAGATCGAGAGGTCCGCCTCGAGGACATCTCGAGAGAAGAGGAATGAGCTGGAATACAGACAGAAGCATCAGAACCCGAGTCTGCCACCTGTTGCTGTCCCACAGCCTTCGGGTCCGATGGATGTACCCATGTCACGAAGTAAACAAGAAACCATCGAGGAACGCTTTGATCAGAAGCCAGAGGATTTTCCCGAGGGTCACGCATACGAAGATCGACACTATGCACCTGTGGCACAACTTCGACCTCCTCGCCTTCCTCTGCCTATTGCTGATGTACCAATACCGGAATCACCAACTCTGGTGCCGGTTGACAAGGGAAATGCCGACGTCCCGATATTCGAGACTGACGATCCTCTGTCCACTGGGGAACCTCCGTTGAGAAGAAGAAGTTCTATGCTGAGCACGACCACACAATCTGAGGATGAGGTTGGCGAAGAACTGCAGCCCTACGCAGTCCACCCTACGACTCAAACTGTTCCGACTGTCATTGAATGGAATCAAGGCGGGCACAAGGTTTACGTTACGGGAACCTTTGCCAATTGGGAAAAGAAATACAGACTGCATCCGAGGTAGGTCGCCTTGCCGTGATTGTCTCTTTGTTGTCTTGCATTCTGGTCTCGACTGCTATGGGGTTGCCAAACTGGGTCATCCATCCCCCCATACTCGAGGGATCAATACTTGCCCATGTTGATGTCGTTGCTCTTAATTGTATGATTTCCGATGCTAATACTTGCTCTATAGGAAGAACGCGCCTGGCATGTTCACCACCATCAACCTGCCATCAGGAACCCACCATCTTAAGTTCGTGGTGGACGGAGAAATGGTGACCAGTGCCGAGCTACCAACAGCAGTTGACTTCAACAATTTCTTAGTCAACTACATTGAAATTGCGACGGAAGATGTCACAAAGCCCAGAAGAGAGAGCACCCAACCTGGTACAAAGGCTACATCACTAGTACCAGAGGAACACCGCGAACAAACCGAATCCGGAGAGCAGACACCCGAAGACTCCGATGTGGAAGAGCCACATCTTGAGGAAATTCCAATGGGTGATTGGCGTCAAGTCGTTCCACCATACCTGATCGATGTCGACCTGGCCGAGGAAGACCCGAAATATAAGGCCGCGGGCCAGATCATCCAGGAACTAGGCAATCCACCAGCCCTACCACTCTTTCTGAGCCGGTCTATTTTGAACGGTATTTTGCCGGTCAAGGACGATAACAGCGTTCTGACTCTTCCAAACCATACCGTCCTAAACCATCTCATGACTAGTAGCGTGAAGAATGGTGTTCTTGCAACGAGTGTGACGACCCGATACAAGAAGAAGGTACGTATGGAGTGGACCGAGTACTGGCATGACCGCTGACAATGTGTAGTATGTGACTACGATCTCCTTTAAGCCTGTTCCCAGGGCGCAAACTGCGGAATGATGAATCATCGCGGGACTTCTTTTCTTGACGACTTGATGGATATGGGTCGGTTTCAAAACATTGCTGAGCGTTTGATGGATTCATAAACACTAGTTAGGAGTTGTGTAACCGGGTGGTGCTCGCACGGAGTTTGTGTGACAGAGCAGATATCACACAGCCTTTCTCCACTCTGAAGACATGTCAGAGTCATCATAATATAGAGTCGTTATGGTCCATTCGAGTTGACGAAAAGACTTATTCATCCCTCCATGCAACAAACACATCATCGGTTCGGAATCGTTGCGTGCAGGTACTATCCTCGAGCGTCGTCGTGAAACCGGTCTGATATGCGAGTAATCCCGCATGCGCAATCATAATCCCGTTGTCGATACAGAATCTCTCATCCGTCGCATATACGTCGCCGCCCCTGCTCCTCGCCATGGTGCCCATCATTTCCTGCAGGCGCTCATTGCATCCGACTCCCCCAACTATCAGGACCTGGTTTGAACCGACGTGTGCCATGGCACGTTCGGTGATTTCGACGAGCATCGCAAAGACGGTCTCCTGGAGCGAGAAGCAGAGATCCTCTGGTGAGACTGTGTTCCCAATATTTGGGTCCTTCAACGTGCCGTTCTTCACCTGGGTGGCTAACTCGTCGACACGTGCTAGGATGCCGGAGAACGAACAGTCCATCCCCTTGACCGCGTAGGGCAAGTCGACCAGGATGTTGCCAGACTTGGCGAGTTGCTCAATGTTGTACCCGGGCGCCGGATCGTTGGGGATGTTTAACGTGCGTGCGAACCGGTCCAGACAATTTCCCACCGCGATGTCGAGCGTTTCGCCAAATATGCGGTACCGATTCGACGTGTATGCTATCACCTGGGTGTTTCCGCCGGAGACGTAGAGGACGACCGGGTTCGTGGCGCCCGTGATAGATCGGCCCATCTCTATGTGTCCAATGCAGTGGTTCACACCTACCAGAGGTTTTCCCCAGAGGAGAGATAACATGCGCGCGGCCAGGGCCACGGATTGCAACGGCGCACCCATGCCGGGCCCTTTGGTGTAGCATATACAGTCGATGTTGGCGGGGGTGAGGTTCGCCTCACGGAGGGCGCTGGAGACCAGGGCCACGACGTGACTGCGATGGTGCAAGGCCGTGTCCTTGGGCAGGAAACCCGCGCCGGGAGGAGCATGATAGGTATGTCGAATGTTCGACAGGATCTGCACCGGCTGCCTCTTGTCCTTGGAATGCAGGATTATTCCCACGCCCAGTTTATTGGCGGAGCCTTCTAGGCCGAGCGCGATCATGTTGATGAAATGTGTCGGAACTGCCCTGACGCTCTCGCGAATGGACGCCTCCACTCAAAACCGACTTGACTTGAGTGTGGCCGTAATTCTTGTTGACTGCACCGATGCCGGCGCTGGGTTGAAGTAGAGGTTGGCAGGACGGCTGTGAGCTAGGTAGAAAAACGGCACCTTTGTACGTTTCTCAGGTCTAAGAGTCCACTGGTATGGTCGGCGGATGATCAGTATGTGTTCCTGTCCAGCGCGAAGAAAGCCTCAATTCTGGATATCGGTGGAGTCCTTGGTGGTGGAGTCGACGGGGCGCAGGAGGGTATATGAATGAACAAGATTCGGCCAGACTCGATTCGTTGAGCGCTTTACCAGTGCAGATTTCAACACAAGAACCACAGATATGGTCGACTCTGATGGATCTGGTGGTCAAAAAAAGTCCCCTCGAGGCTCTGAATCACAGGGATTGAGCCAAGTGTGGAGTCGATTTATGCCACTGCCAGAGGCTGACAGGCATTCCAGCCAATCGGAGATGATGAAATTGATCCGTTCTTGGCTGCCAACTGATCTCGGTCATTCTTCATCCCACTATACTTCCTCTTCCCACACAACTACTACCCATTCCTCGATTCTCATACTCTGTTTTTCTTGTATCTGACTACATCGATTCTTTTATAGTCATGGTTGGCGTTGTAGAATCAGTTGGGCGCTTAGATTTCGACCAGGCCACTGCTCACTTCGTCGAATGGTTCACGGCCGCTGAAGGGACTCGGTTGAGTCCCAAGGTCCAGCTCAAGGATCTGAGGACCGAGAATGCGGGAAGGGGAGCTGGTCTGATGTGCCCAATTTTCATCTCGAATCAAATCACTGACTTCTTCCAGTTGCTGTTGAGGACATTGAGGAGGATGAGGAATTATTCGCTGTTCCTCGGTCTCTCGTGCTCACAGCCACGACCTCAAGCATTCCACCTGCGGTGCTCGAACCTCTCAACGAATCCGGGCAGTGGGTACTTTTGATTGTCACTTTAATCTACGAATACCTACGAAAAGAAAAGTCACCATGGCACGCCTATTTCCAAGTCCTTCCTACAAAGTTCGACAGTCTCATGTTCTGGAACGATGCAGAGCTCAAAACGTTACAAGCCAGTGCTGTGGTTGATAAGATCAGGAAGGACGACACTGAAGAGTCTTGGAAAGAGGAAATGTTGCCGGTTATGCTCTCACATCCTGATCTGTTTCCTGTTGCTGGTCACAGTGACGCAGACCGCACAAAAGAATTGATCAGACTTGCTCATATGGCAGGAAGCTCTATTATGGCCTATGCTTTTGACATTGACAAGGATGATGACAGAGATGATGCGAACAATGGTTCGGAGGACGAAATGGAGGTCGACGATGACGAAGACGAGCCACTCAAAGGGATGGTGCCTTTCGCTGACATGCTCAACGCAGATGCTGACAGAAACAACGTGTGTAGTTTTATTTTGCCCGTTTGCTTTGTTTAATGACTGACTGTTACGTTTGAATGCAGGCACGACTTTTTCAAGAAAATGACTACCTGATCATGAGATCTACCAAGCGGATCAACGCCAACGAACAGATCTTCAACGACTATGGCCCGCTCCCACGCTCAGATCTCCTCCGCATGTACGGTTACATCACTGACAATTATGCTCAATATGATGTTGTCGAGATATCCCATGACCTTCTTCTTGAAGAAGCACGCAAGAAGCATTGCGTGAAGCACTGCGTGAAGGATTCCACGACAGATTGCGCGAGGTATGCGGCATGGTTGGATCGAGCGGAACAACTTGAATCAGTTGGTTGGATCGATGATGGCTATGCCATACCCAGACCTCCACCGGAGGTAGAAGAGCTTGCACAGGCCATACCGGGACCACTACAATTACTTCTGCGCGGTATGTGTTTCGACTCCTCCAAAACGACTCACAAAGATCCCATCACCATCAACGAGGCTACGCTACTACAGTCTGTTCTCACAAAGAGGGTCTCAGAATACGATACTTCTCTGGATGTTGACCGATCTCTTTTGGATGCGCTGGCTCGTTCCGAACCAGACCCAACTCTAATTCCTTCTGGTTGTAACAAGCATCGATTCGTCATGGCGCTGCAAGTCAGAGTCGGAGAAAAGGAGATATTCCACCGGCTCATCGGATTGTGTCAAGCCCACCTTGCACAAATGAACCAAGAGATCACGGCAAGGCCTGCCAAACGGCAAATCAACGATGACTCGGACAACAAACCCAAAAAAGCAGCGCGGAAAGGGAAAACACGCAGCTAAAACTCGACAGCAGCAGTCGCAGCATCCTGCCTCAACCCGGCTGCGACTCAGGACCACAATATGCCATCGGAGTGACAGGCTTGAGCAACGCACGACTCTCGGTTTTCAAACAACATATTTTACGATGTTATCATCATTTTCATCTGCGAAGGCGCTGGCCTCGGTACTATGTACAGTTCTATCATCCTTCAAACGACCCTGTCGGCTCAACGTCGCCGCCAGGAAGCTCATGAGCCCCATGGAACTTGATGCGTCATTGTACAATTCCACCAACGAGGGCGATTCTGTTGCCACTGGAATCTTAACAACAGCCCGGAATCGTCCGAACGCTGAGAAGAGAGTCTTGTGAATTGTACTCTCTGAGACAGTGATAAGGGAAAAGATGTTATCCAAAATAATCATGACATGTCAAGAAGGTGCAGGTGTCGCTTGTGCATGCTGTCCTGCTGGAGAGGAGTGACTTGGGCCTGCGGCCTCAGACTGTGATCTCCTTGCTGCTATTAATTGTGCATCGGTAGGTCGGCTCGCACCGATCAGATACGCTCGCTGGGACATGCGAGCAAAAGTTAAGTCAGGTACAGTGGGATCGGTGTCAGAGAAATCGTCGTCGTCCGAGTCAAATTTGAACCGATCGTCTTTGGACCAATCATCTGCCGTGAAGTCTCGTCGCACTCGAGGGAGCCTTCGATCAATTATGATGCGGCCGCCACGACCTATCCTCCGTCTGAAGGAAGGCATATGTCCGACAGAATCTTCATCCGCGGGACTGGCATATCGAAAAGGTGTTGATGGTCGGGATACGTCTTTCATCACCACGTCAGTCCCATTCGGCAATTCCTGTGACTCTTCATCCGAGATACTAGCTGGCGGTGTTGGCAAATATTCAGTCGCAGCCATTGCCTCACGGAAATGTTCGCCAGGCGAAGGATAATCGTCTTCAAGCTCAGGAGTAAGAGGTGCCATGGTCTTGTCGACGAAACCCTCGTTCCATCTGATGTGTTTCTCAACATTGGTTTGAATCTCCTTTTGCACTTCACGTTCCCGAGCATTGGCAACTTCTTCCAGCGTGCGCAGTTCGGGACCAGGACCAGAAGCCATGGGCATTCTGAGCTGCTGGGCGAGGGCGGCTTGATTGGGCGTCATGCCTGGGGGTATTTTCTGCTTCTGGAAAGGAGGTGAGTTTAAGTCCATTCTTGTCGAACGGGGTCGCTTTACCTTTTGATTGATGAGGAGGTCATCGTCGCCTTTCATACCCAATTTCCTCTTTGTGTCACGGAGTGCCTGCCGCTGCTCGAAGACCAGTTGATCGACCTCAAGAGCTTCTTTGCGAAGCTGCTCCCTTCGCTTGACCATCAGCAGCATGTTTCTCGCCGTCTCGAGCTCCATGCGGAGTTTTCGCAGCTTCTCAGCACTCTGCGCATCACGATTTCTGGTCTTCCGAATTTGTCGCAATTCACGCCGTCTAAAGCATACATATGGATCGCTGTCGTCGGACTCCTGGCCAGTCTCGAACTTTAGCCGAGGGGCTAATGGACGATTACCAGTCGCCGAGCGCCGTGATTTCCAGTGCTCATATATGAACCTGGAAAGGTTGCGGACAAAAGGAGGGATGGTATCATCGATTTGCTCCTCGAGTTCTTCTAAAGGTAAGACGGGGGGACTATCGACGGCAGCAAAAGGTTGTTTTGCCTGCGCGGTTTCCTCGAAAAAATTCATGACCACTTCAAATTGGTCTTCGGTGCACGGCTCCTGTCCAGCAGGCAATTTACCGTTGATCAATTTCAAGGCAAGTTCATCTTCCTCATCCATGCAATACGCGACTCCGGCACAGTCTTCGACCGTGGCGGAGGAGCGTATATAGGTGGCGGGTTGTTGAAACCCTCTTGGGTACAGGACGTCATATTGGACATCACTGGCGATGGTAGGTGGAGTGGGGATGTAAGCATCTTTGATTTTGGCATCAGCTTTGGCGATTTCGGATGCTTTGATGGCTTGTTGAAGATGGTATTCCTGTGAAGCTGTGAGTGTTGTGCCAAGATGTGATGACTAAGCAAGGGAGAAGAGGACACAGCGACAAGAAGAACGGTGGAAGAAGAGGTGATGAGGACGAGAGAAGACATACTGATTCCTCGGCTTTTTCAACACCGGTTTCTATTGCAGCACGTTGGGTATCGTAGTCGGAAAGAGGATCAACTTGATCCTCGCGGAAAATCTGGACATTTTGCTTGGAGTTGAGTTTCTTTGGGCGGGTGGCGCGGCCGCGGGTGGTGGACATGAGGAATTTTTCAGAGTGGTGACTCCCTCATGGAGGGAGGAGTGAAACCACACCAGCCAACACGCACCACAACAACGTCAACGACCACGGTGAAAAAGTAGCAAAACGGGGTCGATAATTCCTCAATTTTGCATCACTAGTAATTTGATGCACTCTGACTATTATTCCGTTTTCAAAATGATGAAAAGGACAAAATTAGGTCGACGATGGTGGATGACTTTTGATGGCAGGCAGGGTGCTGGAGTTGTGGTGGTGCAGTTGGAGGTGAAGCAGTGGGAAAAAGAGGGTGAAAACTCCAAGGGCAGAGTGACGGGGGATCAGCTTTGCTGCTGCGCTGCCACCAGTTGCGGGACACCCACCAGTTGGGAAGTGAGAAAGGGGGGGTCAAGGTGCGGGAAGTTGTTCAGGTGGTGGTAGTGGTGATGGTAGCCTAGAAGCTAGTGACTTTGGGCATTCATAGGGGGGCCTCGGGGCCAGTACCATGGCAGCACCACCAAGCAAACACCAAGCACCACCCACACTGGCCAAATTATTCGGGCGCTCATTCTGGCAGTGACTGACCATCTTGAGCGCCCAATTTCTACTGTAACACCCCGGACGGGATGAAGGCGCATTGTACCCCGTATATCACATTCTATCTTGCTCCCAATGAGATATCTTACATCATATGTAGGTAAGGTTATGCGTGATGGATGATTCTAAGACCTCAAGTACCTACTACCTAAACGTCATCCTCGCTGAAGTCCATTCACTCACAGACCTCATAATTCACCTGTAGTCAACATACCACAACCTGTTGTGGAAGGAAAGAAATTTGCCCTGCAATCAGCCACATTAATCTCCAGCCACTTGTGGCACTCTGGGCTAACCCCGTTCAAGTCAATCCGCACGTGACTCTCAGCTGCTTCACTCAATTGGGCGAATCGGGCACCGTTTAATAGGTACCTCGACAAGCGAGAGCCGCCCCCATGTGCATCACGTCTTTGAAACTCGCCTGGCACTCCGTAATTTTGAGACTCTTTTTCAGCTCTCAAACTAGCCTTCTCACACTCTCAACTGGATTTCCTACTTTCGACCTGCACGCACCTAGACGAGTCCTTCGATAGAGCCCTCAGAACCCCTTACCTCCTCCCTCAAGCGCGACAACACCCACGACTCCAACTGCGATTGTCACACCCCTCAATCGCCCGACCATGGCTACGCCAGCATTCGGCGCCCAAGCCTCCACCGTTGCAGAACCTAACAATGCCGCTCTATACGATGCTCGAAGACGGCAGCAAGTCACTGGCTCTCAGATCCTCGATAATATTGTCTCCTTCTCAAATTGTATGTCGCAAGTCTCCATTGGATTGCACAGCGGTCGTCGCGGGGCTCTTGCATGAGGGAGAGTAACCCAGCACGTGCTAACAAGTGCCTCTCCAATAGTCGATCGCGATGAAGTGGACAGGTTGCGAAAACGGTTCATGAAGCTGGATAAGGTGAGATCGATGTCTTCAGTGTATATTGTTGGGTGAAATTGACATGGGCCACTCTAGGACAATAGCGGCACCATTGAACGCGAAGAGTTCCTTTCTCTACCTCAAGTGTCCTCGAACCCTTTAGCGACAAGGTATAGGGACCTGTCCTCCTTCCCGGGTGGTTCTAGCTAATCTCCCTCCAAGAATGATAGCCATCTTCGACGAAGATGGAGGCGGCGACGTCGACTTCCAAGAATTCGTGCTTGGCCTTTCTGCCTTCTCCTCCAAGGGCAACAAAGAAGAAAAGCTGAAGTTTGCCTTCAAGGTCTACGACATTGACCGGGACGGATACATCTCCAATGGAGAGTTGTTCATTGTGCTCAAGATGATGGTTGGCTCGAACCTGAAGGATCAGCAACTGCAGCAGATTGTGGACAAGACAATCATGGAGGCGGATAAAGATGGTGACGGCAAGATCAGCTTTTCCGAGTTCACACAAATGGTTGAGAGCACGGATGTTAGTATGAGCATGACGCTGGGTGAGTTTTGAAGACCTTTGAGGGCAAGTTGCTGTGGACACTGACTTGGTGATAGATCAATTCTGAGCCTGGCATGGCGTTGCATTGCAGATATTTTTATGGCTGATCAGCGAACACGACACCTACCTGTGATGAGTAATGATACACACAACTCGACAGACGCCAGGGCTGTCATGTCGAGATAGTCCGCTACCAAAGAAAGGAGATGCCAAAAATACCCTGCTCTTATCAAGCCTTGTCTCTGTCTCGTTTCTGTTGCTGGTACTTTACTGAGCCTTTAGTGAAGAATTGCGCAATCTACGCTCTCAGGAGTCTTTCTGATCCTCCCCAATATCGCATCACGACCGCCCAATGATCACACTACTGGCAGTCCAGAATTCATGCACGGCAGCCTCCCTGATCACCCAGCGCCGCTTCTGCTCATGACATATGGCCAGCTAAGGCCCAGCTCGATCCTGGCTTCAGTTTTACTTGCTACCCATTAACCAGTACGCAGACCATTTTCGGTTTCCATTCCCAAAGTCGCTCGCTTTTTACCCGTCTTTTCTTCTCGCCTTCCCAGGCCGAAGCTTTGTACCTGAAGATGCTTAGACCTGTCGAGGAAATACCTTCGCAATCCATTTCTTGTCCACGTCCACGTCTGAAAGATCATGAATGAGTGACTGCTGCTATTTCTTTGTTCGCCATTCTGATCTTCTCGATCGAATGGTCATCTCATGATGCAGAGCTGCTGGTAGGTTAGCTGTGGGACTCGTTTTCTCGATGTCGATTATCTCCCGTCCAAAACGATCGATGAAGTCCACGGAATCTTCATCTTGGGACGAGATCCAGTCCTTGTCCTTCCCGCAAATGCATTTGAACCTGGGCGCCTCGATGGTGCCTCCACAACAAGACTAGCAAATCCCAAGAGTGCGAAGGCTTTGGGTCGATATCTGGGCCCAACGTCGACAGTGTACACGCTTGATGCGGCATATACAGTATCAAGTTCTCCGGATAGATACCCCTTACAATCTATTCCTTGCTTGCCTCCCAACCTACCCTACTGGAGGGAGGGATGAATACCAAGACTTCAACAGATACTAGTGTTTCTACTAGTTCAGCCTTGGGCCTCATTCGACCGAACATAAGGCGGACTAATGGACTCTTAAAAAGTCTTGACTACGTGGCCACCTACCCATGGCGCCAGGTTTTGGTCGGTGGCATCGATAGATAATCTCATTAGCTCCATGTTTTGGGATAGTGGCTGGTCGGTTTGGTGGGTGCTAATGTTGACGCTTTGAAAAACAGGAGTTGTTTCGGGAATGGGTTCGTTCGTCCAGGCTGTCCAGGCCGTCTAAATGCCTTGACAAAAGTACCTATGTACCTGTATTTACTCCAACGTGGGAACAAGGCTGCACTGTAGAGTCTCATGTACGTGCTGATATGCTGGAGGTATCTGCACACCTTACGCTCCTTACAGGGCATGCGTGGTGAGAATAAGTATATCGTCTGATCTAATATCCTCTGAGATAGCGTCCAAGTAAGTGGAACTCTTCGACGCACAAATGCATGAAACGCTTCTGTGGGTGGAGCGGCCTTGTGCTGGCCACAAGATGGACACACAATCACTCTTTTTTGCCCCCTTGATTTTGAGCTCCAGCATCTCAAGGCGAAATATCTTTTGAAGTTGTATAAACACTCTCTTTCCCCAACCTCCTTCTCCGTTTTCTTCTGGTTATTGCTCTTCATTTGTCCGAAATGGTGGGTTGTCTGCCCAGCGGCCATTCCCCAATTCGCGGTATCACGACTTCCAATGGCATCGGCCATTACGAGCTCTGCGGGTTCACCAGGAGCTCTTCGAGAACCCTGCACACGGCATCACCGATCTCCTTGGTCTTTGCCTTTCCGCCCAGATCGCCGCTTCGGATCTCCAAGCCGCCAATGTCCTTGCTGTCGAGAACTTTGGCCACTGCAGCTTCGATGGCGGCGGCTTCAGCGGTGAGGTTGAACGAATACCGCAACATCAAGGCCGCCGAAAGGATTTGAGCGACGGGGTTCACGATGCCCTTTCCAGCAATGTCTGGCGCCGATCCGTGCACGGGTTCGTAGATGCCGTTGCATCGAGTTTTTCCGTCTGGAATGCCAGAGAGACTGGCACTGGGTAAGACGCCCAGGGTGCCAACCACGCCGCCGGCCTGATCAGACAGCATGTCGCCAAAGGTGTTGTCCGTGAGGATGATGCCGTTGAACATCTTCGGGTTGCGAACCATCAGCATCGACAAGCTGTCGGCCAATTGGTGCTTCAGCTCGACGTTAGGGAACTCCTTGGCGAAGACCTCCGAGGTGACTTTGCGCCACAGGCGGCCGGATGCAAGCACGTTGGCCTTGTCGCTGGACCACACAGTCGCGGGCCCTCCGTTGCCTTTGCCGTCCTTGCCCATGGTCGTAGCCAGGGCAGCAGCAACCCGTGCGCATCGTTCGACTTCGTCCCGTCGATATGCCCACGAGTCACTGGCAAAGTCGGCTTCTTCGACCTTGGTACCGAAGTAGGCACCGCTGCAGTTCTCGCGCAGGACGATGAAATTCGTGCCCTCGGCGATAGAAGCTTTCAGAGGGGATAGTGACAGCAACGAGCGGGAGTAGAATGTACAGGGGCGAATATTGGCGAAAGTGTCGAGGTGCTGGCGGAGACGCAGGAGACCAGATTCCGGGTTTGGCCAGGCCGTTCCCCTTTACGGAATGTCATTATCAGGCGTTCAGTTTCCAAGCAATGAAACGCAACCAGCGACGAAAAGCTGACATTAAGGGGGAATACACTTACCATTCAGGTCCGCCCACACTCCCAAACAACACGGCATCGCTCTCTTCCTTTGCAATCCTCAGCACCTCATCCGTAATAGGCGTCCCGTGCTTGTCGATACTGCATCCACCGCATATCTGGTGGTTGAACTCGAACTTGAGCCGGCCCTTGGAGGCGATTTCGACAGTGTCCAGAACTCGCAAGGCTTCGTCCATGATTTCAGGGCCGACATGGTCGCCGGGGAGGACGAGAACGCGGAATGTCTGCGCAGAGTTGGAGGCCGGGGCCGCCATGCTTGATAGCTGGCAACGAAATTGGGCGTTGAAACTGGGTCGAGGGATGGAACAATCACGGACTGATGCCAATCCTCCTATGCTGAACTGGCTCTGGTGCTTGGATCTCACAACCGCTTTGGAAACTTCGCGGAAACTGTTCCAGACGGTAGGGGATTTCCACCAGGACATTGGCTCAAGCTTTGGGTTTTTCTACCACAGACGTTCTCCTCAGGTCAAACGACAGCGCGATGATACATCAAAGGAGGAGAGAAGGAAGAAGTTGGAGATTCCCAAAGACCTTCGACTTCTCCACACAGAGACGAGTCGTTATCCTTGGGTAAACAGCATTTGGTGGAGTTCATATACAGATACTCGGCAATTTATCCGCTCCGATAGCGGAGGGCTTGGTAGCCTTGCCGACGGACCAATAATAATCGACGTCTCCGACAAGGCTGAGCCGACCATGTCCGGGCAGAAGACCACAAGGCTGAACCCCCCAATTAAGCGCCAGACATGTCTGTGTTTCAACTTCCACTCGCCTAAATCGCCATCGCCATATTCGACGACATATTACCTTCTTCACGTAGAGGGCCTTAAGGCCAGCTGCCTTGTTGCTATTCCTGGCCCCCTCTGGCCGTTGCAAACCTGGTTAGCACTAACTTCACCTGTTCAGTGACCGCATCCTTCTTGGTCATTAACAAATCATGATACATGACCTCCCGCTACTCCTGGCGTCTGAAACCCAGGCCCTCGACCTTATCTGCCTATATGGTACTGAGTCACTGACGACTATCTCAAATGGGCTGCCTTAACCTGCGCACCGACCAGATATCGCCCCCTCCTTGAACTGTACACAACGAGCAATAAACATGGCGACTGAGTTTTCACTTAACTTGCGATGGAGCGAGCTGCCTCTCATCAGATATCCTGTACCTAATCTCGTCGCAGTTGTTTGCGCTCCACGTCTTTCCAGCAATGGCATGGACGTATCAAGACTCCTTGCACGTCAACAAGAATGACACCGAAGTCCTACCATCCGATGCCTCCCTTGTGAAGATGCGCCCTGCACGCACACGACGCATCCACTGGAGAGCGCCGACACTGATGGTCGCGTCGTTCATCACTGCTCTCATCGGCGCAGTGTCACACCATGTCTTGTACTTGTGCGTCGACGGGCGCGCCATTACATTCGACGTTGAGCAGCAGGTGGTCACTTCGGCCGGGCTTGTCCTGGCATTTTTGGTGAAGGTGCTCCTGGCCATCTCCTCGTCCATCGCCTTCACGCAATGCCTATGGTGCACCTTGAGGCTTCACTCTGTCGACGTACGGTCCATGGACTCGCTCTTTGGCGTCCTAGGGAATCCATTCGAGCTCCTCAACCTGCGCTTCTGGTTCGGCCATCCTGTTCTGACTCTTACTGCCGCCACTACTTGGTAAGGACGAACTCGCTCCATCCTTGGAGAACTTGACCACCTCCATATCTAACTCTCCCTTTCAAGGCTCATACCGTTGTCTGCGATTTTTACGCCTGCGACCATTTCAGTGGGACCCAGAATGCACAGCAGTGCCGTAAGAATCAACGTCGCTCAACGAGATGCGTTTTTGGCCAACCGACTCAATAAGTTGGACGATGGCTCGTGGCGATTCCCCGGCGTTTCAACCATGTTGAACTATCTGTCGCAGCTCAGTCTCGTCGAGGCCAGTCTTTTGACGGTTTCGGGGGGCTCCTCGAACCAGAACCTGTCGTACACTCAGAGCTTCTACGGCCCTGCGGTGCAATGCGTCGCGCCGAACAACGAGACACGCTCCTTCATCACCACCGCCATGGAAGAGTCGATCAACGAGACGGGCGACTTCCTCTTCTGGACAGCCTTCTACCCTTTCGAGACCTTTGGCCCGGACATGAACGGGACGTTTTTCAACAACATCGTCGCCTCGGAGAGCGCCACGGACCCCAATCTAGGCCTGGATCTGATTTCCAAGGACGCGGCAAAGGTGTACCACACGCTGTACCTCTCGGACAACATGACGATAATCCCGAGTGCCGATGGATACTTGGAGATTCTGGAGTGCTCGCTCCACAACGCCTCGTATGACGTCCGCTTCGAGCTCCGCGGCGACGGACAGCAGACCATCACCGCCACACGCAAGCTGCTTGAACCGGTCCCAGCGTCACTGTCCCTGCCTGGCAACGTCACGGAGACTGATGCAGCCGAGATGTTCGAATACCTCACGCTCATGCAGTCGTACGTCGTCTACGTGATCGGCGTGACCACGACAAGCCCGCTATATGTGTCGGACTGGCGTGCTATCCAGTTCAGCAGCCTGGTGGCCAGCCCGGTCCTCGGGTCCTACCTCATGCCTTCTGAGGACCATGTCAACTTGAGCGACTTCACGGCCGTTCTGGAGAGTCTGTTTGAGAACTTTACCCTGAGTTATCGCTTCGGGGAGGTGCCAGAGTGAGTCAAATTCACAGTCCAGTGTTTCCCATCCTCCCAAGCCCCCATGCCTCTTGGGAGAGTCTTTTTTGGCTAGGGTCTCCTTCTTAGCTAACCCGCGTCGCGACGAATAGATCAACAATAGGCACCCCGAAACAGTTCAATACGGAAATCGCCACACCGGCCACGCTGCACCGCTCACTCAACACCTTTTCGTACAACCCGCGCACGCTGATCGTCGCGTATAGCGTCGTCATCGCCCTGGCCGCGGCGTGCCTGGCCTGCGGGATCACGGCGCTGTACCGCAATGGCGTCAGCTACACCAACAACTTCTCGACGATCCTGAGGGTGACGCGCGACAAGCGGTTCGACGCTCTGATCGAGGACGACGAGGATCGCGCCGGCGCGGATCCCCTCCCGCGGCACGTCGGCGACGTTGTCGTCACGTATGTTGAAGGGGATGTTGATGCGGCGGTAGACGCAGAGGCAGAGTCAACTCAAGCCCCAGCGCCAGCTCAACCTCAAGCCTGCGCCGCGTATACTCATGTTGGCTTCACGGGTGCGGGGATCAAAGTGCTCAGTTGAACTTTGACAAGTGTGACGACGACGATACCTTATGACATTTAGCAAAAAGAAGAAACGAAACAGAGGAACACAGTCGGAGTTGAACAAAGGAGGTTAGTGCAGGGGTGATTCCACCACCTTGTCTATATACAGTACGAGTCACCCGGGCACCCAGACCACCAGGCCATATTCTTCTTCTTGTCTTGAACTCCTCTAGCCTACCCTTCTAGGGCCAGAGACAGAGACAGAGACAGAGACAGGGACAGGGACAGGAAAGAGACAATCCAAATCCAAATCACCTAGAAGAAGCCCCCGTTCATTCATTCACTCATTCTACTTGCACGCAGCAACTCTACCTACAGTACCCAGGTACCCAGGCACCGAGGCAGTTTCTACCAAGAAAACTTCTCCCCCGTCACCTCCTCACTCCACTTCCACAACCTTTCCGCAATGTCCTTTTTGACCGCGTACCCGGGCGCCTTGAGGACCTGGCAATTACCGAGAAAGGCGCCGGCGCCGTCCTCTTCACTGGGCAAGCCTAGCTTGTCGTCCAGCGCGGCGACCAAGGTCGTGGCACACCCCTGCTGGTGGGTCTTCCAGACGAGGCCCCTCTCGGCGGCGGCGGCGAGCATGGTGTCGCGCACGACCGGGTCGGTGTAGCGGATGAGTTCGGTCTGGATTTCGCCCGGGTTGACGGCGAGGCTGAGGACGCCGTGTTTCTCAAAGAGTCGCTGGTTCAGGCCGACGCTGAACAGCACCGCGGCCGTCTTGCTCGCCCCGTACGCCGCCGTGGGGATGTACGCCATGGTGTCGTCGACGACGAGGTTGTGCGCCTGCATGATGGCGAGGTTGGGCTTCTCCGCGTCCGGCAGCTCGCGCACCGGCCGCTCGTAGCCCATGTCGCTCAGCGGCACGGCCGCCACGTACACGCCCATGCTGGCCAGGTTGACGATCCGCACGGCCCCCTTTTTTCCGGAGGCGGCGGCGAGGATCTTGGGCATGATCAGGTTCGTCAGCAGGAAGTGGCCCACGTGGTTCGTCGCCATGGTGAGTTCCACACCGTCCTCGGTGATGGTCCGCTCGGGGATGTTCATGATCCCGGCGTTGTTAATGACGATGTCGATCGCCGGCACGTCCGTCCACGCCTGCACCTCGGCCGCCGCCTTGCGCACCGACTTTTGCGACGAAAGGTCGACCTGCAGGCTGCGGTACTCGACATCTGGGTAAGCCGTGTTCAAGTCGTCGATGCATTCTTGGAGTTTGGCCATAGAGCGGCCCGCGAGGATCAGAAGTCGTGGGGACTGCGACGCAAACGACTCGGCCGTGGTGTAGCCGATGCCTTTTCTGTTGACGCCCGTGATCAGGATCGTGCGGTCCTTGATGCTTCCAGAGAAAGCGGCGGCCACAGTGAGGCCATCTGTGGTGGCGCCAAAGTCAGGATGGGTGGTTGCAGTAGGAGTTGTCATGGTAGACAAGATACGATACTTGATGGCTCTGGACAGAGATGGAGAGCAAAGCAGAAGGAGATTCACTTGTTAGATCGAAAGCACAGAAGATGGAAGATGGAAGACAGGACAAAGTCTGGGATGTGAAGAGGAATTGTGCTCTTTATATAGCATTTCCTGGTGGATTGTCCCGGGGTATTCTGCTTCCTGACCACCCCTCTAATAGCCATGTGATTGATCCGTGTCGCTCCAAATCGCAGGCTTCATACCGTTGTGTCCACTGATAGAGAGACTAATAGTATACCGAGACGTATATCAGGCAAACAGAAGAGGCGTTAAAACATGCAAGGCTCCACCAGGTGTTACTCGATGTTCACCCCACAACGTCGTTGCCGATTCGTGAGTTCGGATTGTTGACCGCATGATTGGCTCGCGACTTCAAAGTCACACAACGCAAAGATCCTCATGCGTCGCTTTCCGGACTGTCTTCTCCATGATCACCCTCACCATCATCAACCTCTGACTCACTGTCATCACCGTCTTCTTCTTCTTCTTCTTCTTCTTGCCCAGGATTTCTTTCAAAAGGGTCAAATTCCTCCGCTGCCATGTTCTCATCGCCCCATAGCTCCCACTGCTTTATCAACATAGCGGGAAGCTTTGCCACACGCGGCTTTAGTTGTTGCCGGGTCGTGATAATGATTTCACTTGCTTGGAGGTAGACTTTGCGGAATCGTTGCCAGAGATCGGGATCGCGACGAGGGTGTGGGAAGTAAGGGTCGTTTCCGGTAACGGCGACAAGGTACTTCTGGACTATATCTGACGACGGGTTCTTCGAGTGCAGGTCAACTGCGGAACATTTGTCAAAATCTAACATCCACATTTGGGTTTCTCGTCGGCTGAAGTTGTCCATAGACGATACCGGACGCTTGAAAATCGTAGGATACGGGCGCTGCGCAGCAAATGGATTCACTGTCGAGCTGCCAATGACGAATTCGGTGTCTTGTGCGTCAATTTGGGCTTGCCAGTGTAGAATAGCGAGTCCCATGGCCATCTCTTCCGCATATGCGTTGACGTTGAGACCTATCATCTTTGCTTGATCCAGGTAGAGAGGGAAATTTCGAAGCGAGTCCGTTGGGCCGTAGAGAGTGGCATCCGGCTTGTTCTCACCGAAGTAGACGCGGATGAGACAGTCTTTGTTAGGAGGGTGGATGTGGACATCGTGCTGCACCTGCTTGTCGTCCTGGTAGAACTGGCGGATGAGGGCTTCACGCGTAAGGGAAGGTACTGGCAAGATGCGATCGAGGTAGAATACTGCGGCTGTAGTCTGGTCTTCCTTGGGGAACCTTGAAATGCTCGCAGTCCAGAATTCGTGGGCCTCAGGCCCGTGGAAATGCCGTGCTCGAGGCACTCGCGGTGTGCGACGTCCAGGGAAGTTTTCTGCTAGCAAGCGAGCCCAGGAAAGGTAGCTATTGTAGGCACAGTTCGTCAAGCAGAAGTCAGTCCAGATCGAGTCGGCATTGGCGCCTTTCTTGATAGCTTGCGTGGTTCCTGGAATCTCGAATACACTACCGCAGCTGCCTCGCCCAATATCTCGCAGATCGGGGCGGTTATCGAATCTGCCTGCGTTCATCCACTCCGCCGAGCTTGAGGCGGTTGACTGTACTGAACCAACTGATAGTGTTCGCTTGAGAATATCCGTAGCAACCTGTTTGTCGAGTAGTTGTTTTAGGACAAGCGACCGAGTAAGACCCTCAGAAAGCGTCGTCGAAGTACTCTCTTCAGAGATATCCTTATTTTGAGACATGATATTCGAATCCAAGTCGAAAGTGAGATGAAAGTGAAGGAGAGATAAAGGGTTCTAGAAGGGTTAATGGAACGGTGCGGACCTTCCTTTACAACTTCTACGAAATAGTAACAAGGCCCTCTTGTGACTCACGAGGCCGTCGTAGGCACTGGCTACCCATGACTTTAGTCTAACAGCGAACTCTGGTTCCGCATCAGATATTTGAAACGATTCAGTAGCTGGGACTCGCCATTTGCTCTTCCTTGTGGCCAGATGATGGGCTGGAGGACCTTCCCGACAAGAGCATGTTTAGTGGTTCAGTTGTACTGGGCGTCTTCTCTCACCCCAACGTAACGGAAAGGAGGTCCTCCTATGAAACCTTTAGGGCTGTGTATCATTGGGAAGGATTCCCTTCATTTTCTTATTTTGATAGGTTAGCTCCATCATGATGGTAATCACCGGGCTCTCATCCATATGGCGCTGATTTTGGGACCATCAGAGAAACCCTTCACAATGCACACCTGAGGCGCGAATGGTCAACTTTTCATTATTCCGTATCTCGTCAAATTCGGTATCTCAAACGCTGTCTCAAACCGAAGAAATAACCATGTGCCTTCCCTACGACTCTTGAAGTCTGGTCGAATGGTCGCTGAAAACCTCACTCCAACCTACATAACAATGCAATCTCGATCCTGTCCATGCCGTCCTCTTCCAGAAGGCCCTGACACTCCCTGTGGTGGCTGTAACCTTTGCGGCGAGTTAGTGTAATACTGAGACATCTCATTATATGCACTCGTCCGGCGTCTTGGTTCCCTCCTGCCCGCATTGGGTCCTGGTGGATGGGAAGGAGTGTCAACCATCCCTGACGCTGAGTGGGTGCTGATGTTACTGATGGTCCCGGTCAGTTGCGTGTTAGAGTTCATGGGAGACGGTTCTGAAGAGGGATGCAATGGGCTGCCAAGTGGTGGAATGTATGGTCTGCCTTTAGCTGCTTCCTCGTATGCGGGGGGTGCATCTTCAGCCAAGGCATCCGATGGACGATTGACGCCTGGATTAGGTGCGCGCGAGACGCGAGGTGGAATCGGGGGCCGTACTTCGGGTGGCGGCTGTGTGGAGCGAAGAGGTATCGGAATGTTCCCTGTCTGTGATCTTCGTGGTTGCGTGCTGGAGGAACCCGTGTTGCTCCCATGTCGTCTATTTCGATCCGCACGTTGTCGCTGCTCCTCCTCTTCTTGCAATTGTAGTGCCATGGCAAAGTCGGCGTCGTGTTGTTCTTGTTGTTCTTGCGGAGACAGAGGTGTAGCCGCAGGCACATTGCTGACGCTTAAGAGCTGTGACGACCGTCGCGCAGCTGGATGCGTTGACGACTCGTCTCCACCGTCATGGTGACTGACGGGCATGAAATCACCCGAGAAAAATTCGTTGTGTTTGCCGCTGATGTCAACGAGACTTTCCCAAATGATTTCGTCCCGGTCCGCGTAACCGGCATCTGTGATCAGAGTGAAAATTTGACCACTTTCAGGGTGCTTGTAGATCGTGCTAAAGTGGTCATTGCGGAACATGATGGCAAAGGAGCCTGATGGGATCGAATCTTGAACAGCTTCGAGGCCAGAAGGAGTCAGCTGGGTGGGATATGTCTTGAGGAAGTTTTTGATGGCGTTGATGTCCTCCCACATGTTTTGCTCAGTGGTCGTTAATCCCTGGGTCGTGAGTTTGTATTCCAATTCCTCCTCCCCAAACTGGAGCGCTTGAGCATCTTCGTATGTCTGCGCAGATCGTGCAAACGCCTTTGCGGCTTCGGACCCCGGGTCAGGAAGCCAGCCATGTACCAAGGGAACTTGGAAAGCCCCGTAGAGTTTCATGTCTGGCGTGGCCTCAAACGTCCCTAGCTTTTGTTTCGCACGTTCCCGTTGCGGCATATTCAGCAAAGAGTCATCCGCATCCATCAGATTGGGCGCCGGTTGTGAAGGCGGTACGAATCTGGGATTGGCGTTCATACCTGTTCGCAAGCGCATCAAGAAATGGTTCAGTTCATCCACGTCGGGCATGACTTCTCCCACAGCGTCAAACCCTCGCGACAAGAGTTCGTCCATCAACGTTTCAATAATGAGGCCAAGCGACACTTGTTCACGTGTCCGAAGAGCTTCATCGAGTGCCGCCTGAGACTCCTGTTTCGCTCCTAAGATCAAAGCATTCACCAACGCCAAAAGAGGACACGGGCCATTTTTATTCTGGGTTAACATCGAAGATCTTCTCAGTTTCCGAGAGCCGTGATCGAACCAACTAAAATGTTTGATTTGGTATGTTTCGTTCCTTTGCTCTATCATTTTGGCGACATCTTCATCCGAGGGAATAGTTGTGCGTATTGTCGGTCGGAGTGGTTTGGGTGGAGGTGGTCCTTCGGGCGGGTCGTAGTACTCGGTCTCTGCACGATGTGCCGGTCTGAGAGGCAGGGGAGGCCGGGACTCATCGTCTTCTAGCAATGAGGGTTCATCATTTGTTGGAACGCCTGCCTGAGCAGCATTGGGGAGTGTTTCTAGTTCATCCTTGAGGGATACAACTCCGCTCTGCTGTCCACGGTCCAAAAGGTCGCTATTATAATTTGATACTTGTTTTTGAGAAGGAGAGAACGGAATCGGAGACGGAGTGGGAGGTACAAGGTTGACATTCGAGGCCCAAGGGTTTTGGTTCTCGACTGAGTCATGTTGAGGAGACACTGGTATGAGTGGTGGCTGTTCACTGAACGGTGATCGAGGTTCTATCGGTGGAGGTGGTGGAGGAGCTTGCGGCATGGGAGGCTGTCCCGTCTGATGCCTAATTCCCCATGAGTCTGCTGGTGTCTGCGTGTCCTGCTTGATATTATAGGTTGGGCCCGATATCGTGCCACTACCAACACTGAAGCCTTGGAAACGGTCAACAGGGGCCGCAGCATGCCCTCGATCCATCTCTTTGCCCTTCACCGCTGCTTCAGGCACATCCTGGTCTCCATTAGAGAGTTCGATCCGCTCGTCTCCTGAAGCATTATCCGAAGGGCGTCTAAAGGGATTATTCGAGGCGAAAGCCGACATAGTGGGTATATCGGGTCTTGATTGTGCAGGCGACGGACCCCAACCCACGGGTTTCCTCTTGATCCCAGTAGACTGCTCAGGCGGCTCTACATCGACCCATGGCTCCGCATGCAAATCGTTATCCGGAAGCGCAATTTGTCCCCTCTTTGGGCTCTTCCCTCGACCACCTTCTCCTTCGTCCGAATCTTCCCAGAAGTCTTTGGAGCGTTGACTGTCCAATGATGATCTGGGCGTATCTTCCTGCGAGCGACCTGCTCGTAGAATCTGGGGGATATTCGAGAGAGCATGAGTCTGGGGGTTGCTAACAAGCCCGGGAGATGAGCGAGGTTGACCTGGTCTGAGAACATCAGGCAGCGGTCGATCGGGCTTCTGGTCTTTCGTGCGCAGATCAGACCAAGGATTCTCTGCGTCTTCAAAACTGGGAGATTCTGCGACAATCGGATTCCTTCGTGAGGACGAGGGTAGGGAAGGGAGATCGGTCGAGTCCGGTACCAGATTGGCTTGTGGCTCTGGGTAATAACTCGACGAAGGAGGCTGAGGTGGGGGACTGGCGGGATACGGAAGAGATGTTTTACGTGTCATTATGATCTTTTGAGCGCTGGCTTCGAACAGCCCCGTGCTTGACAGAAAATCAATGATCCTGGAATCGTGGTTGCCTAAGGTTCACATGGCCCAAGTAGCCGCGGCAGGTCGAGAGCGAAACAGAGTGAGAGAAAGCGGTGCCGCATCAGAGCCGGTGAAACGACTGTGATCAGACCACGGAGCGTCCGGCGGAGGATGAGGGAGCTTTTTATATCGTCAAGTTCATTTGGAGGTGCATCGAGCGTTGAAGAACGACTTTAACAAGCGAAAGACCGCGTAAGCCTTGTAGGAAAAGGCGAGACTCAGGCGCGAAGCATCGACTTGGGGAGGAATCTCTCGCTGATCACCGTTTTGGGTGTCAGTGGGAAACGTTGGCTCTTTGGCTCTTCTGAAGGGGGTGACGTATTCGGACCTCTGTGCATCAAAAGTTGTGGCGGTGCAGGTCATCATCCTTCATCTACCGCCGCCACATTTATTCAGATACAAATTCCAGGCAACAACCAATCTTCGGCTTATTGTCCCTTGAACAGGGTAGGTGCTAATCTCCTTTCATCTGTCCTATACACAGCACACTTGGATCGAGTACAAGGTCTCCATCCCCCCTAAAACCGAACCCTGACTGCGAAACTAGAAGCGTGACACTGGTTGAAATCCTCTCCCATGGCCAAATCGAGAAAAGAACATACCTCACTGATCCCCACTCCTTCCTGTTCGCAGAGACTCGTGACAATGGATTCTAGTCCTACAGCTATCCCAACCCACTCATACATGTACACAGCATAGAAAAAGAAGAGCCAAGAAGACATAAAGAAACACAAAATCTTCTCCAATGCGAAGTAAAAGTCCTTTGGCAGCGCGTACATTTCATCCGCAGACACAGCTCACTGAGGTCTGTAAGTCAACACTCTTCACCTCCTCTCGTCGCGTCTCGCTTCTCCTTGGCTCATTGCTCGAAAGTGCCCCGACTGGCCCGGGTGGAGGATCGGCGCTTGAGGGTGAGGATGGTGTAGATGAGGCGGTGGTTGGCTTGACCCTTGAGGTTGTAAGTGTGGAAGCGATCCCCCTTGGTGTTGATGTTGATGTTGATGTTGGTGTTGTTGCTGGTGTTGGTGCTGATGTTGATGCTGATGTTGATGTTGGTGTTGGTGTAGCTGGTGTGAATGTGGATGCGGATGATGAAGAGGATGAGGCGTTCCCATTTGCCCGGGACCACGACTAGGGCCCGGAAACGGTGAATGAGAATGAGTGTGAGCACCACCGTGTGTGTGTGGAGGCGTAAAGGTCCGTGAAATGTCGCGTTGAGCAAATGTCATATGGCCTTGATTGGTCGCTGCAGCCATCTGGTTTGGACGGGGAACCGGAGGGGTGGCATGGTGCTCCATACTGTACATCTCCCGGCGTATCTGTTGTTGTTGCTGTTGCTGCTGTTGCTGCTGTGAAGGTGGTGGTGGTGGTGGTGGTGGTGGTGGTTGTTGCTGCTCCCGCTCCCGTTCCCGTTCGCGCTCTAATTCTCGATGACGTTGTATTTGTCTTTCATGTTCACGTTGCTGCTCCTGTTGCTTCTGCTGGTTTTGTTGAGCCATGTGTTGTTGGATAGTCAGTCGAGTCTGAAATGGAACTTCAAGAGACGACTGAGGTCGGTGGTGAAGACTCGAGACAGGAGTTGAGCTCGCCGAGTGAGAATGATTTTGCTGAATCGTCGGGTGACCGAGGGACGAAGATTGACTTGTTGACTGCGAAGCAGAATATCCTGCCGAGGCAACCCGTGAATGATGCGACGAGGTCGAGGCTGAGCGAAGTTGCGGCACAGCCTGCGTCGGTTGTTGAGGTGGAGGAGAGGGTACATGTGGAATCTGGCTGATCTGGCCTAGTAGCGTCCTTCGGTGATCAATTCCAGCTCGTTCTGGTGCTCGAGGGGTATCCACGCGCAAAGAGTGGAGCGATGGAATACTACTCTGCTGTGAAGTCGGTGGAATCACGGAATAAGGACTCGGTGCAGGTGAGTGATGGTGACTTCGTTGGTCGCTGGGAGCTCCCTGCTGGCGTGGATCAAAACGGTCCATCCATGCGTCGTTACTGGGGCCAGTGACAGGAGCGGGAGAATATACGCTGGGATAATCAGTCGATGATTGCTGCCCGCTGCCTGCAGAGAGCACGTTACTGCCACCGGGACCATATGAGCCTCTCGATGCTCTATTCAGGAGTGAGTCTTCAGGGTGGTGCTGACTTCGAGGCTGCTGCAAGAGGGTCTGACCTGGAGGAAGAGCAGTTATCTGTGGAGAAAGAATGGATGCTCGTTTCGGTGCCTCCAAAGACGGCCGCTTAGGCGGTGGATCTGGTGGATCGTCGTTGAGAAGGCCGAACACATTCGAGCGTTTGGCTGGGGGTTTCGGAGTGTCTGCAGGAGGCGGCGGAGCAGCAGGATGAGATATCTCAGCTCGTGGCGGTTGAGAAGTATGTATTTGGATCGGTGTCAGTGCTGGGGACTCTGTCGGGCCGGTCCGGTACAGTGCATGTTGATTGTCTATACGACGTAAAGAAGCCATGTCCTGAGGCGTCTCTAAAGGCGGGTGGCTCGGAGTTGTCGAGCTGCTGTTGCGGCTATGGCTGGGATGCAGGGCATTTGGCTGGGTATACTTTTCAACATGGGCTTGAACTTGAACGGGAGCAGCTGGTGGAGCCTGGGATCGCTGCTGCACAGGTATGAGAGGCTCTCGCAGCCCTAGAAGGCTAGGGCCGTTTGTGGGTATTGATGGTTGTTGACCTAATTCAGGACGCGGCATATCTGGAAGTCTCTGTGTGAGTATTTGAGGTGACTGCTCCTGAAGTGGTGCCCTGAGAGTTTGACGGGACGGCTGGAAGCCAACATCGTCCTGAAAAACGCCAGCTTTGGGACCGTGCAATGGCTTATGGCTGAAGAGAGCTGGACGACCATCTAATTTTGGAAGCTCCTCGGTCTTTGTTGGAAGGTGAGTAGGCAAAGAGGTTTCACGAATTGCCTCTCGTGCGACTGGGCGTGGTTGAGATGCCATGTCTCCGGAGACTGTCCTATCGAGCATACTTCTTGGAAAGTCTTCAACAACGCTCGGTTTGACTGCTGAGACTGCAAGCTCACCATCCATGATGGTCTGTTCACCCTGGGTAGTTGGACGACTGAGGGGGCCTAACGCTGTGTCATATCGACGTTTTGGAGTTACAATAGGACTCGGAGGCGGAATGGCGACTTTCCCAGCTACGCGCATCTGCTCTCCCATCAGAGCAAGCTTTTCGAGCTCACCCTTGCCATCATTGATTTGCCGACCGTAATAATTCTTAATCTGTATCTTATTAGCCACCGAGGGTGACCCAAGTGGCGGCGGACTCACCATTATCGGGCTCTTAGTCTTCATGAAGTCGGCAATTGCTGCGAAGTCTCGACCATAGTATGAAAGAAGTTCTGGGAACTTATTCTGTTCGGGAACTGACCAATAACTGGTATGTTGTGATGCCGCGGCCGACGATGAAGCTGTCAGAGGACCGGCGGGGACATCGCAGAGAGGATAATGCTGTAGACCTGCTTCAGCTGCTCGCTGCACTTGCACTGGCGGAACGGAAGGAGGATCGGGCCTGATGGGCACATTTTCGGCACGAACAAGCGTTCGCCCTCTTTCAGCCTTGGTAGAAGTCGCAGCTTTGCTCGGCGAGGCTTCAGCAGGGGCCAGTGGTAGAACTTGTTGTTGTTGCTCCGCCTGTATTTGTGCCTTGGTCCTCCGCACCTTCGTGGCAGTCCCAGTCTTGCGACCCCTCGAGGTTTTCGCACCCCCATCTGAATTACCGTCTTTCAAAGCCGCTGTAAGCTTCTTCGACTGTGGAACGGGTGTTGAAGAGTCTGCTTCACTCGGAGCATCTCCGAACGTTGGTGCCGCCGCCCGCCTTGGCCTCCCACTGTCTGTGACAGGAACAGGTGTCGCTTCCGCATCGTCACCATTAAGAAGCTCGGACATCAGAGCCGTTGAACGGGGTTTGGTCGCTGCCACTCGCCGACCGCGCTTCCTAGGCTGCGATCGTCTCAAGAGGTCTTTGTAGTGAGCCTTGGCCTTGGTCAAGTAGTAATGGAGTATGCACTCTTGATATGTTCTACCTGGGATGGACTCTGCAATCGTGCCCCATTTCTTCGGAGTTTGACAGTAGGCTTCGATGAAGAGGGATTGTTCCTCGTCTGTAAAATCATCCTCGGGCGGGAGATAGGCAAAAGCGTAGAGCGCCAAGTCATTTGGAACAAGACGATTTCTCTCTTCAAACTGGGATAGTTCTATGTCGGCGGGCTTTAACATTGGCGGAACCACTGCCTCCAGGTCATAGTTGGGCACAGAGCTGGAAGCTGCTTCTCTCTCGCGTCGTTCTTCCTCTTCTTTGAGAGACTGCTGAGACATCAAAATTGCGGCTTGCAGGTCTGCTTCTGTCGTGTTCCGCGCACCTCTCGTACGTTCGTGGGTTAGTGAAGGTGTGACTGACGGCGCCGCTGACGGTGCAGGGGAAGCAGGCGCAGGGCTAGCCTGCAACTCACGGCGTTCTTGCTCGAGTTGCTGGATTTTTTGCTTCCACACAGGATATCGGGCCTTGAACTCTGCGTGCATTTCTTCAAGTTCGGATCTCCAGTCCCAAGCATTACGCTCAAATTCCTGTTGTAAAAGAATCGAAACTGCTTCACGTTCGACTTCATCATCCGATTCTTCAAAGACAACTGGCTCCATAGGTCCTGACTTCAGATATGGTAAATCCTCGATAGGAGGGGTGGGTATCGGGTTCACCGGTGGTTGCTTGAGAGGCCGTCCTTTGGGATATGGTGGTTCTATTGCCAATATTTCCTCCTTAGACTCAGTCTCCTCGGGGGCTTGCTGTGGAGATGGTAACCCAGTTGGAATAGTAACAACAACAGGTGCCTCCTCTTTTGTAACTTCCACCGGTGTGGTCCCGCGTTTGGCCACGGGATCTTGAGATATCATATGGAGAAATTGCAGCTTCACCAGGAGGGCTACTACCACCGTATCCTGTAGCAGAGACGGTGGTTTCTTTGTCGCGAGTAGTTCCATTTCCCGTTTGTGCCTCTCTTCAGATTCAACATAGTACTCTTCGTCAAAGGAGTCGTCTCCAGCTTCGTCGTCGTCGTCCTCACTGGAAGCGGGAACCGACATTATCACATCTTCTTGATGGTGTATCTCGTTGGCTGCTCCCCTGGCAGGTAAGAGGGTCATTTTGACGTCTTGAATTTTAGGGCTTGTTGCAATCAAGGCCCTGGGTCCCGATGGCGCATTTGGAGGGGAGTTTGCAGATGGATGGGCCCCTCGGGTCTTGTCCGGGTGTGAAGGGACCACGCTCTGCTGTCGTGGTCCCGTTGGTATAGGACCTCTGTCCCGAGTTTCAAGTGGGAATGGTTTGTTCATCGCGTTCATGATGGATGGCTTTGGCTTGTAATCTGGAGAGACCCATATCTTCGAGGCTGTCCCTGAGCCTGTTCTTGTTCCTTCACGGTCGAGACGAGGGCCCGTGGGAATGGCTGGGGGTCGATTGTCAAGCCCGGAAGGTTTTGAAGGTTCCCTTGGTGCCACAGGAGGTCCCGAACCAGCCGGCTCACTTGACGAAAGTCTGTGTTTGTAGGGAGTCGTATTGCCTATTCGCGGACCAGACGGGACATTTGGAGGCATAGCACGGTCAGCAGCTGGGACGGCAGGGGGTTTAGGTTCGGCGGGCAGCTCGTCTTTCTTTGCGCTACCTTCCATGGACATGTTACTTGCGCTTGTCGTTACACCTGGCCGGGCCTGGCGCGACACAGGCTCAGTGCGTGCCCAGGTCTCTTGGTGCTGAGGCGTTTTTACAGACTGGCCAAGACTTGCTGTGGGAGCTGTTCTGCCAGCTTTTGGCCCACTAGGCGGTTGAAAAGTAGCTGGAGAAGGTGCTCCTTGCTCCGTCTTGGCAGTTTGCGGCCTAGGTATGGTTGGCTTTTCTGTTGCGGGAGTGGTGACGGATGGTAAGGACGGTGGGGGACCATAGTCAAGGCCGATCGGGGTTGGAGGTTGTTGTGGAAGCTGGGGTGGTTCACGACGGGAGGTATCCAACCTCGAACTTCCAAAATAATCCGCTCCGTCACCATCACGCCGACTTTCACGGAGCGCACTAATCGGAGTGGCGACAACCGACGGCCGTCTGCCTGCCTCGAAGTCGGGCTTCCCAGGTCGGTCACTGACGGAGGCAGATGGGGTAGTAACAGCAGCGGCCATATTTGCAGTGGATCCTCTGGCCGGGGATTGATCCCTTGGCCACACATCGTGCTCCCGTGGGTCCCGAGGCCTGACTTCGGGCTCTCGACTGCGTTCATAATCGCGACGTTCGTACCTGTCCGGGCGATCAGCATCTCCAGGGGGCGGCCGACCGCGGTCGAACTCGCGATCACGACGGCTTTCTCTCGAACGGCTACGTGGGTGGAATAAATCTCGCTCTCGGTCGCGTTCGCTTACGAAAGAACTCCGGCCTCTGCCCCGGTCCCAATCGCCTCTACCCCTACCGCGGCTAAGCCCGCCACGCCCTGCAGCAGGGTAGTATGACGACGCAGATTCTGTGGGGCGAGCAAAGGTAGAGGGAAGCGATTCCCGCGAGTCCCTCCTGGGTCGGACTGGAGAGGCCGAACGCTCTCTGCCAACATATGGTCGGGTATCTCTCGCTGAAGGAATGGTTCGATCGGTCACTGGGAAATCGCGATCACGCCGAGCCCATTCGGTGCGGTCGTCCTCTCGAGCGCGGTAAGACTGTGGAGGTGGCCGGGTATCTCGTTCGCGGTCCCTTTCACGATCTCTCTCCCAGGTGTCGTTGGGTCGGGGAGCGAATCCTCCACCTCTTCCACGCGCGGTTGGCGCAAATGGAAAACCACCACCACCTCGGAAGTCAGCCTTTGGACCTCGAGGAGGATCTCTTTGCGCCGACAGTAAACCTGGTTCCGCTTGACCCCTGTATGACGAACTTGTAGGCGTGTAGTTTGTGGACGGTCTGCGATCGAACCGAGGTGGAGAGCGATCTCTTGCTGGAGGAGGATATCTTGAAGACGACATAACCCCCCGCAGGCCTTCAAGGTAAGGTGAATGCTATTGGCCCGGAGTCTGATCGCTTGAGGCGGAGCACATCACGTGATCTGAAGGTCCTCTGGATCCCTCGATCTGGGCCAGCCCAAGGTTGGAACTTCCTATCGATGCAGGTGATCGTGGGCACTATGGGTTTGGCGTCCGTTAGCGTGGTTTTTCAAGGGCTGAGATAATCCTGTCTGGACAATGCCTGGGCTTCGTCTTTGCACGCTAGTGTTTCGTTCCTGTTCTGTTTGACTTGAATTTCCCGCTGTCAAAGGAAAGCCCGCCGCCGTAGATGAAAAGCCCAGCCACGCAGTCGCCCACTGACCAGGCGTCTCTGCGGTGTTCCGCACGTTGGGGACCGAGACTACCAAATGGCAATAGAGCGAAGTTAGGGTCCTTTGTCGGCTCCCTGAGGCCAGTTGCGTGAATTAAAATCGAGTTCGTCGTCCGGGTTTTCGCGTCCTCGACACTGTCCGAGTCGATAGAGATACACAAGGACAAGTGCAAGACGAGTGCAAGACAAGTGTAAGATAAAGTGAATTATTGATCGCGCGAGACGTGGGAAAAATGGATTGAACCTCGATTTGCCGAAGAGAACGCAAGGTAGAGTTTTGAAGTTGAAATGGGTGCTGGAAGCCCGTGTGGCAGGGAAATGCGGCGGATTGGCGGTTGTGTAAATCGCGAAGTCGCAGTTAGAGGTTGAGAGTCAATGCGCGATCATGCGGGTTGCGTTGATTGGAGTGGTAGGGATAAAATGAAGTTGATGGGAAAAGATGGAAAAAGACCAGGGAGGAAGAAGGGACGAAAAGAGATGAATGGGTCTGACATGGAAAAGGCGCTTGTGGTGGTGCAGGTAGCGCAGGTGGAGGAAGAGGACAGGGAGGAAAAGACGCTTGGAGCTTGGTGCTTGTTGCTTCTCTGTTGCGGGCGGCACTAGGTACCCAGTGAGTGTGCTAAGGCCACCGCTGGGCTGCCTGCACCTCAAATCTTAGCCGCTGCCGCCGATCCGTTGCCCGTGCGCGTGAAGACGGACATTGCGTCAACCACAAAAATTCTATTACGGGTGAATGTCAGCTCAATTACAGGAGCATTACCCCTCCAATGCCCAGGAGGTACCGTGTCAATACAGGTCTGTTACTGCCCATCTTACACGCCACCCAATCCTGAGAGGAATAACAACGTTCCCCTAAAGAGCTCGTGGGCCCCTAGCAAGCTCGCCATCCGCTATTAGAGCCCCAGATTTAAACATGCTCGTACGAGGACAGGGCCGCCCAGACTCCAACTAAGGCTGGTCAAGTTTGATAGGCTGATATGCTACCACCCACCACATAGCGAATCACGATATGAGAAACATTTTGTACCAGGCAGTTTTTTTTTCCCTTGCGCTGTATAAAGTCATCTCTCCATTCCCACACACCCTTCAGCCACGGGGAATACCCAGTGTCGCAGTCGATTATGGGATCCGCACCACCTGCCAAAGCCACTGATGCTGTTCTGGTAGCGTCGGAGCCTGTTCCCGACGAGACTCAACAGGTCCGAGGTATCGACTGGGCCGCTATACCAGAGGAACAACGGACTATAATATCGAATTTTATCGACCAACTGACTGGGCAAGGTTTCCAATCTAGTTCGATAGGTGATGCCATCCGTATTATTAACGATATGGTCTGTTTCTGATAACTTATCCGTTGAAAAATGAAGGATTTCTGACGGCGCACAGAGATCATGGAGAGATCCCGACTCAGGAGAGAAAGCCACCATTTTCCTAGGGTACACCTCCAATATGATTTCATCAGGCCTGCGTGACACCTTTCGCTATCTTGTCCAGCATCGTCACGTCTCAGCGATTGTCACCACTGCTGGAGGAGTTGAGGAGGACTTCATCAAGTGTTTGGCTCCCACCTACTTGGGCTCCTTTTCCGCTTCTGGCGCTGCCTTACGAGCCAAGGGACTGAATCGCATTGGGAACCTCATTGTCCCCAACAACAACTATTGTGCCTTCGAGGACTGGATCATCCCCATTCTAGACAGGATGCTGGCGGAGCAGGAAGAAGAGTTTGCACGATCCGGAGAACGGTTCATGTGGACTCCCAGCACCATAATCCACCGCCTGGGCAAAGAGATCAATGACGAATCATCGGTATACTACTGGGCATACAAGAATGACATTCCCGTCTTCTGTCCTGCCTTGACAGATGGCAGTCTAGGAGACATGATCTACTTCCACTCTTTCAAAGCCTCCCCACTCCATCTCGGCATCGACATAGCCAAGGACATTCGGAAAATCAATACAATTGCTGTGCGGGCGAAACGAGCGGGCATGATCATCCTTGGAGGGGGAGTTGTCAAGCACCACATCGCTAATGCGTGCCTGATGCGAAACGGCGCCGAAAGTGCGGTCTATGTTAACACGGCACAGGAATTCGATGGGAGTGATGCTGGCGCCCGACCAGACGAAGCAGTGAGTTGGGGCAAGTAAGTCTTCTCCAGTGGTCCGTGTCAGTATCTTGTTTGGAAATTGACCTAGAGCAGAATCAAAGCCGACGGAGACAGTGTCAAGGTATGAAAAGGACAGAGCCCAACTTGATGACCTCAGAAGACTAACATTGTCAACAAATAGGTCTATGTCGAGGCGTGAGTTGTCATTCTTGTTCAAGGCTCTGCCGACAACAATCTAGGCTAACGAAGATTTTCAGTACAATAAGTTTCCCCTTGATCGTGGCTGGGACATTTGCAAAACCAGACCCAAAACCATGACTCGCAGACAGTCAGATGAAATCTCGAACTGTTCTCCGAGACCGCCGGTATCTCGTTACTCACATGGCCTAAGGCAGACAGCCTCCGTGCCTGCTCACGACGAAAACGATGACAGAGTGTGGAGACCACCAGCGTGGTGTGACGGTTGGGGGATCGCCAGACCCGCTGATTTCTGACTGGTGAAAGTGAGTCAGGCTGAGAGGGTTGAGAAAATGGGAGGGTTTTCACGAAGGATAAATAAAGGCTTACCCAAGTGCGTGCCAGTGACAGTGGACAGATCACGTTAAGGGTCCCCTTGGTGTCCCGCGAGCCAATGGGTCTTTGGACGGAAGGGGGCCACATCGCCAGCTCTACCAACCAAAGATGAGGCTGGGCGCTTGGAAGAGAGTCAGACACCTGCAAAGGACTAAATAATGGCTGAGCCTCACTACCTAGGCAGGGACGCAGGCTTTGCGGCCCAAAGCCCACAGGAAAGCCCACAGGCGGGTGGCGACAGCTGGGGAGTCATTTACGTGGGGGTAGAGGAGGCCAGTGGTGCCAGTTAGCCATTACAGGGTAGGCCTAGTAGACTGGCCCTGCACGCGGCGACTTAAACACTTAAACGGGGGGATCCAAGTGCTGGAGCCTGTCGGGACTGTCCAATAGCTAAGCCTCCACGCCGATGCCTGGGACTTCGTTCGTTGCCTGCCACTTACCGGTTCTACCATATTCCTGCATAAATGCACCACCCTCTTTGAATGTAAATGTCCAAAGCCTTTTGGTGCACACAAAAGCTCCCTGCCCATCCTGAATTCCAGCTGTCATTCTTGCCTCATCCCCCAAAGACCATTGTCAACTTTTTGAAAATGTGACGCAGTGCTCGTACTTTGTCTGATGAAACAAACACACTCTAACTGATAGACAATCCTAACCCAAGCATTCACCGCCTTACTTTTCTCTTACCACTGCTTTCTTTGCTACTTGTCGGTTTCTGGCACTGCTGCTGGTATCATGGCCTCCCAAGGCACTTCACCAGTCCTTGTTCAAACCCACCCTTATCCGCCTCATACTTTAAACTCGTCGTTCAATGCGGACCTTGACCCTAGCCACCACTCACAGACATCAACGATGCCCGGGCCTGAACCACACGAACCTCTCTCTTCCACCTCCACTCGATCTCGCTCCGATATTCCTTCGTCCTCACCGGAACCCGCGGACGCAGAAATGGCGGATGTGGCCCCTCCAGAGCCTGAAGCTCAACCCCAAGAATCGGCCAGTATCGTTGAAGAAGAACCTCCGGCGGAGGTACAAGACAACTTGGTGGTTCCGGAACCGGCACCTACTGAGGAAGAAGGAACAGCAGCAGTAGAAGCAGAAGTCCCCAGCGAAGACCCCAGTTCGACGCCTCCCCCGCCACCCGAGCCTCGCAACAACATCCCAGAATGGGTAAACTTTGAAGAAGACTGGTCAAAGCCAAGTGACGAGGAGATGGAAGAGCTGAGGCTGAGAGAATCTAGGGGTACAGAGCTGAATGCACTGGACGTTCCCGGTATGGAGAAGCGCATCTATTCAAATGTGGACATCCCAGACACGCGGCCGATCAAGAAGTTGCGCCTCAGCTGGGTCATCAAGGGAGTTAGAGGGACCAAGGATAGACCAAACCATTCCAGAGTCATGGTTTCACCCCCTGCTGTTGTGGATGGGAACTATTGGCAAATCAAATTTTACCCGCGTGGCCATACCTCTACATCTTACAGTGCTTACATCAAATGCAGCAGAAGACCTCCAAAACCGGACACCAAATCCTCTGAAAGCACATTCTCATTCTTCGAAGGGCCTCCAGATGCGGATTTTGGCAGTGGCGCCGTTCCAACTATGACTCTCAAAACCGAACGGACCGTGAAGAAAGACGACCATTCTTCAACCACACCCTCCACAGCCTCTGCCGGCCAAAAACAAGACAACCAACCACCTTCCGAAGGAGGAAGTCCCAGTGTCCCTGATCCTGGCCATGATGAGGTGCTAGACGTGCAGACGACTTCAGACACCGGAGACGGGGATTGGCGGCTGTCTGCCCAGCTTGGTGTGGTGATGTACAACCCCGAAGAGCCACGTACTTGTGCGTATGCCTCCACTGAAGGTCAATTCTCCAAGTATGTGGATGACTGGGGCTGGTCGAGTGTCGCAGGCCCTTGGAGAGAGGCACACCTCCGGCAGCACTTGCAAAGAGCACCGCTCTTACAGAACGACACTATTGCAATTGACGCCTACATCCGCATTTTCAATGACCCGACGAAGGCCTTGTGGTGGCGGAGCTCTGATGCCGAACCTCACTGGGACTCGAAATCGCTGGCAGGGTATTTCCCCATGGGAACTCCTCCACTCTACCATAGCCCTGCCGTGGCAGGGATGACCGCGTGGCTTCTTTTGGCCCCTTTTCGCAAGCTGCTGCAGCGCGTCGACACCGGGAGCTGGCGACATAATTCCCAAGTCCGACCAAAGCCATTCATCGCGCAACTCCAAATGATACTCTTTCTGATGCGGACGTCAAGGAAAGAACGTGAAACTTATGTGGACTTGTACCCTGCGATCCAGGCCATGAAAGATGTTGGAGAAGAATACACTGATGTTCACACCTTCTGGGAAGCCTTTCGACGGACGATCGAACTTGAATTGGATGACGATGAAGAAAGCTTGAGATCCCTGAGAGCAATCTTTGATGGTCCAAGCGGCCCAATTTCATTGCCGCCATTGCCCGTGGAGAACGTGCTCGATGTCCAGCAAACACTAACCCGTACTTTGAGGGACTTGAATTTCAAAGGATGTCTTCCCGATTTTTTGCCTCTTTTGCTCGCACGGGACAAGTTTGACAAGACCACCCGCGAATGGAGGCTACTATATGACCGTGTGATCTTGAACGATGAAATCGATGTTTCGGAATTCAGTACCAGCGAAGGTGGCAAATACACCCTTTATGGATTCATGGCCCATGCTGGCGTAAGGAATTCGGGGAAATTTTACACGGTTTTGCGGCCGAATGGACCTAACGCAATGTGGCTGGCTTTTGAGGACGGTGATGGTAACCAGGTGTTTTCCTACAACCGGAAGATAATACAAGCATTTGAAGGACTCGAAGGACAGGCTCTGAAGGATTTCAACTCAACCCGAACAACTGCTTATATGGCAATGTACATCAAGACGAGCTGCTTGGCTGACTATCTGCCCGGAGGTCTGGAACCGTATCAACTCCCGAAATGGCTCGCGCCGTACCTGGATTCTTCGTATCAGGAGGCGCATGGAAACTTTACAGAAGATGCCACCGATGGGGACTTGCAAGAAATCAGCATTGAGGTCTACTCCGACGAAGGCATCACCGGCCGGGAAGGCCTGCTGGACATGTACAACATCAAACAACAATCTCGACACAAAGGCATGTTTCATCTGCTGAGCTCGCCGAGATGTGCAACCTATCAGGATCTGAGGCAACGCCTTGCCGCAAAGCTTGGAATTAGTGATCCTCAGACGATTCGACTTTTTGGGATGGGTTACAGTGGCATTGGACATTATGCAACTGCTCAACTGGTCAACGTTCACCTCACCGAGGCGATAGGCAATGGCTGTTTTCCAGGTCAGCCGTTATGCTTGTGGATGTCGGTACTCAGCAAGGATGAGGTTGAATTGTTTGGGGAGCCAGACAAAACGAACGATCCAGTGGATTCGGATCTCTTACGCTCAAGCAGCCAGACTTCGGATTCAGCCAGTGTCGCCAACGAGAACGAAGAACAGGTTGCTGCTCCTGATGCCGAGCAAGCTTCAGTTCGAGCAGCTGTTGAGGCTGACATTGACCGCGTCGCAAACACCAGACAACAACCATCCGCTGTGGCCGTGGAAGTTAATGACCAAGACACGCCCATGCAGCTCGAGATCCCGCCTCCAACCGCCGAAGAAAGCTTGACTGCGAATGTGCCTCATGGTCATCTTATTGACGCGGCAGCACATGTCGATGTGACAAGTCTGCTAGTCAATGCTGAGACGGCACTCACGTCAGCACCGGGACTGTCGACACTGTCTCAAGCCGAAGAATCCTTGATTGCTGCAGTCATCTCCGAGGACTCTGAAGCCATGGATTTTGTGATGAACTCCGGATCTGCTTCCACCGACCATTCGGCCTCGCAATCCAGCGAATCGTCGCAGTCTTCGTCACCACCCCCTGAAAAGCAAGGCCCGGTTGATAACATCTACGGCTTTCTCCAGATGTTCGACGTCGACACGCAGACTTTCCGTGTCCAGGGAACATTCTTTGCCAGGTCCGAAGAAAAGGTGAGAGACTTTGTGCAGAGACGCTTTGGATATGGGCCGGACAAGCAATTTATCGCCTGGCGTCGACATTCAACCGTCGATGGAAGCATTGTGGGGTCCGAGGATACATTCTTGGACCCCAGGTTTGTCAACGGTTGTGATCTTGTCGTTTACGAGCCGGTGTCCGAAACTCGCGTGAAGGAGCTTGAGAAAGAAGGCAAATTCGCTACACCCCACGAGCTCTCGACCTACCTGCGGATGGTGGAGCGACGACATCCCATACAATCCGTGACAACCACCGAGCCTGTCGAGCTTGCGGTTTTTGGAACCGACTACTACAAAGGACCTCTGGTCAATGGGCTCTGTCACGGGGCCAGGTGTTTCAGCATCAGCTCCACCGGCAATATCTACGAAGGACCACTTGTCTGTAACGTCAAATGCGGCAAAGGAGGCAAGATGACGTATTGCAACGGCGACACCTACGAAGGGGAATGGTACCAGGATGAACGTCACGGCCAAGGGACTTTTGTGGAAGCCAGAACGGGGAACAAGTACGTCGGCGGCTTTGAGAACGGCAAGCGCTGGGGAATGGGAACCACGTACTGGCAGGTCGCGGATGAGCAAGCGGACTTGTGCCAGATCTGCTACGGCAACGAGATCGACGCATTGTTCTTCGACTGTGGCCACGTGTGTGCTTGTGTTGAGTGCGCCAGACAGTGTGAGCTCTGCCCCATTTGCCGGAAGACGGTGAAACAGGTGGTCAAGATGTTTCGAGCTTGAGGGGATTTCGGAAATCAGGGAGAGAATATACTGCGCAGAGAGAAGCCAAGCAAGCGGGCGTTTTAGGAAGTACCACACGTATCAATGTGCTGAGGGGGCTAGCGAGGGAAGCAAGGGATTCTGGACATGGCTTCGTTGATCGATTGGCGTTTGTGATTAGGGAATTTATGGATGGATGCTCACATTTAGCATGGTGACGGGCGCTGTTGAGGTGTTCGGTATTCAGCTACCCTGGCCGACCACGATGATCAGATGGACATGAGAAAATTGATAGCAAACTTTGCTGTTGATATTGACAGGTGGATCCATTCTCGTATTCTGGACTTTCCAAGAGTGGTTTCGCTTGCCCCTCAGATGTGACTTGATTGGTTCTCTGATCTTCCGTCGCCCGATCCGTACGCCGATATGTTACCTTTTAGGAAGGTCCAGGGTGGGTATTTCCCTCTGCCGGTGGTGGCATTGGTGAAAGAATGGTCGACACGCTCATTTAAAAGGACGTCTTGCCAGCATCAAACATCCAGGACTTTCTCTTTCATCAAGAGTCACAATCAATCATGTCTTCCAAACCTACTCTCGTCTTTGTACCAGGAGCGTGGCACCCTGCGGCCACGTGGGACAAACTCACTACCGCGCTCGAAAGCCAACACCAATACAAATGCATCTCGGTCACCTTGCCATCAACACTGTCCGACCCTAGCGCAACTCTCCCGGGTGATATACAAGCCGTGAGGGATGTCCTCGTCTCCGAGACGGCCCAGGGACGCGATGTGGTGGTGATAGTCCACTCATATGGTGGCGTTGTGGGAGAAAGCGCGATCAAGGGCCTCACTCCCCCGAAAGGTAAACCAGATGCCACATCTTTATCAACAAAGAACAAGACATCGGGGCATGTTATTGGCCTCATCCTGATGGCAACTGGCTTTGTTGCCCCTGTGGTGAAAAACTTTCTTGAGGGTATGGGGGGCCAACCGCCCTCGACCTGGAAACTCGATGAGGAGTCGGGCTTTGCAGTAGTTACTGGTGATGTCCGAGGGTACTTTTATCACGACCTGCCCGAAAAAGAAGGGAATGAGTGGGTTCAGAAACTCACCCCACATTCGCTGAAGACATTGACCCAAGATGGTGAACATACCTACAGCGGGTGGAAGGATGTTCCAGTATGGTATCTTGCTACCAAGCAAGACCAATGCTTGCCAGTGGAGGTACAGAAAATGTTTGTGCAAACGGCCAAGGATGCAGGAGCAGATGTTACCTTGAGAGAGATTGACAGCAGTCATTCGCCTATGCTTAGTAGGCCTGAGGAGACTGTCCAGTTCATCTTGGATGCCACAGCCAGCTTTGTCGGATAAGGGGTCTTTTTACCGAACCTGTGACAGAATCTCAGCTCTTTCAACCACGTCCCTTGTTCTTGATATGAGTTGTGTAGAGGGCGAAACATTTACGTGGCTAGACTATAGGGAAGGGCAAATGTGCTGGGTGAAGATGGAGAGTTTGCTTACTTTGACAAGAAATTTCACCCGGCACCCACCCGGCGAGCCGGCAAGGCCAGGGTGGCTTACTAAGACCTGAGTGGTGCGCGGCAAGTGTGATTCTTGGGGTGAGCGACTTGGATTCTGTTCTGTTACCGTTACCCCCTGCTGTCCTGATGTGGGGGGGAATGGCCGTCCCCGCGCCTTGTATCAACCTTTCCCGCTCCAACTCCCGTGAGACGGTGTTTATCGTTTGCGTTCCTTTTCTTATTCCATCTAAAGGCTTGTTGCGTATTTCCCTCGAGTTTCCCCCTTTTTTTGTCGTTTCGCCTCAGCAGTGTCTCCTTGGCGGCAATGTCTCAACCTGAGAGCGTCGTCATCGTCACCGGCGCATCTCAAGGCCTAGGTGCTGCATCGGCGGTCCGGCTTGCCAACATCTACTCAACGATCGTGCTTGTCGCCCGCAACGAGTCGCTGCTGCGCAAGGTAGCGGCCGAGGTGGAAATTGAGGGAGCCAAAACGCTCACAATCCCGGCAGATCTATCTCTTCCGGAATCCGCGAAGGAAGTGGTGGCCAAGACAGTCGACAAGTTCGGGCGGATCGATGCCCTCTTCAACAATGCCGGTTCCGTGAAGCCAATCGACCTTTTCAAGCTGACCGACGAGCAGTGGAATGCCGGGTTTGACCTGAAATTGCACGGTGCGCGGCGCCTAACGATCGAGGCCTGGCCGTATCTAAAAGCCTCGAAGGGCGCCGTGCTGTTCATGTCCGGCGTGGCGGCCGAGGCACCCAAAGCAGGCAATGCAGCCGTGGCGGTCGTCAACTCAGCGGTCAATGCTTTGTCAAAGGCGTTCGCCGATCGCGGCATTGAAGATGGCATCCAGGTCAACACTATACTGCCGGGGCCGGTCGAAACCGAGCGATTGGTGACCATGGCGACGCAAGTTGCTGAAACGAAAGGCATTCCTCTCGAAGAGGCCAAAGAGAATATGCGCAAGTCGATGGGTATCAGTCGCTTCGGAAAGCCCGAGGAGATCGCAGAGCTCGTCGCCTATTTGCTTTCACCTTCTGCGCGTTGGATGACGGGCTCAGCGGTCAGGATTGATGGTGGGGTGGTAAAAGGGATATAGAGGCTTCCGAAAATCACGATTGGCGATTATCGCTCTCTCAATCTCGTCGTCGATCACAGCTTCGTAACGAGTTCTCATGAAATCCTTTCCCAACGTTGGCACCTACCAGTATACATACACGCCTGTGACGCCCAGCGCGGGATCTCGTCTGCACTTTCCAGTCAACTGCGGCTGAAGCCTGAAGGCGTGTGTTTGATAGCACATGAGGTGGCTAGTCATTCGCCTCGACTCAGCCTCACTCTTGTGCCTTCTTCCTACCCCACGGTTGCCTGTTGGGCGGCCAACCAGGAGTAGCTAACCATAGCTGCAATCCAAGCCCGTTTAACTGCCTTTGAGTGTTATATCTGGTGGATTGTACACTGACACACACTCTCTCAAAAGGTCTTGTGCCTAAGCCTATTTTATGTCCGCGGGCCTTGCGAGTTAGGACATATGTGGTGTTTGATAGCGACTGATCCTGTATTTCTATTCTGGGATGTTGGTCGGCGCAAAAATCAGAGGTGACGACTTGTTCGGAGATTATAAATATTTCACACAGAGTGTGTGTTCTATGCGCAGGCAAGGCTGAACGTACGACGCATAGAAAAGGGGCACGAAATTCCCTCTCATCCCGCAAATTCCTCTTGGGCTCGATAATTCACGCAACGGTCAAAATGGATCCATTCTCCTTTCACTTGACCGAAATCACTTTTTGCACACGGTCTAGAATCACCAAGTGCGTGTGTCTGCTGACACGATCGATCCGGCACTTGCAGCAGTGCAACTGCGAGGACTGTGAATCTTTGTCACCGCGACACGTGAAGTAGGATCTCTCGGGCTATTTAAATGTGAGTTCAGCCTTGACATCGTCCTGCAATCTTCCCTCTCTAATCAGTCGCGGTGTTTGAGACTTAGACAAAGCAGCTCTCGTGCTGTAGCAAACTACCCACGCGCCTCTTTGCGACGACGCCCACAAGACAACCCGCGCCTATCAGCACCATGGGAATCAGCGCCATCCTACAGCTTCTTCTGATACTTCCCCTTCTGGGCCTGCACGGGGCGAAAGGCCAAGCATCGGCGCCGACGATATAGCATCTCAACGGTGCCCCGGCAGGTCCACTTGAGAGGGTGAGAGAAGGGTTCGAGGACGCCGTCCACATCGCCAGAGTCGTGGCACTGACATTTGATCCCTGCGAAGAGGTAAGTACGTTGGGTGGACACATCCGGCGTTGACACATACACACATATATGGCAAGAAAGTTTCGATTCTAACTAGGGTGGTCAACAGGCATTCTTGCGGTACTTCCGACCCCAGGAAGCAGTCTTTGTGAGCAACATATTCCGCACCTTTGCCAATATACCTCTGGACTTGGTGCTCACGGCGGAAACCGTGGTGTCGGTCCTCACGCAGCCCAACGCACAACTCAACACCAGGTTGGGAGACTCAGCCCTGTTCATTGGAGACGACCTGGCGAGCCCCGCGGAGCGACAGTGCGATGGCTCGGCCAATGCGTGGATGACCGAGGACAACGACGACCGCAATGCCGACATCTACATCTGCGAAGACATCTTCGACTGGCCGTCGATCGAGGACATTGCGAACCCGCCGCAGACGTCGTGGGCGCGGGACAGCCACGGCCAGCCGCGCCCGGGATATTCGTGCGCGGGGCTCGGGGACTTCGACTCGGACTGGATGAAGACGGTGGGCTCGACCATCCTGCACGAGTACATCCACTGGGGGTTCCTGTTCGTGCACGTGCCGGACTGGTACCACTTCATCCGGGTGAACGACCGCGGCTGGCGGGCCATCGAGGACTACCCGGGACCGAACCCGCCCAACGGCTACGGGCCCTACCGGGCCAAGCTGATCAAGGACACCTACGGCGCCTGGGACCAGGCGTACCCCGTCACTGTCAACAACGTCGACAACTACGTCTACTACGCCCTCTCAAAGTACTGGTCCTGGCGCTGCGACAGGCGGTTTGGGCCCGCGCCGAGCGACCGAGACGCCCGTCAGCGCGTCCGCAGCGGCTTTCGACCGCACTATTCGTGAGAATCTGAGTACGGTGCACCGCGCAAGGGAGGTTGAGAGAGATTCTGGATATGGGGGATTTGAAATTGTTTTCTTGGATGGGAGAGGTCGAGATTCTTCGGCGAGGGGAGGGACAGGCACAGGCACAGGCACGACTTTGGAGATTCAGGATAGACTAGTCCGTCACCGTCGCATCTATTGCAATGGCAGGGACGCAGGGACGCAGGTACTCAGGGTAGACTCCGGAGCAAGTGATTGAGAGCTGATTTGATCACTTACTTGACTCCACACTCCCTCTCCGGACTCTGGGCACGTTGATTCTACCTTGGTTTCTTGCTTGTCAAGCAGGAGAAGAACAAGATCATCATCCGTCCTGTCGTACTCGGTGCATCTTCGATCGAATCAGCTATCCGGAGCATACCTCGATGCTCAAACTTGGGCCAGCAAGTGCACAAGGGGTATTTGCCATTGGTCGATCCACGACGCCAAGATGTGTTATCATTGGACAGTTCTTGATGTGGCGTTGGAGCCGATCTTCTGATTGGAGGGATCGTGAACGTCCAGATGTTTCAATATCTTCATGAACCACTTCCGATATCGATCGTACTTCTTTGGGAGACCACTGAACTGTGTCACTCTGTCAGCACTGGCTTTACCGTTGTTTTCTTCTTTGTTGTTCGTGCCTTGCCCGTCCCATGTTCACCCTGAGTTCGGTGACCGAAAAATATGCTCCATGTTACATCATACGCATCATGCGAATCAATGGAGTTGCGCCGAGCTTGTCGGCTGCGAAAGTATTAGGGACCAAGTCAGCAGATTTGTGAATGTCTTCATCGACGTTCCCCCCGAGAGGATGAGCTGGTTAGCCAAACCGGGCACGTTGCATATCAAAAGAATCTGACTCCAAAGGTTCTGTCAGAAACCACACAGGTTCATCTCCCAACAGCCATCCAGCATGATTGACAAACCCACACTCACCAAAACCGCCATTGTCACAGGCGCTGTCTCTGGTATGGGACTCGCTCTGGTGCATCACCTCCTAGCCAAGACAGGGAATAGCAACGACGAGGGAGGACAGTGGCGGGTGGTACTCGCCGACATCAACCCAGTCGGATACGAAGCCATCAAGTCCACGCTGGACCAAGATCGCCACATCTTTGTGCGTACCGACGTCTCCAGGTTTTCGGACCAGTTGGAACTTTTCAAAACGGCATTCGAGTGGTCGGGGGGACGCCTCGACTTCTTCGCCAACAACGCCGGGATCCCAGACAGACAGCCGCTCCTGGGCTGGCTCGGTAAGGCGGAGACCACTGAGAAGGACCAAGACCCCGTCGAGCCCGATCTCAGCCGCATCGACATCGACCTGAAGGCGGTCTTTTATGGGATGAAGCTCTTTGTCCATTTTGCCAGGAAGACACGCACCTTACTCAGCCAGCAGACCGCGGCAGTCATGGACGACATTGGAATCAGTGGGGGCGACGCCGCCATTGGGGTGGCCGCATCGCACGACTTCCACCCCAAAATGGTCGTCACGGCGTCCATGGCAGGCCAGTACCCGTTTTATATCCTGCCCATGTACACGGCGGCGAAGCACGGCTGCATAGGGCTCGTGCGAGCCGCAGCACCGACCTTGTTCGAGGAAGAGGGCATCACGCTGAACGCCGTCATGCCCAGCACCACAAAGACCAACATCATCCCCAAGCCCATCCTGGAGCAGTGGCCCGAAAACAATTTCACGCCGTTGGAAACCATCATGCGGGCGTTTGACGAGTTGATCGATGTCAAGGGGCGGATTGCCCCGGACGGATTGAGTGACGGTCAAGATGGACAGGTGAAGAATGGATGTTGCGTGGAAGCGTCGACGAATCACCTGTTCTACCGTGACCCAGTCCCGTTTCCTAGCGAGGTGCAGGAATGGGTCGGGGAGCAGTCGAGACGAGATGGGATTTTAGGGACATTCATGCAAAAGGCGACCAGTGCGAAGATGGAGTGAGGAGGCGAGAAGGAGTCGCTGCCGAACGTGGTTGTTTGATGCTAACGAGATCAGATCAGATCAGATCTATTCCAAAGACTTGGACTTGTATTAGACCACGACACATGATAGACGATAGAAAAGGCCTCCAAACTTTGAGACAACGCTATCTATTCTCTATTCTGCCACCAGCTTCGTGTTCCGATCTCCCTCCGCAATCAATCCCCAGATCTACCGGTCGCCATGAGGCAAGAAGAGGAGATGATCGACGGCTGGTGATGTACGGTCCGGAGAAGTCCACAACCCTCTTTGTCCCTGATGGATCGACAGCGATAACGCATCCTTGTCATCATTTCTGTAAAATCCCCTGGCATGTTACACTGTGCCATCTTTTCTTATCTACCACTCGCCTTTCATCGCATTATTTGACTCCCCCTCTCACCTCCCTTGACAATCCCACTTTCCTCGTCAAACAAAAGCTCTTGGCTCCAAGCAAAAGAAGCAATAAAAGGATCTGCAAGCCAAGACGAGCCCATGCAAGCCCCATGCATTGGTGATGATGATGATGGTGACGATGCCGATTAAAAGGGATGTTCCGCTCCCTTCTCCGCCTCCCGGGGATGGATGTTGCATCCACCATTCCTGGTGCATCTGCACCTGTTTTTTGACTGCTGTTTCCAGCAAAGTGCTGGCCCCGGTGAGATGTGCTTGCATCTTTTTGATATCATGGGCTCGTTTCTTTTTGATAGTCGGTTTCCCTTATCTCCAGAAAGCTGCAAAAGATCCATCCCAAGGGCAATTGATTGTCTGGGCCGTTTATCCCCGTCTATCGCTGACCATGTTCACGGCTCTTGTCGCGATGCTACTGCTCGCAGCTCATCCCCGTGGGAGCGAGCGGGATGATACGCCGATTGCATTTCTCTTCTTAATATCCTCCCAGGTACATCAGTCGTTGGAAAACTAAAAGGTTGTCTTTGCGCTAGGTGGATTTGTTCTACTTCCCTCCCTTCTTTGAAGATCGTGCGATCTCAACCAGAGAGATATGGATGCACACGAGGAGCGTGATGTGCTCACCCTCAAAGACGACCAGAAAGTCTCCATCACCAACGATGGCGTTATCCCCGTGTCTTCACTCGGAGAAGGCCATGGCCAGCCCATCTCTGCCAGTGTGGCGATTGACCCGGCCGCCGAGCGACGGCTGGTGTGGAAGTTTGACCTGCGCATCCTGCCCACGCTGGCCATCATGTACCTCTTCAATGCGCTGGTGAGCATCAGTTCATGGGGGAGCATACCTCACCACCTCTTTTACGAACACTCAAAGATCTGGATATGTATGTTGACCCATTATTTTCTCTACTCTTAGGACAAATCGAATCTCGGAAACGCAAAGACGGCCGGGCTCGAAAAGACCCTCCACCTCAAGGGCGACGACTACAACCTGATCCTGTCCATCTTCTTCGTCCCGTATGTGCTCGCCGGGCCCATCGTCGGCCTGGCCAGTAAGAAGTTTGGCCCGAGTCGCACCCTGCCGGTGATGATGCTGGTGTTTGGATTCAGCACGCTGATGACCGTCGCGGTGAAGAACTTTGGGGGACTTTTTGCGTGTCGGTGGTTTTTGGGCATGGTTTGTTTTTCCTTCCCTCCCATATTCCCCTGCTTGTTTTGTCAGTTCTGATACTAAACGTCATGTCACTCTCGATACAGGCCGAAGGAGGATTCTTCCCAAGCATCATCTTCTACCAGACCTGTAAGATTGACCACACAACAATCCCGACTCAATCATCTTGGATACTCACCATCGTTTTTCTCATACATATAGTATTCTACCGCCGCGGCGAACTCGCCCGTCGCCTGGCCATCTTCTACGCGGCCTCCAACATCGCCTCGGCCTTTGGGGGCCTCTTGTCCTTTGGCGTCTTCCACATCCACTCGACCAGCCTGGCCAACTGGCGGTACCTCTTCGTCATCGAGGGCGGGTGCAGCATGCTCTTCTCGCTCTTCGCCTTCTGGGTGCTGCCGTACAACGCGCAATCCGCCAAGTTCCTGACGCCCGAGGAGAAGAAGCTGGCCTTCTACCGCATCCAGGTGGACTCGTCGTCGGTGGTGGACGAAAAGTTCAACATCCGCTCCGCGCTGGCCATCTTCAAACACCCGACCAGCTGGGTCATCCTGGTCATCGAGATGTGTCTGGGCGTTCCCCTGCAGTCTGTGACGCTGTTCCTCCCCGTCATCGTCAACCAGCTCGGCTACTCGACCGTCAAGACGAACCTGTACACCGTGGCCCCCAACATCACCGGCGCCGTCATGCTGCTCCTCCTGGCCTTTGCGTCCGACTACACTCGCTGGCGGTTCCCCTTTGTCGCCCTGGGTTTCGCGTTCACGTGTATCGGCTTCATCATCTTTGCAGCTGTCAACCTCGACACCCAGCTGCACACGGCCTACTTTGCCTGTTTCATGATGACCTGGGGCACGAGCGCACCCAGCGTGATCCTGGACGTGTGGTATAACAACAATATCGCGGATGAGAACAAGCGGGTCATGTTGACGAGCGTGGGTGTCCCGGTCGCGAATCTGATGGGTGTGGTCAGGTATGTTCTTCTTCTTTCTCCTTCTCCCTCTTATGTCCCTCCCTTCTTTCTTCTTTCATCCCTCTCCAGAACATTATTTCAGGGGGGTATCCCCCCCTTACCCCCCCGAGTCTCCTCTTCCCTTCTCTCTCCAGGTCTCCACTCCCTTCTCGTCACCCGACTAACCCCCTTTGCCCCCTCTCGGGGTCTCTCGCGGCAACAGTTCGAACATATTCCAAAACAAAGACCGGCCGAAATACCTGCCCGCGCTGATCACGACCGCGACGTTCGGGGCCGTCGGCTGCGCCCTGACGCTGCTGCTCGGCGCGTGGATGATTTTCGACAACAAACGGCGGAACCTGCGCGCCGTGCGGAGGGGCGGACACGCCGTGCGCGCGAGGGACGTGCCGACCGAGTTGTTGCGCGACGGGCCCAAGGCGGAGGAGTATCGGTGGGTGTATTGACGAGGCGCGGCGAGGACGGGAGAATGAGAAGGGAGAAGCCCCGAAGCCCGAAGGGGTGAGAGAGGGAGGGTCCCAAAGGGGTGGGAGACCCAGAAAGAGAAAGGGAGAGGAGAGAGATTACATAGGATGGACGATGGAGATGGGGATGAGATGCGCACATAGTATGTATGCCATAGTATCCACGCCAGGGCACAGGAGGAGATACATGGGTAGGGAAGGCTATTCGCAGCGAGAGGTGATCAAGTCCCTTCTCACTCTTGACGGGTTAAGTTGAGCAACCAAGTGACTCTGATAGATACGTCTACACAAAACAACGGCTCGCACAGGACAACGGCCAACCTCCTCTGCCCAGTTTCTATATAGAGTAAACGAGTCTACCATTGTCTGCAAAAGGGAAAAAGGGGTATTTCGGGCTAACTCTGCTCGCTACAATTTCATCTTCAACACCAAATCAAAGACTCCCGTCACTTTCAAAAACACCAAGCCCTGCTCAGTGCCGCTGCGCACGGTGCTCAACGCTCGACGCTCAACGCTCGCCCACTCGCTCGCTTGCTCGCCTCTTGTTGCCGCACTCCCTCCAAACTCAACAAAGGAAACATGTTCGGAGTGACCTGGCCTGCCCTCTACACGCGCAAGAGCCAGCGTCATGTTCTCCAAGAAGACAAGAAAAAAGCTGTTGTGTCATGACTCGTGTCAAGTCGTTCAAAAACCAAGGCACTGTAATGTAAGGGATCGACAAAGGCCGACAAATGCGCCAGCAATGCGCAACATTCCATGCCCCTGCAAAAGATTCCGCTGCCCCTCGACTGTTCCTCCCCACTTTCTCAACTTCCCCAGTCGACTTACTTGAGCTTTGACTTTTGAACTTGTTTCAATAGCATACAGATGAACACTGCCAACCAGTTATCGTCTTCGAATCGATCGATGTTGGTCGGTATCTTCAAATCTGTTGTACAGTTATTGTACAGAATATTTCGAGGCTTATCGCGCACGCGATTGGAGAGCAATCGGGATCCCGCCACTGCTCTGTCTAGGTCCTGACGGTAGACCGTTGGTCGCACTAGCTGGAAGAGTTCGGCGATTGAGACGGTTTGTCCTCCAGCGTTCGTAAAACTAAGACACGGTCAGTCAGAACCTCATACCGTTGAGCGACACATGAACTTACCACTTCCCGACTCGCCTCTCGCAACTCGGATCGCCACTCTCCAAACACGGCGTCTTTCAACTTGACGAAATCACAATGATCCGGGTTGTACGGGTCGGCGAAACCCCAAGGAAACCGTCGACCCACTGGGCCATCCTTTGCTTCAAGAGAGTAGCTGTCGGGGCTGAGGATCGACCATGGAACGTAGCCACTCTCAAGCACAGCATCCTCGGCTGAGGCCTGGCGTTTGTGGTTACCAGGGCGTTTTGTAGTCGCGAGGTCTCGATTCGCATCAGAATCATCACTGTGAGCTGACGCCCGGTCCTCCGAGTCTGCGGCACTACTGTCTTCGTCTTCGTCACGCTCGTCGAGACGTTCGTCATCGTAGTCTTCAGCATCGAAGCTCAAGGCTTCCAGTGGATCGAGACCAGCCTTCTTCAGACTCCGGCTGACTTTTTGTTTCAAAAACGCCATGTGCGCTGTAGTGATGGTATCCGCCTTGCTGATGACTGGGATGACGGTAGTTTTACTGGCCAAGGTCTTCATGACTTGAATGTCAAAGTCCTCGTCCAGAGCGCCAACGATTCGGGATGGCTTGCCAATTCGCGTGTTTTCGACGCCGGTGCTGATGCCTTGAGCAGCATTGATATTGGCGTCTAGTCGAGCCGGGTCAAGAACGAAAAAGACGCAGTGGATGTGGGTATCTCTGACACCTGGGGCGCGTACAACTTTCATCTCTTCCAAGAAGGTATCGTCAAATTTGCTTTCCACAAAATTGCTCATGTCTCTCAATTGAAGGTCAACGACACCCTTGTCCAACCCTTGAGAGTCCCACAACGTCAAGCCGATTCGCTCCCCATCGACCTCGATCTCCTGGTAATGGTGGACATAGTTGGGGTTTGCTCTTGCAGATGACGGAGGAGTATCGCCATCCGGAGCTCGACTCGGCTGTTTCTTCGCTGGCAAAGCAAGCGAGCTCTTCAGAAAATTAAGGAAAGAGGTCTTGCCGACATTTCGAGCGCCAATGATGAGGACGTTGTAGGGGGTGGGGTCTTTGCGACGTCGAACTCTCCGGGGGGAGTTGATGGTAGACACCGTTGAGTTCGCATAGGAATATCGCCCACCTAACATTCATGAGTTAGCCTTGTCATGATATCTCAGGAGGAACTCAACTTACGGTGGGTCATGCTCTCGGTTCTGGCATATGGATCAACACCCTCCTTTTCCAGGTTGCCGGGCAAAGGAGGAACGGGGGGAGTGTTCTTCGCGCCATTGGTGTACTCTCTGGACGTGTTCTGCGGGTTGTAGTTTTCACCGCCAAATGATTGAATACCCAGCGGCTGCGGATTGTAATTTGGCAAGCGGGGAGGCGACTGTGTGACTTTTGCAGCTTCGTCCATTTCCTGTTTCTTTTTGAGCCGGCTCGCAGACGTCTTGCGATCACCTAGGGCTTCGCCGCTCTTTGATCGAAACAAGCGAGAGCCGAGACTGGTACTTCGACGGCTCGAGGCCTGAGACTCATTGCGAGCGAGAGGAGGAGATGTCATGGTGTCTCTGGGATCAGCTGTCGGAGAGGGGTTGTTTGCTTGCGAGCCAATTCGGAGTAGTTGCGAGGTGAACGACTTGGAGGCAGGCGCAGGCGCTGACGTGAGGAGAACGGATTGGCGATCGAGCTGTCAGAGAAGGTGCCCTGCTGCTTGTTGCTGAATGGGCGACCGATCATTCGTGGAGGATAAGGATGGGGATGGCAGCCGTAGTGAGGACTTGACTCGATTTGATGTGATGAACCAGGGGGCGGCCAGCGCAGATGCAAGGTTCTAAAGGGTTGCTTGGAGTGACAAGAGGTTGTTGCACAGGAAAGAGTGTGAAGTGGAGTTGTAACCGCGTCGGAGGCAGAGTCTAAGAGAATTGACGAATATCGAGGTTTCAGAGCTTGCCAATGGCGGCAGGCCAGACGAGGTTGCTCGTTGATCGCAAATGTCGAAGCCCGCAGGGGGAAATAGTATAGAGATACAGGTCACCGGCGACCGTTGAAGGCCCGTTCAAATTGCTTCGAGAAGGGAATATGGGGTAATTGCAGGGCGCCGAACTCCAGAGCAGGCGACGTTGACTACTGCACCTGAGCCACTTGAACCACCTGAACCACTTGAACCTGCGTTAGGGGCGCACTTGACAGCGGGTCGCTCAGAAGTCAAATCGTGCGGCATGCGTCGGTCCGCAACGTGGTGGACGTTGGTGGGCGTGCACGGCGTGGTAGAAGGACGAACCGCTGCTTCGAGAAGAAGTAACAACGCAAATTCAAAAAAAAGGAAGCCGTGTCTGAGATTGACGAAAAAGGAAGATCAAGAGTTCTTTTCCTTCGGTTCACCCTCCCTCTCTTGTGATCTCGCTACCGATCAATGTCTTCCCACCGGGGAATATTCAGGGGCTTCTCACCAAGTGGTCCCTTCAATGCGCAGCTCGAGAGCCGACTGGTGGTAGAGCTCTTAGCCACGATGCGGCATTGGCTGTCGGCCAACACCAGGCGAGGATAAGGCACAGAGCTTTGCTCGTTTCATGTTTTCTGTTACACTAGCCCACTAACTAAATGGTCAGAGTTTGTTAACACACCCGTTCCCCCTGGACAGATCCGTTGCCCACAGTCTTCAGTTTTCTCCCCTTTGACGGTTATGAGCGTTGTCAGCATCTTGGTTGTTCCCATACCACCACACTGCAACCCTCTTAATACAGGTGTACAGTCACCTCAACATCGCATCTTCCTTGTGCCCCTTCCCTCCAGATAGGTGCATTCTGTACTTCGACCATCATGTGCTCGAAACTCTCGTCCAGGCCGGGGCGGAGGAGAATAGTCGATCGATTGCTCAGCCACGGAAATGATACAATGGCATGGGAGAAGCCGAGGCCCTGGAACTTCCATTCCCAGCTCTTGTGAATAAACTCTATCAGCTTGTCATTATTTGCGCATTCACTCAGGGTAATTGGAGTTGCTGCGCCCCCTTGAAAACCGTCTAATCGCACTCGCAAGGTAGTTCGTGCTGGGTCAAAGGTATTATCAAGATCAATATCCGCCGGAGGCGAGCTTGCTCGACGGCGTTTGCCCGTGATCTTCCTTTCTGTGGTCGTAAGTTTGGTTATCGGTTGTTTTCCATTCACTCCAATCGCTTCTTTAATAGCGTTTTCCACCTTCTTTGAACTCGCTTCATGACCAGTCTTCACTGATAACTGATGTTTGTATTTATCGAATTTGTACGGGTTCGTTTGCTTAACAGTCCTCTTCCGCAGATTCCGTTCGGCGAAGACCGGTTCTGCTGTGTCGTCCAAATTATTCTTATCAAGTTCGTCCTCAGCAGTGGTGGTGACCTGTTGGAAAGGAGATTCTTCTGATAGCGGGTCTGCTCGAATGTGGCCACTTCGACCGCTGAAACGAGATTTAGTCGAAGTACGAGGTGTCGTGGAGGTCGAAGATTTTGTGTTCACAGGTGACGCCGGCTTTACTCGAGCACTTCGGCGAGGGGTGGAATATGTGGTTGTTGTGGTGATCTTAACAAAAGGTTTCGCAGGTGGTATCACGTCGTATTTCGATGACCGTGGCTGTACCGTTTCTTCCTCATCGTCGTCGTCGTCGTCGTCGTCGTCGTCGTCGTCTTCTCCTTTTAGCTCAAAGTCAGAATCCGAAATCTCGATATCTTGTTTATCGCGCGAGAAGAATCCCCCTAGATCGTTCACAGTGACCTCATCATCCTCTTCCAATACTCTTCTGCGGGTCGATGAACCCGAGGGACGGGAGAACATGATATCTGAGTCTTCGATGAGATGAGGAAGTCCAGAGGTGGGAGGACTGGGAGAAGTGCTATGACGAGGCGGATCGATGAATGTGGTGGAAAGGAGATCTTCTCGCTTCAAAACGACACTGGGAAATGGCCCGAGTCTGTCACCGATGGGACTGAAATCACGCGTGAGGTGAAGTGAGTGGTGACCTGACATTGGAAGAAGCGAAGTTTTAGACAAACGCTCTGAAAGGCGAAAGCGGGAGTGAAGTGAGGGCGGTGGGACGGTGATTTAGCATTGAGAGAGATGAATTTCAGACAAACGCTCTGAATGAATGTGAGAGTGAAGTGAAGGCGGTGGGAGAATGGAGGGCTTTTCAGCTGAGGAAAACGCATGCCAGAGGAAGGACCTCGAGACAATTCTTTTTGAAATACACGCAGAGAAACGCACACAACGCGCAGCAACTGTCCTGCAGAGAACAAAGACAACTTCTACTCCGTTTCCCCGTTCGCTCGCTCGCTCGTTCTCTTGTCCAGAAACTTCTTCAACATGCCCAAATCCAGCGGCACCCGCTCTCCCAGCCAGGTGGCTCGCTGGCTATGGTCCCTCACCGCGTCGCCATCTTCGTGATTTGGGTGGACCAGTGCAGACAGTGGCCCTCGGTTGATGATCAACCACGGAATGAACGCCCCAAACTCAGCAGGCGTGAAGAGATTCACCTCAAACATGGCCATTGTATGAGGACCGACGGGACGATCCCAGAACCGATAGATTCTAAAACGTTTCTTCGATCAGTATACCCTTCAGCTTACGACCAGGCCGTTCCAGACCGGGACCGGACAAGGAGGAAGACTCTCACCTCAACTCTGGAAACTCTCGTCGGATCCGCTCCCAAAGCGCGCGGGCATACTCCTTCTGCTCATCGCTATTCAGATGGTAGTAGATGTGGACGTCAAAGCCGCCTCGCCTGCCATTGGTCACACCTGAGGTGAACTTCTTGTAGCTCTCGCTCAGCGCGCCCGTCTGCGGGTTCTTATAAGACTTTCCATCCTCGTCCAACTCGTCCGGAAGGGGCGGGAGATCCTGGTACCCTTCCAACGGCGAGGGGTAGGTGTACAAAAACGAGTCCGACATGACTTTGGCTCGAGGGGAAATTGCAAAAGTGAGAGGCAAGGTAGAATGAGAATCGGGGATTGGGAATGAACTATCTATTCAAGAAGAACTCCATACGAGACACTGTTAAAGCACGAGCAGGTCTTCGAGTTGTCGGCCGAGAATACCTGTTGATGGGAAGACGTCGGCGAAGAATGGCATCATCCCGGTTTCGTAAACCCGCTGAGATGGAGAGCGGAATTGCTTCCTGCATATATTATTACTCCATAAGATCTCGGCCACATGAAGGACCAATCTACCGAGTGCTCGGTCTATTGCTTCCTCTGCGAAATCACTGTTCAGATTACTATATCAACAAGACAATTATTGAGAGAAACCAGTTTTTGCGACGAAACGTTTCTATACATAGTTCCAGGCACGGCAGTTCGGCGAGTGCTCTCACACCTCTCGGACAAAGCGACGAACTGGCGCGCACTGATGATGAGGAATCATTCACCACGACCCCACACTCTGACTGATCCATCCCCTTTGAGTTGATATAACCATTCGGCATCATCCAAGTCATCGCCGTCTCCAGATCTCCTCTGGGTAGTAGAGACTGCGTGTTCGTCATTCTCGTTACCTTCGTGCCCGCCTCCTTTACTTGCCCTGATCACGCCGGACACGTCTTTCGCGCTGCCCGTGTCCAATCCTCGGAGTTGCAACACCCAGCGGCTTTGATGCGCCACGGCCGTCACGAGATGTGCGTGGTTGCGCTCTAGGGGGGCCCCTTCTTCGTTTGTGGAGGCGGCAATGCGCATTAACGGAGCGTCGGCGCTGCAGGTAACGACCAGAGCGTGAGACTGAGTGCGTAGCGTGGACAGGAATGCCTGCACAGATATAATTGGGAGAAACGGTTGGCAGGCTGCGAGAAAGTCAATGCCGTCTAGGATGATGAGTGGCTTTTTAGTTTCGAGGGGTTGTGTTGGGGGGACGGAAGTCGAAGGTAATCGAGATGCTGGCGTGCGTGGTAATGATGAACTCGATATCGACGGAGAGGGAGACATAGTCGTGGCGAGGCTCTTTAAGGCCGAAGTCAAAGCATCCTGTACATCGCTCAGTGCCAGTGACTTCAGCCTCGTCGTTGGTGAAAGGGACGGGTCTCCTCCACTACTGCTTCCTCCTCCTGACACTGACGGACGACGCGATGGGCCATAAGAGAGGCCATCGACATAGACGATTTTCCTGCTCCGGAGCAGTGACTGGATATCAAGACCCTACTGAAGCAGTCAGCATCGAGGTCGCATGCACCGAACAACAAATGAACTATGACCAAGACGCAAGTGGGATCGCGAGGGTACGTAGACCTGACAGGGAGAAGACCAGACAGATTTCTCTGGTAGTAACGCGACAGATGTAGAAAATCCCAGAAAGGGAAAAAAGTCAAACATACAATCTTCTTTCCCAGTTCAACCCACAGAGTCAAGGGCCGCAGAAAACTCGCAAAGACAACCGGCACCGCCGTGGTCGCCGACGTTTTCTCAAGCCCCTCTGCATCTCTCCCCTCTCTCGTGCCAATGTCGTCCTCGACCCCGTACAAAGCCGCGTAGATGATTCGCAGAACGAGCCAAGGCGAGGGCGTGCTGAGAACCGAGGTGATGAGTGTTTGACTGTGCGGGCTGGACGGGGACAGCAAGGACTGAATGTGGCTCACTAACGGAGGCGGGATTGCTGGGGGCATATTATTTTATCTTCGCTCTATCGAGACGTCCTGGAGAAGAATGTCTCATGTCTCCTCCCTGGTCTAACGGCATGAAATGAAAATGGGTTCTGTATGTGTACTGTTAAGTTTTGAGGATCTAGGAACTCGCGACCACGGAGATTTCAAGCACACGGTCAGGTGAGTGGCGGGACTTTCTCAACAGCACCTTACACAGATATGAAGATACCGAGATACGAAGAATCACTACGGACAATGGAAGACGTACATGAGAGTGGTAGTTTCAATGCTGAATTTTCCGATTCTCTGGGGCTCTTTGAGCAGATCTCATGCTTGGAAAAAGCGAAGACAAAGTTTGCCCTTATTTTTTGTTTTATCTGAACCACGCCGCCGCATCTGATTGCGCCCAGCAATATGAGACCAGGAGAGCGACGTCCTTGGTTTCCTTCATGTGGCTGCCACTCCCTGTGAATGAACCACCTTTGCCCCCGCCTGTCAAGCCACACAATGGCCGTCCGCGCTCAAGTTTGATCGCAAGGCTTTGCTCTCCAGTAAACCACATTTTCAATGTATTTCAATGTGAAATCATGAAGCTCCTTCACACGTCATCTTGTCTCTTCGATCATGCCTTTGCGGGTCCACGAGCACCCTTGGGCGTTCCGGTCCTGAATGCGTTGGTTGATTTCCTGTATTCACAAAAGCCTCGTCAGTCTCCGTGCTAGATCTTGGACAAGGTCATCCCGCCCGGGTGTATCAACCCATCAACCGCTTTAGTCTGCCTTGTTCACAATTCTTCATTGACACGCAAATTTTCACCCTGGAATCACACACCGCCCTCCTCTTCTTCCGCGAAGCCATCGTCATGAAAGGGACAGTAGGAGTCCTTACCGAGCAACCAACTTCAACGACCTCATTCTGCCAGTGCCGGTGGTCTTGCGTCTCTTGGCCTTCTCGCTCCATTCGTATTTGCGGGTCTTAGCGGCGGGATACTACATTGCACTGTCAGTTGATCAACCCTCCAATGTTTTCGTCTGATGTATATTGCGAAGTCGCATATCGTGGGTCGCTTCGAAATAGCGCAGGTGATCGGCGGCGAGGAAAGGTGAAAGGAAGGGATTCAACGTACTCCGCAGTTGGCGCAAGTGTGTTTTTGGATGTGCAGGCTTCGACGACCGCATCTGTATCAAAGTCAGTCCACTGTTGCGATTTGATATCCTCTTCAATGCCCCCCCAAACGCGAAACCCAGCCCAAAGATAGTGGAAGGAAAAACACGTACCTCCGGCACAGAGTATGCGTCTTGTTGTGTCCTGTTCGCAAGCTTCCCGTCAGAATACCAAATTTCTCAAAACCGCTTGACAAACTCCTCAAGAGGAGGTTGTGTGTGGATTAGAATTTCCTCACTCTTTCCGAACGAGCTCGTTCCCTTCGTCATTTTGGCGGATTATCAGACAAGACGTTCTGCGAGAAAACAATCAGTGGTCGGATCGTCGTGAGTCGGGAGGAGGGGTTCAGTTCGTACGGGGAGACTTGTTTGTTGAGTTGAAGGGAGATGTGGTGGAACAGTCGGGCTCGAAAATTGATGAGCCGAATCGAGATGCAAAGGAGCGGGCGCATTTTTCGTGGGCGCCAAGATTTATGCCAAGACACCCACCAAGTCAGGCTCAGCCTTGCGGGAATGCCTCAGCCTCGCGTGCATGAGCTGCACACACTGTTCTGCCTCCACATTATTTTCTTTTATTTTCTTTCGACTCTGCCATGCAATTGTTACGGATGGGATGCAGCTACCAAAATGAAATGCTTAGACCTGTATGACAATGTGTAGTTGTGAAGCGTGCCGACACTAGTCCACTTTTGGTGCCATACCACAAGAAAGGCTTCTGAACCGTCACTACAGGGTCACAAGAGCTAAGCCTCATGACGAAAGACCAAAGCAAGATAGGGAGAGAAAACATCTCATTGACCTTCGCTGCTGAACGATGGATCTACTCCGACTACTCACTCTGAGAAAGGTGGCCGTTATGCTTGGCCAAGGAAAAAAACCTGTTTAGCTACACGCCCTGCTATGACCACGATTGATTTCAGGGAGCCTGTGCACCATCAAACATGTCTCACATATGCGTTTCGAAACAGTCCAAAGATATAGCCAAGCGGAAAAAGGCCAGTGCACATTGCTTCAACGGAAGGGAGTGTGTGGCATATCGATTATTGTACAAACTCTCCTTTTCCTGAATACCATTGATTACAAGGCCTACGACGCTCCATCCGTGTCCAGTAACCCGGAATTGGTGCTGCATGAAATCGCCCGATCAGTGCCGGCACCGTACTTACACGGCTGGTCGATTCCGTCTCAAAGGCGACCGCTTTAACCTCCAAGAAGGAGTCTGCTTCCACGAAGGACTTCCTGCCCGCAACGGCGGTCCCGTCATTGCCGGCGTCCCTGAGGTTGCCGTTCCCGTCCCAAAACTGGTGGCAAGGCAGGAACAAGCACTGCTGACCCTCTTAACATCCGCTGAGCAGCCACCCAAGAATGTGGGCAGAGGCGCGGTGTTGGATGATGTCTTGGTGTAACCAGAACAGAAGCCACGTATGGTGGATGAATAACGTGGATCAATCACATTGCGAAGGCAGTTATCCTGATTGCAAATCATCTTAGCCAAGGATGATGGTGGTGTCGTGACTGGATTTACGATGTTTGACTTAGAGCTTGTTCGAGAAGAAGTAAACTGGTTGCCAGTTGATGTCGCTGAGCTGGTAGTTCCTGTCACTGATGCAACTGGAGTCTCGGTGCTCGTGGTTTCTGACCCGCTAGACGTTGTACCACTAGTGTAAGCGGGTGTTCCAGAAGTTGGAGTGGATGTACTCGTGCTTGACAGGGCACTGGAAGGCGAGGCCGACCCTCCAGCCGTGGTAGAATCGGAGGATGACACCAAGTCAACAGCGCTTGAGCTGGATGTGCTAGGCGACTCGGTGGAAGCAGTGGCCGATGTTGCAGCAGTAGCAGAAGTTGTGCAAGATAGACTTGTGGAAATAGAAGCCGTTGTTACTGTCGTCGAGCTTGCCATAGTAGATTGGGGGCTGCTTGTCTGGTTTACGTCCTGTCCCGCGCATGACTGACCAGAGCCACAGACAGTGTCAGATGTAGTGCTTGAGGTGGAGTCCGAAGCAGTTGACGACATGAACGATGTCGATTGGCTTCCATTTATCGAATCAGAGGGAATATCAGAGGGAGAGCTAGAGGGAGGCGATGATGTTGATGAGACGGGAGCCTTAGTCGCAGGCACATTCAGAGTCTGCCCAACCTGCAAGCTATCCCAATCAAGTCCAGGGTTGGCAGCCTCCAAATCATCCCAGGAGCAGCCCAGCGAATTCGCAATAGCCCAACCATAGTCGCCGGCAACCACTGTGTAGGAGCTTACTGCTTGAGAAGGAGCTGACGATGTTGTGGTGCTGCTCCTTGCGCCAGATGTTATCGAAATAGTAGAAGAGAAGCTTGCGCTGGTAGTCAATGTGATTGTGGTTGAAGCTGAGGTGGAGGTCACATTGACAGCGGAGGTTGACCCGGAGGAGATCTGAGTCGAAGCCGTTGTGCTTGCTGCTGAACTTGTCGAGGACAGCGTACTTGAAGAGCTTGGCTGTGTAATTGATGAAGTTATGGTGCCCGAGGAAGTTGAAATTGGAAGTGTGGAAGACATCATGGATGATATTGATGTTGAAGATGTGTACACAGATGAATCACTCATCGAGCTGCTCGAGTTCGAGGTGACGGAAGCAGTCGGAGAAAAGGACATCGTGGAAGTGATTGAGGAAGTAGAACTCGTAGTTGAAGCCATTGACGTCGTAGTTGAAGTTTGACATGTACCACCCGGTACATTGAGCACTTGGCCCACCATCAACTGATCCCAGTTGACTCCCGGATTTGCTGCCTTGAGGGTATCGACATTGACTGTCAAATTCTTTGCAATCTTAGAGCCGTCATCACCAGCAGCGACAGTATAAGTACATGGGAGTGCAAGTGTCTGGTTGGTGCATTGCACAGACTGCCAAGTGCCATCGAACGGGCTAGGATATTGCCAACTTGAACAAGTATTGCTCGTCGTAATCTTGACGGACTTCACGTAGGCTGAGAATGGCGCGGCGCTGAAATTGGTGTATCCTCCACCCCAGTGCACAGTACCAGCAGCAGTACTTGGGTCACCCGAGCACCACAGGCCAAGGTGCAGCCGGGATGGTGTCTGGGGGTATTGGTATGACCCAGTCGTGGCACCAGTGTTTTTCAACGTCCTAACGGCAACGCCGTCAATCGACCAAACCAATTTCTCCGGTGTCCAATCCAAGGTGTATGTTTGGAATTTGTGTTCAGGATCGTCCACGGCAGGTTGCGAGCCGCGGTCAGAATATCCAACCTGACCTTTGCCAAAATAATTGGTCTGCACGGCACCACTGGACCCGGCAAAGTTGTTTCCCGACCACTCCCAGTCTATCTCGTCCAAGTCATCCGACATCATGACGGCACTTGTGATGATACCAGCACCAGGGGCGGCCTGGACAATTACCTCGATGCGGCCGAAGAGAACATAGAAGCGGGTCCAGATATACGGGGCATCGTATCGTTTTGCGAAGGTAAAGTTAGCACCGTTAGGAGAACCGTAGCCAACTGTAGCATAGTCGGCGAGAATCCAGTCAGTAGGTGTCGTGGTTTGCTGTGTGAAATCAACAAAATACTCGCTATTTGGCAACCCAGGAATCGCAGGGCACGGGCCTACACATTTTGTAGTTAGATGGCAAGTTGAAGCAAAGCATCAGTTGGGCGCTAGGTTTACTGACCGTTCAGAGGATTGCAGGCTGGAGAGGAATCTGCGTTCACCAGCCTCAGAAAGGCGATGAATGCTGTCAGAGCAAGCGAGAAAAGAGCTGAAGAAGTCATCTTTGCGGATTGGAAGATGGCTACAAAAGTTGCGAGGAAAGTTTGTAAGGATTGAAGGATGGAGGAGCTGATATATCTTTTCCTGATCAGAAGTAAAGTGGCAGATTTACTAGCCCTTGAGGGTGTGGCAGACAATGGAGCCCTCCTCACCTTTCACTTACCGACAAGTCATTGGAGTACTACGAGAACAAAGGTGAACGAGACAATGAAGGGGTCCGCTTGCGCTTCACGTCACATAGCGAATTATATTTTTGGCACCAAGGCTGTGACATTTGTCGATAGCGTGGATGCTCATTGTTATGCAGGAGTTTTATGTGACAATAGGTCACGGTAGCGAAACAAGTTATGCCTAGAGGGCGAATCGTGATGGTATAGGTCCGTGCACCGTGTGGAGGTAGGTGAGAGAAATTGAAAAAAGCGTCAAAGAAGCGTCAAAGAAGATAGAGCATCATCAGGTGGACCCTCTTCCCTCCCGGCAGATCTTCGGGACGACTATTATCCGCTCCGCCTCGCCGAATCCGTATTCGCCATTTCATGACTAAAGATTTCCCCGAAACTCTCTCGCAACAATCCCCTTCACTGCTCCTCCAGACACAATACGTGTAGCTCTTATAGCCACTAACATTGGGTCATATAACTTCGTGGCACGAATTCAACTGAATGCTAAAAGATACAAGAATCAGACTGTCTGCCATCAAACGAACCTCGGTCGCCAGAAATGCCATCGCTCTCACCAGACGACCTGCCAAGGTAACGACATCAAGGAACAATACAAGTTCCCGTTGCAATGGCATCGACCATAAACCCTGTAGCTGGAGCCACACCAATACAAGGGCCCGGGGAGCAAGATATCTGCGTCCTGAACCCTACACTGGTTGCTGTACTGGTCGATTGTGAGCATGGGGTTGGGGTTGCTGCACAGACCTCAATGATTTGGACCATGTATTCGGTAAAGGGTACAACCGTTGTCAGTGTTGTCTGACCTGCGTCGAATGTGATGACTCTTGATGAACTGCTAGTGGACACTGGCCCTGTAGTTGTGGCAGGTCTGGAGCCTCCATCACTGATATCTATAGAAGTTGCGCTTGTAGTTTGAAGACTGCTCGAGGAAATTCCTGGGCCTTCTGCAGAGGACAGTGTAGAGGAAGAAATTGTCGTGCTAGGCTGACACGAAGCAGTTCCAGCAGTACATGATGCGACAAAGATCGTACTAGTAGAAGTGGTCGTGGTGGTCAAAATCGCATATGATGTGCTCGCAGGTTGAGAATTCGTTGTCAATATCAGTGTGCTTGTCGTGGTGATTCCAGTCGAACTTGCTGTGGTCGAGGAAGGTAACGGGTCTGCGGTTGGCTGCCCGGTGGGCGCTCCAGAGAATGATGGGTCTGGTTCTGGCTGATGTTTTGTCAGAATTGAAAGTGAAGCTCGATCAAAGGTCTTCAAACCACAGTAATGCACCTTCGCAAAAACTTACTGTGGCAAAAATCTCTCCATCTGGACCAAGTATCAACAGGGCTGAGTTCACGAAACCTGGATTCCCCAATCAGCCTGAGCTCAAACGGCACCTCTACTGCCCTTGCAAAGTGGTTTTGCCAACAACATCACCGCTCTGCTGGATGGTGTGTGTCACATCTCCCTCGTGACTAGCAGGAAGCTGAGTATGCATACCTCCTTCTTCAGACGCGATTCCAACCGATATAACGTCGCTGAACTGGGTGCAGACAGTATCCGCAGTGGCAAAAGCACCATTGAAGGTGACTGCTAAGCAAGCCCCCGGGGTATTCTGGCGATTGTAATTGACACACTCTTGGATGCAGGAGCCCAAGTCAGTCGTGTCCGTAGTTTGAGCGAGGATAACGCCATCGTAGGTATTGGAGCACTGCAACTGCCAAGTATAGTTTCGGGCAGTGACATAGAAATATCCGTCATACAAGGTGCAGTCTGGATCGGTCGTGAGTGGAGGAGATGACTGTCGCGATACTAGCTGTTGATCTGTTAACGATGGCCAACTGACATGTGTAGTGTCTTCGAACCTTTGAAGCGTCGCGGCGCGAATAATCGCGTCTTCCAGGAGCGTGTAGTAGTCTTCCCAGTCCATGCGGCGCCAGATCATCATGTCTGCTTGCAGCAGGCGCTGCGACTAAGAAGGTGAAAAGTATTGTGGACAGCATTTTTTGTAGCTTCATTGGAGGTCGTGGGCAGAGAGCAGGAGTCAGACATCCTTCGACGAGATAAACGAGGGTAGTAGTGGTGTGGTGGGTGCACGGTCTTTGAAAGCATTCGATGTTAGCTCTGGAATGTGGTTCGACAACATTTTCCTACCTGTCATGCTGCCGCTGCTGTTTCACCTGGTAGAGCATTCGTCACAACCCTCATTCTTTGACATGATAACCTGAGTCAAAAGCCCCGAGGAGACGGGTTGGGTGAGGTTGATGATATGTCCTGTCTGCTAAGGCTGGCCCCTTCAGCAAGACACTTCCCACTCTTTGCAGGTAACTTGTTCGCAGTCCATTGGCCTTAAGGACAAGAGCAGCGCCATACATCACTTATACAGTCACTCCAAAAGAGTCATAAATGCCTAAATTCCTTCTCAGGACGGGTGACAGCGCGCTGCGATCTGTAGAGATAGAAAGACTGTCAAGAATTATAGCTTTGCTGAGTCCAGGTCATGGTGACAGGCGATTGTTGAGGCTGACGAGGGCGATGCAGGCCTTTTTTCTCCCTCCTGCTTAGGACTTCCCGGGACACGTGAACCATGTTTGTGAGTAGAAATGTCCAATCATGTCACTCCCGCCTCCCCAAGTCCCCCGTATAACAGCGGTAACCCACGGCTCTCACCTCCGTAAGAATGGGCCACCGCTCTCAATTCCCAGGTATCATTACGCACAGGCATCTCGAAAGCCGAGAAATGTCCCGAAAAACCCTGCTTTTGTGCAAAGCTGAGTTGATGCTTATTTGCAGAACTCTCTAGTGTGTCCACAGGGCCACCAAGTGGTAGTGGAAGTGGAAGTCGTCAGGAAAGGGAATGATTGTAAGAATCATACCCAGCCCTCAGACAGCATCGACTAGAGCTGCTTCCACTTCTCGAGCTAGTGACGGTGTACCGAGTTTGAAGAACCGTCGCCGGGAGTTCGGTTGTCCCAATATCTTCCGATTGCCTTCCTCGCGGTCTCGTTTTGAAATTCGCTGCGTGCTCGAAAGTGATTGAACACTGGGAATTCCAGTTGATCCATGATATAGGTATCCGGCTGTGCTTGAATGCGAGTCCAGAGCTGATAGAGGTAGTTCTCTAAAATCTGGAGAACCTGTGGATCCATGTCGCCGGTTTGACTGGTCTGAGCAATCTGAAGTGCTTGTCGAACCGTCATTTGAGGTGTCCGAGACATCGTCGGTGGCGCAACACTGTCGAAGGGATAATTGCTTCTGAGACAAAGAAACTTATACAGGCGTTCTCCGTCAGGCTCTTGACGTCAAAGGCGGTATCGGTCTCAAGAAGCATGTCAAGGTTTAAGTCAAACGCCCGGGTTTTTAAGCCGGGTCAAAGCCTCACGGAGGCGCTGCCCTGCTTCTTTGGAAGGTTGGACACGAGCGAGGACTCAGAAAGGATGGTCGTACAGAGAGGAATATACTCGTTCGGTTGACAGACAGCAAGAACACGCCCCACAAGTGCACTGTGACCATGCCCTGTTCAAGGGGCACGGTCTGATAGGCTAGAGAGGCACAGATGAAGTGAACTGTCGAGTCGAGTCCGATTATGCAACGTGAAGGACTACCACTCGACCACGAACGAGAGGGGTGAGCACCATGACCTGATGTTGCCCAAAGCGATCTTCAGCAGAATGCGTCTGTGCCACCATCAGGACGCACACCGGGGTATGTAGTAGCGATTTATTTACTCGGTACCTGGGGTGAAGTCGGGTTTCCCAGAAGACGGAGCCCAAGAGATTGAAAATGGCCTTTATCTTGTCAGGGCAATTCATCATGGCGCCGCGATAGGCGGTCAAGACCCATTACTCCTCGATGTGGATTTGCGTCGGGATTGAGTTTTCGGATTTTAGACTTTCGCGAACAGAAAGACTGGGGCAAGGATGGAGCAGGGCCACCAGGACGCCGTGTGATGTGACGGAGTAGAAGAACTCGTGGTGACCAGAGCTGACCAAAAAGCATGCCTCTTTATCCCCCAGGGTCGGCTCCTTTTCCCCCCAGAGAGCCAACGGCTTTTCGAGATTTGGTAGCGAAGGGCCGGAAAAGCTAGTATCGACTCTCGGATCATGCAGCAATCCCTCGAAACACATGTGATGGTGACCCAGCTGGATGAGCACTTCCAGTCCAGCTCCATGTTTCGCCGACCGGGTGAATTCCGAACCACCATTGGAACTCTATCGAGGCCCTCGAGTTTGGCTCTCGCAAGCCATCAAAACTTACCTGGTCATAAACTTTGGGATTCGGGGTGTGGAACGACGGAGAGTGGGAATGCGAACAGGTGTACACGTGTGTCGGGGATGCTGAATTGTGCCCTCCTGGGCTTTGTGCCCTGGTTGGGTCCAAGCACGCAGAACCCTTTTTCAAATCTGGGATAGCGACTCGGATGGATGCTCTACGATCGGGCGATTATCCTCGAACGAGCCCGAGGTAAGGTCATAGGTGCGAGGCTTGGAGGGGTGTTGCCAAATGGTTCAGCCACCGATTCCACCACCAGCCCAAACTCGCCCAAAAGTTATCACAACAAAGCTAATGCGCGCAGCCTGTTTGGGAGGGGCAAACCGAAGATCGATCATGCCTCGACAATCTGTTTCCCTGCGTGTGATAACACTGTCGACCCCGAGATCGTGGCTGGCAGGTCAGCCTGGGTTTCAGCCGTGTTTTGTCCCTGTAAAGACGACAAACCTGCCACGGGGGTTTTGACACTCATCCAGATTCATCCGCCCCAGCTGTACCAAGAAGGTCCAAATGTCGAGATCAGATGGAAAATCATGATTGACATGGCATTGCATGGGACGATGGCAGGGGCGGGCCGACCAGGATGCACATGGACGAAAGATTCGACAGACAGTGAGGCATCACATTCGGGATGTACTCGTCTGCAAGCATTCAGCAGGTTCAAACGTGGTAGCGAATGACACTCGACACCATGTTTACCACCCCACACGCTACGCAGGGCATGCAGGGCTCCCTGTGACCTTTGCTCGGCATACGCGAGGATGCTGCACCGCCGATCCCCATTTCCCAGGCAGCCAGGGTGTTTGTCAAGTGCTGGTGGATGCGGCACAGAAGATGACTGGGCGGTCCGCCCGGACCACCCAATGGCGGTACTCGGACGGTAAGAGACTTATCTGCCGCTCACAGGCTAGGATGATTTGTCCCTTCTGGGGCCGTGGGCTAGGTAAACCATTGCGAGAAGGTATTTGTCTGTCGAGGTTCAAATGGCCGACCTGATTGATTGTGTTTTTTTCTGTTGCTTTTCTTTTCTGCTGCCTCCCAGAATACTAGGCTTCAAAGAATATAGCGAATCAAACTTCTGTGCCTTCCCCTTCGGCTTGTGATGAACATGGTGTTGCTCCAGCTGATAATGTATATACCGAGTATGCTGATTTCTATTCCGAGCTCGGATGTTTACTGCGGAATTGGAAAACCGAGGACCCTTGAGATCATCCGTCTCCCGAGCATATGAATTCCCGAAGGTTTTGGTATATGTCATGCGACTCATATTCAGTTGAACTCTGTCTGAGCGCAGATGCTGGCAAAGCTCTTCGAACCAATGGTGTGGTTTACAGAGCCAACCCAATGCTTACCGAATCTGCAGTCAATACGAGGGAGAGTGGTCAACGACGTATTTCTGCTACGTCCAATGGATGATGGCGGCAGGCAATGAGCAAGTTGCTTGACGTGGCCAGCCGATTGGATGAATTTGCACCAGTGGGTGCTGAAATAGACAACTTCCTCGACCAGCAATCCTAGTGACGCTTCCGCGGTGTGCTTTCTTTTTAGGAGATACGGAGGACATGGACGCAGCTTGGGCGCAGGAGGTAGCAGGAGAGGTGCAGACGGGCTACCGCGGATGCCGGGTGTTCTGTAACTATTCGCAGAACCGTTGACACAGCCACGATGCACTCTGTTTATACGAGCTGCGACGTCAGTGACCAAAGTGCAAGGACATGCAGTCAGGCATTGCCTACCGACGAAGGATCAGACGCATGGCTCCCTCCTATTCGCGCTTTTCAACAGTGGACACTGAGGGGAGTTAGGATGCCGTGGGGCTTCCGCCGACTTTGGCTGTCTGCTGTGTGCCTAAGGGGAAAGCCGGGCATCGGTCGGTCTCCTCCAGAGTTACTCAAATACGGACTAACGACTCATTGGGCTCGAGGTTCGGTGACTGTCAATAAACCTCGTAAAGGGCTTTGGTAAGAGCTGAAGATGGTTTCCAGCCGGCACAGCCAGACGAGGGGGCTTGGTGGGTGTTACCGTAACTAGTCAATGGAAGGGGGTAGAGGGAGGAAGGTATTCATCGGCCTTCCCAAGAACTAAGTTAGCTTGCCAGGCAGCTGCCAGGCTATCAAGGGTGACTAACAGGAAGACAGTTGTCCTGGGCCTGTCCCATCTGCAACCACAATGCCACTTCCCTCGTTCGGCGGCCACTCTCACATCCACCATGATTTTCACCATTGGACCACAACCTCCTGCCTCATTTGACTTATGCGGCTCTACCTGCGCCTGTCTATGCGGGGGCTCTTATTTTCTCTTGCGCTATTCAACCTAAATTTCTTCTAATTCGAGCTACAGAACGACTGATGATCCAGACAACAATCCTCGATTCGCCGGCACCGCTGGCCCGCCCTCCCTGACGTCGAGCTGCGTGCATTGTCTTCCTCCTGCACCTGCTGTCGCAACCTCGGAACGTCACTCCACCTCCGTCAACCCAGCCCGATCGGGTGCGTTTGACCTCGATACTTCAGCGACTCCTCTCCTTTGCAGCCCCCTCCTCCGCAGTTACCTGCTGTTTGGAAAGCGAGACATGGGTTTGATTGAGGATGATGGGTTTGTCCAAGTCGTGATGTAAAGTGGAACCATCATGGATCCAGCATCAAGCAAAAAGACGCCAGTCTATCTGAAAAGACTCTGGAATGGGATCAAAAAGAAATACGACATTCTTATGGTTCTTTGAAGAGCCAATGGCTGCAGTACAGAACATGGAAAGACGGACCAACTTCTGCCCAACACGTCCCGCCAACTCCAAAACCCACTCAGCGGGCGCTGCATCCCTCGATTTTTGGAATCCGAACCATGGCTGCATAAGTTCTGGGAGATTGGCTACTGTTGTTACTCCCAACACCTGACGCTGGGCCTTTCAAAGGCTCAACGCCAAAGCTGCATCTTGCCCGTCGGGAAATTGAACGAACCACAGCTTTCTTCTGATGGTCCAGGTCAGAGAAACTCGGAGAGAAAGTTCGTGATCGGGACGAAGCATCATGAAGTAACCTTGCACAAGAGCCTTTGCAACCTTGTCTAGTCTCGAGTCATGGCTATTTCTATGTTTTCCACATAACTTAATGGTCCATTTAGACAATACCATCCGACAACTCTACACGTTGCGGGCCGATACTCCGCAATTTCTGTTCAAGAGCTTACTCATATACGTAAGTTGCAGTGGTGGGGAGCCGAAGTTTGCTTGCCGTTTTGCCGGTTCTTTGCGATTGCTTTTCATCAAGTGCCAGGATCGACGCTTGCCGCTTACTCCCTGATTATGAATATGCACCTCTACTAATGCGGGAATGAACGAAGTGTACCGAGTACTCTGTGATCTGAGCTTTGTGAGCTGTTTGGTAGTAGCAGCAAGGCTGACTAGTCTGTTGCGCTTCTTCGAACAAGACTTCTCCTGAGTCTGACGTCTGAGTAGGATAGGTTGACCAGAGAGTTTCTTCTTGGATTTTCGAAGTCCTCACCTGGTGTTTGGAGTCACAAATGGCAGAGACTAGAGGGAAACCTGTCTATTACAACCTAAGATATCTCAGGCTGGATGGGCCAAAGTGTGGGAAAACTGCAGCCGGCTCACCCTGCTTCCGGCCTAGGGTGATGCCGCCCTGTGATCACGTGCCTCAGCCTCCAGGGGACCGAAACGCCCTGGCACCTGGCCACGGGAGGACCAATTCTCGACGCCGACTCACCCTAGTGGGGAAGGGCTAAGATTACGGCAATGCCTCAACCTCAATCGGGACCGAATACATGATCATGGAACACGCTGATGGTATCCAGCTACACCAAATATGGCCTAACATGACCGGAGAACAGAAGATTCGCTGTATCTACGCTATCGTTCAAAAGATCAAGGAAATTGCGAACATGGAATTTCCAGCATACGGTAGTTTATATCACGCCACTGCTCGTCTCAGCTCTGCTTCAAAGGTTCCACTGAATCAAGATTTCTGCATTGGCCCTCATTGTGGGGCAATGTATTGGAATTACAACCCCGCGGAGCCTAGATACTACCACAATACGAAGCCGAATCAGGGACCATGTGAGTGTGTTTCTCTCGACTGTATATCAATTCCTGACGAGCCTAAGGGTAGGACCTCCTCGCATACTGCGACGGTTTGATTGACGCTGGCATTGCTAGGATCCCTCCTAATTCTGACCACCAGCACCGAACTCGATATCAGGGATCGCCATCTGATCACCTTCGTCTCCTTGACTCAGGCCGGTCTGTGATCAAGAAGATGTCTGAGGATTCACGAATCTTGAACGCGGCTGTACCGACTCTCCTCCACCCTGACTTACACAAGAGAAATATCTTCGTCTCGAAAGATGACCCCACCGTGGTTACTGGAATCATCGACTGGCAATCGGCTAGCGTCGAGCCAGCATTCTGGTACGCAGACCACATCCCGGACTTTGCGATGAGCACCTCGGATCCCTCCGGCCAAAGCGACTCTAATAGTGAGCTATGTGCAAAAGTATTTGACGCTTGCGTCCAATTTCTCGTCCCCAAGTGGGCAGGTCCCCGCTTACTAGATGAGTCCCTATTCCGGCCATTTAGATATTGTTATCGAACCTGGAAGGATGGTGCTGTGGCTTTTCTTCACGAACTCATTGAGACGTCTCAGCACTGGGCAAGCCTTGGTCTTCCAGGCTCATGCCCATTTACAAAACCTACTCCTGAAGAATTTATGATTCATCAACAATACAAAAGATTTGTGGCCGCGCAGGAATTGAAACGCGATCTGTCAAGCTTGCTCGACATTGCCTCCGATGGATGGGTCCCGTCTGGAGCCTGGGAAACAACATTATTGGCACAGAAGGAGATGTTTGCAAACATGCTAGAAGCTGTATTGACTAACGCAGATCCTGATGACGATGAACCCATAAGAGATGAAAGTGATCTAAGGGAAATATGGCCCTTTGATCCTCGAGTATATTTAGGAACCCGCAGTAGACACGCGTTTGGATGACAAGTCTTACCCAAAATACTACGTGTTGGGACGATCAACCTTGTGCGCTTGACGGTGGGATTGCCTCCGGTCGATTTTTGCGGCAACTGGAAAGGGCATATATGGGCGTCAATACCAAAGGATTGGCCAGATGGGCGACAAATGGGTGGCATGGGCCTGTGGAAATGCTCTCTTCATCGTAAGAGCTGGATGATCGGTCAGTTTTGAGTACATGGTCAAAATAATTCATAGTCCTCGTGCGCCCGAGCAAAGTCAACCCCTTCAAGTCAATCCCTCCACCCATCTTCCCAACCAGGCCAAACAAGGGTGAATAAGAATGGCCTCATATCTTCCTGGTCTGCCGCTTGACCACAGCCCTTCTCTGCACGTCCTGGTGGCCATTTCTTTTCCTGAACAGCTCCTCGCATCGTCGCGGTAGTTCTTCGTCAACAAGGTTCTCCATCGCGATCAACGATGGCTTCCATTGTGACAAGGCACTGGACGGAATCATCTTCTCCACGATAGACCTCCTGGATGCCTGCCACCTTGCCAACCACTTTACCTAAGTCAGGGCCAATGAAGTGAGTCTACCTTTTCCAGTACAGATTTAACGACGTCTGAGACGTCTTGGCCTCGAACTTCTCCCATGCGTCTCTGACCTCTCTTGCCTTCCACGTCTCCTTTGTTGCACGGCGAGGCCGTTTGCGACGAGCGCCATCATCGGAAAGAACAACGGATGGGATAGGTGATTGGGGTCATCAGTAGCCTCATGGACGACCCTAAGGGCGGCGAGGGCGAACGTCCCGTAAAAGCACTAGCACTTCCTGTGATCCCGCGTGTCAGCACCAGGGCGAGACTCAACGGCGCCGATATAGGAACTCACCCGAGTAGCGGTCGCTGGCCAACATGGAAATACATTGGGACCGGACGTCCTTGGTCCGTGTCTCTTGTCCATCGCTCTCACGTCTCGGTTGGAAGGGGGACCCATTCTCAATCTGTCCCTTTGGCAATCAGTGGCGGCCAGCATCACCTCGTATCGCCTCTACACCGTCGTCCGCAGCTAATCGAGGCTTGCCCCGACCGACAGGAGATTGCAAAGAGCCTGCTGTACCGTCACGGTTTGGGCAGTCACGCAGAGTCGCAACCACCGCCTTTGGCTTCCGCCTGGCCATGCTGAAGGTCTGCTGAAATTCGGCAAAGACATCGTAGATTTAGCCAACAGATGCTGGTGCATCTGGACCTGTGCCACTGCACTCGTTGGTGTCATTGTCTCTGGCGAGAGTACGGGTGTGGAGAGCGTCGTCCTTGTGTGATTCACTGCTTCATCCTTTCTCTTCGCCTGCCGGGTTGTGGGTGTTGTACTTCGCCAGGCTGTCTGGACGCGACAACTACAACCCCGGCGGTTGGTGTCAGCAATTCTCAGGGATCGCTCACGCCGACCCACTCGGATCACGACAGATCGACGAGCCTCACGAAAGCGTCGGAGCTAATAAATCTTCACGATTGATCCAGAGAGCCCGACCCTGATGCTGGCCATGTGTATCCAGGAGGGGGAAAGGTGTACGAGGTACTCGGTTCACAATACAAATTGATCTGGCTCCGGATCAGGCAAGCGGAGGCAAGTGGTTTTGCCGAAACCTCCGCTTCGCTTGGGAGTCGCACTTTTCCCTTCACATTTGTCCAGCGAGGATTTGGTTGTCTCACTGGACTGTTTGGGGTCTCGGTCAGCACCTTGCTTGAGAGGTCGCACTGTGGATTGTCCACCTGTACAAGGTTCTGCCTCACAAGGCCCTCCAGGCTACTTGTTGTGGTTCTGTTTTTGTCAAGTCTCCAGATGCAGAGAGCTATGAATGTCCTGACGATAGCTATTCTCATCAAGTTTGTCATTAATAAGGTCTTGTAGAAAAATGTAGAAGCGTGCCTAGGGTATTCCCACGAGCTATGCCAGTCTAGACCCAGGAGGACATCATGAATGCCCAGCATCAAATACTACCAGCATTTGCGTGACTCACAAATATATCAGTCTAGTAGAGCCGTTTCGTTGGTTTATGTTGTCGAGCGTCCTCATACCGGGATATGAGCCCACTTAGAGGTGACGGCGTTTGTTGTCGCAAGGACGCAGCTCCGAATTGAGTTCAGGGGGAAGTATTTATTAGGTGATTAAGGGTTGAAGCCAATAGGGTGTAAAATGATGACAATGATAACGACGTAAGGGGGGTAAATGCTGCGCAGTTCGGACTAAGATACGGAGAACCAGATAGTCGAGTACGCACTTTGCACTCGAACAAATCCCGATGGTGCTATGTGATTCGAGACTACAGAATCAAATTAATCCCCTTAATGTGCCACCGTCTTGGGCACTTTCTTATAGGAGGCTTTGGAAAGTCTTCGCCCTGCTGAGACTCGCTGTCGACTGCCCATTTCCTGCCGACTTTGCGCCACACGTTGTCCCGTCGAAGGAGCCGAGATGGTGTACTATTTCAAGTCGTCGGCAGTCGATCCGCCGGCCTTTATTTACGTGGGGAAAGACAAGGTTGAAAGTGTGCATTACCCAAACGACGAAGCATCACAGATATCTGACCGTGAGTACAGATGAGGATCTTATCAAATTTGGCTGGGATGAGGATGTTTGGTGAGACTTCTGCTTTGTCTGGTTGGGATGGAGGAAGACTTACTCTACCAAGGGTATCACTGTGCACACGACTGGGCCCGGAACACACTTCGCTGATGTGGCTAGTTTCACGTTGACAACCTGTCGAGTGCTCACGTCTATCTGAGACTAAAACCCGGTGAATCGTGGACCTCGATTCCATCAGCACTGCTCGAAGACTGTGCACAATTGACTAAAGCCAATTCTATTGAAGGTAAAGCGAAGAGATATTGACGGAAACAACACTAGTCGATTGACCGTCTACTCCAGGCAATAAGAAAGACAACATTACGGTCATCTACACGCCCTGGTCGAATCTGCGAAAGGATGCGTCTATGGCTACAGGTCAAGTATCGTTCCACGACCCGAAGATGGTCAAGAAGGTTCACGTGCCGGCAAGGCAAAACCCCATCGTCAACAGACTAAACAAGACTCGCGAAGAGCGGTTCCCGGACCTGAGAGCGGAGCGAGAAGCAGACCAAAGGGAGAGACGGAAGGTCGAGAGGATAGCGCGGGAGCAACAAAAGGCCAAAGATCGGGAGGAGAAACAGCGACGGGAAGAGTTGAGATGGCAGAAGGATCATGCGTATGATGACATTATGAAGGAGGAGAACATGGTGAGCAACCAGGACAGAGATGCGTCCTTTTTCGACGACGACTTTATGTAGAGCTGGTGGCAGGTTGGTGGCAGGTTGCCACGTGGAGAAGGAGGCTGAGCATGAAACAACCGACGATCTGAAGCGACAAGACTTTCTGGGTTCCCCGGATCACTTCATTTCCACCAAAACTTAAGGGACCTACAAAAGTAACCCATGTTGACCTGGACCTCCTTTTCTCGCCAGTTGTGTATTATCCTCTCTTTGTGCATGTTGAAACTGTCTTTATCGGCGCGTCATCGGGTACATCTCTCTTTGTACAACACACATACAGGGGCTGCGCCCACTCCAAACCTGGTTGCCTGACCTCATCCACACTCACCTCCCACCATCCTCACTAACTCTCTGCGCACCCTCGAGGGACTAACTTTGCGAGCATCATCTAACCACTGTCCTCTCGCCCTCATTACTCGAGAGTTGGACTCGTTCCTCCATGGCTTCTACTGAAGCGCCTCCTAGGCCTCATGGTAGGCATCGGCCCACCGTTCCTCCTACCACTCTAACTTGACCCCAACTAGACCGACATGGCCGCCGACGACCGTTCACCACGTGGATGCGCCGACTTGCGAACCTCAAGACTCTTCATACCGACTCGAACACCGACAATGGCGCGAGTCCACGGCGCTACGCAACACTTCCCATGACCATTAAGTCCAAGAAGAGCAATATTGCGAAAAACAATCCCTATCCTCTTTCCTCCCGCATCGGCGAACCTCACAGTCACAGTAATACCACCAATGGCCATCTATCGTTCTCTACGCACATCACCTCCTCCCAGCGGTCTCGACACAGTTCCCTGTCCCAGTCCCACTCTAAACACTCGGTGTCCATCTCCCACGACAGCCAAGTTGGCGGTAATAAATCAAGAGCACCCACTTTGGCCACACAAGCAGAGACCGCTCTTTCAGATGCGGCTCCTTCGGGAGTGGGAACAAGCGCGACAGTCGCTACAAAGACCGATGGCGGCAGAGACAGTACATTTTCCTCACCGGCGCCGTCCGTCCGGTCTATGGCTACAACCCTGACCACGGTCCAGTCGATTGCTGCTCCGTCGCACAACACTAACAACTACAATAACCCCGGTGGGACACATATGCTCACTCATGCTTCGACTGCAACAAGCAATCCCGTTTATTTTGGTGGACAGCCGGCTACCGCTGTACCAGCGCACCTTGCTCCACATTCGCATCCGACAACCTACCATTCCGCCATAGCCAACAATGTACTTACAGATGATGCCTCGATCCTCACCCTGGCGTCTTCGTCCAAGCGCCGCCGACGGAACTCAGTCGACACCAACGCGTCTATCAAAGCACTCGCTCCGGCGTCCATGTTCGGGGGAAGTCGCGAATCGCTTCCATTATCGGTGCTGTCCGGTACAGTTATCCACCCTGGTGCTGCGGCAGACACGGTATCGCTCCGTGGCGATGCATCACATAACACACGCTCAAACCTGAACGCCGAACGATCCAGTCTGATCTCGGCAAGTGGAGTGACCGCACCCGCCTTGGCAAGTGAGCGGAATAGTTATATTGGAAGCAAATACGGAGGCGACACTGCGAGTGTGAGAAGTAATCTCTTGGGGGCAAGTGCGGGCCATGGGCGAACCGACAGTCTGAGTGGAAGCATAGGCGGTCCTAGAGAGAAGGAACGCGAGAAGGAAAAGGACAAAGACAGGGATCGGGGCATGGAAAAGGTCGGAGAATCGGAGAATGAGAACGGGAACCTAGCTGGGATGTTCACCGCACCAACCAGTCCACTTGTTGACGGGCCGGGCGATGGCACAGGTGAAACCATGTTTACAACAGCCTCCACACTGGAGGGAGTGAGTGCAGCCCTGGAAAAGGACAAAGCCTAGCAGACGTCTCCTGGTGAGGAGTGAGAGGGAGCGACAGACCGAGGCCTGATGAGTTACGGTAGATGAATCGTCTTGCAAACGAGAACGAGAGACCGAAGGGTGGTTACAATGAGAGATGGAAGGGTTGTTACGGCAGGCGGCAAATCGAGTGCATGAGGGGAGTCAATGACGGGTGCTTTACGGGATGATATCAATACAGGAAACAACATGATTACCCATGCGTTGTTGTGGAGTCTAGGGCATGGGCTGGGCTGTGATGATGCGAAGGCAGATAGAAACATGATACCCCCCCTTGTTTGCTAATGTCTTTTGTTGTATTCGAGAGAACTGTCGAGAGTCAAGACTCAAGACACGAGACAGAAGACAATTTTCTACTTGTCTGCGGAGTATGTCATCATCAAGTACGAAGTACCGCGTAGTAAAGTCCGTTCCATTATTCAGTACATAGGTAGCAGGGAATGAATAATTAACCGACGGCATACCGTTTTTGGACGTTGCCTGCTCGCTTTTTCGCCCCTGATATTATGCCTCCCTGCCTGCCTGGTCCATTAAATTCAGCCCAGCTTCGGATTCAGCTTCGTCAGGGGCAAAGTGACCAGTTCTGGGTCGAGGATACCAGGTGTGACGGATTAAATTGATAAGATACACACGGACACGGACACATACACATACAGAGAGATAACGGGAAGAGAAATGTCAAAATGTTCATGATGTGCTTTGATTTTCATTCTATACACAGAGGGCCAGACCTGGACCTAGACCCAGACCCAGACTTACGTACTCCTATACCATATACTGGAACCTCACGCGCGTACACAGGTACTTGTACACGGGCACGCAGGCACAGGTTCGGTCCAGTTATGGTACAGTACAGAGAAGAGCTGGTTTAAAACCGGGCCTGGACTTTGCTGGGCACGTCCTGGACGGCCCAGTCGGAAAATTGCTTCTGGCTGACTGTCCGGCGGACCTGTTCGGTCGTGAAGCCCTTGGCCTCGGTGGCCGGGTTGTATCCCAGGCCGGTGAGGCGGGCGACTTCTTGGTCTGAGACGGGAGTGGTTTGCTTGCCGTCGGCGCGCTTGTAGACGGTCACGACGACGGCGCCGCCCAGACCCAGGTTGTGCTGCAGGCAGTATTTGGTGTCCTTGACCAAGCGGTTGTTGGCCCAGCCACGCAGGTGCCACACCAACTCGGCGCATTGGGCGAGGCCGGTGGCTCCTATAGTTCAGGATTGTTAGCCACCTTTACAAGATCAAATGATGGAAGAGGGATAGAAGAACGTACCGAGAGGGTGACCCTTGGAAATGAGACCTCCCGAGGGGTTAATGACATATTTGCCACCATATGTGATGTCGCCGCTCCTCACCAGCTCATGTGCCTTGCCCTTGGGGGAGAGGCCTAGAGCATCAATCACGCACATCTCGTTGGCGCTGAAGCAGTCGTGGACCTCGACAACTTGGACGTCGTTGGGGGTAATGCCCGCCTGCTCGAGCGCACGTTTACCGGCGATCACTGACATTTGATAGCCGACGAGGTCAATGCTGGAGCGGCTGAAGAGGTCTGGCGAGTCGGTGGCCATCGCCTGGCCAGCGATCAGGACGGCCTGAGACTTGAGGTGAGGTCGCTTATCGAGGAAGTCCTGCGAGACAACAACCGCCGCGGCGGCACCGTCCGAGGTCGGGCAGCATTGGAGTTTTGTAAGGGGCTCGAAGATCATGGGAGACTTTAGGATTTGTTCCAGGGTGTATTCATCCTTGAACTGGGAGTATGGGTTCCTCTTGCTGTGCTCGTGGTTGATGCGGGCGATCTCGGCAAAGTCCTCTGCCTTTGCGCCGTACTTCTCCATATACTCTCGGCCGGCGTTGCCAAAGAGTTGAGCAGCGCCTGGGGCATTGGTAACTCCACGCGTAGCTTTCATCATCTCATTGCTGGTGCCGGTAGGGTTCGCGCGGTCTTGGAAGTACGTTTGTAGACTGCCGGGGGACATTTTTTCGAAACCGACAACCAGGACGCAGTCGGCTGCGCCGTAGGCAATCGCTTGTCTGGCCATATTCAAACCCGTCGAGCCCGTTGAGCAGTTATTATTAACATTGTATATGGGGATCGAGGTCATGCCAAATTGGTAGAAGACGCGCTGGCCGCAGGTGGAATCGCCATAGCAGTAGCATGCAACACCTTGGTCGACCTCGTCGTAGTTGATCTGAGCATCCAGCATGGCTTTGATGCCGGCCTCGAATCCAAGCTCATGGTAGTCTACCTTGCCGCGCGGCTTGATGAACTTGGTCATGCCGACGCCTAGCACGTAGGCGGGAGCTGGTTGGCGAGGCATTGTGTCTGGTGGCGTGTGAGGAGGTGGAGTTGGTACTCGAGGGGAACGATCGCAAAGGTTAGGTGAACAATTTGCGTGTGAACAACACAACTGGATAACTCGGGGGAAACCAGAGGCAGGGAGGGGAAGGAGATAATGAGTGAAGATATAGACTCGATGTTTTGTGATCAAAGAAAGATTCTTCTGGTAAGCTGATACTTTATTATAGCCTCGTTTCGTCTTCGGCATTTTTTGATACAGAGACCTCGGCACTGAGGTCTTGGACCGACAGGACGCCGCAGACGCCGCATTTGGGGTGTGGATGAGCGGGGTGCCAAGGGTCCTGCAGCGAGTAGGACTAGCCCACTCGGTAGAGGCCTGTGGCACCCCCAATTGCCCCCCTATTATTATTCGGACCGACCTACATACTTATCAGGTACACTTGACTCAGTACGCCAGTACGCAGACACAGGCACCGCCGACGAGGGGCGCAGAGGGAATACCTGGCACATGATTTCCCTCACTGACTCGCAACATACATCTTCCTACTAGATGTAGGTATGTAATTCCTATCAATTCCTGTCGAGCTGTGTACCTCGTACTTGTACTCCCTCTCCCGCCAATGGATCCTTGGCTCACCGTCTCTTTGTCCCTGCATCTCCTTCCCCTGTTTCCCCCGCTCTATCCATTCCACTCTTTCTTGCTCGCACAAATCCACGGTATCCGTTCCGCTCGCATGCCCATTGTCCAACAAAACCTATCCTGACACAGAGCAATGCATGGTGTGATTGGAAATGGTCAATCGACATGCGAATCATGACGGGCCGAATGATGAACCAAGCATCAACCCAAGCCCCAGGGATGCTCATCGAGTCCAATTAGGCGAGGTCTGAAGTGCATTCGACGTCACGGATTGGCTTTGGTGCTGGCGGATTGGTCGACAGACTCTTAGGAACCCCCACCTGATGCTTTGTTCCAATAGCAACCCACGGCTGGATGCATCTCATTCCTTACCCCCAAAAATGCCCACACTCGCAAGCCCACCTCTCAGTGTGCAAGCCAGACTCATTGCACATGGCATTTTCATTCTTGCTCGGCCCTTGATGCTCTAGAACTGCTTTGTTCTCCTCTCCCTCTCTTGTGCAAACATTTGGACCTCTCGACGCTTGTTCTTTATCACGAGAACAGCAATCCGCCTCGTGTGAACCAGCAGCTGTTCGATCCTGGACAGTGAGGTCAAGACATTTGTCTGCCCCTCTAAGATCGCCGTCTGCACCATCGTCAGCTTCCCACAGTCTCCCCCCTGACCGCAGAGAGGTCACTTCCTGCTATACCTGTTCAATCGACAAAGGAGTTGCCTCCTGTCGGCTGTCACAGCACGCCATTTCACTGCTGAACGCTTCGGTGCCGTTTCCAGGAAGTGGTTTTGTGCTCTGACAGAAGCCGTCCTCCGTCGGTTTGGTTGCGAGGGAGAAAGAGTTCGAACAACGCCAGGCCTGTGATGGAGTGTGGAACGCAGAGAGATCTTCTCAGTCACAGCGATTGAGAGATCTATCTTGCGTTCCATCGGGTCCCGCAGCCCATTGTGCGTCTCTGCGAGCAAAGAGTTGGACACTGGTGGAAATATAAGATTGTGCTCGCCGTGCCCGACGACAGAAAAGGTCGCACGTACGCACGCACGTCGAATTTTCTGCCCGTACTGTGGTCCGTAAACGACCATCATCGCCGGGGCGATGAATCATGCCAGCAAACCCACCGACGATTCCTCGCCCCTCACCCACGATCCAACTTCCAAATTTCCATCCAAGTCATCGCAACCACCGATAGCCATGGCTGCCCCATCCAAGCTGGATACGGGCTGGAGCTCGACTGATACTCGAATCTACTACACCAAAAAGTACAGACAGGTTCTCTCGTCCGCTCCCGCATGTGCCTTGGCCGTAGTTGCAGGGGTGAGTGGCTTGAAATTGACCTCATGGAATTCGCCATCTGACACGTCTCCAGGCTCCTCTTGAGAATGTCAAAGTCCGCATGCAATCGTAAGCGAATGAATGGAAGTCGGATTATGCCCATGCTAACAGCGAGCAGACGTCATTTCGCTCATGCCTTGGAAGCTACCAAATACACCTACCGTACTGAAGGCATTCGTGGATTTTGGGCCGGTGAGAGCGAATCCCACCGGCGAGAGGTCACAGAAACTGACAGCTTCAGGTACATTCAACCCGCTAGTCTCCATTACCTTTTCCCGAGCGCTTGGTTTCTCCATCTACCGAAAGGCAAAGTACACATTTGATGGCTGGATCGAAGCAGCTACAGGTCGATCACCTCTTCAACATGTCAATAAGCCTGGCACTTATCCTGATATCTACACCATGACGTGCTTTACTGGAGCAGGAATGGTCTCGGGTGCTGTCACAGCTGTCGCTTTGAGTAGGGCTTCCTTCAGAGAGGTTTGAGACTAGACAAATTCTAATGATTTCTCAGCTCCGGTCGAACTCATCAAGAACGCGACGCAAACATCAGTCCTCATGGCCTCGCAGGTTGATCATACCTCGGCAGCACCAACCCCAGCCGGTCCCAAGAACGTCGGCCGTGTCAGCTCCTGGATGTCTATGAAGAGAATCATCGCGCGGCAGGGTCCTCTGGGCCTCTGGACTGGGTTCCGATTGCATTTGGTCCGAGATGTCATTGGCAGCGGCATCTACTTTGGGGTCTACGAGACAACGAAACAATCGCTCAACTCGTACTACGGGGCTGAGAAGGCTAACTCTGCGGGTGCGATTGCGATGGCGGGGGCTCTTTGCGGCGTCGGTGCTTGGGTGGTGGTATGCTCTCCCCAGCAGTCTGTTCCTTTTTTTTCTGACGTGCTGTCTTGCAGACCTACCCGCTGGACACGATGAAGACCCGTGCTCAAAACAACCTCGTGGGCTCCTCTCTCCCTACTTCCACTACCAATCAAAGTCTCGGTGCGGCCATCGGGTCCACCGCCAAATCCGCGGTTCATCGGTTGCCCAGCAAATGGAAGGGCGTGGAGATGATCATCTTGCGTTCGTCGCTTCAGAACATGATTCAAATGTCCTTTTTCGAGCAGGCGAAGGTGTGGATTGACAAGCTGGAGTTCTCCGACGGTAGCCGAACTCTGCCCGAGGTAGAGAGACAATTTGGAAGAGACAGCAAGATTGTCCACAAGAATGATAAATTGTGATGGGTGGGCGCTTGGACAGCACATTGACAGGATAGTGAGTCTCATTGCGGCCTGTTTTTTGGCCAGAAAACAACAGAATGCACGTTTGATGAGGTTGGGTCGTTCCCTGTGTCCAGTGTCTTTGTCCCTTTTGTCTTTACCGTCGACCAGCTGCCCAGCCATTCGACTCAATCTGCAGTCCGCTGTTCCTATCTCCTGTCCCGTTCTCGGTGGTCGTCGTTTACTAGATAGTCAGACGAGACCTCCGTGGCTCTTGTCACATCACATGTCGCCTTGTACGAAGGATCGGCGAGCGACTGAGGATACTGACAAAGGCCCATCACATCTTCGTTGCTTGTTGGGCACTCAAGACGGCATACCGACTTTGCCGTTGTGTTTGATTTATCAGGTTCACCGACACGACACTGACGTGTTTCTTTGAAGTCTCCACTTCTTACACTTGCCTGTTTGTTTTTCTCTCTATAACGGACCAGCCCGCTCCAAGGCGGACACCGCAACAGCAGCAGCAACAGCAGTCGCACCAGGATCCCTATGCAGTGACTTGAGGGAGGAGTGAGTGAGCTGACCGGACGGAGATATCATGGAGCCATGGAGGCAGGCCTCGAGACAGCGATGACATTGGCATGTCATGTCGATACTCTAGCAGGAAATAACCCATGTCAGCTTTCTGTTCATTATTGTGGAGTCTTTGTCCTGGCAGCCCTGGTGACCCTGGCCCGTCTTGCCGGCGTTGTCTTGTCTTGTCCTGTCATGAAGTGACATGGTGGGCTTGGTCGTCACAATAAGCACCAAGCAGGACCAAGTATCCCTGGAACTGGGATTGGGACTGGACCCAGCCGGACTCGGAAGTAAGGATGTACCTACATACGCACCGAGTACCGTACTCGGTACCATAGGGACTTGGTATGTCCTTTACGATTTGCTGTCCTGTCTCCTGTCTCGGAGATCGGGCTCGGTTTGGGGACAAGGTAGTTCCGAGCCCTGCTATCTATCTCCCTATCTATCCATCCATCTACCTATGTAAGTATGTGGGTAGATATGTCATCGGGGGTGGTGGTGTGGGCACGGATACCCTCGATAGCACGGGTACCTACATGTACCTACCCTGCTTGGGAAAACGAGCATACAAACGACAACGACAGCGTGAAGCGGCATGTATCATATCACCGACGGACTATACTGGCTGGTACTATACTGGATGTACCCTCTCTGCCTCCCCTTGACTCCTCGTCTGTTTGTGGGGGGGGGGACCGGAGGATGGAATTCCCCCGGATTTCCAATCATCCAGGTTAGTGCGCGGTGCATTAATCCCAATTTATCCAGCTGATGAATAATGATTGGTACTTTGTAGTGGGTTTTTGCAGTGTTTCAATGGGATTTTTTTCTATGCAGAAAATCACGAGACATAATCTACGGTAGACGCGCAAGGTTGATGGAGGGGATCTGTGCCTGTAGTAGGTGAACTTGTACCTGTGCATGTGCCTGTGCCTGGCACCCAAGTTGTCTGAAACCCATGTAATGTATGTAGATAGATACCCAGATAGGCAAGTACTATGTACAACGTGATAGGTATGGAGTAATAATGATAATGACAATAATAATAATGAAAAGCGGCTCTCAACCGAAGTAGGAATCACTCCCGAATGCAATTAGAAACCCAAGCACGGCCTGAGGACTCTCGATTAGGAATTGGATAGTGGACGAAAAGAGTAATTTCAAACAAAACGACCAAGGTAAAAAAACAAAGGACCAAAGACTGGATTGGATTGGAGTGGATGGGTTCCACGACGGGCTGAAAAAGAGGGTCAAGGTCGATTGAGGACGGAGAGGGGAGACGGAAGATTTTTTTCGTCCGCTCTGGTGCGCGGAAGACTCCGGTGGAAGTCGAGTCGATTCGAGCCGGAATCATGGCGTGATATTGTTGCGATGTACTGGGGTGGGCATGGGAAAGGCACGACTTGTTGTTCCTGGGCTGTGCTATAGTATGCAGAAGAAGCTTGTTCAACAAAGAGAGAGACAGAGACAGATAGTCCAGGGAGCTGACAATTACAATTACTGGACACTAAAGTGACATTTGTTTTCGGTCCGTGGAGGATTCTCGAAGGCGAGTGGGGAACACTGGAGGAGAATAACAAGGACAAAGACAAGTACAAGTACAATACGAGGTACTTACTACTCGATACATATATCTACTGTTTCTCTACCTGTCTCTACATCTGTCGCATTCTCTCCCATCAGCCACCAAGTCGCAAAGAGAACTCTATCCTGAGCCGCAAAGGACAGACAGTCCAGAAGACACAGAGAAACCCAAAAACCTTTGTCTTTGTCGAAGCGCATCATCTACCAACAACATGGGCGACAGGTACCCCTCGGCCATCAAGGATGCGTCCCCTCTGGGCCAACCCCTCAAGTTCGAGTTCAGCGGCCGCACAGCCCGCAACCGCTTCCTCAAGGCTGCCATGACTGAGCGTCTTTCGTCGTGGGATCCCGTTCATCTGGAGAAACGAGGTGTTCCGTCCAAAGAACTCGCCGAAGTCTATCGAAGATGGGGAGAAGGGGATTTTGGCGTGATTCTGACGGGCAATATCATGGTCGACTATAAGAGTTTGGAAGCCCGTACGTCTCTCCCGACAATATCCCTCTGATGCCGTTTGGAGGAACATCCGAGACTAACACATCTGAATTCAAGCTGGCAACCCTATCATCCCACCAGATGCCCCCTTTGAGGGAGCCCGTTTCGAAGGGTTCAAGGCGATCGCGACTCAAGCCAAAGAAGCGCACGGAAACTTGATCCTGGGCCAAGTCAGCCACCCAGGCCGTCAAGTCGAAGAGAGACTCGAGTCCAATCCCGTCTCCGCCAGCGATGTTCAGCTGGTCAGAAGCCTCACGGGGATGAAATTCGCCAAACCCCACGCAGCCTCGCTCGAAGAGATCAAGGACATCGTGAACCGCTTCACCCATGCCGCCGAGTATCTAGCCAAAGCTGGGTACGACGGTATTGAGCTTCGTGAGTACCCCGGACCCTGACCTTTGCTGATACTTCCGACAGATTTGAGGTGTGCTAATCGCGTCTCGTCTAGATGGAGCTCATGGCTATCTCCTAGCCCAATTTCTCAGTCGGACAACCAACAAGAGGACCGACCAATACGGCGGATCTCTGCAAAACCGTGCTCGCATCATCCTCGAAATCGCCCAATCCATTCGCCAGAAGCTGCCTGGATCGTCAGGCTTTGTGCTTGGAATCAAGGTCAACTCGGTCGAGTTCCAGGAGGATGGATTCACCCCCGAGGAAGCCAAAGAACTCTGCGTTCTGCTGGAGCAGGCCCAGTTCGATTTCGTGGAGCTCTCGGGTGGCACGTATCAGTCCCTCGCGTTTGTCCATAAGAGGGAGTCGACCCGGAAGAGAGAGGCATTTTTCATCGAATTTGCTGAAATGATCGCTCCCGCGCTGAAGAAAACAAAGTCGTACATCACCGGCGGATTCAAGACCGTCGAGGGTATGGTCAACGCGTTGAAGAGTGTCGATGGTGTCGGGCTAGGTCGACCCGTGTGCCAGGAGTTTTATTTGCCCAAGGACATGTTGGCGGGCAAGGTCTCAGGTGCTCTCCATCAGCAGATCGATCCAGATGAATTCATGCTCGGAAACGTCATTGCCGGCACCCAGATACGGCAAGTCAGTAAAGGCGAAGAGCCGATCGATATGTCGGTGCAGGAGAACGTCGAGGCCTTTTTGAAAGAAATGGGGCCATGGATGCAGAAGATAGGCTCCGGGGATCTCACCAACTATGGATTCATCGACTTTGAGAACATCCAAGCAAAGCCGTTTGGCACTTCTGCAGCGGCGGCATAGTCGAGATAAGCAGGTGGCGAGGAGCAGTGGCGGTTCCTCCTTGAGATGTGATGTGTCGATAGATCAGCTAGACCGTTGGGCCTTGGGTGTTGCTAAGGCGGAAAGGCGAGACCGGCTAACAGATGGATTGTTTTGTGTATCAGGTCTTTCGTTTCTCGTTGTCTCGCTCTTTGCTTTCTCTGTTTCGTTTTCAATAACAAGGAGACTCCCAGCCACCGCGATCCCGATACACGTCACCGCCATGAGGGTCACACCGCCCGTGTTGGGCCTGAACTTCCCCTCTTGTATATGGCGCAGGGTGGAAAAGTAGCGTATAGTTCCGTGCCCGACGCAGAGGCTCCCGCTCGCGACAAGGACTCCTGCAGCGATCTTGGTCCTCGAGTCGGACAGGTGAAGTAGTGTCGGCGACAGAGCTGCGAGGGCTTCCACTTTCTCGAGAGCAACTCCCAAAGCGATGAAACCGAGGCCAGTTCGGGCCCATGCGAGGAAGGTTCTCTCGGAGGCAAGGAGATCGCGAGCCACAGAACCTGTGTTGGCAATAGGGTCCACCCTGAAATACCGTGTCAGTCGCGACAGCATCTCTGATCAGAAATCCCAGACTTTTGTGATACGCATCTCAATCAACCCGACTTGCAAACGAGTACCGAGTACCTCGTACTGTACAACTCCGGCTTACAGCGCATGCTTATCGGAGATGAGGCTGTGGAATTTGTGGAAAGGAAAGTGCGCCGAATGCGCCAGCGAACTTCAGTGACACCCCACCACTGCACACGGACTCCCTTTTCTATCCCACAAGGTAAGTAGAGTATTTGACATTGCAGGTGACATTGCTCCCCGCTGAGATATCTTTTAGAACTAGTATCGAACCATGTCACTTTTAACAAGCCTCGACGACGACGATGACTACGTTGCCAAACTCCTCGTCGAGGATGCCCGGAAGAGTTCGCTGCGATATGCTTCCCAGGGCATGTCTGCCTTGCTACCCAAAAGACCTGCGGGTTCCGCGCCGAAACCGAACACTCGCTTTCTGAAAACACTGGTCCGTGAAGCCGACAGCCACAATGCGAAATTGAAAGAGAAGGAGGAACTAGAGGCAAGGATCCGTTTACAGAACATTAGAGATGCGGAGCGAGACGCTAGAAAAGATAGGCGACGGGAGCGGGATGATGGGGAACATTATGAATGGGACCGGAAGAGACGGCGAACGAGTGATGCTCGTGAGGACGACAGGGAAGACCCCAGAGACAAACGAGACGGCGCTCGAGTGTCTGGACACAGCAGGAACCCTGAGCGGGAAAGGGAACGAGACGAAAAGAAAAGGCGGCGGCGCAAACAACAGCATGAAAATGGCGACTCCGACGAGTTCCATGAGTATAAACGGTCTCGACATAATGACTCTCCACGGCGAAGAAGATCTCGTTCACGATCCAGGTCCAGAAGCAGGGAAAGGAGACCAGGGGAGACACGCAAACGGCACAGACAACCAGACAGTGAACGCAGACCTCGTCAGCATTCTCCGCCCAGCGGCATGGAGCTATCAGGATCAAAGGATATACACCGTCGTGCTCGTGCCTCCTCGTCATCTTCAACCTCTTCTGACCCTCTCGCTCCGCTCATTGGTCCACACCCAATATCGACCGATGACCAGCGTCCCCGGCGCCGTGGCCGAGGATTCAATCACCGCAACCACACGTCTCACCAGTCCCGCTCCAACATCGACGCTCACTTCTCCCCGACATACGACCCCTCCACACACGACGCGGCCCTCGACTCGGACGAACTAAACCCAGAAGACCAAGCAGGCGGCCCCGACGACGAATGGACGTCGGCGCTCTCCGCGCTTCGAGACCGGAGAGCCTGGCGCGCGAAGCAGGCTGAGCGCATGAAAGACGCCGGGTTCACCGCCGAGGAGATTACACGGTGGGAGAAGTCGGCCTCTACGTCTCGTGGCCTCCTGGCCAACGACGACGACGGTGACGTCCGCGATGTCAAGTGGCGTAAGCGAGGCGAGGAGCGTGAATGGGACATTGGCAAGGAGAGAAGTCCCGAGACAGATCCTGATCCCGATCCCGAGCCGGATCCGGTTATCAATAGCAGACCCGCGCGCAATCACAGACGGGGCGACGTGCAGAATGGTGAGGGGAAGAAGACACGACCAGATGTCGATGCCGCGTGGCGTAGACCCGAGAGTGCCCTCCTGAAGCAGTTCAAGAGTGCTCTCCGTTGAGGGCGTTTCTTCTGACTTCCTTTCTATCCTTTTCACCACATACACACACTCTCTCTCCTGAACCACCACCACTTTATCAACTCCTGCTTAACACAAAGATCACCAGGAATTGGTGTCTTTTTCCGGTCGTTCCTGTTTGAGACGAGAGAGACGAGAGAGACGAGGGGTCCTTTTTTCTATCTCATCTGTCAAGACTCATATTCATCCTGGAACCGAACAACTCGATCATCGTACACTGTCTATACCCGTGCCATAGGTATCTATGGCATTGTCGGCTTCAGATCGTCCAAGCTCGGTCCCAAACTCAGCGTCGCCGCTGGCCTCCCCTTTTCCACTGGGGACCTTTTTCATACCCCGTTTTCTTCATGCCTGTCACAACCCTTTGTTCTCCTCCCATGAGTTACATCATAACAAGCGACCATGCGCATTCCCTCCTTCATGCTCAGAATCGTCCATCCCGTTCGTGAATCAAGTTCAAATCTGTGGCACCCAAAATAGCCCCCCCACAAGCAGAAAAGAGCTCGAAACTCCTCGGACCTCCCAAACACCCGTAACCTCCCATAAGACCTGCGTTTTGACAGACAGAACCTCCCAATCAACTCACAAGATCCAGACAAATGCCACTCGCAGCGCTGTAAATCAAAACCTCTCCCAACTCGTGACTGCTTTCATCCTCTGCCTCCACTTCCCTGACTATCCGGTCTGAACATCTCGCCCTCGATGCTCTTCTCGCTTCGGTTTCTCTTCCAGAATGCGAGCCCCAGTTTTAGTCTGCTCCTTCTCCTGCCCATAGTCTTGGTACTGGCTTTCCTGTCTTTGGCGCTTGCATCTTCCACGTCTCCATTACTCAAGATGGTCGTATGAATGTCATATTTGCTGCTCTCTCTACTGGTTGCGCTGTTACTGCCCATGCTAAAACTGGGTCTCAGTACCGGACTTCCTGAGTGCATCGGTGCACTTACTGCCCGGTTGCGTATAGCTTGGAGACTGTTTCGAAGCCTCGTCAGTTCTTCGCTTTTGTCTGAAGTGTAGCTCGTAGCTTCAGTGCTTCCGCTAGGGGTCAAAATATGCCCCTCGCCACCGCCACCACCTCTTAGGATGCCGCTCGTGGTGTTGTCGCTTTGAGGCGACCTGGCGGTCGGTGACGTATTGATCGATTCAATCTTAGGCTGCTTCGATTCGACGTCGCTTGCTGGGGCGCTGGCACGAAGGCCCGGATGTGAAGGATTGTATTGACGTTGGGGATCGTAGGTTCGTACTGGCTCGTCCTTTTTCGAGGTCGCAAAATTGAATTTCTGCATATCTTCCGCTTCTGAAGCGTTATTCCCCTCCAAAGCTTCCTGGGGGATAGCCTCTGTTCCTGCGCGCATTGATACCGCATTATCCCTTCTTGGATCGTTGAAGGGTTGTATAGGTTCTGTGGTGTCATTTGATAATGACGCTAGCCGCGGAGTATTGCTGGAAGTGGTGCCATTCCTCTCTTCTCTGTGAGTGGTGTCCAGCGTAAGTTGCGCCGGGATATGTTCACCGTTGACCAGGGGTGAGCTGGCCCATTCCTGATCAGCCGCATTCAAATTCTGTTTAGATTTCGAGGCAGATCGTTCACGAGTGGTTGAGACGGCTATCCCTGCAGCATCTGCTAATGATAACCGATGAGTGCTGTCTTGTGGAGTAGTGTTACTACCCTGCCGGCCACGTCCAGATTCCGAGCGCGGCTTCTCCGGCGAATGATTACGGTCTCGGAGTGGAGACGCCGGCAGATGTTTCTCCTTTCCATGGTCCTGCAGTCGGCCGACAGGACTTTGAGTCCTGGGACTTATTGAACCTCCATCACCAGGCCCAGTTCCCCTCATGACAAGCTGGAGTTTCTTTTCATGCTCGGCTCTTGTAAACCAAACTCCTTTGTTGGTCAGGATCTCGTCGGCAGCGAACCGCATGGCAGGAATTATGTCAGCGACGTTGGCGAAAAGCGGATGTGCAAAGATGGTCATGAAGCCGATCTGGCCATTAGCAAGCTTCAGCATATTTCCCAATTCAGGAGGGCCGCCAAAGAGTGTCGTCTCCATTCCAACGGCTTGCTCCATCTCTCCTTGATGCGCAAACTCCTTCTGAAGTAGATGGGTCCATTTCTCGGCCACCAACCATGGTCGAGCCTGGCACCGTCAGTAGGAGGAATGGATCAGACATGAGATGATGTGAACATACCACATTGCTGATGTCAGCGCATTTAATCAACAGCCCACAAGCCAAAGTCCGCGCCCAGTCGATGTCCTTTGGAGACCATCCATCAGTCGCTCCGCTTTCGTGGATTTTCTCCTGCAAATTGCCCAGTTGTTGCATGTAGTCGGAATGGATCCCCATATCTGTGGCGAGGATGGTGCTGATCATCAGTCTCCGAAGAGCCTTGTCCTGGAATGCAGTGTTCCAATGTCGCCGGAGAATTTGAGAGTAAGCCGCACAGTGAAAGGCCTCGAGAACCGATTGATCGTTGTACAATTGCGCAAGAGGCGCATTCAACTTGACCAGAAACATGTTGTTGACGCCAGGATGGCCAACATCGTGACCAATGGCTGAGACCAAAAGGGTGAGTGCCTCAAAGGGCCCTAAAAGTCGTGCTATTGGTGACTTCTTGTCTGCAAAAGGTGATGGTTCGGCACCCGCAGGATAAGGTGGTAGAGTGCCTATTTGGAGGAGGAAGTAGAAAACTGATTGCAAGACATCGACGGCGTGCCTGAAGTTGTGATAAAGGACAAACGAATTGTATGCTACACGGCACCCTTGCATAAAGTGAAGTAGGTCGCCTGTTTCATGGGTAAGCGAGGTGCAACGACATCAGTCGACGACGGAACTCACGTTGATTCATGCTCCACTGCTCACACTCCTCCATCTGAAGACAATGATTCAGCATAAAATAGCCAGCGTAGACGAGTTCATCCTCTGTAAAGTCATGGCCAGAAAAGTCCCACCGGCCGACAGCTTGGGCGACGGCCTCTTTCCGGGACTCCTGCACATACAGGTCACGATGCTGGTAATCTTCGATGATATTCTGCGGCTCGCAAATCCCCTTGAGTAACTTTTTCACCATGGCTTCGCGAAGATAAGCATAGGGTTTCTCTTCTTCCATACCGACCCATGATTGCTTGCGATTCCTCCGAGCCATGGCCATGAAACCTGCTTGCTCCTTTTTTGCATTCTTGTATATCCGGTAGGCGTGGACTGTCAGACCCATGATCCCGGCTTTATCCAATGGACTCTTCACAACATCGAGCGCCCCAGCATCCAGGCACTGTAACATTAACTGCGCGTCGATGATATCCGACTTGTCTTCGATCGCAACGGGCTTGGACTCAGGGCCAAATGGTGCCCGAGAGACCTCGGGTTGAGGCTCTGTTTCCAGAGCCTGATCGTGGGAATCATTCCGTTTGGGTTGAACAATCGCCACCGGTATTATCAGCTTGACACCCTCGTCAACTTGGAGATCGGATGCTATGCGGGACAGCAGTTGAAGGCCGTATGACTCGTCGGACTCGGAGGAGAAGGTGATTTCCTTCCTGAGCAAGCTTGGGGATGGTAACGGAGAATCGGAGGAGGGAAAGAATCTGGGTCTCGCTTTGGTGTGCTCATGCTTCGACTCGGAGCCGACGTCAAAGCAGGCAAGTATCGGAGTACAATCGAGCTTGACCTGGTCGTGAAGTTCGGAGAGTTTTGTGGAAAATGCCCTACCAGAACTGCATACGTACACTTGATATCTCGGCGTCAGTCCCGGTCGGAGCTCAAAACAGGCAGCTCTACTTACCTTGGTTGAATACAGTCAAAAAAGCATTGACGTTGGTCTGCAAGTCGAGGGGCAGGTCCGAGAATTCCACCTGCGAATCTGCTCTTGCGGGCGTGCTAGGAGACAGCCCCTCTCGAGAAATCCATCTTTCGGTGTTGAATCTTTCGTCAATGTATATGACTCGACAGGCGGAAGGGTCCATGGCGTCAGCGATGGTTTGAATGGCAAGGAGAAGAGACCGTCGCTTCAAGAGGGTTTACGGGCCCATAATGCGATCAAACGGCCGTCGGGACGATTTGTGAGACCTCGATTGTGCCGTTTCCTCCTCCGGTGACGTTATGAGACTCCAGACAAATTTACAATAAATCTGACAGACAACTCGGGGACGATGTACGCTTATTGTAGGCCCATTGCGCGCGAGAAGACGGGTGGTCCTCGAATGAGCGGGAAAGTAAAAGTACTCTTCTCACCTGCGGTCAGGCGGAAAGAGACAAACTTTGGCTCAGGAGCTCGACGAGGTTACCAGGGCCGATATGAGACGAGTCATACACGCTCAGGCTGCGCTGATTCGATGCCGTCGAGAATCGGGGAGTGTGGATGGGAGGATGGTAAGGCAAGCTGCGAGTGGGTGGCAGGTCGCAGCTGTCAAGTTTTTCGAGTCTTCGGGTAGTCGCAGACGCCGCCGGGGAAAGTGACTGAAGCTGCAGACAGGCGAAACACAGACAGCTCTCCGATGAGATGGTGAAAGTTGACCTGGCGGAGATCCGATCGAAGAATTGAGGAACAGAGGACTAGGAGCAGTGAGGGTTTGTGCAGGCAAATGGGAGAGGGAGGGATTCGAGCTTGGTTCTGGTCGCAGGAGGTCAGGGCAAGTAGTAGCAGCAGTGGATAAGTGTAGTAGTAGTGGTAGACACTTGCGAGTTGGCTTCGCTGGGGGCGACAGAGAGCGAAATCGAAAGGCCGAGCCCTCACAGGCTTAGGGCGAACCCTCCCCAAGGATTAGTTGGCCTGGTGGCACAAAGCACAAGACGCAATTGGGTCTGACAATGGGGGTGGATCTGCTATGGAAGGAAAAAGGAAGCGCAAGGGAAGCCGAAGAGAAGCGCGAGCGAAGGTGCAATCGAAGTGCGGAGCAGGCCAATGCGTGCCCACGAGAGCCAATTAGGGCCCGAGGTGGGCATGCCGGGGGGTGCAGTTGAGGGCCAATAGGTTAGCGGGCGATAGACAAAACGGCAGGCCCTTCTAAGTAGAGTTAGGGGTCCTCCAGTGACCAAGTGCGCCAGCCACCAATGCTCGCCCTCCTCCAAGGTCCACTACGACTTGTTTCCCTCCCTTGCCCATCATCCCATCCCATCCATCCTTAGGGGCAAGTGACCTGTGCTCCTCCCGTCTATCGTGGGTGCCTCCGGGACGTCCTAAGGTGCCTACTTGGGTGCCTACACCATAATTGACCATACAAATATGCTGCCATCTATGTCAGCCTACTTACCTGGTATGCACAGAAGGTATCTAGTTTCTTCTCATCATCTCCACCATTGAGCTTACCTTTTCTTAGCTGCCTTGACCGTCTTTCTCGTTCTTCAGCTGGTGTGGCTGGGAACCATTGCGCAGTCATGACCTCCCTGCCCCCCTCATCCCGGCAGCCCTCCTTCGTTGACCCTGTCAGGCTTCCATCAGCCTTCTAGAAACCGCCCATCATTTGTCGTACCACAATTCCCTCTCTCCAGCAAAGCAGAAGAAGGCAGATGATCATTGTTTTACTTTCTTGGCCATCACCACTTCGTCATCCCTCCATCATTTCAACAAGTACACGTCACTGGCGGTTACGAGGCACGAGGAGGGTTAAAAAAAGACTCATCGATGGTGGATACGGATTCACGACAACTCCCCCTCAGGGCTTTCAATTGATGGGCGCAGCTGACTTATGATATCCAGGGAATAGAAGCCTAGCACGCTGCTCCAACTGGAGAAATGCTCCCGGGAAATGTGTCTGTTCACCTCGTCCGGGCCTTGCCTGTGTCGATCATTAACTCGACCTCTGTCGATCAGTACAGGGGCCCATCCCCCTCTAGCCCTGGAGGCCCATCCGCACGTACCCTTGAATTCTGCATGTTGATCCAAACGGGCATCATCTCCTTTCGTAATGGCTTCTTTCAGATTGACATGTTTCTCCACTGGTACCCGGACTCTTTTTGTCATTCACATCGTCCACTAGCAATCGGGCAAATCGGTTTAGTTGTACAAATCCAACCACCATCCCATGCAGCTCCCACCGTAAGGGCCATTGACTGATACCTGGACACGCCGCCCCCCTCCGCTATGCAAAGAACTGCTGATGCTGCTGGAATTGTGACTTAATCGGACTCTGATGTTTCGTCGGCCTCGGGCTCTCAATTCCGGTCCTCAGTGGTCAAGACTAGCCGCCTGTTTGAATCGCTTAGCCAGACTTTCTGACGGGCTGCCAGGGTCGAAAAATTCATCCTCTGCCTGTAAACGCCACGGACGCTTCAAGGGCCGCTCACCATATGTTTCGAGTATCGCCAACAGGGTCCCCCATCCTGGTGATTCCGTCAAATGGATCGCGTCCACCTGGTCACGCGTGGTTGCCACTCGGCATAGAATCTGTTCTTCTTCCTATAATCACGGTCAAATACATGTCTCGTCTCCAAGAGAGTCAACTTACCTTGCTGAATACACCCATACCGTGCAAAAAGCACAAGAGGTGGAAGTCGGAAACTGCGTCTATCGATTGCGACGAGCGCAGTTGTTTAGCCACGTCCGCAGGATCCTGTCCCTCGGCCACAGCTTCCCGATTTTCAACTGGAAACTTGCCGTTCTTGAATAGAGGGTTCGGCTTGATGGGCATTCCCGCTGTCAAGGACACCAACAAGTATTCCACGGGAAAGCTGGGCTTAGCATTCTCTTGCACATTTGCACCATACTCATTGAAACGACGGTAGAAAACTTCAGGTATGTATCGAGTTCTGCCGTTGGGGCCTTGATCATCTTCGGACTGGACCAACATCACCGAGGGATCTGCCGAAGGTTCCACAATGTCTGCGCGAACCATTTCGACAGCGGCATTTGATGCCTGGTAAGCTCGGATCGTGATACTTTCGTCCTCATCTCCGGTGACCACGCATGTCACGAAATTTGACCCGAACCGCCCCGTCTCGCTCCATTTCGAAGGCTTTGGATATTGAGATTGGAGCCGAGCCGCAAAGGCAATCTCCAGAGATGAAAGAAAATACGAGTCGATGTGTCGCTTGCAAACAGCTTGACCCTCTCCTTCTTCAGGGGCCAGTAGATCGGTGAAAATGACTCCCACCCGTTCGAGTCCACAAAGGCGGGCGACGTCATCGACATCCTTTTCATTCGGCCATTCGAGCAGTGTAAGCCCGTCAACTTCGCACATTTGAGGTGGTTCGTAGATGGCTTCAACCACAGCCTTCACACCCAGGGGGACTTCTGTGTATTCTTCGTATCGACCATACAAAAACCCCAGCCGTTGACCGCCTGATTTTCTCCAGAAATCGATCAGTTTGTCCACCATATCTGCCGAGGAAAATTCAACATGGTCCACCATTCGAAACTCTTGTGGCTGTAATGTGATGGCGCTCGGTTGACATTTCGTACATATTCCTTCGGGCCAGGGAGGATGGCCAGACGGGCAGTCCTTCTTCACTCGATAGTAAGGTTCAGAAAGCGGGGGCATGTACGAGCTCTTCAATTCGGGCTTATTCGTGGCGGAGTTGATTTTGCGCAGATAGCTGTGGAAGGATAGATGCTTTATTTTCTTCTCGTCGAGGTATTTCTTGTCGTAGGGTTCTAGAGGCTGGCAATAATCACACATGCCTTTGGGCCCATGTCGACACATCTTAAGGTCTCTGGGTCTTGAAATCTTTCCATCCAGCTTGTCTAACCTGTCGTCCAAGGCTGATTGTTTCACAACTTCCCATGGATTTTTAACAAGTGTTGGAGAGGTAATTGTCGGAGCGGTTACGGGAGCGGCAGGCTCTGGTAATGCGATGGTGCCATTCAAGCGTCGAGGGGCAGATGCGACATCACCGTTGGTGTGACCGTTGGGTATGGTGTCATGTTCAGAAAACCCGATATACAATTTATCTCCATGTTTGAGTCCAACCTGGCGCAGTTCTACCCCGGGGAGGTCGACGAGACGTCGCTCTCGACTTGGGTCCGGTTTCGAGCTGACGGGCTTGTTGCTAAGGACTATTGAAGAGGCGTCGGTATTCGGGGGAAGGTGGTCAAGGATCTGGAAACGCCCATCATATTAGCGAATTCAAGGTTTCCCTCAGGCACACGGGGTTGGAGTTACCTGGGAAGTTAGGGATGAGAAATGTTCGGTAGGCTCGACGTTCAGTCGGAATTGACCCCATTTCGACTCGAATCGTAGCAACATGGTTGAAGGGTGCGGGGTGTCCGCGCGAGGACAGAGGGAGGGCGAGTCAAGTCTAGCGGATGGAGGGCAAAGAGCAGATGATCAAAGCCCCGTGGGAGATAAATGAGGGACAGAGAACAACCCCAGCGTGAGTGAGGACAAGTATGAGGTGAGGTGAAATAAAGGACAACCAAGAAAACAAACGCAAAAGGTTGAAGTAGCCGCGAAGAGTTCGTGTACCTGATGGTAGCGAGGCTCTCGATGGCGAAGTTGATGGTTGGCTCAGTCCTCATGCGATATGTTCACGGACAACCAGTGACAACTTCTCCGAAAGCGCATTGTGGCCAGGCTCCAAATCTTACGTCATGCAGGGCTGTGGCTGTGGTGGCTGTGGTGGCGCAAATACCACTGCTCAAATACTCGCAAGGCTGCATTACATATCTACTTGGTATAATGCCTCCAAAGGAATGATTCCTTCTGTTTCTGTCATCTTCGTTTCTGTTGCCAATTACAATGATCGACACAGACATTTTCTCGCGCTTTGATATGTCAATATTCATCAGAAGGACATGTACAGATTCGTGCTCGTCGAGACAATCCAGAGGATATCGTATGCTAGTAATTCGATCAAACTCCATCATATATGTGCTCCCTGACACACCGGCAACGTTGCTAGTATCAACATGCCCAAGCTCGAAGCATCGTCCACGCCAAATAGAAAAATCCCCACACTCGTTATGCATCCTTGTACAATTCTCCCAGCCGCTTTTCCAGAATCTTTCGGCCTTCGTCTGCTCTCCAAACTTCTTCTGACGGTGCACCTTTCACAATATCCCATGCTACCAACTTGTCTGTCACTTTTGTCAAATCATCTTGCTTTCGTTCCCAATCCTTATCCCTTTTCAGGTGAACCCCAGAAGTGACGACGACAAGAGGAACGCCACGATCTTGGATATTGCGAGCGCTGACAACCTCATTCTTGGTCAACGAGTCCGCAACCAGGTTTTCTTGCAGCTTGTTCTTGATAAACTTGCCACCCTGGTAGGAGGACTTGCCATACACACGATCCTCTTTAGTACGGCCCTTGAACAAAGCCCCAGCCAAGCGATCGAGTCCGAGCGGAGAAATGATTCCACGTCCCCACAGGATGAACCCACGACCAGGTGCGCCGACTTTGTAAAGAAGGTCTTCATGAAGACCATCGATGAACATCATCCCCCTGATGTCACGCGGATGTCTAGCAGAGAAGACTCTGCTGTAGACACTACCGATGCCAGCAGAAACCAAGATCCATGGGCCTTCCTCACCTGCAATGGCCAGCGCTTCAGAAATTGCATCTGCAGACATGCCAGCCGAGTGTGGAGACGGCGCGTTGTCAGACCATGCAATCCCAGGTCGATCCCAGTAGCAGTATCGGTCAATGGTACCATTCGTCCATGCATCGTAGACCCATCCCTCGAAGCTGTCTTCCACAGGCATATATCCTCCCTCAAGTAAGACGGTAGGTTTCGCATTGCCATCTGCGTCAAAGGTCTGGTTGCCAACGCAAGCGAGATGGACGGCGTATTTGTCACCATCCACCAAGTACCGCTTGCCAGGAGGCCCTAGGGTAGCGTCCCTCGAGCGCAATACCAGGACAGCCGTAAGCAAGACAACAATAATCACGTACAGGGCCATAAGGACGGTGGCAGTTAGTACAGCACACCATTCTCGAAGAGAACGACGGGTCTCTTGACGACCTGTAAGACGCACTTCTTCTTCTGCCTTTCCCCACTGGACCGTCCTATTTGTGACAACATTGTAAAGGCCAATTAGGGCTGCCCATATTACCGAAGCGACTCCGATCCAGCCTTCTTCCAGCCTGATGCGAGGTACTGCGAGGATAATGATCATATCGATCAGCAGAATGACAGAGATTGCCATGCTCAAAACGCTCATAGCAGTCGATGGAGTGGCAAAGAAGAGGAGAGCCGTCAGGATGTTGCCAATAGTGAGGGTGGTCCAGGCGACGTCGAAGAAGCCCGAGCCTCTCGAATTGAAACGTGGCGGACTGACAAAGATGGAGATGAAAAGTAAGGTCCACCATAGGCAGGTGATCATCAAGAAGAAAACTTCGAGCCATCGTAGAGCTCTGACCGAGAAGAGGTTGTAAGGTGTTACCTAGGAGGACGATTAGCTTGCTCATGAGTCGCGCCATCTGTGAAGACCTACTGCAGGATCATCAGGACTGAGGAAGCCGGGGCCTCGATCACGGCGAGGCAACAGCCGTGTTCTTTCATTGGCTTCTTCTGAGGGGCGGCTGGATTGAGGATGGGATGTGGTGGCTGCGGCGCTGCCTTCTTCCTCCTCTTGAGATGCGCGGTCATTGTCCTTCTTGCTATTCCCCCACAGAGAAACCATGGTGACCGATCTAGACCAGTCCAAGCTATACGGAGGGTCGGAACTGGCAAGGCTCTAGGTACGGATCACAAGACGTGAATATTTGTTGGATGTGGTTGGGCACGTTTCCATCGAGTCTCTGGGGTGAATGAAGACGGTGAAAGAAAGAGGTATTAGGAGCGAGCGATGAGGAAAAGGACATCAGTGAGAAAAAAATAAAGTAAAAGAGCTGGGCTTGAAGCTTGGAAAGCCAGTGTATGTGGTGGTGTCACCTGCAAAAAGTGATTCTCACGACGTCATGGAAAAGCATCCAAAACCCCATTGCGGGATTCGGTACCTCGTACACAGCACTGGGTCCTAGGGTGGATGGATGATCGGCGGCTTGATCTCTCGCTTCTGGGCCAATTGTTGCCGCAAGTGATTCGTCATATTTGTTTGCTGGACCCCCCGTCCTCTTGATACCAGAGCTACAATGCGAAGAATTAATGTCGACGGGACGACAGCGGGTAGGCTGGAAGGAGACTGAGGTGCATCAGAGCAGCACATGCGTCAAGGGCTGCGCTCTAGGAAACAAATTGACCGGCATGGCCCTGTCTTTATCGTTCCACGCTGCTCTGCTACTGTCTTGAGTTTCTCCCGCAACTGCGCCTGGCCAACAGCACTCATTCCCGCTCATCCTCCACAGCAGATCACAAGACACCGCCACACACCCTCTGCTCACTCGCCATCCCACCGTTTAGTCAGAACCACTCGCATGAGCCACACCTTATTCGTCCTTCCATCGATGTCCTCTCGAACCCTTGAATCCAATTGACAGCCTTGTCTCGATTATCGACATTCCGTTATGAGTGATCTGCAGAAATCTTTTGCACGAGCACGCTTGTCTCATCTCCCTCCGGAGCCCCCGGCCGTTGCAGAGGAGCAAGATGAAGAAGACGATGATTTGACGGCTTTGAGACCAGGGTCTCCGAATGATTCTTCTTCCTCGGCCTCTTCAACATCGTCTACAGGCACTATCGTCCCGTCGCCCAGCCGGAACCTATTCGAGAAGCCCAGAAGGTAACATGAGGGACACAACTCTGTCCAGACTAAGACGGCCGCTCACATACATGATAGTTCCGCCCTGAAATCCCGTACCGCACCTCTTCCATGGGATGATTTCTTTGCCCAAGACCTCGCTTTCGACCAGAAAACACCATCCGAGACAATCCACCACCACGTCTATCTAACCCCTCCCACCGCTTCAGGTCCCCTCATCGTCACGCATCATGGGGCGGGCTCGTCAGGCTTGTCATTTGCTGTCTTCACCATAGAGTTGCTAAAGATCCTTCCCAGTGCTGGTGTTCTCTCACTAGATGCACGAGGACATGGGCAGACGACCACAACGACTTCATCTGGTGGCTCACCACCATCTCAAGACCTCAGCCTGACCACCTTAGCGGAGGATGTGGCCTTCGTCGTCAATGCTGTCAAAGCATATATGAAGTGGTCAACCTTGCCAGATATCGTGTTGATCGGACACAGTCTAGGAGGTGCTGTTGTGACCGAAGTGGCCTACGAGAGACTTCTCGGCAACGCATTATTAGCATACGGCGTGCTCGACGTAGTCGAGGGTTCAGCTATGGACGCTCTCAAGAGCATGGATACCTACCTCTCCACGAGACCCAAATCCTTTCCTTCTCTCGCTTCGGGCATTGAGTGGCACACGAAATCTAGGACGATCCGAAACACCACTTCGGCGCGAGTGTCTGTTCCATCACTGCTACATGAATCCAAAACAACCAAAGACACATGGTTCTGGCGCACCGATTTGGCTGCTACCAAACCATTCTGGGAAGACTGGTTTGTCGGCTTGTCTAAGAAGTTTCTGGAGTCTCGGGGCGGCAAATTGCTCCTCCTGGCAGGGACGGACCGTCTTGATAAGGAGCTTATGATTGGGCAGATGCAAGGTAGGCCATACTGGAGTCAACGCATTCTCTTCTTCAGCTGAATGTGCATAGGGAAATACCAACTTCAAGTCTTTCCGGAGGCTGGTCATTTCATACAAGAAGATCAGCCGGCCAAAACCGCTCAGATCGTGGCGGACTTTTACAAGAGGAATGATCGCACCGGACTCGTCTTGCCCCCGAAAGTAGACGACCTGATCAAGCAGGGCAAGTTGAAACCAGCTGGCATCAAATGAGTCGACCAAAGGAACATATCTCCACAGGCGTAGACCGACCAACAGGAGTATATACACCCAACAATCTTTACCTCTTCCTCCCCTTCACCTTTCCACCATTCTTCTTATTCTTCTTCCCCTTGTCCTTGATCATCCGCTTCACCGCGTCCTCGCTGCCCTTTCCTTTCCTCCACATCTTTCCCTCTTTTCTCTCACGCGCATCGTCGAGGCGCTTTTTGTCTTTATTGCTCAACCTTTTCTTCTCTGTCCGCACTTTCACGACTCCCACCCCGTCTGGGCCGTTCAATTCCATCCGCCCCTTGTTCTTGGCATCGCGTTTTTCTTTCTCGGTTTCGAACCAGGTCCGCTTTGGCCGAGCCATGATTTCGGACTCGTGCTTGATGAGGTTCTCTCCACGTTTAATCTCGGCTTCGGTCGCTGCGATTTGTTTTTGCTCTCTCTCTTCTTTTAGTATCTCTTCGATCTCCGAGTCTAGGTCGTCGAGTCGCTGATGCATAGCGTCGACCTCTTGAATATCCATGACACGGGACACAACTTTCGCGCCTTGCTGTCGGGCACTCTTCACCGCAGCCTTGACGACCTTCCGATCAGGTTCTGCGGCGATTGTACAAGCACATCCCGAGCGGCCCGCTCTTGCCGTACGACCCACGCGATGTAGATAGATCTCGTGAGTCTGTGGTGCTTCGTAGTTGATTACAGTCATGACGTTTTTGATGTCCAGACCTCGACTAGCGAGATCCGTGGCGAGGAGGTGTGTTGTCTTGCCGTCTCGGAACGCATTGACTGCGCTGATGCGTTGTTCTTGCGTCATACTGCCATGTAGTTCGCCGGCCTTCAGGCCCAGTAAACCGAAGACGACTCGCACACGGTGGGCTTCCTTCTTTTGACGGAAGAAGACTATGGTGCGCTCGGTGAAGAAGTTCTGGCACAGCACGCACAAGGTAGCAAGGCGTAAACCCTCTCGTCCTTGGCGCAAGCGGACGAATTCTTGGACGAGCCCTGCTGTCGTGGACTTCTTTGCGTCGACAGACAAACGGATAGGGCGATTCATACCGACTCTTACTAGCTTGTCCACACTGTCGGTCATGGTAGCGGAGAAAAGCATCGTCTGCCTTCCTTTGGGGATGGTCCGTAGAATCTCGTTCAGCTCGTCTTCAAATCCGGTTTCGAGCATCCGATCGGCTTCGTCCAGCACCAGGATTTCGATGCTCTCGACGTTGAAGCTCGCCGAGTTGCGCATGTGGTCGATAAATCTACCTGGCGTGGCGATGACGACGTCAGGCCGCTTTTTCAAAATCGTTTCTTGTTCGCGCAGAGAGAAGCCACCTACGACTTGGGCGAAAGTGATGTCTGTGAATCGAGCTAGAGCGGTGGCGACACTGTAGCATTGAACTGCAAGTTCGCGGGTTGGCATAAGGATGGCGACTCGTGTCGTAGGCACTTTTCTAGGCCGGTACAGTAAGCGCTCAAGGATAGGGAGGAGGAAAGCTGCAGTCTTGCCCGAGCCCGTCACGGCAGACCCAACGACATCCAAACCTTGAAGGGCAACAGGAATGGCTCGGACTTGGATGGGTGTTGGGGTGGTGAATGAGAGCGCGGCCAAGCCCCGAAGTATAGGCCTTGAAAGGGAGAACTGCTGGAACGAGGATGCGGACTTGATATCGGGGTGCTTGTTCTCGGGAGCGAAGAACGCAGCGCGTTTAGCCTTTTCGTCGGGGTCGTCCGAGACAGACGTCTGCGATTCAGCATCGGACTGATCAGAGGCCAAATCATCGTCGGGGTGGGCAATGGGAGATGCCACGGAGTCGCTATCGGAAGCACTGTCGCTGTCCTCCTCCTCCTCCTCCTCCTCTTCTTCTTCATCCACTTCCTCGTCTTCAGATTGAGCATCTGCACCGAAAGTATCTGGAGCAAGAAGTTCGTCGTCTTCAAAATCCGGGATCTCGACGTCGTCCTCGTCACTCTCTTGTTCCTCACCTAGCTCTTCTGAAGTCTCTCTTATTTTCTTAGACGCGATGGATGTTGCCTTCTTCTGTGCGCGACGAGCAATGATGGCGTCAATATCGACACCTTTCTTCTTTTGCTCTCGATCTTTTCTGGTTATGTTATCCTCGCCCCATCCGTCGAATTCTTCGAGGTCCTGCACTTGGTTCGCTCCGATGTCAAACTCGAAATCGGGGTCGAGGGCACCATCTTGGACACCTGTTTCTTCGTCGCTTTCCGGATTGTCGCCTGACACATTGTGATCGCCGTCTTGAAAACTCCCTTTGACCTTCTGCTTCTTGTTCTTGCGGGTATGGTTCTTTTCCTCCCGTTTCCGCTTGGTACTCGTGCGGGGCTCTACCGCAGCCGAGTCATCTGTATCAGGCTCACTAACAGGCAGCTCCTCGTTATCAGAGATTGTGAGGACGAATTCGTCCTCGTCCATAGCACGGGTCATTGTAGGGTAAGTTTTGAGACTGTGGCTGCGGTTGTCGAAATGACCTGGACGGCGAAGTTTTGACTGCAACTTTTTTTTCGGTGTATGACTGGCAGAATCTCCCAAGGCGGTGAAGGAAACCAGCACCAGCCACCAGCCTCACCATCCATTTGCCTGACAAACCACCAACTACCTAAATCAGCTCGTCCATCCACTCTACACATTCTACCGGGGCTTTCAAGGGGTTCGAATCGATACATGAAAATGCATACCCGGTCAACTGCCTTCAGTGTATACGAGATGTTTTGAGGCACATCCTATCTAGAGCAGCTGGTCAAAGAAACCTACATTTTACTGGTCGCAAGGACCTAGTCGACCAGAGAGACGGTCTGCGGTTTCCGACCATATCCTATTACCTTTATGATCTGGGAGCATTAGAGATACCGAAGGCCGTCGGTCGTTCAACGCCCTCGTAATGATGACAAGATCGTTGGGTCCATACGGGGCGGGCCTGACTTTAGAGGTGAGCAAGTCTCAAATCCAAATCTCCATTTACATGTGAGTCCATGCTTGCTACAAAGCCTTGGAGAAACCTTTAGCAGAGTTTGAGAACATCTGTCTCTTCTCCACCGCAAGTTTGTGTTGGGGTGTAAGGCCTGGAAAGGGGAAAGATGATGCAAGACGAGCAGAAATGACAGCTGTTGCTGTCCAGTCAGAGCCCTATTTGACATGTTTCTCCTGGTGCAAACAGCCGTCCATTTGGCAGTTGTACCCAGTACATTGCGCGGATTCGGGCTCCGAATATTCCCACGAATTCCTATCGATTTTCGTGAGCCTATACGAGGACATACACCATCGCAATGGAGACATCAAATACGTCTGATGTATCAGTCCACATTAACCTGAAACATGGCGAAAGTCAAGCCCTGATGGAGTCGACAGTCAGTACCATATATATACAAGTATTATTCAGCCCACGAGTACGTGGACATGCACGGTTGCCTCCGGAAGTCTCAAGGGCTGTCTGTCGTGTAACGGGAACCAGGGATCCAGGGTTTGGAGTTCTGGAAAGGTGGCTTGCAGTAGCTTCATGATGGCATCCCTGTTCACCAAGACTTCCATTGTCACCGCTTCTTTGAACGCATCGAGAAGTCGCATTGACCCGGCGGCATTGTGGATGCAGTTTGCTTGAAAATCGGGCCGGCACGGTCGCGCTGAGGACATCTAGAATTTAGCCTTGCGAGAGTCGCCTACACAGAGACCGCAGATCACAAATTTCACCGTGAATGATCGCTAAGGCTGGATCTTCACGACGTCTAGAACACATCCCTCTGAAGAGGCCGGGTTGGAGAAGTCCAGCCTCTTTTGACACTGGCGAGCCGCAAGAGCCACACTCGATGCGTCCAGGCGGGTCCAGCTGAGGTGATCGAAAGGATTCGCCGACTCCCCTGCTCAAAGACACATGGGGGGAAAGATCAATAATGGAGGGGAAATGGCTCACGGCTATTGCGCTTCGCCCGTTCGTATCGTTGCTCCGTCTGAGCACATTGAGGACTACGGGTTGACTGGCGGAGACGGCCCACGAATCCAAGACAGAGGAGCAATGACAGGATCTCTTGCATTTCCGCCCTTTGCTGCTAGACTTTCAGCAAATGGTCCTCTGGATACACAATATGGACAAATGCAGCACAAGCCAACGCCACAAGAGGCTCGGAAGTCCCCACTGTCGCAGACGGGATGCCGGGTAAAGAAAGGTTCGAAGAAAGCCTGCGAAAAGGTGGGTAGAGTGATAGATTGATAGGAATGAATCTACAGGGCTGTCCCATGTCACCGGCGTGGCATGCGATGGTGGAACCGGGGTCCTTTTCTCTTTCATTATTGCAGGTTAAGATTTCTCGAGGATGGTGGTGACGGGAGGATGATGAGGCCTTCCTCTTCCCCTCTTCCCCCTTTGAGAGCTCAACATCCACCCCACCATAATTACAGTAGGTTCTGCGTCCAAAAGAGACTTGAACAGCCCACACTTCCTCAGCCCCTCCTAGGACGCGTCGAGTTATCAGCCTCCCCATCGCCCTCCTGCCTACTCCTAGGGTTATCGTGGATTATCCCTCAAACGTTATCTTCCAGACCATCCCACTCTCTCTCACCCACGGGTTCTAGCGTCCTCGATCGGGATATTCCAAGCCTGGAATGGAGGACCCTGAGAACCTATCCCCATTCTCCTTTCTCTCGGATCGGGTACCTAGCAGCACCTGCAAATCACGGCAGTACACATGCCACGGCCGTGTTTAGTCAAGCTCGCCTCTGTTGGTTGAACCTTGGTGAGGAATCCCGAGTGGATCGCTTGTGGACACACACCGCTGTGCAGAAGGGAAGGAGAGACAGAAAACAAAAAAAAAGTCGCCTGGCTTAACGACCTGCTACTGGGCCCCCCTACACCTGCTGGAGTTGCTGGGTCTAAGCAAGCCAAAGCGAGGGTTTGTCGGCTGCAATCACGTCAGTTCCGGCCGCGCAGGCTGACTGCTCTTTGTAACATAACACCACATGCAACCGACACCCAGGCCTGTCACTAAGCTGGCTTGTTTGTTGAACCCGTCTGCTTGCTCCCTACTTGCTCCCTACCCTACTTGCTAGTGCTGGATACGCTCGGAGGCCACAGGCGACTGTGGAATAGCGCCGCCAGCTACACCTGCAATTCCCACCAGATCCCTCTCGAACGGTGGACGGCCCTTGCATGCGCAACTGATTCGTCCTGCGCCCTCGTTCTTGTGCCACGGCTCTTTGTTGTCATCTTTTTTTTTCCCTCGCTCGCTCGTACCCATATTTATCCTATCATCCCGCCTTCTCTCTGACTGTCTTTCTCCTCAGCATGACCCTTTCCGCAGACACTGATTGCAGTCATGGCACCGCGCGACCAGAGCCCAATGCCGCCACCTCCAGTATGTCGTCCCCCAAGTCTCCGACTAAAAGTGAAAAGTAGCGGAAGGGGGAAATATTTCGTTTCAGCCTTGCTAATCCATGACTAGCCTCCCAACTCACCCGTTCTCAAACGTTGTCGGAATTGAAAACTCGTATCAAGGCGGGCCTCAAGACGTATCCCGACTTTCCAAAGGTAAGAAAGGACTTCGCATCACCCCATTGCTTCTGAAAGTATTGTTGCTAAGTGGGTTGGTGCAGAAAGGCATCCTCTTCGAAGACATCCTCCCACTCTTCGCCTCTCACACTCTCCATGAGGACTTGATTCGAGCATTTGAGCTGCAGATTGCCGAATCACTCGGTCCGCACAATATTCCTGATGTGATTGTCGGTCTCGACGCGAGGGGTTTCCTCATCGGACCGACATTAGCCTTACGATTCGGAGCCGGGTTTGTTCCTGTCAGAAAAGCAGGTAAACTGCCGGGCGAGATCGAAACAGCAGAGTATCAGAAGGAATATGGCACCGACACCTTTGCCATGCAGACTTCCGCCATTCAACCTGGCCAGAAAGTCCTTGTGGTTGACGATCTGATCGCCACAGGCGGTTCGGCAGCTGCAGCAGGGACACTGGTCGAGAAATGTGGAGGACAGCTGCTCGGATATATCTTCATTATTGAACTCACATTCCTCAACGGTCGAGACAAGCTCAATGCTCCGGTTTTCACACTCCTCGAGAGTCAAGAAGACTGACCAGAGGGCGATTTGACCATGAAGCATGTCACGACTCGAGACGGCCGTTTTGGCCAGGTCGACGGACGATTCCTCAACAGCCTTCTCGGATCCAATTCGACTACACACTACTCCAGTATCCCATATGTGTTGTCCGATGTCCTCTGGCTCGGCAGTACACTCATATGTCAAACGAGCAAATAATTCTCCTCGGTTTGCGCCCGAGCGAGAGCCAAAACCCTTTGTTTCCGGCGTTTTCGTTGGAAGATTCAAATACGTTATTGTTGAAATGCTTACCAAACGACCTTAATATCTACAATCCGGTCGAATCGAGGCTCTATGCGATGCTGCTTCGATCCTTGTTCAAGTGATAAGTCAACGGTCAATTTGCCTTGTGTCGGACAGTGTTCCGAGGTGAAGGTGGTTCTGAGAAGTGCTCAGCACGAGATGATAAGATATCAATTACTCCAGGGAGATACGATTGAAGAACACTGTTTCGAGAGACCTGAGTCTCTTTCGCGTCGGTTAGCGGTGAGAGGTGCATCGTAGACGCAAGTTTGCGATACGATGTTTGGTGTTTTCTCTCTGTCAGGGCGTTATGGCAGAATTGCTAGAAGATAGATACCAAAAGCATCTTCAATGATATCAATAAACATGTAAGCAGTTGAAACATCAGGTTTGGAAGCCGTTCCCTCCTTCTTCGCGGATTTATGCTATTTTAGCGGTCTAGGTTGGTATATACTCTGTCTAAGCATTGCTCTATCCGCCCAACCTAGCTTCCTAGGTATCTAGAGGCATGTAGGGGGGGTTACAGTAGTGTAGTAATAGCCCTTCACAGTCGACGGGATGGTGCCCCAGCAAACGGCGGGACCATCTTCGATCGTTGGAGCTGGAGCGTGCGACTCGATGCCCACCAGATGCTCAATCTCGATCCCCACATGCGGCACCTGCAACCACCAACCACGCACTACGAGGGCCATGTTTCGGAATCGTCTGAGACTGCGTTGCGCTTCTGGCGCTCAATCCTCAACCTCATTGTTGTTATCCCTGGGTTCCCCGGCCTTTGCATGCTTCTGTTGTCGCTCGCTTAGTCTGTCATTTTTTCCTTTCAAACGGTTCCTGCGACACTGCCTTTAGCATCCAACGCCTCGGTCTGTTTCCGGACCCCGTCTGGTTCCTCGTCTTCCTACGCCAAAACCTCAGGGACCGGCCAATACATGAAGGGTTGCAGAAATGTCGGGCATCCCTGCATTGGAAGATGCCCTGCGCAAGCTCGACGAAGAGCTGGAGGAAGGAGACATCACCCGCAAAGGCTATGAAAAGAGACGGACCCTTATTCTTTCGCAGTACATCAATTCTCCCCCACCGGGCGTACAATCGCAAACTCAATCCCAGTCACGAGGACTTCGCGTACACTCCCCTGACGACAGCGATCATCCTGCCTCTAATGAAGATTCCAGAGCCGCCTCACTTGCTGCCCTCACCGGTCGACCGGTGGGCAGTCTCTCGAGAAACGGGACCATGACCGAGGGCCATCCCAGTATGAGCGGGCATGCCTCTGTGCTCAGGGACGAATATAACGCGCCCAGAAGGAGCGTTACTCCCCAAAGTCTGGTCCAGCGCTTTCAAGAGAGGGAAACGGGAAGTCTACAACAGGGCTCGATGTCGGGTTCCTCGTTCGATGGCCGGCGCGAAACCTTCCTGACTGCCAACGATCAGTCGCGCACGGAGACGCTGCTGAGCCAGAACTACGCCTTTAATCCTGATACCCAGCCGAACTATGGCGGCATGGACACTCGCAACTCAACTATGCTGGACTCGCAGCAGGGCTATTTCTCGGATTTTGCTGGCCAACAACGAGAAGATCATCAAGAGAATTATGGAGGCAATGTACACAGATATTCTCAGGGTGAGGTGACTTCACCCACCGCTCAGGTAGCACCGCCATTTCTCGGTGCTGGCGAGCTTGCTGGGGGTGCGGCTATCCACCAGATGCCTCTTGAACCTCGCGAAGTGCCTTTCGCCATTTGTGACCCTCACGATTCGCATATCGAGATGTCCAGTTTTGAGAACATCGCCGCCGTCCTCAGACACAGAGCAAAGACAAATCCCAAACAGGCGGCCTACTGGGTGTTGGATCAAAAGGGTAAAGAGCTCGTCTCCATCACTTGGGAGAAGTTATGCAGCCGGGCGGAAAAGGTGGCTCAGGTCATTCGCGACAAAAGCAGTCTTTATAAGGGGGACCGAGTCGCGCTGATCTACACTGAGAACGAAATCATCGAGTTTGCGGTGGCACTTCTCGGCTGCTTTATCGCTGGTGTGGTGGCTGTACCGATCAACGATCTCAAAAACTATGCCAGATTAAACGTTGTATTGACATCCACACAAGCACACCTTGCTCTGACTACGGAAGCCAACCTGAAGAATTTCCAGCGAGACATCACTGCCGCCAAGCTGAACTGGCCGCGCGGAGTGGAATGGTGGAAGACGAACGAATTCGGCAGCTATCATCCTAAGAAGAAAGGAGAGGAAGCTCCCCTGGTAGTGCCGGATCTTGCCTATATTGAGTTCTCTATGGCACCTACAGGCGACCTCCGCGGCGTCGTGATGAGCCACAAGACAATCATGCACCAAATGGCGACACTCAGTGCGATGATAACGTCGGCCACAAGCAATACCAAAGCCGATACCTTCAATCCTTCTTTGCGCGACAAACAGGGTCATTTGATTACCGGCTCGAGACATGGCGAAACAATTCTCAGCTACCTTGATCCGAGACAGAGCATTGGGATGATCCTGGGTGTCTTGTTGAACATTTATGGTGGACACACCGTGATCTATATTGACCAACGAACCATCGAGACACCTGGCCTGTATGCGAACCTCATCACAAAGTACAAAACAACGTTGCTCGTCGCAGATTATCCCGGGCTGAAACGTGCCGTGTACAACTACCAGGCCGACCCGATGACGACGAGGAACTTCAAGCGCAACTTCGAACCCAACTTTTCAAGCGTGAAGCTATGTATGATCGACACCTTGACTGTTGACGTCGAGTTCCACGAACTACTCGCTGATCGTTGGCTCAAGCCGCTCCGCAATCCCCGAGCGAGGGAGATTGTGGCACCCATGCTCTGCTTGCCTGAACATGGTGGAATGGTGATCAGCATGAGAGACTGGCTGGGAGGAGAGGAACGCATGGGCTGCTCGCTGAACCACGAGATGGGCCGTGAACACGAAGCAGAGGAGAAGAAGGAAGAGCAAAACGCGATTACAAAGTCCAGCTTTGGCAGCAGCCTCATCGGTGGCGGAACGAAGCCCTCCAAAGAACGCTCGACGGAAGACTTGGGAGAAGTCCTGCTGGAAAAAGAAGCTCTGAAAACGAACGACATCGTAGTGCTAGCTATGGGCGCCGAAGCGAGAACCAAGGCCAGCTCCTTTCCAAACGCCGTTAGATGCGGAGCCTTTGGATATCCTATTCCTGACGCCACTCTTGCGGTGGTGGATCCCGAGTCAGGCCTGCTCTGCGCACCAAACTCGATAGGTGAGATTTGGGTCGACTCTCCGTCTCTCTCGGGAGGCTTTTGGGCGCTGCCAAAGCATACCGAAACCATCTTTCATGCTCGACCCTTCTGCTTCAAGGAAGGTAATCCAACGCCAACGGCCATCGACCCCGAGTTTCTACGCACTGGCTTGCTCGGATGTGTCATAGAAGGCAAGATCTACGTCTTGGGACTGTATGAGGATCGGCTCCGACAACGGGTTGAGTGGGTCGAACACGGTCTGGCGGTGCAGGAACATCGCTATTTCTTTGTCCAGCATCTGATCCTCAGCATCATGAGAAATGTCCCCAAGATACACGACTGCTCCGCCTTTGACTGTTTTGTGAACGATGAACATCTTCCTATAGTTCTTTTGGAATCGCCCTCGGCATCAACGGCTCCATTATCCTCGGGTGGTCCACCACAGCAGCTTGATATTGCATTGCTCGACTCTTTGGCCGAGAAAACGATGGACGTACTGTATCAAGAGCATCACCTGCGAGTGTACTGCGTCCTGATTACAGCGCCTGGCATTCTACCGCGCGTAACCAAGAACGGCCGGCGAGAGATCGGTAATATGCTCTGTCGCAAAGAGTTCGACAATGGAGCATTACCTTGTGTCCACGTCAAATTCGGTGTTGAGCGGGCAGTGAAAAACCTTCCGGTGGGGGAGGACATCAATGGCGGCATCTGGTCTGCCAATTCAAGTGCCGCAAGAAACGAACTTCTGTACGGCCAGGAGACCCAGTGGTCGGGCGTCGATCCTCGCGAGGTCGTTATCGATGATAGAACGTCGACGGCCCTCAGTAACTTCACAAATATTTTCGACCTGATGCAATGGCGGGTGGCCCGACAAGCCGACGAACTTGCGTACTGTACCATCGATGGGCGAGGAAAAGAAGGTAAAGGCCTGACATGGAAGAAATTTGACCATAGGGTGGCAGCCGTCGCCTTGTACCTACGGAACAAGGTTAAGGTGAAGCCCAGCGACCATCTTATCTTGATGTACACCCACTCGGAAGACTACGTTTTTGCGATTTACGCGTGTATGGTTTTAGGAGCCATCGCTATTCCTGTTGCTCCTCTGGACGCCAACAGGCTTTCAGAAGATGCTCCAGCATTCCTTCACATCGTGGCGGATATGGGTGTCAAGGCCGTCTTGTGCAATACAGATGTCGACCATCTATTCAAGCAGAAGATTGTCTCACAGCACCTCAAACAATCGGCGCAGTACCTAAAAACGCATATTCCAAGCGTCTATAACACAGCGAAACCGGCGAAGCAGTCTCATGGCTGCCGAGAACTCGGTTTGACGATAAATCGTTCTTGGATATCTCCGACGAATCCGGTGATCATCTGGACGTATTGGACTCCAGATCAGCGTCGAGTCTCTGTTCAACTGGGCCATGATACCATTTTGGGCATGTGCAAGGTCCAGAAAGAGACATGTCAAATGACAAGCTCCAAACCGGTGCTCGCGTGCGTGCGAAGTACAATCGGCATAGGGTTCCTTCACACCGTCCTGATGGGCGTATACAACGGCAGCACCACTTATCTGATCTCGCCGCTGGACTATGCGCAGAATCCTGGCTCCCTGTTTCAGGCGTTGTCTCGGTATAAAGTCAAGGATACTTACGCAACCAGCCAAATGCTGGATTTCGCCATGGGGCACGTCGTGGGCAAAGGGTTCTCTCTGCATGAGTTGAAGAATCTGATGGTGACGACTGAATCGAGACCTCGTCTTGACTTGTTCTCGAAGGCGAGACTACATTTCGCGCAGACAGGCCTCGAAAGGACGGCCATCAACACGATCTACGCTCATGTGCTCAACCCCATGATTGCGTCTCGCAGCTACATGTCAATTGAGCCGATCGAACTCTGGCTTGATGTGCGCGCATTGAGAAGGGGGCTCATCTATCCGGTTGACCCTGACACTGATCCAACCGCTCTATGCGTTCAAGATTCGGGCATGGTACCCGTGTCTACCCGCATTGCGGTCGTCAATCCCGAAACTTGTCAACTGTGCCATGTAGGAGAATTTGGCGAAATCTGGGTTCAATCCGAAGCCTGCGCCAAGTCATTCTACATGTCGAAGCAGGTATTTGATGAAGAAAGGTTCAATGGACGTATCTTGGGTGGGGATCCAAATGCAACCTATGTCCGAACTGGGGATCTAGGATTTCTGCACAACGTCACCAGACCTATTGGACCGGGCGGGCAGCCTGTGGAGATGCAAATATTGTTCGTGTTGGGCAGCATCGGCGAGACGTTTGAAGTCAATGGGCTTAATCATTTTCCGATCGACATCGAGAGCACTATTGAAAAGTGTCATCGGAACATTACTCCTGGTGGATGTGCCGTTTTTCAGGCCGGGGGCATGGTTGTTGTCTTGGTGGAAGTCTTCCGGAAATCATACCTGGCATCTATTGTCCCGGTCATTGTCAATGCCGTTCTTCACGAGCATCAAATCGTTGTCGACATTGTGGCATTTGTTGGTGACGGCGATTTCCCCCGAAGTCGATTGTCGGAGAAGCAGAGAGGCAAGATTCTGGCCTCATGGGTAACGAGGAAATTGCGTACCATTGCCCAGTTTGGCATTCGAGACGGCGAGGGCCCAGAAGGGCAGATGTCTTCAGCACCCGGCGAGCGCAAAGCTCCCAGTATGATGAGTAAAACGCTATCAGTGAGTCAGCAAGACCAGCGACGAGCTTCGATCGCCTCCGAGTTCAGGGGAAATGCCCAGGGGGATCGAGTGTCCAGCCGATCGAGCATCGTGCCCGAACTTCCCTTCACATTGCCACCGAACCATTATCAGATTGACCCAACGGGTCTTTATGATCCTGCTGCGTCCGATGGCAACCAGACCGGAGTGTCGCTGAGCGACAAGCCTTATACTCTTCCGGAGGGGATAGTTGAGATGCCAAGCACCAACTTCGACGATATGGACGAGAGATCCAATCCCTACCTGACGGACGAAAAGTTCTTCGACCCAAATGCTGACCCAGATCAGCAACTTGACGATTATACTCCTCAAGGGTCACAACTTGACCTTTCACAAGGACGACCGCCTAAGCTGTCTGTGGTCAACCCGAATGAATACTCAATACACGGTAGCAACGAGAACACGCCGACGTCGTACACGGCCACTGCCACGCCGACATCAGCCATTCCGAACGCATTGAAAACACCCGTGGAGCAAGGGCAGGACAGTCCGTACGAAGACCAAGGTAATCCATTCCGAAACTCGATTCCGGCGTCAGTGCCCAGCTTTGATTTTATCACCCATGCTTTCTCCTCGTCGTCAGCTGCGACGAGAAATCCCGTGTCGGCACGAGATCAAATGGCTGGCGCCAGTGCCGCTTTCAACAATGTAACCTCTCCCATGCCAGCCAGTCCGACTGCTACAGGTGGCCGTGCTCTGCTTCCCAGCCAACAAGCCCGATACCCCAACTACGGGGCGAATGTCAAACCCCAGCCTGTCCGACAGGCGAGCGACCATTCTTATGAAGTCAAGGATCTGCCACAGGAGGCTTTGACATATGCTGCTTCGACATACAGCCGAAGATCTGGGTCGTCGACGTACCAGGGCGACCAGAATCAGGATTCTAGCTCGCTACATCCCAGTGAGGGGCAACAGAGCGCGGGCATGCGTAGCTATCCGCCAAGCATCCGGAGGAGGTATGACGGGAGTGCGTACGATGGATTTGATTACTGAATTGACATCTGGGCCGATGATGCTAGGGGTGTTTGGTCAATTGTGATATAGTGTGTGACTTATGGTAATATTGGGTAAAAGGGCAGTAAAAGTTTGGTGACCAAGGACGACCCGAAATGATAATGCAGTATGACCATGAACAGTATGCCAGGCATTGTGAGTCTGAGATTATGTGTACAAGCAAGACTCCGGACCTGGCATGTACCTAGGTATCTGGCCTCGCTGGATATCGGGTATCTGGATCTGGATATCTGGGTATATGACATAATTACTCGTGGCAAGGCTGCCAAGGCCGACTTGGAGTTCTCAGCGAGCACGTGACAGGGCCTGCCCAGCGAGGGGCTCCACGGGGCTCTCAGCCTCGTCGTCAGACCAACTCATTAATCTTTCTTTTCCCCCGCATGTTCGCAGCCCAAATCGCATTGCCGCGGCACGACTCGCCCCCAAAACCCAACAGTTGCACGGGCGGGGAACTCGCTTGAACGAAAAAGAACCCCCGCTTCTCCGAGAGTAGAGAAGGATCGGATGTGGCATTTTGAAGGGGAGGGGGGCGGGCAATGGTTGAAGGAAGCGGAAAAGCAAAACGAGGAGAAGCAAGTCTCATGACGATTTCGATCGAGACGACAGCAGCCCACATTCTCACCTTCATATAATCTACGTTTTACGTCTCGACATTCGACATCCCAGGCACGTCAACATCCCTTTAAGCGACAAGGCTTCGTCCCAGAGCAGTAACAAGCATTGCAGTTTTGCATCCCGGAGAACGACTTGCTCGGCTCTTCTCAAGCTATTTCCCTTTTCTCCCCACCTCCCTCCCCCTCGCATTAGATCCGATCCTAGGTTCACTCGACTTTGATCTACGTCGAAGGCAATTCTCACACCGCGGCAAGCACGACAGTGAGCGACAGCTGAAGCAGGAGAAGCTAAGAGAGAACCCTCGTCGCCATTCCCCAAAATGCCTCCAGCTACAATGCGTGCCGTCGTCCTGAAGGGTGACTTCCATGTAAGTAGGCAAGAAACCAATCACTGCTTCTTTTGCAAGCCTTGGCTCGATCGACGACCAGAAAAGGCCCCTTTCCCGGAAGCGGCTTTGGGGATCTCTTTGCCTGTCAGAACGTTTTCCTCCATGGGATCCGAGGGTCCTTGGCCGGATCTGAATCTACTGCCTGCCTCCAAAATGTGTTGTTCAACTCGCGAGCAAAAGCCGAAAACATGACCGGTATTGATATTTCTTTTCTCGCGTTGTAGGTCGAAGTGGAAGACAGACCTACCCCGAAGGTCCAGAAGCCGACCGACGCCGTGCTCAAGGTCACTTCGACTGCTCTATGCGTAAGTTATTCCTACCCGCCATTCCTCTTTTGAGCCACCGATCGTCTTCATATTGAACCTCTCTCTCGCTTTCTTCTTAGGGCTCGGACCTCCATTTCTACCGAGGCCATCTGAAGTGCCCGCCAAACTTCGTCTGCGGTCACGAGTTTGTGGGGACCATTGCTGAGAAAGGCGACGCCGTCACCAACTTCAACATTGGCGACAAGGTCGTGGTTCCCTTCTACACGGCCTGTCAGGAATGCTACTACTGCGTGCGCGGACAGGCCAGTCGGTGCAGCAAAGGCGAGTTGTTTGGGAATTCGGTCCCGGCCAACGCGATCGATGGCGGACAAGCCGAGTACGTGAGGGTGCCGTTGGCGAATACTACTTTGGTCAAAGCTCCGCCTGGTGAGTATTCTCTCCCCCTTGTTGAGCACCAGCTGGTTCTTTTCTTTTCTTGAAAGCGACCTTTTCTCATTGACGTGTGTATCATCATCACAGGAATTCCTGAGGAGATGCTCGTTCTCATGGCCGACATCTTCCCCACGGGGTACTTCGCGGCACAGCGCTTCCTGAAGGACCTCCCGCAGCGTGACCGCGACGAGTTCACGACGGTGGTGATCGGGTGCGGGCCCGTGGGTATCTGCGCCATTACGTGCGCGCTGACTATGGTCAAGACGGTGTACGCGATTGACTCGATCCCGGAACGGCTGGCTGAGGCGGAGAAGATTGGGGCCATCCCGATCAACCTGAACGACAATCCAGTGGAGAAGATCAAGGCGGCCAGCGGCGGGCGCGGAGCCGACGTGGTGCTGGAGGTGGTGGGCCACGCCGACGCCTTCATGCTGGCCTTCGACATGATCCGGCCATTCGGCCAGATCTCGTCCATCGGCGTGCACACGGAGACGATACCGCTCAACGGCCTCCTGTGCTACGGCAAGAACGTCACCATGGCCTTTGGGCGCTGCCCCGTGCGCAGCATCTTCGAGGACGCCCTCGACATCCTGGTCAAGGAGCAGAAAAAGGTCGCCTTCCTGTGCGGCCGCACCATGTCCCTCGAGGACGCGCCCCAGGCCTACAAGGACTTTGAGGCCCGCAAGGTCCACAAGATTGTCTTCAAGATGCCCGGCGAGCAGACTGGCCAGTCCATTGCGGACAAGGTGTAAAAGAAAAAGTTCCGAGGACGTGTATGACGGGGAGGCTATTCCATGGGCGTATTGACAACACAAGAACCTCCCCTGTCGCCACCACTATTGATTACTTTGGGTCTCGGAATGTATGTACGCCCGATAGCTATGGTATTCTACGTATGCCCCGTGTGCAAAGGTTTCTAGACAAGCAACTTGCTTGCCTTGTAGTCCGAACTCCACTACTCGTAGTGCCCTGTTGGCTTTTTATTTGACGCTGAATAATCCTGTGTCACATAGGGTAGATATCTACGGTTCTCGACTGGCTTTTAGACTTGGCACCCTGGCACCTCCTGTTTGCTACTCGGAAACATATGTATCCGGGTACAGCACACGGATAGATAGGCGAAGACCGAGTCAAGCCAAGGTCAACTTGCACACTGGTGAGGCTCAAATCGAACATGGATCCCGCGGAGCATCGGATTTGTTCATCCCGTCACTGCATCCCTTTGTTCGTTTTGCGCTCCAACTAGCGTCCCTGCGTGGGAAGCAGACCACGAATCAAACCAGGAGCTCCTAGCACGTCGGTGGTGGTGCTGCCGCTGCCGCCGTCGCCGTCGTCGCGCTAACCCAAGGGCTTCTGCTCAAGTTACACAGAAAAGGTCCCGTGAAGTCTGCGTTGGCCTTGGGTCGATGGCAGTCTGGACGTTTGTCTGCTTCGTGGCTCGAGGTTGGCGTGCATGGGCTAGCTGGTATAAGACTTGTCACAACTGGTCTACCTATCCCAGCGAGGGGCCTCAGCCTCACTTCTGACTCACACGCACTCAAGTCGGGCGCAGAGGTTGTTGACTTATTCTCTTGACAGGTCATATTTCGGACTTGCTGTCCAATGATCTCAACTTCGACTCTCACATCGGAAAGAAGGTGGCTTAGGATGATGAATAAGGGGGACACCAGGGGCGGGGGGGGTGGACAGCTGCCTGTCTACCCCTGGGTGTCTTTCACATCATGAGCAGCAGCGCCTCGTGCCATGTACATATATTGAGCTTCTTCTTCTTCTTCTTCTCAGCAGCACGGGCCCCGACCTCTACGGTATTCTCCCTGTTGGTTTCCTCCTTCTGTCTCTCTCACTTCCTCCGAAGCAATCATATCTGAAGCAAGGAGATTTTTCCCTCGGAGCTGTCTTTGAGACTCTCAGACCACATTGACTGTTCTAGGGAATACCATTACCAGGATTCCTTTTGGCTTCCAGCAGCTGTCTCGTGCGCACACTCGGCATAATGAACCGCTTGTCAATTACTCAAATCGCCACCGTCCCCCACGCCGCCCATCAGGCAATCTGGAGGGTCGGAGAACAGGCCCCACGTGAAGTGCCAACTGTGATCTACGATGACTCCAATCAGCGGCACCCGATTGCTTTGAAGCTGATCCCCGATGAAGAGGAGGAGGTGCCCATCCCTCTGCAAATCTTAGCGCAGGTTACTGTTCCTCCCGGGGTACATTGCTATTATCTTCGCGGCAGTTCGATCAAGGATGATAGGCAACCACCCGTCATGCCTGATCCTGGAAAGATACACAGTTATCCGATTACCAGCCGTCATTTCAAGTTAGACGGCGGTGCGACGGGAGGTGAGACCAAACTCGACAGCAACAACCTATCCAGTCCTGGGGGGCCAGCGACCTTCCTGTATGGCAAGATGGACAAGGTGCATTTTCCGTTCAAGGCCACGGGACTTTGGATCTGGGAGTTGTATGAGGTTGGGCTACCCTGGCCGGTTGCTCGATGCCAGGTGCCTCTGGAAATTTACTTCTTCCGGGGCGATCCGAGCTTCCACATAGCCAAACCGAGTGCCCTTTCATCCAACATCGAGAGTGTTCCGGCCCACGTATTTGAACTGATCGAGTTGACCATCCCCGAGTATGGCGACCTAGCTTCCACGACCCTTTCTCCGGAGGATGTGAAAATCGTCCTAGTTGCACATGTCGTTCAACAACTCTGGGACTTTGCCGGATCAGGTCTTACTTATGACTCAGTTGAAGGTGCTCCATCCTATCTTCGTGGGTCATTTTTCTTCTTGGGTTCGATATTGAGTAAACATCACCCAACCTGTAGCTGTTTTGACTTGGGTGCATTTGTCAACTACGCATTCAAGTCATTCGGCAGGTGGACGGATCGGCAAACGGGCCAGGAAACCGATGTGAGCGTACCTGAAAAACGAAAGCCCAGACGCTTTTGATCTCACCCCTTGATAGGTTTTTGAGACTCGAACCTGCATAGTCCGACCCTGGGGCTTTATCAAGCCCAGCGTCCTGATTGGGACGAATGCTCCCTGCAACAATCCTTTCTATGCCGCGTTCGGCCAATCCAGACTCGTTGAGGAGACAGACCCGAGCCGAACGGACTTCTCGTGCCATTGCTTTTGCCTTTGGAGGCAGGGTGGACAGGAAAAGGTCATCGACATCTGTCTGGTCCAGGCTATTGCCAACACCCATCGTGCGATCAGCATAGGTGCGCACAGCATAGAGGAGCATGACAATATTTACTGGGACGATCATGGGAACCTCGTCTCTCTCCAGGATGCGACGTTTACTTTTGCCCAGTATTGGAATACGAGGGACCACCCGGAAGTGGAGGCCGACCAAGTACCTGTGCCACGAGGTGAGGAGTCCTTTTCTTCCATTTCTTGAGTCCAAGGTGCCTTTTACAAAGGCGGACATGTCTGCTCTGTGGCACTTATCGCTCGCTGACTCTGTGTGGGTGCTGATGTAATGTGTAGATATCTCAATCGATCTGATCGACGTATCAACCCCCTGAATGAGGCCCAGCGGTCTTGAACGGAAGATTCTGTTCCTGGTTGGGTGATGTCGTTCTAGGGGGAGCTTTGCTATTGGCTAGAAACGTTTGTTCACCTCGACAACGTGTACGCTTCCATCAAGGTTGTTATGGATGGCATCACGTCAAGATGCATTAACCAGGACACGAACTGAACGGATAAGGGTTGAATCATGCTTGTTGGCTCCCCACATCCCTTGTTTTGTACTGTGGCGTGATTGTCCCAAAGCCATTGGTCCACGTAGAGCAGACAGACAACACAGATATTCTCCGTGGAGCTTCAAAGCCATGTTTCAGTTATATTGCCTGCGCCGTTTTTGAAAAAGAAATACATACCATGAGAAAGGCTAAGCCACGCGAGGAACCCAAGCACTGAAAGCGATCTGTCGAGTTCGAGTCAAGAGGACAAGCCCGAGGAAACATCAAAGCAGGCACTGGAAGCTCTGATCGAAGAAATGCTCGTCTTTGAGGACAACGGCTTGATCCCCGCAACTGGATCGATCAGATATCATCTGCAGCTGTATGGAATACGTACTGTTGCCTTTGTTCACCCCGGGTTAACGACTTATTCCGTGGTCAATTCCCAGATTATGCATGTGCGTCTTGGCACTAGACAGGTCATTACAGTCCAAAATGACGGCGGCGTCTGTGTCACTCGACAAGGAAGCTTTACGGGCTCGGACCGATACGGTATCATGCCTGTCTTATCTTTGGAGGTCAGTCTTAGCATCCATTTACCAGCTTGGACTCGTCGAGTGCTGAGCCAACTTACTCGCTCTCAGGCCAAAAGGCGAAGCGCAGGCGGAATCCATCGATCCAGTGGCGAGACGGAAGAGTGGACAGCGCGTCCACTGGGTCAAGAGGCCGCTGAACTTCTAGGCCAAGCCACTGCTCAATCCCTAGAACTCGGTGGGTGGAAAGACCAACATGCCTTGGTCGCCAGCGTCCACGGTACTGTCGTACATTTGACCGTCGCAGACATAAAAGAGTTGTATCTTTCCCATCTCCATAGCCCAAAAATGCCGATAAGTGAGTGCTTGTTTGTGGGCAGATCTCAGGGATATAATTTGCGAACGCGGCAGGGGTGGTTGTGGAATCCAAGTCTTTTATGGCAGTTTTCTCTCGTCCAAGTATTTCAGCATCCTCAGCAGAAGCATCGCTACGTCCTTCCTACCATCCGGAATCTTCAGATCGTAGATTGTGGAGCGACAGACTTGTAAACGTAGGCTCGGTCGTTGATGTTTGCGAAGAGATTCGATGTAGCCTCGGGTGATGCGGGCACTAGCCAAGTGCAACGCCGCTCCGGTCGAGCACACCACAAAGCTGATAAAGTCATCCATTTCGGGTCGTTGAGTGAACGCAAGAATTGCTTGGGCAAGGATTTGTTGAATTTCACGAATCTTGTCGTCATCAGACCCCCTTAAAGCCTGCAGTCTGTGCTTAGCAATAGATTCTTCATGGAACCTGGTTTCTTCCTACCAAGAATGTCGCGACCGGGACGAGAGTCCACTGGTCTTGTATGAAAAGTCCATCGCACTTAATTCGTAGGCCTCCAATTTTCAGAGGTTCGGCCCTTTTTGTGACTCTATAATTCATCAGTTATCGTCCATTTCTCAGCTGTGTCCCATACAGTCCAGTCCGCCTGGGGCTGAAACTCAACAGCACGTCCACAAGAGACTCAATAAGACCGATCTGTACGGGAGGATCGTCCGCGACTTCGAGAACTCGATGGAGATGGCTGAAAACCCGACGGAAAGGATTTGTTCGATTTCTGGAACGGCAGTGGAGGAAGTTGAGCACATCTTGAGTGGGGATCAAAAGGCATTCTAGGAATTCATTGTCGGCTGAGATCGCAAGTCAGAATTCATCGCGCATTGGGCAGAGATTGTACCACGTACCTTGATCGGTTTCTACTGTGATATCACTCAGGAATATGAAAGGTTGGCCGTCGTCCACCTGTAGAAAGTTGAGATGATTTGGAGTCCACTTGTCAATAGGCTGGAGCAAAATCGACGGGCTCTGCAGGGTCGCCATGGTGGTGCTAATGAGAAGGTGACTCGGCATGCGATTTCAGCCTTTGACAGCGCGAGGCCAAGTTTTGATCACGTGGCTTGGCGACATTACCTCACCCATGTGAAAGAACGTGTAAAAGCATATTAGAACTAGCTAGATCTATCAACTACCTAGGCTCCACTACTAAGGACGGCGACCATCACATCGGCAACAATATCAATCTCGGCACGGAGGTCCATGTGGGGTGAGAGTGGAACCTTTTGAGGGGGACAAATCCCGAGGCTCTATGCTCCTTGTGTATCGAATTTGCATAGTTGTCTGTCTTTCTGGCTACGTGCTGGTAGGTCGATGAGTACAGTTCCCATACCGAGTAGTGGTGAGCCTACAAGATATATCACGAAGAGGACCTAACCCTGCTGTTGGTCCGTCTATGAAGACAGCTAAAGGATCGCCGGGAAACGTTTTCATCGAGTAAAGGATGTCAGAGATATTCACACTTTCGCCCAGGCAAAATCTTTCACGAAGGCCCAGACACTGCGCCTTATCCCGTCCCGAACTTCCTGGCTTTAGCGGTCTCATTTCAAATCCAGCTCGTGCGGGAACTCAAGACAGGATGCTGATGCCGAAGCACAACCATTTAGTACTTCAGCGACCACTTGTTTACCTGCCAGGGATGGTCTAAAAGGGGGCTTTTGCTACCGCCAGGCACAACTTCTAGCAGAAGGTCGACTCTCTCTCAAGTGCCGGGCTGATGTGGAGGGAAAGATCCGGGGAAAGACGTGGAGTACCAGTCGATCCCGGACCATTGCACGGGTCACGAATACTATGTGTCCAACCAACACTTCTGGGTCACTGAAGAGGTAAATAAGTGTACAATGTCGGGAGCTGAATACTTTGTTTCTTCTGGCTCCTCCTCCCCCTCTTCCTCTTCCTCTTCTTCCTCTTCCTCCAGACTTGTTCATTTCTTTGTATGGTATAGAGCATACTCTGCAATCATCCAAAATGTTTTCGGATCCTTTCAGATATCCACTTCCCTTTTTGCTGCCCTGGGCACTCCTTCCAAGCCTTGCTGTTCTCTATCTGCTCGGTTGGATCGTCTATTGCCGGACCTTGCATCCCCTGGCCAAGATCCCGGGCCCTTTTCTCGCGTCCGTCTCGAGACTATGGATCATGCACCAGACCTCGCACGGCAAGATGCAAGACGTGCAACGCGAGCTGCACAGGAAATACGGCCCCCTGATCCGCATCGCTCCGAACGAGATCGCCTGTGCCGACCCCGAGGCGATCCCACACATCTACCGGACGACGAACGCGCTGTCAAAGTCTGACTTTTACCCTGTCTGGGGAAACAAGTCGTTCAGCAAGTACCCGGACCACTTCAGCTCCACGGACGAGAAACTCCACGCCCAGCGGAGACGGATCGTCAGTCATGTGTACAGTCTGTCGAACGTGCTGCGGTCGGAGCGGTACATTGACAACTGCTCCAACCTCTTCATGCAGCGTGTTGGGGAGTTTGCCGACCGAGGAGAAGCATTCGATCTCGGGCAATGGCTGCAGATGTGAATCTTCCCCCGCCCTCCCAAGTGGTCAGGGCATATACACTAATCCCTTTGCACCTACATAGGTATGCCTTCGACGTCGTCGGCGAGCTGTACTTTGGCAAAATGTTCGGCTTCATGGAGTACCGCACCGACTACGAGTCCTACATCCAGTCCCTCGACGCGCTTCTCCCCGTGCTCGCCGAGACGGGCCTGGCACCGACTTACATGCGACCTTTTATACTCGGCACCTCGCTGCTTAGTCCTACGGTCCGAAAGGCGCTCAAGGCCATTGACCACATCGCTCAGGCGGCGCGTGACTGTGTCAACAGGAGGCTGCAGGCTTTGTCGACGGGCAGTGAGGACGTCCGGACAGACCTCCTGCAGCAGCTCTTTGACATCTCGCAGGAGAAAGGGGAGAAATACGACTTCAAAGTGGGGGAGATTCAGTACGAATCTTACGTGGCAATGTTGGTCTTGTCTTGTCTTGTCCATACTAGCTAGTCCTTGCTTCATATCTTGCAAGAGCTTTCGCACGTCCATGCTGACAGAGACCTCTCCCTCTTGTAGATTTGCCGGGTCTGACACCACCGCCATCGCCATGCGCTCCGTCCTTTACCACCTGATGAAGAACCCGACCGTGTACAAGGAGGTCATGGCCGAGATTGACGACGCGGACGAGCACGGCCTCCTCAGCAACCCGATCCAGTACTCCGAGGCGGTCAAGCTGCCGCTCCTGTGCGCGTGCATCAAGGAAGCAATGCGTCTCCACCCCAGCGTCGGCCTCACCATGCCCCGCGTGGCCCCCAAGGGCGGCCTGGTGCTCTGCGGCGAAGTCATCCCGGGCGGGTATCGCGTCGGCATGAACGCCGCTGTCGTTCACCATGACCAGAGGATCTTTGGCGCCGACGCGGCCGAGTTCCGGCCCTCGCGCTGGCTGACCGCCGACGCCAAAACGATGGACAAGTACATGCTCCATTTTGGGGCGGGGACGAGGACCTGTATTGGCAAGAATGTATGCCCCGTCAGACACTCTTTCTTGGGTCCCTTTCGCCCTTTCCTGCGCTATCTCTCCTCTCCTTTATCTTGGGTAGAAGGAACCCCATTGAAGAAACAAAGACGAGATGGTAAAGGTACCACTGACTAACTTCCTCCTCTCGCAAGCAGATATCTCTGAGCGAACTACACAAACTCATCCCGCAGCTCCTGCGGACGTTTGACCTCGAGCTGGCCACGGACAGGCCGTGGGAGACGCAGAATTTCTGGTTCAACAAGCAGACCGGGCTGGCTACGCGGGTCAGGCGACGAAGGGATCGTGTCGCGCTGTCGAATTGGTTTTTTTATGTTTGATGTTCGGTTTGAGAAATGATTGAGGATTCTATCTGCTCCTTTTTCTAGGACTTCGGTGCCGGCATCTTACCTAGTCTTCAGTGTAGACGTCGGGTTTAGTTTGAGATTTGGACTACTTGGAGATGGTGCCGTAGCATGGCTATACATATGTAAGAAGTACATAAGTTGCATAGGTGGGATTGAAAAGACAGAGTAACGAGCAGGGAGTGTGTCTCTATGCAGATGGCCCTGCTGGTATCGTGATAAATTACGTGTCCAAGTATGAATGCCCGGATCCTTCTAATCATGATACCTCCAGATCGTCAATGTGCTTAGGTAGCTTGTCAAGCAGATACAGGTACTGTACGTGGACATTGACCTGGCGAGATGACTGCGACACCAGCCGAATACATGTTATTCGCGGTGCCGACTTGATGCCACCTGCGCGTTGAATGGGGTAGAGATGAGCGTAGAGTGTGGCATCACCATTCTCCCATCATGTCCTGTACTTGGACTTTTTCTTGTAGGTATGCATCAGACATGCATGGATAGATGTAAAGTATGTTATATGTAGCTCTGATCCACGATCTCCTGACCTCAAACATTAATTCTCCAAGCATTTTTATCGTACGATCGCGGCCAGATGCCATTCTTCCCGGGAGCCAGGATGCCCTTCGGATCCAGCGCATTCTTGATGGTCTCGTTCAACTTCATCTGGGCATTGTCGTTGAAGCTGTACGTCGCGGCGATCTGGTCCATCAGGGCGAGATGTGTCCGGTACTCGCCCCAGCCCCGTTTCGCCGCGTCGTCGATCAGCGTGGCTATGAGTTTGTGGGCCTTTTGTCGCTGCTCCGGGTCTTTGCGGTCAAAGACGATGCACACGATGTGATGCATCTCACGCATGCCGATCACAAAGGTGCCGATGAAGTCGAACCCAAACTCCTCGCTCCGTCGCCGGGTCAGCTCGTACTGCGCGACGGCGTCGTCCCCGCCGACTTTGGCGATCGGGCTGAAGAACAAGTGTGCCCCGTTCGGGAGCCAGTCGACCCATTTCAGCTCGTCCATGGTGGGGATCCCCTGGAGGGTCTTGTCCCGGATCTGGAGCACCTTGTTCTGCGGCATGTCTTCGGGGAAGTAGAACTTGGCCCCCGGGATCTGGGAGAAGGACGCCTTGACCACCTGCCACATGGCTTCTCGAACGGGCGCCGGTCCGTACAGCGCGCCGTAGAAGTTCCACCTCCCCAGACCGAGCTCGGCGGCGATCGCGTCGATTTCTTGGTCGGTGAGTGGCTTGTCGGATTGCGAATATTTCTTACGGTTTCCCTGGTCAGCCACTGTTAGCCAGCTTTTCTCTTTTCCTCCCCAGAAGGACTCGGCATAGCTATTTTCCACGGCTTACCATGACTGCAGCGTCCAAGAGGACATGTCGTATCGTGGGTACGTTCTGCAAAACCATCCCGACTCTCAATGGGCGGATGATCTCAACCGCCTGGTGAAGATCGTTGTCCTTGGGAAAAGTGATCAGGTAGGATTGGTATCCGCCGGGATTGGTCATGAGCCACATGCCCATTTTGACAACGACTCCTGTTCTCAGGTGTCAGTGGCATTGCGTCGTCTCTGTGGCTGGCTTCTTCTTCTCCTCTTCCTTCTCTTCTGGAGGACATGACACTCACCGAGAGATGACTGCGAGAAAATGCCGTCGTTGTACGGACCGAATCCATAGTTGAACAGTTGCCACGCCGTGTTACTTGGTTGCTCTTCAGGTGGAAGCGAAGGATCAGCAGCTGGGTTAGGAAGCGCTCCCATCCCGGTCCGCAGCAGAGTCCCGTCCGGCAGAACCACCTCGAGGCCACAATGCATCATCCAATGATCACCATAAGGCTGTTTGCTTGATTAGCAATACGGAACCCCTTCAAATTTCGAAAGACCATGGATACGAACGGTGTAGCCAACTCCTCTTTCTATTGTGTTCCCCAGGACTGATCCACCGCCCAGATCTGGGACATCCACCCACAGCCTGTCCCGCAGGCTGTTCTTGACCAAGTAGTCGTGGAGTTCCTGGAACGTGACTCCAGGCTCGACCAGGGCGTAGGCACCGTCGACGTTGACCTCGATCACTCGGTTCATGTTCTTTCCCATGTCGAGGCCAATACTCCCGGGCACCCTGGGGGCAGCACCACCGTAGCCGACGTTCCTGCCGATGGAAAAGGGCCACACAGGGATTTCGAATTCGTTGCACAGTCTCATGATGGCCTGAACATCGGCGACGTTCCGCGGGGCCACGGTGGCCGAACTGACAAAGTAATCCTCGTCGAGGATGTGGAATATGTCGCGCGTCTTGCTCGGGTTCAGATAGCTTTCGTCGTCCGACACTCCGGGCGAGGTGACAATGGTGACATTTTCCTGCCCAACAATGTCCTGCACGCGGCAGATGAAGGTTTGGAACTGTTTCGAATCGATCCCCGGTGGCAGCACCAAAGGGTCACCTGCGTTTCGGGATGCCGTGCCATTAGGTACTCGGCCGGTGGAGGTACCATTCGTGGTGGTAGTGAGGATGGGAAGATCAGAAGTCATTCTGGCAAGATCTCAAAAGTCCTTTGATGGGGATGTTTGCACAAAGAAAGAGAATCCCCGTCCGATATATCTCGTCCCCTTTCCCCCCCAAGCCACCCATTCTTATGTGTATCTTTTGAGTATGGAAAGCCTCGTTCCATGTGCCGAACCTGGACTGAACGAGGCTAGTACGGCACGGAGCCTCATGTGGGGGAAGATCTCGCTTCAATCGGCATTTCTGCCATTCGACAAACAACACGAGGACAATTAGAGGCTCATATTGCGGAGCCTGTGGGGGCCCCGCATCGTCGGCTCTTGACCCCGTGGGAGAAAAGGTTGGGTGTCTTGGGTGTCTTGGGTGTCTATCCGCGAGAATGACCGCAGCTCCAAGAGTTCCGGGAGGGGCGCAGTGAAGCAGCGGGTTGCGGGTTTCGTTCGATTCACACCCCAGCATCACTGATCACTATTTTCCACTGTTTTCCATCTTTCAACACTCGCACAGAAACAGCCGGCAGACCCTGTCTGTTCTTGTGTCATTGTCGTCATGGCCTAATCACTGCCTGGGTCGGGTTTTCGTACCTGTTTTTTTTCCTCCCCGCCAGAGACTCAGTCCCCCAAGCAAAGCTGGAAATAACACATCTCGATGGCGCAAAAAACCCAGCAGGCGAGTCAAGAACCCTTCTGTCCTATCTGCGGCACGACATACAGCCGCGTGGACCATCTTCGACGACATCTCGCATCCCACACCGATAACTACCCATACTCGTGTCAGTCATGCGGCAAAAGCTTCAAACGAAGAGACGTTCTCACGCGTCACCTCCAAAAATGCCCCAGCAACAAAAGTCCTCGCGACTCCTGGCCGGCGTTGAATCAGAAACCAAAGACGCGTCGAGAGGCATGCGACCAGTGCGCCCGGCTGAAGCGAGGTTGTAACTCGGAGCGGCCGTGCAAGTCCTGTGCTTCGAGGAAGTCAACCTGTACGTACGCAAGGCTGAACGAGCAGTTGTCGGACATGTCTAGCTCAGAGACACAGCTAGACACAGACAGCGCGCCACCCAAGATAGCCATGGAAGCGCCAAAAAGCTCGGTCACCCTTGTCGAAGAGGTTGGACAACAAAGTCCATTGGACACTCACCAGATGTATCTTCAACATCGAGAGTCTGCTTTCTTCCCGTCCTTGAACGGACTCGGTGACCAGAGCCACTCGGCTGATCGAGCCTGTGGTCTAGCATACTCCACAGATGCCAGTGATCTGGAAGACGACCCTGCGGATTCCTTTGATTTTCTCGCCCGCTTCACAACCAATGACTCTGGAATGAGCGACGCCTTTGACGTGGACAGTACCCTAGTGGCACAGGATCCTTCTTCAGTCGGGGAGGACTCGTGGGAAGGTCTGTCTGACCGATCTTCATACCCCGTTAACGAGGCGCGAAGCATTCTCTTTGAGCAGCACTCGAAGACAGCGAGAGAGCACACTCGACAGATCAACCTCGACTCTCTTGGTATGGAAGAATTCCAACATGTCACGGGTACCCTCGAAATGGAATTGAGCAAAGAAGAATTCTGTGTGTCGCCACCATTCGAGATAGACGTGTCGAACCCCAGCCCTGTAGGACCACCATCGGGTTCCTGGCACCGGAAACCATCCTCCTGCAGCGAGCCCATCTCTTCTGGGACCCTGAGCAGTGCCCTGGCGTTGAAAAGCCATGAGATTGTCGTTGCCATCAAAGCCACCGCCCGGCGTCGTGGCTCGGCTGCTGCCACGTCGGCCATGGGTGACTGGTCCACGCTCAAGGAAAGCGCCTGCGTCCATTTCTTTCAACCGAGCAATCTTCAACGCTATCTGGAGTATTACTGGGTGCTGTGGTACCCGAACTGGCCAACCATCCATAAACCTTCTTTCAATGCTGCGACGTGCCCCTGTCGACTCCTCGCGCCCATGGCCGTGATCGGTGCGTCTTTATCCCCGCATCGCTCGGATCGCGAAAACGCCAAAGTTTGGTTCGACATGTTGGAGGAAGTGGTGTTCGCGGACGAGGCAATTTTTCCCCCAGGGACGTCGGTGGCGATGCCATCCTGTCCTCCGGACCAGCTCGAGGCCAGACTGCACTCTCTCCAAGCCGCGTATGCTGTGTGCCTCTTCCAAACCTGGGAGGGCCGAGATACAACAGCAAAAGAGCGAATCCGCAGACGACGCTTTGGCTCGTTGGTTTCAACGGCCCGCTGTCTCATGAGACACGCCAATCACGGTCAACTCGGGACGTACAGATTCCAGGACTTTTCATGGCAGACGTTCGTGCTCCGTGAACAAGTGATCCGCACCGTCATGTACGTGTTCCTCCTCGACACGGCATTCACCATCTTCAACAACCTGCCCCCGAGGATGATCATTCGCGAGATGACAAACGACCTGGCCTGTCCGGAGCCTTGTTTCCAGGCGGCCACCGCCCAAGAGTGCTTCGATCAGATCCGGCAGTGGACCGCTCGCCCACGCCATCCCGCATGCACCTCACTCTACGCCGCCATCCGATGCTTTCGGCAGAGGACCATCGACCCGGCCACCCAGCGCTCCCTTGCCGAGACTGGCGTCCTCAACCTGTGGACGATCGTCTCCGCCTTCCACAATTACATTTTCCACATCGATCCAGGCTTTGGGTCCGAATCCCAAGTCGAGGCCATGGAGAACGCCATCGCAAACTGGCGAGTCATCTGGAAACTCGGCCTGACGTTGGATGGCTCGCGAGGCTCTCGCAAATCCGCCACCACCACCTCTACCGAATCGAACCAGACAGCTGGGTCCGGATTGGATTCAACCGAGTCCTGGAAGCGGACAGGCTTCATGCGAAAGGCCCCAGAGTACTGGCTGCTGGCACAGGTCAAACTCAAGAGGCTGTCGTCGGCCCAGAGAAGCCTCGAAGCCGCCGAAAGTCTGTCGGGCATCAACAGCTGGCTTTGCAATGTTCCTGGAACGATCCTGCCGAGATACGACGAGACGAGCATGGAGCAGCTCAGCGACTTTATCAGTAGCTTTGGGGCCATGAGGGTGTGACACGAAGGAGGGAAGAGGGGCAGAAAGAGAGAGAGAGCAACCAAAGCTTCTACTGCTAGGGCTAATTACAGGAGACTATTCATTCACTTCATACCACCCAACCCCATCATGTCACTACCAGAGTTACAAAGAAACATGCAACCTGGTCTTGGTCTTGACTGATTTTTTGCCGTCCGCGTACAATGCAACACAGTCCACCCCATCCCATCCTATCTACAGCTTGGCCGCTCGCGGATTCCCCCGAGACATTTTGTCTCTGAGCACGCGTCTGAGGATCTTACCGGACGCCGACTTGGGGATCTCGTCGATGAAGTCGATCTCGGCGATCCATTTGTGCCGTGCTTTCCGCTCTTGGACGTACTTGATCAACCGTCCCCTTAGGGCATCGAGATCCTTTTCCCTCTTCTGTGTGGCCTGCTGCTTCACGACAATGAAAGCCTTGGGATGCTCGCCGGAGAGCTCGTCCTTGACTCCCAGCACGGCCACGTCCTCGACCTCATCGTGGCCCAGGAGGAGGTCTTCGAGTTCCGCGGGCGCTACGCCGATGCCGTTGACCTTGATCATCTCCTTCAGACGGTCTGTGATGCTCACCATGCCCTCGTCGTCGATACTCCCAATATCCCCCGTGTGGAGGAACCCTTCGCTGTCAAAGGTCTCTTCGGTGGCCTTTTTGTTGTTCAGGTAGCCCATCACGATCTGCGGTCCGCGCGCCCAGATCTCGCCGGGCTCGTTGACGCCGCACTCCCGGCCGGTCTGCGGATCGACGAACTTGACCTCGGTCGACGGCACGATCGTCCCGACCCGCGTTGCGTATCGGAAATCATACATGTCGGGCGGGTGCAGCGTGATGCACGAGCACGACTCGGTCATGCCGTACCCTTGCTTGAATCCAATGTTGGGGAAGTATTGTTGGATCAAGGCGAGGATCTCGGCGGACAAGGGCGCCGCGCCGGACATGAGTCGCCGTAACGAACTGAGGTTGTACCGTCGAAGAAGCGCCGGGTCGCGGACCATGCGGATCAAGATCGGAGGCACAAGCAGGACTTCCTCGAGCTGGTAGTCCTGGATGCTCTGGAGTGTGTCCTCCATTGTGAAGCTCGGGAGGAGGTAGACCTCCGCGTTCAGAAAGACGGGTAGGTGGAGATGGTGGACGAGGCCCGTGATGTGGAAAAGGGGCAGGACCGTGAGAATGCGCCGGAGAGACGCCGGGGTCATTCGTCCCACCTGCAGACATTGGGCGATGATGTTGGAGTGGCCCACCATGACGGCTTTGGGCAGGCCTGTCGTGCCGCTGGAGAAGGATAGAAACGCGCAGACGTCCCTGTTTTGTTTGTCCGGGGGTATTCTATACGCCTCGACCTGGCTGGTGCCGTACGACCTGCCGATCTCGAGCAACTCCGCCAGCGTGGTGAAGTTCTCTGCCGCCCCGTAGATCAGGAAGACATGCTCCTGCGGGATCCCGACGCTCCTCGCCGCCGCCACCGCGACCGAGAGATTCGGAGGCGCGGTGAAGAGGAACTTGGCCTCGGCCGTTTTCAGCGCAAACGCCAGCTCCTCGGCGTTGTATGCCGGGGACGCGCCAGAGACTATCCCGCCCGCGCGCAGGGTGCCGAACATGACGCAGGGATACCACACCGTGTTGGGCGTGAGGATCCCCACGGTCTGGCCCGCCTGCAGACCGTACCGCCTCACCAGCGCCGTCGAGAGGTGCGTCGTGTGCACCTTGAGCTCGTCGTAGCCGAGGCGTTCCTTTGTGATTGCGTTTGTGAATCCGCCCAGTTTCTCGCCGCGCTGCTGTCTCTGCAGTGGGCTGTATTCGGAGTCGAATAGCCACGTCCACACCGGGAGGTTGGTGGGGACCTCGATCGGAGGGAACGAGGATTTGAAGATTGGCATGGCTGGAGTACAACTGTCCTGACCTGACCTGAATAGAGTGATGTCTGTTGTCTCGTCTGTACGAGGAAGTCTGTTCTCGAAACCCTAGAAATCTAGGACAGACAGCGCGTAAGAGGCATATAGATAAGAAGGAACACTACTGGCACTGTCAGGAACTTATGACCACCTCGCCCGTCCCGACCATGGGATTTAGTCTTTTTCCAAATCGACCTCCCCAAGCATATGGAGCAAGGGACCCAAGTCTCTCGCGGAAAAAGGGAGGTTTTCAATTCGCCACTTTTCTTCACCCACCGGCGGGGACGTGCTGTAACTAAAACTCACCCCATCCCCCTCGTATTGACAAGGTATTTCCGACTGCTCGCCCCCCTCCTAATCCCGAAAAATGCCCAGTTGGGGATGGAGGATGGAGGTGTCAGGTAATTAATTAGTGGATGTTTTTTCGCCGAGTAGATCTGTCTTTTGTCCCTTGGGATAAGGATTCCTGATGCTGGAGGGAGGGGTAGTGAAGCATTGTTAGAGAATGTTTAGATGTGGCTGTGAAGACTGTCAGGATTGTGATGGGTTGTCTGTCACCAGAGGTATAAATACGATGAGGATGTATGTGTCAATGGACCAGGCCTAAGAAGGTGTCCTCGTTCTTACGGAAAGGGGCTGACAGGTATAAATCCAGCTATAGCAAGTCAATCAGGTACATGTATGTAGACAAGGCTGTCCTGTCCCCCCCTTTACAGTCTGCTCAGATTCACACCCACGCCCGACCGCTTAATCTCCTCTCGAATGGCCAAGTCCGACAAGATCTCGTCACTCCCACCTCCCACCACCAACGGCCTGAGGTCCCGACTGATCTGCTCGATGCGCGCCCCCCTCCCGGTCTTGTTGTATCCCGCCCCGCCGAGCACCTGCTGCGCTTCGCGGTTCACCCGCTCCAGAACCCGCCCGGCCAGGACTTTCAGGTTCGCCAGTTGCCCGCCCAGCCGTGCGTCCTGGGCCGCGGCCTTGTCCATCGTGTGCAGCAGGTACGTCAGCTCCTCCATGTGCGCGTGCGCCGAGTTGAGCAGTCTGCCGAACGTGGAGAACTTCCACCGGATCACGGGGCTCTCGATCAGTTTGTGCCCAAACGTTTCGCGGATGATGGCGTGTCGGAAGGCGTCTTCGGCGCAGACTCGTGCCAGGCGGAGACTTGCACAGGCGAGCCAAAGGCGTTCGTGGTTGAAATCTATTGCGTGGCCAGGAGATTAGTGGTTACGCCTAGTCGAACTTGAGCTCCTTGGAGAGGCTCTTGTGGAATACATACTGGACATGATCATGGGAAACCCTTGGTTTTCTGAACCCAGCAGATTCTCCACGGGTACCTCGACGTCGTCAAAGTCGATGTATGTCGATCCTGCCACGCTCAGTGTGTGGTTAGTTGGAACAGTCCAGCGTTCGTCCTCAGCCTCCAACAACGCTTGCTGAAAGGACTGAGAGGGTCAGACACTCACCACTGGCTGATACTCCAGAGTTTTCCATCCGACGACATGTGACGCCTTTGTTCTTCATGGGGACTATCAGCACTGAGATGCCGTTGGCGCCAGGGCCGCCGGTCCGCACAGCAGTGGTGCAGTAGTCCGCCCACAAGCCGTTGGTGATCCATTTTTTCGCACCGTTGACTACATAGACGTCGCCGTTTCTCGTCGCGGTTGTCTGGATATTTGCGACATCCGATCCAGCTAAAGACAAATATATGGTTAGCTCAGGCCGATCGCAGAGGTGCTAGGGCCTTGGATATGGAGGACACGATTCTACCTACCATCAGGCTCGGTGACCGCGAGGGCGAAGCGTATATCTCCTCTCAAGATGCCTGGCAGGAACTGTCGCTTCTGTCGTGCCGTCCCATAGTTGACAAGCGGTGGTGCGCCGTAGATGTTTCCCCCAGTCAAGCCCCAAACCACGCCCAGGTAGCCGCACCGCATGATCTCGTCGATGCAGATCAAGTCGTGAAAGGCGTCCCATTTGTCCAGCGGGATATCTCCAGGCAACCGGATGCCTTTGGCGTATTCTTTGTCCAAGGGGAAGACCGACACTGCCGTATATCCAAGGTCTGAATGCTTCCTGATGACCTGTAGAGTACATGGATCGTGAGCCTCCTAACAAATTTCCATACCCTCTTGGATATAACTAGGGTGAGGGATACAGCAGATCTCAACTCACCTCTGCAGGGACGTGGCCTTGTTTCTCCCACTGCTCGCAATACGGAGTGATGTGGTCATCCACGTATTGACGAACGTCCTTTCTCAGCTGTCTATGGCTCTCGTTGTAATAGGGCGAGACGCCCCGAGAGTACCACAAGGGGTCGGCATAGGGGAAAGACGAGCCAAAGGTCTTTCCTGCCATCGGGTTATAGGCGATGTGTCCGTGTTTTGCTTGTTAGCCTTGCGCAAGTACCTCGCAAGATATCTGTGCACAGGATCGAGGATCGATTCTGGACTGGAGAGTATAAATCTTTGGTCCACCGCCGGTTTCTAGCTCCAAGGGGGGTTTTCAGGGATTGCGAGGAAACAACAATCACAGACAGTCTTTGTAGCGCGGGCCCATACTCGAAGCCGTCACCGAGGCCTGATCTACCAGAGTCTGACATAACAAGGGCCAACTGCGCGCGGGGTGACGGTGTGGAGGAGTCGGGCGTTCGAGCGACACGGAATCATCAATCGGGAATGGATGATCGGAATTGCAAGACTAAGTGATTACTAGGCGTAACACTGGCCAGTACTGGCTGTGAGGCAAGATCGGCATTCATTCTCCATGTAACACGGACCCCTCCCTGGGTGGGTTGTTCTTGTGGTTGCGTCTCTGCGCTTGGCTCAGCTTGTATACGGGTCTTCAGCGTTGGCAATGAATTGTATGGCCACCCATGTCCCTGTGTATATTTGCATACCCCTCCTGCTCGCCCTGTCTCGAACTGCATGGCTAACATTTGGCTAACCATAGGAGAGTCAATGGGTAATGGAGAGAGAAAGAAGATGGGGTGGTTTACAAAATGTCGATGACCATAGATTCTGTACCTACAACTTGCTTTTACGGCCCTGGCCATCATTATCTGTGGTCAACTTGCGCCCTTGGTACACCCCGTGCCAGTCTACTTCCTTCTTTCCCGCCCGGAATGCCTTGGTGCCGATCTGAGCTTCCTCACTGGGCGCAATCATCCACTCGAACACGTCTTTGATGACTTTGTCTTGACGCTCGTCTCCTGTGTATCGCCACGCCGCGGCGACCAACTCCTTGGTACGAGCTGATGCCTGCGGAGCGGCGTGGCGGAGGTATTTGTCGAGATAGTCTTGTAGTAATCGATCCAGGTCGATCTGGGTTCGGTCCGCGACGGCTGTGGAGGAGGGCGGTGACGAAGAGGAGGCGCTGCTGGTTATAGCATGGATGACTCCGACACGATGCAGTTCTTGCACCGTGACTGTTCGACCGGTCAACATAGCCTCGCGGGCAAAGCCCACCCCCCATTCGCGCACGACAAACTTGGAGATGGTGGCAGGGCACAGGCCCAGTTTGACCTCGGTCATGGTAAATGTCGCATTGGCCTGGGCTAGGCGAATGTCACAGACAAAAGCGAGGCCTGTGCCGCCGCCATACGAAGGTCCGTTGATCAGTGCGATGGTGGTTTGAGGCGTTCTGTCGATGGCTTCGAACAGTTTGTAGAGACCGTCGAACTGGGCCTGTTTCGAAGCGGCGTCTGCTCCAGCAGCCGTGGCGCCGCCGCCGCTGAGGTCCATGCCTGTGCAAAAGTACTTGCCTTTGCCTGTGAGCACAATGTGGAAGACCGAGGGGTCCTTGGAGAGCGTCTCGAACAGTGTCGTCAGGTGGGTGAGCATTGTCCTGGTAAGAGCGTTGCCATTGCGCGGTCGATCCAACACAATCTTGACCGTTGATCCGTTTCGGAGCAGCTGATACTCTGGATCTTGTTTGACCATGGTCCATGTCCTCGTAGGTTGAGTTCTAGGGCTGTCTTTGGCCGGCACGGCGTTGCGTTTCGAAGAGATTGCCGCACCTGCTCGGCTGCCATCTGGTTTCCCCAGCTTCTCGTTGATCCAGTGACCGATCTCAGCCAGTTTCTGTAAGTCCACGCCCGTCGCAATCCCCATCCCTTCCAGAGTGTAGACGAGGTCTTCGGTGGCAAGATTCCCCTTCGCCCCGGGACTGTACGGACATCCTCCTAGGCCGCCCACGCTGCTGTCGAACGTGCGCAGACCAAGTTCGTAAGCTGTGACGGCATTGGCCACCGCTTGGCCGTAGGTGTCGTGGAAATGGCCCGCCAGGCGATGAGCAGGGATGTATTTCAGAAGTACATCGAGTAGCCGCCGGACGTGGGCCGAAGTCCCCGACCCCGTGGTGTCGCCGAGACTGACCTCGTAGCAGCCCATGCTCAGCAGGGCTTGTGCCACGGTCAAGACGTCGTGCGGCTTTGTCGGGCCTTCGAATGGGCAAGAAAAGACGCAAGAGACATACCTTTACCGCCAAAATCCATGTCAATGTCAGTATTTATCACCGAATGGGGTGTCCCTTTCTGACTTCTTCCTGTCTGTTTTACAAGTACGGAATGTCTTCAACTTACCCTCGCACATGGATGCCCAACTCCCTCGCCTTCTGCGTCACTTCGCTGGCCCGCTCCAGACCCTCCTTGACGCTGCAGTTGCTGTTCCTGCGACTGAACGCTTCAGTCGGGGAGACGAAGACTCCTACTTCCCGCGCGCCCGCATCGGCCGCGGCTAACAACCCTCTGAGATTGGGAACCAGGACAGAGTACCGCACAGAGGAGGTGTCCGCGGCGCGGTCTTGCATCTCCCGTACCGCGTGCATGACGGCGTCGTGGTCGGCGAGCTGGGGGATCCATCGCTGCGGCGCGAACGAAGTCGCTTCTATACACCGCAGACCCGTCGTGGAGAGTCTTTTGATGAGCTCGATTTTGATTTCCGTCGGCACGATCTCCTCGATCGCTTGTAGCCCGTCTCGGGGACCGACTTCGACGATGCGTACGGCTGGGGTGTCTATCATATTGTTCAAGGAGCTATTGGGATCTCATAAGAGCCTCTTGCCCATGCTGGATAAAGTACAATAATTGTGTTGGTGCGGTTCTGGACCAAATCGCTGTGGCCAATGCGCTCGCTCAAGGTGTTTGTTTCCGCAAATCAATTGCCGTATGTAGGATGATCGGATTTGTCCAAAGCCGAGCCACACCTGCTAAAAACCCCCCTTTCAAGATCCTAAATTTATCCGGCGACCCTCCTCGAGATTGAATTCTGATACACATGGTCATAAGCATCTCAGAAGGGGAAAATTACTAAATCATTGATATGGCCACTTTGGCATCAACGAAGACCGGCGGTATGAAAGTAGTCGTAGGGATTCGGTATACAATCGATGTATCGTTGCGTAAAGCCCCAGGACTACAGCCCGTTGAAGTACGTGCCTGTACCTATAGCCGTAGGCTCCAAATAGCAGAGATAATACTCATTGACAGCAACTGATAGATAACTCCTGCCGTGTTCTCAACAACATTTAGAGCCATGCCGGTGTCAAAACATCCAGGCATGCCTCGTCATATCCCTATATCCTCGCCAGATTCATCGACCCTGGATTGGCCGTGATCGGGGTATTCTTCACCACCTCCAGACACATTCCCAGGATGTCTCTCGTGTCTCGCGGGTCGATGATGCCGTCGTCATGCAGGTACGACGAGTACCTGTACGCGGTCGAATCGCGGTCCACGCCGGCCTTGAGCTCCTCCGTCTGCGCGGACAGGTCCGCTTCGTTGACCGGTCGGGACGACCGCTCGGCAGAGGTCCGCGTGATGCTCTCCATGACCCCGGACAGTTGTTCGGGCCCCATGGCCGAGCAGCGACTGTTGGGCCACGCGAACAGAAACCGTGGCTTGAAGGCCCGTCCACACATGGCGTAGTTGCCGGCCCCGTAGGACGCGCCGACGAGGACGCTGATGTGCGGAACGAGGCTGGTGCTGATGGCACTCACGAACTTGGCGCCTTTCTTGATCAGGCCTGCCCGTTCGGCTTTCAAGCCCACCATGAACCCCGTCACGTTATGGAGGAAGATGATGGGAACTTTCCTGAGATGGTTACAAGAAGGGTTAGATCCCTCGAAATCATCTCAGAGTGATTCAGTGGACTTCTTACATTTGGTTGCATAAATGGACAAACTGTGTCGACTTGTCTGACTCGTCCGGACTGATTATCGGTCTCTGGTTGGCGATGATTCCCGTCAAATGCCCTAGCAAACACGGCCAGAATCATGGCAGAATTAGTCAGGTGGTATGTAAGGTATAGGAAAGGAACTCTGGTTATTATATCTGGTGGCTCTGAGGAAACTCCCCACTGTACATACCATGAATATAAGCCCAAGCTGTTATCATCGCCTTGCCCCATAGCGGCTTGAACGACTCCAGCCTCGCATCGTCGACGATCCGTAGGAGGACTTCCATCATGTCCAGCGGCTGACGAATGTCGGGATTCACGATCCCATACAACTCGTCCGGATCATAGAGCGGCGGCCGTGGAGGCACTTCAGGTTGACTATATCGACCGACGAGTCTCGCTGCCGTGGTCGTCAGGACCCATTCTCTGGCTTTCTGGATTGCATCAAATCTACACCAACGTGGTGGCGGCTTTGTTAGTTTCCAGCTCTTGTTCGACAGGAAGGAGGTTTAACAAGATGACCTGATGTTTCATACTCATCGACAGCCAGCTGGTCCGCTAATCCTGTAACAGTAGCATGCATTTCGGCACCTCCGAGGTCCTCTGCATCCACCGTCTCCCCTGTCGCCATTTTGACCAACGGCGGCCCACCGAGGAAGACATTGGCCTGGCCTTTGACAAATATCGTGTAATCGGACAATGCGGGATGATAGGCTCCCCCAGCCGTCGAGCCGCCAAATACTACCGCGCACGATTGGTGGCCCTTTCTGGTGCGGACGGAGAGGTCTCGAAATAGCTTTCCTCCATACGGAAAGACGTGGAATTGAAGGGGCAGATAGATGCCCGCCTACATGTGAATAGACGGAGGAATCAGCGCATGCTCAGATTCACGGGTGCGGATCTTTCTTCTCAACTTACCGAATGGACGAGTGCGACGATGGGAAGGTTGTTCTTCGTGGCGACGTTTGTGGCCCGATTCTGTTTTTGAACTGGCAGGAATCGTGAGCTAGGGGTTCAAGACCGGGGGAAATGACTGTGTTTGGTAGGCTCACCCGTGAAATAGTTCCACGCGCCGCCTTTCAGAGACGGGATATGAGCTATTATCATCGTGGGAACATTGCTATATTCGTTGTATCAGCGTCCTGGGCGCTTCAGGTAACCAAACGGCTGGATATTCGTACTTGATCAGGCCAATACCCGTTATCAGGCTCGCTGCTGGGGAGGAATCTGGATTCTCGTAGCCAGCGAATGGCTGGAGTTCCAGGAAGGGCGAGTCTTCGTCGAGGAGAAGAGCCACTCGCTCACGCGCTGTCGCAATGGGAATTAACAGGTCTGTTTGCTTCCGGGAAGACGGGCGTGGAATCCATACCTCGGAGCTGTCCTCGACCTGTGTGCTTCAACACGCTGTTCGCGCTGCCCTCGGATGCACTCGCTCGAAGGGCATTTTGATATGTTTCCAGGATCGGCTCCCACCGTCTGACATTCTCCAAGAAGTCCTTTGATCGTTTGTTGACCTTTGTCGTAACCTGGGGGAAGGAACCAACGACGCGCGCTGTTGTAGTTGAGGTCGACATGATCCCTTCCCGGATTCGATACTCGTTGCGAAACAGAAGGGCTTCCCACTTCCCACAGCTTGGAAAAGGTACGCTGGTCTTCTAGTCTCAACTGTGAGTGGACAAGGTAGCGTGGATTGGTTGATCGGAAATGGCTCCAGCGGCGGCTGGTCGGATGCGGAATCCTTCGTCGCAATGCTGATCGACAGTGCCTGACTCTTGACTAGTCGACACGGCAGATGGTCGGCATTATAAAACCAGGCGTGTCTCACTATTCTTTTGAATTCATTACCCCGCTCGTGTTATAATGGTCAATGTGAGACTGGGACACTCGTTGTATGGACGGTAATCACAAAGCCACATGAGAATGTCCCAGCCTTTGATGCAGAAGAAGAAGGCCTTGTTTTGAAGTGATCTCCCATTTCTTGCAAATATCTCTAGATGCCCCTTAATATATGTATATGCGATTTACAGTAACCCAAAACGTCGCCCACTACTGCCCACCCTGACCACCTTTGTCGACTGCAGATCCTTCTTGTAGAACCTGACATAGAACAGAGTCTTCCTCAACAGCATCGCCCGTCGCTAACGTTGACCGGAACAGCCCATCTGCCATGGCCGAGACCTTCATTTCCATCTTCATCGACTCGACAATCAGAAGCACGTCGCCAACTTTGACGGCCTCACCATTCTGCTTCATCACCCTGAGCACTTTGCATGGCATGAGAGCCTTGTATGTTCGCTCTGGGTCAGAGTCCAGCGCGTCCCTACCCCTAAAATACTGACGACGAGACTCTGCAAAAGAGAGCATTGAATACTGCTCGAGCATTATGTTGGTACCTAGCGCCGGGATGTGGCAGTATAGACGACGTGGTCGCCTTTCGTCAACGGCCGTCCCGCTTAGAGGGCTGGTCGCGACATAATAGGATTGTCTTCTATTGCCATTCTCAACGACGAGGTCAGATATTGCCCACTCCAATTTGCCGGGTTTGTTTGACCCAGTGGCTGTGGTGTTCTCCACGGTTTGACGGTATGAGGACTGTACCACACGCGCTTTGCGAGTCGGGGATGACGCCGGGTCCTGGCTGTCCGACATGTTCGCAAAGATCTGCCGAAAGTGTCTGATGAAGGGAGCACTGTCGCTCTCGCCATCTCGTCGACTTTTCTTAACTTCTAACGTTGGGTCTTTAATGCTGAAAGGCTGAATATTGTACAGGTCACAGTCTACGGAGTTGCCTCCTTGAAGCCAGTTGATGTAGAAAAACAAGTCCGCATCCTCGGCGGGCCTCGTCGCCACGCTCTGGACAGACACGATATCTGTCAGCCTGTTACTCTGGTCATGGATCTGATTGCGAAATCCGGTACGAATGCTGCTGAAGGGCCGGTATCGCCGCTCGGGAGTCACACGTCGTGCCAGAAGAGTAGGCACAATGCTCGCTCGCATCGCGTGATCCGAGAAAGACTCTGGGAGCTCAAAATGGAGCAAGTCCGGCCCATGCTGGGAGATGAACTGCGTCGAGTAGGTCCCGTCGACAAAGTCTGGTTGGAGCAAGCATTGCTGCAGAAAATGCTGGTTGGTCTTGACTCCGATGCAGACCGTGTGTTTAAGAACATTGAGCATCTTTGAAATTGCTTCCTGGCGGGTAGTTGCCCACACCACGATCTTTGCAATCATAGAGTCGAAAAAGACGCTAACCTTTGCACCCGTCTGCAGTGCCGTCTCGAACCGTACGCCCTGTCGTTCAGAGTGCTCGAGAAACTCTGTCCCTGGAGTCCAGCGAAGTATGAGACCGGAATCTGGTAGGAAATCTTTCCCGGGATCCTCAGCGCATAGACGACACTCGATTGCGTGGCCGAGAGTTGATTGTATTCCCTCTCTGAGAGTATCGTCTTCCGCTAAAAGACCCCCCGAAGCAATGTAGAGCTGTAGGGCCACGATGTCAACCCCTGTGGTCATCTCCGTGATTGGGTGTTCGACCTGGATCCTGGTATTGACTTCCAGGAAGTAGAATGCACCCGTTCGAACGTCAACCATGAACTCCACCGTGCCAGCGTTTTCATACGCCATCGATTTGGCAATCAATTGGGCAGTTTTTACCATCCTGGTCCGGACAATATCTGGAAGCCACGGTGAAGGCGCCTCTTCTACAACTTTCTGGTGCCTTCTTTGGATGGAACACTCTCGCTCATACAACGACAAGACGTCGCCATTCGCATCGCCCACAATCTGGATTTCGATGTGCTTGCCATGCTCGATGTACTTCTCCAGCAAGCAGTCCGCAGAGCCAAAGGAACGTAGAGCTTCGGATTGGGCACGGTTGAGTTCTTCGTGGAGATCCCCTGCGTGGTGCACGATCCTCATCCCACGACCTCCTCCTCCAGCGGCAGCTTTGATCAGGATGGGATAGCCAATTCTTTCCGCCTCTGCGGCCAATATCGCTTCGTCTTGACTCGAACCATTGTACCCTGGGATCAATGGGGCCTCGGGCACATGCGTGAGCAGGAAGTTCTTAGCTTCGCGCTTGTCTCCCAATGCCAGAATGGATTCCGGGGAAGGCCCAACCCAGATCAAGCCAGCAGCCACAATAGCTCTAGCAAAGTCAGCATTTTCGCTGAGATAGCCGTATCCAGGGTGAACCGCATCGGCGCGGACATCGAGGGCTGTCTGGACCAGTAAATTGATGTCCTGATATGGGCTCTGCTGGCCTTGAGACGCATGCCCAAGGCATATCGCTTCCTGTCCAACACTTGCGTGCAAGCTGTCACGATCCTCCTCTGTGTAGACGACGATGCAAGCGATACCTAGAGCCTGTGCTGTCGCCACGACCCTGCAGGCTATTTCGCCACGGTTCGCAACGAGGAGACGCCGAATATGCCGTCCTTTATCGGTTCTCGGCTTCGCCAGGTATAAGTTCGGCCTTGCACGCTCAAACGTTGGACTGTGAGAGCTTGGCATGGTGTTTCCTCTATGAGCCCTGACCAGGAAGTCTGAGCAATCGTTTAGCAGAGAAGCATATAACTGCCTATGCGTCGCCTGACAATCAGTCCTCGCAGAAGGCTTTCAGTGTAACATTGCGGCGGACGGGTGTTTGTAGTTGATCATGTGGGAGCAGGACTGGTGTCGAATCGGATGCTACACGCGCATTGGTTTCCGATCTGCTTAGCCTACTCGTTCTGGTGGCACGGTAGCCTGAAAAGCGCGCAGAAATTTATTGAGCCGCCGGATTGCAGGTATATAGAGTGAAAATGAGCAAGGTAAATCCGGCTATAATAATTCGCTCTTGGAGCTAAGGACATAAAGCCCACAAGCGAATCAGTCGACCAACTTGTTGGTGATCTCGGCACAAGGACGCCCAATTACCAAAATCTCAAGTCGAAAGACGTGTAACAGGCGCCGACATCCATATCAGCATCCAAAAGAGATCCTTGATCTTGGAGCAAGTGTTTGAGGCGGGGCAAAACGCGGGAGACTTGGCACGGAAATCCAAAAGTGGATTAGCACGTCGCCGGATCGGAATTTTATTTCGAATCCCGATCCTGTCAGGTGGTCCAAAGAATGGTCAGTATTGCGCCGGGGAGGCAAGCATCTGTCCGTTTGAATTTATCAAGCGACTATCGCAGAGTAGTTGTGCAGCTTCCTCCTGATATGCACGAGATTGTGCCTGTCTTTGTTCTCCGACCGATCGGTTCTGTTACCTTGGGAGAAAGGCTCTACTTCTACCTTTCATTTAAAGCTCTATGATTGGCCATCTCTATATCCTGTAGTCTAGCCAATCAGGGAAGTCCACCCGGTGTTGCAAACAAGTGTGGGTCTCTACCAGACGAGCATCGCAGACACATTCACACAGGCGTGTGAGTGTGGGAGATGGGTGCTTAGTTCTACAAATATTTCCATGCATGTATTGTCTAGACTCGGGGCCCAAATGCTGGAGATTCTTGGCGTTGTATACCCCGGTACAACCACGGTAACACGGGTAATGGATATTATTCCCCCGCATTTTCCTCCAATCCTCCGCTCTCCGAAGAGTCTAGAGCTCCTGCAGGGTCATTTCGGTGCTTTAAACCCGCCTCGCCGTACAGGACACATGGGCGGATATGAACAGCCCACGATACGTCTGAGCTTCGAATTCCGTGTCGTGGGTGTTGTTGAATGCTCCCTTATTCAGTTCCAGCTCGGATTAAAGCTGTCATTTCCATACTGCGCCAGCCTCTTCTTGTCCTCATTGGATAAGTATGCAGTCTTCAAATCCATTAAACGGTATACCCCCGACTCGGAATGAGCCTGCAAAACGGAAATACTCTCCCCACGCATGCCTCGCATGCCGTAAATCCAAAATCAAGGCAAGTCTCCAGAGCAGGTCCTTCGCATGTGCACCATGCCCCTGTATCCAAATCCCGAGTTTTGAGAAGGCCTCGGCGTCTGATGGTTGGGTAGTGCAATAACGGCCACCCACGTTGCTCCAACTGCACCTCCCGCAATATCGACTGCGTGATTGGGGAAGATCGTCGGAGGTTAGTATGATGCTGTTACCTGTTGGTTATCGCTCTTACAGGCTGCCCGTCACAGATCTTCCTCCAATGCAACCAGGCCCGTCAAGAGCATCGCCGCTCGGAATCTGACTGATAGCCAGCAGTCCAGCACTACACAGAATTCGAGCCCAGGAACTACACTCGTGAACAGCACTTACACACCCCTGGTTGATAGTCAAGAGGATGTCCTGCAGAATTTCCTGCTATCGAGTTGTGCTCAGGATATGGATGTGGCTGATGCAGAGCTCCTCAACTGCTCAGACGCCGGCCACAATGGAGATGTGGATACGCTAGGACTCTGGTTCGAGATGACAGGCTCTGATATAGATGTCGAACCGGACAAGAGTACGTCAGTACTTGCACCTCTGTCGATTGACACGCTCTCCGAGGCAATAGCACCTGGACCGTTTACAGAGCAATGTGACACACTGCCTGATCTTGGAGGTGCCAAGATACCTGGTGCCAGGAACGAACAGAGTAGCAATCGGCGGTCGAACGAGAGCTCCGCAAGCCAGGTTGTGTCAGGCGGCGGTCAACCAGATACTATGAGGGACTCGCAACGGATTGAAAACGACGCAACCGAGCAGCTAATCAGTCGCTTCGGCCGGTTACGTATCGCCGAGGACGGTCTTCGAAGATACTATGGGGCGACGAGCAACCTTCACCTCACACAAAATCCCTTGGTCTATTGTTTTCAGCCAAACATACGCACGATAGCTTCTCATGGCGAGACGGACCTTACGCGGGCAGGATTGCAGTGGAAAAGCGACCCTACATACGAAGAGCATCTCACCAAGCTTTTCTTTGCGTGGCATAACTCGCTGCTCAACATTGTCAATGAGACCATGTACTACCATCACCGAGCACTGTACCGGGCGGGCGTGCCGACAGCATACTTCTCTCCCACGTTAGAAAACGCCGTTCTGGCCGTGGGCGCCTCCTACTCCAGCCAAAGACTTCCCGGTGTCGACGACCCACCAGAGTTCTTCGCGTACCGCGCAAAGATACTGCTCGAGATTGAGATGGACAGTCCATGCATGGCTACTGTACAAGCCTTGGGCACTTTATCGGCCCACGAGGCGGCATACGCGCGGGACTCTCGCGGCTGGCTGTATTTAGGGATGGCGGTCCAACTCCTGTCGGACCTGGGACTGCATCTCGATTTAGATGCTACCTTCGATTCGAAAAAGGAGTCGGAAGAGCACACCAACCTGCGTCGGACTATATTCTGGTCGACACAGGCTCTCGATACGTAGGTGATCTCCACTCTCTGATCTCGTGGTTCTCACGAAACTGACTTACCTTTGTTTTTGTCTTACCAGCTTGTGGAGTGTCTATAGCGGCCGGCCATGTTCGATGCGCTACGAGGATGTTTCTGTCCCAGTTCCACAGCCGGTCACGACAACGCTCTGGAAGCCTTATATGGAGCACAACGGTGTCTTGAATCTTGACAAAAGCCTAGACCCGTCCGCCGTGGGCGAGACACATCTATATCTCGTACAGCTATGCAGCAAGATCCGGAAGATGTCCAAAATCCTGTACTTTGGCCCTCTCTCCCCTGGCTCTGTTGACCCCTCTATAAAAACGATGAAAAAACTAACAGTTCCATTCTGACCAGGTACTCGGGCTTGCACACTACGCTTACAGACACGACCTTCTTCTTCGTCGACAACATGACGCGGGAACTGCAAAGTTGGCACCAAAGCCTGCCAGAGAAACTGAAGATCGACCCGTCGTTTGACAAAAATAAGCCTACATTGCCAGCTGTCTTGGTGCTTCAGTAAGTTGACACTGCACCAAGCACGCCCTTTGTCTTCTATCTCATCTTCCTGTGGTTAACACCTTTTACTCTTTCTCCTCTCCCCTCGGCAATATGACAGAGTCACTCACCTTTCATGGCGTGGGGTAGTATGCAATTCCACGAAGTCATGATCATGCTTCGCCGGCCGTTCATCTCGCCGTCAGCCCCGAACACATCGCACGACGGCATGCTCAAAGACAGCGCCGAGATCTGCGAGGCTTCGGCCACGGCCATCTGTCGACTGCTGGTCATGTACCGCCACCAGTGGGGGATGCGGTTCATGCATCCGCAGATCGTCTCCATCATTCTGACCGCGGCCATGATCCACGTCCACAACTGCTGCATCTACTCGAGAGACAAGGGCATGCAAGCCCACGAGAACATCTCTCTCTGCTACAGCGCCCTCGGGGAGATGTCGTACTTCAACATCGCGACTCGCTCGCTCGAGACAATCATGTCCCTGAGGCGTGATTGGCAGAGTCGGACGTTCACGGGCATCGGCAAGAAGCGGCCTGGCCATGATATACGCTGCGGAGGTTGATGGATGTGGTCGAAAAGGGTCTGAGAATGGATCACCCGGAAGTTTGGATCATATCAACCCAGCAAGTGGTTTTCTAGGGCAGGGTATGAAATCGGCGGCAACACAATTGTCGTGAATATGCTACGGCGTTTGTTGAATCATTATTCATCCCCGTGCTACTTGAGGGAAAAGCGCACGAATACGACATGTCGTCCGTTAGAGAAACTAATTGAAAACATATCTCCTTTTCTAGATGCATTCCTAGTCGCTTCTTGAAGGAGATGGCTCTTGTGGTCTGTATTTTTCACAATGAAAATATCCTTGTTTGCCTCTAGTATCTTATCGGCTGTGTTGGCTGGAACTTGCCACGACTTTTCATTGACAGCAACTTTTCTCTCCACGATTCTCTCAGGTCGATCGCATGCTGGACATCAGTGGTCAATAGCGCTCTAAACTATATATATATATATGCAACTTACTTGATAAGGATTGTTTTGGTCTCTGTGAACGATCGGAGAACCTGGAAGTGATCAGCAAAGCCATCCTGGCCATGTGCAAGTGGGCCACTTACGTCCATTCCAAACTCACGGCCCATTCCGGACGCTTTTATACCACCAAAGGGCACTTGGATGTTGAGCTGCCACGTTCAGTAATATGCCTGCTCAGAGGTGTTATTCTTCGACTCACGATACTGGCGCAATTGACGCCCACAATGCCAGCCTCTAGCTTGGACGAGAAGCGCAGCGCCCTAGTGATGTCCCTCGTGAATACTCCGGACATTAGCCCATATTCTGTGTCATTGGCTTTCTGAATGACCTCTTCCTCTGTGTCAAATGTGCTGATCACCGACACTGGGCCAAAGACTTCGTCCGTCAGGATTTCAGCCTTGGGCTTCGGGTTCACAAACACAGTCGGCTCAATGAAGCAGCCGGTCTTGCCGATCGAATTCCCCCCTACCAAGAGCTCGGCCTCCCCTGCCTTGGCCCGATCGATCATGCCCCGGACTTTTTCAAACGCAAGCTTGTCGACCAGAGGGCCGTAGGCTGTGTCGGGGTCAAAGGGATCCCCCATGTGCTTTGCCGCTTCTCTCATCTTGTCGACATATCTCTTGATGAATTCGTCGGCGATCGATCTCTGGACGTACAACCGCGAAGCGGCAATACATATCTGGCCACTCCGAGCCATAATGGCCCTGAGGGCCCATTCGACAGCGTTGTCCAGATTGGCGTCCTCGAAAATGACATTCGACCCTTTCCCTCCTGTTCCAAGTCATCAGTGGGAAAGGGAGAACTTGTACTGGCATAAGTCTACCGAAGAGAGAGGGGACTCACCCAGTTCCAATGTCACGCGTTTCAGGTTGCTTTGTGCGGCAGCCGCCTGGATTTTCCTACCCGTCGCAACGCTGCCCGTGAAACTGATCTTGCGGACACGCATATGCTTGGAAAAGAGCTCGCCTGTCTTTCCCGGTCCAGTGACAACCTGGACCACCCCCTTGGGAATCCCTGCCTGCTCTATGAGTGGAGCCAGCGCAAGAGAGGCCAAGGGTGTCTTCTCTGATGGTTTGATGATCATGACATTCCCAGTCACCAGGGCAGGGGCGACCTTATGGAAGAACGTGGCCACTGGGGAATTGAACGGACAGATTCCTACGCAAACCCTGTTTGTCTAGATGTCAGTAGATGACCCTCTTTTTGGTGGGAAAGTGATGCGTTGTGGCAAGGACATGTCCTTCCCAAAGTCAAGTATTACCCAAGGGGCTCGTTTTTCACAATCTTCACAAAGCCGTCGTCATCAGGGAGGTAATCGCCCTTGAACTTGTCACACCAGCCGGCTGGGAGCATGTCAATGAGTCTCCGCGCATAGTAACAAGTTTCGGTCCAATTGCACTCACACATATAACGAAGTCCGTTGACGATATAATTCTTCTCTCGAGTTGGAATGAGCGACACCGGATGGCCGCCCGTGAGGGTATCGAGGCGAAGCAGCTCTTCCAGGTGCTCGTCTAAGATCTCAGACAGCCTATACAAACAACGAGCTCGGTCTGCCGATGTGAATCGACTCCATTCGCCGTGGAATGCTGCCTCAGCATGGCGTACGGCGGTATCGACATCCCCCTGGGTCCCTACTGGCACGCGATTAGACACTATCGTATCATCTGCCGGATTGCGAACGGTGAAGACCTCGTCGGTGCTGGGCTTGACGTATTCGCCATTGATATAGAACTTGGTCAGTTCGCTGGGCTGAGGCACCTTGAACGATGTCATCTTGCATTCGGCAAGTACAAGTAGTGTGATGAACTATGGGACAGGTCCTCCTCCTCGAGCTTGTGCGCGCGTCCTGTTTTACATGTATATACAAGGCGGTAGGGCGTTGAATCAGCTATGTGCCTAGGGACTGGGAGACATGCCCCCCTCTTCATCACCACTACATTCCGGGGGATTCAACGCCACTTCGATGAGAGGGAAATGCTCTGTAAGTCGATATCGCGGGGGGGGTTGAGGTCAGCGCCTTCGGACGATTCGGAGGTGCAGTATGTGAATAGATCGGATGGAGCCTCCGACTCGGAACTTTGGCTTTACCGGCTAGTGCTGAGATTCAGACTTCACCCATCCTCGCAAGCCTCGGCACCGTCTCTCGGTGAGATAAAGTCAATCACATGTTCTGTATAGACTGTAGACTACGCCCTCTCGTTTGCAGGTGCAAGACTAAGCGAGACTAATGTCCGCATTTCCGATCTTCGTCTACTGCAAGGGCATGCAATAAGCACCGACTGGGGTGGGCCGTAGTATTGCGAGCAGCGTCTTGCTTCTGCCTTCCCGCTCCCCGCCCCAAGAACATTGGAGTCCCCATACTCCCCCACCCCCAGATCACGGTTTCCTCCTTGCCTCCTTGGGCGATTATCACGCGGCCGGGATTGCCAGAATTCCGTGGCCGACTCACTCATGTCAATCTAGTCGTAGCGTCAGTGAAATTCAAGAGATATACCCAGCAAGGAGACTTTGTCGAGTCTTGACTGATTGAGCCTCAATCCCTGGACATTGTGGTCCACCTGAGTTCCATGCTGGAAGCAATAGAACCCCTAACCATCGACTAACACGTGAAAATCTCCTACACCCCCTCGGGTTAAAGCATTCTCCTCTGGAGCAGGCTAAAGCAACCTTCTTCGTTTGTCGGAATTGGACTTTTGTCAGGTTCTGATACCGTCTCTTGGCTACTCTTTGCCGGCTTCACCACCAACAATAATGCAGGAGGATCAGCTGTCGAGGTTGGCATGCGATCGGTGCTATCGGCGAAAGGCACGCTGTGATAGAATCCTGCCATCCTGCTCCACCTGTATACATGCTGGGACGGCATGCTGTTACAATTCTCGAGGTGGCCTGGCGACCACCCGCGGGGAAGTCCCAGAGAATGTGGCACGTCGTCTGCGGCAGCTGGAGAACAAAAACCGCATTTTGTCCAAGCAGCTTCGGGAGGCCCAGCAAGCTGCACGAGCAGCCGAAGAGTCAGCGCCCGGCGTGGCCTTGGACGCCACGGCCGAGATGATCGACATACCGGACGACAACCACGAAGGTGCGGATAGGAGCGAGGCCGAAAACGACAACGAGGTCGCCAAAGAAGTCTACTCCCTCTCCCTCCACGCCGGTCGGCCCAGGCAGTACCTGGGCTCAGCCAGTGGTGCTATTCTAGCAAGTCTCTTCACTCTTCATCGTCGACCCAGCCGCCGGGGCAGCGAGTCTAACATCAATGACGACGTCCCCGACGACGACGAGGATGAAGACTATTTTCATCGGTTGGCCGCCATCAGGGGACAGAGGTGCAGCGTCCCAGAGGTGGCCAAACCCGTGCTGCCAACAGAAACAATTGCACGGCATCTTTTGGCTGCATACTTGTCGCACGATCATCTCGCCTTCCCTTACCTTCACCCAAAAAAGCTGATCAGCACTCTAAATTCCGTGTACACGGAAGAAAAATACTACGAATCTCATCCTGTGGAAGCAGTTATTCTGGATATGATCTTCGCAATTGCCACTGTTCAAGTCCACAGATTCTCCTGGCAATCACTCCCTGACGCCGAGACGTACCATGAGCGTGCAATCTCGAAATTGGGCGCCGTCTTAGAGGCTGGAGGGTTCGTTGCTCTACAGACACTCATGCTCCTTTGTCAATACAGGATGTTGAGTGTATCCTACAGTACTTCAGCGAGTCTATGGCACCTGCTAGGCATGGCAACGAGACTAGGCATTGAGCTGGGCCTTTATCGCGAAGCCGTCTATCGTATGCCTGCCGGCCTCTCACCCGCCGACGAGGACCACGTAAGACAGGAGCTCGACATAAAGCGTCGCTGCTTCTGGTCCCTTTTCCAGATGGACAGAATCGTCAGTAACACCCTGGGTCGACCCGTCTCGATCAACCTTCTCGAGATAGACACAGAACATCCGTCAGTTGAGGACGACGCGGATCCCAATTGGGGCCCGTCGCCGTCGGTGGACGGTATGCTACAGTATCCTCACTGGCCGGCCAACACCAAAATATTCAACCACATCACCTGGCACCGCATTATTACCGGCAAAATCCTGTCCGAGCTACATAATGTGCCCAAGAATCGGATACCAGACGCCCAGACCAGCCTCACCATCAAAAGCCAACTCGCGGAAGAATTAGACCAGTGGAGAGCCGGTGTTGCCTCGTTGCCTCTGGTAGATTATTCTTCCACCAGGACAAAAGACAAATCCAACTACCGAACGCGAGAGTGGTACAATCTCCTCTATCACAACTGCATTCTGATGTTACATCGCCCGATCCACTCCCTGCAGGATATCCCTCCAACGTCTGAAGTCCTCACCCAGATTTACTATTCGTCCCAACAGTCCATATCATCCTATGCGGAGCTGCACAAAGCCCGCAAGATCAACTATGCCTGGATCACCTTGCACGCCGTCTTCGTCGTAGGGCTCTCGTACGTATACGCGCTCCGGACTCATTTCTGGAACAGGAAATGTGAAACACAGGGCCAGGTGGACGGGCTGCCTCCGGCTCGCCGGGCCTTGGTGACCCCTGAGCCGAGCATCAGCCAAATCGTCAGTGACATGAGAGCGTGTTCGACCGTGCTGGTGGCCCTCTCCGAACGGTGGAACACGGGCAGAGGCTGTCACGAGGTCTTTGCCAGACTTTCTGACGCTGTGCTGAGTGACGCGTCCGAGTACTTTATGGGCACCAAGACTCACGCTTTGTCCCCGCAGAACCAGGGAGGCAGACACGCTCTTTCGAGCGAGCAGGTCCCCCTGCAGTCCTCTTGGCCTTTGGGCAATACCGACATCGACCACAGCTACCAAGACTATTTCTCAGGGTTTCAGGAGCTATTTGGCGATCAATACGACGATAATTCCTTTCTCAACCCACAGCTTGGCTGGAACTTTGAGTTGTGATTCCCCGTTTTGCAAGTTCGGACTCCTGGGACCAAAGGGGGTAAGGTAACTGATGAAGGCTCTGTCTATGTGTTGACTTGTTGACGATTATCGTTTTCCTTCTAACAAAAAAGTTCGACATCTGTCTTTGAACTGTGTTTCTTCCCCTCTTCTCCGGACCCTATGAGATGCGGCCGCGATCAAGGAACTTCAGAGGCACGTCTACAAAGCGGCTCCTCAGGAACTCGCCAATGCCTTTACCCAGCCCGTCAATACGTTCCGAAGAGGCGATGCCTCCTGATAGATTGTCCAGTATTCGACTATCAAGACAAGTCAGGTACACTGATATTAAGGGAAGGGGAACGTGGCTGATCGGGGAACGGCACTTACAAATGCACGGCTTTGATGCCCTCGAATTCCACCCGTTCGATCCGTCTCGACGTGTCGCCGTTGAACCAATCGTCCCCGAGAAGTAGCTTGAGTCTCTCTACGGTCAGAAACGTCTTGAGCCATTCGTATTCGTCGTCGTATGGAGTGCGAGAGAAGAAGCCAATGTTCGAATTGTCAGCTTTATCGCCCGACCGAGCGTGGACGATCGATCCCAATGGGGCTTTTCTTGTCCGCCCGAAGCTCGTCAAGTCGACCGGGCTGGCCGTCTCGTAGGATGGGCGGACACGCGGGTATTCCACCGTCCTTTGTGGAGGGGCAATGTCGAAGAGACGGCCCGAGTCTTCGAGCTCTACTTGGACCTTGACGCTGTCCTGGGCGATGAGGGCCGGAAACATCTCCATGAACGGCCTGGGGTCCATGGTCCGAAAGTCCAAGTTCATGTGGTAGCCCGGGTAGGCCTGCATGCGCAAGGCATAGATGGGGATCTTGAACTTGACGGGGCCGATGTCCTCGAGGTTTCGGGCTTGCGCAAAGATGCGGAAGAAGACCGTGCCGGCCTGTTGACTGACGGGGTCTTCAGGTGACGTGCCGTAGAGTTCAATACTCAGCTTGCTGAACCTGTGGTCCTTAAAGATGTGGTCGAGCTGCTGTCTCATCATCTTCACCTTGTCTTGGACGTCGAGGCCGTTGAGATAGAAGGTTGCCTCGGCTTGATACCCTCCGGGAGCGGTGAACATGACCTTGGTCGTCGGTGGCGGTGGAAGACCTTTGATCCCCGAAACGCGGATTCGGTCGCGCACGTCGGGAGACTCGGCCTCGACCTTGATCTGGGACAGGTCGGCCACGACGTCCGGGTTCAGGTAGAGGTGGCCTTGAAGTTCGTAGAGGATCTGCGCCCGCACAGTGTCTTCTGTGACGCGGCCACCACCGACCCGGAGCGTTGTGATGACAGACTCCCCTCGGCCGTTGATCTCGGCGATCGGAAACGTGAGGTCGACCAAGTCGTCGAGTATCTCTTTGAACCCGGTGAAGTTGGCGCCCGTCACATACGGCCCGCACTCGGTGAGGTGTCCCGCGACTAGAGCACCCGCGAGGGCGTCATAGTCGTCTTCGGTCCACTGAAAGTGCCAGGCCGAGACCCCCATGAGCGGCGACGCATCTGTACATCGCCCGCAGATGACGATTTGGGCGCCGAGATCGAGCGCCTTGACGATTCCCCGGCAGCCAATGTATGCGACGCCGCAGATAGGCTTGAGCTCCCAGTCATCCAACCTCTTTTCTTCGTGGTCGAGGTGTCTGAGATTCTGGTCGATCTGACCTACGACGTCGGGGATGTCGTCACCGAGCACGGCCGCAATGGACACATCGTACCCTCTCAGCTTGCACAGCCTGCGAACCTCCCGTGCGAGCGACCTTGTGTTTAGTGCCCCGGCGTTGGTGACCACCTTGAGCCCCTGCGCCACGATGTCGTCGAGGCACTCTTCCAGTTGTTCCAAGAAGCCCCTTTCATAGCCCAGATCGGGGTTCTGCTGCTTCAAGATGGCATTCCAGGCAATGTTCATCTCCGAGAGCCAGTCCCCGATGATCACGTCGACGTTGCCGTGTTGGACCATCCGGGCCATGGCGTGCGGGTTGTCGCCCGTCGTGGACGAGACGCTCCCAATGCGGAGGATCGGCTTCGAAATCATCTTGGACACAGCTAACGTGGTCGCGGTCGTGATCGTGATCGTCGTCTTTGTGGAGAGGATCTTCGTAGTGTGCACACCCTGAGAAAATCCAGATCACATGTGTCCACAACGCAGCGACTTGTGATCACAGATCAGAAGAATCATCAGAGACCGGGTTCCAAATGCATGGCAATATGAATCTGAGAAGACAATGCTTAGCGGACTGCGCCGAAAAGTGCTTCACTTAGCAATGTCTGCCACTGGTTGACACAAGCCATGATCACTTGACGGGATGGCATGCTGTTTTCAATATCCCGGTCCTCAAGTGGCAGATTGCAGCCGTTCCTCCGCGAGTTCCGGATCCCAATCCATCCCCATCCACCCAGCCAATGGCTTGACGGATCGATGTTCGGAGCATTGGATAAGGCTCCTCTCAAAAGAGGTAGATAGCTAGGCATGCGGAGTATATTCCGAGGAAGAAGAGTCCGTCGTCCTTTCCTCTCTCGCACAATGGGATGTTTCCCTCATGGTTCGGTGTATTTCCGGCATGCAGACAAAGTAAACTGTAGCTCCTTCGCCCCCTCAGCCATACAGGACCCCGAGTGAAGCTCTTAGAGCACTCTTCGCGGAAGGGGTGAATTGAATGGCTCAAGTCTGACTCGGCCACGTGACTCGCATCCCCGGGACTAACTGTTTTAGGAAAAAGAAGCGGAGCGTCTTCGGTGGAGTCTCGATTTCACCATCCAACAACTCAGCACATCCCCAGCAACATCCCACCTTCTTCACCCGGGAAGAGGAAGGCGGAAGTCTCGAAGCGTGATCACAGTCCTCAAGGACCGGAGGATCTCCTCCTGTCATCACCTTTTGTTTTTTTTTATCGAGTCTTTCGACACCTTCGTGCAATTGATGTATACAAGCCAGCCCGGGCAAGGAATAATTAAGAAGCATTCTGTCACAAACTTGAACTATCTGCCGAGAAATCAACACAGTCAAGGTGTGTGAGTCTCAAGCCTGACTCATTCCAAGCCACCACAAGTATCCTTTTCTTTCTCCGACATGAACGTCGACGGCAAGGTCTTTGCAGTGACGGGGGCAGGCTCAGGGATGGGAGCCGCCATCGTGCACCTTCTGGCTCGACGGGGTGCGCGTGCAGTGGCCGCCAGCGACATCTCGGCGAAGGGGCTCGAGACCCTCAAAAGCTCTGTCGCTCAACTCAATCTAGGCACTGAAATTCACACGACGGTCTTGGACGTAACATCGTCAGATGCTGTAGAGAACTGGATCCAGGACACAGTCGCCACCTTCGGGGATCTTCATGGTGCAGTCAATTCGGCAGGACTGGCACAGACAATTGGCGCTCGTCAGTCACCGGCCATCCTGGAAGAGGCAGACGCGTCGTGGAAGCGGGTCTGGGGAGTCAATCTCGACGGCGTTTTCTATTGCACACGTGCTCAGATTCGCGCGATGAAGGCGCTCGGAAAACCCAAAAGCGACCGTGCCATTGTGAATATCGCCAGCATGGCTTCACTGAAGCATGATCCCGACGTCTATGCATACCGGTCCTCCAAAGCCGCCAATGCCCATTTCACGCAGAGTGTGGCGAAGGACGTCTCAAAATTTGGGATCAGAGTCAATGCCGTATCTCCTGGTATGTCACGTCGCCCCCAACACACTCTACCAGAATTGTCAAAGTACACTGACACTCTTTCTTTTCTTTTCTGCACTAGGGTCGACCGCAACCCCCATGTTGCGGGAGTTTACTGGCGGTAAAGACGCCCAACTGGACGACTGGAAAAGCCGAGGGTGGGAGGTCATCGAGCCGGACGATGTCGCTCGCGTGGTGGTCTGGCTCCTGAGTGAGGACTCGAGATCTGTGTTTGGAGCCAACATCAATATTGGCGCTGCTTTACCCTAGACCAAACCGTGGCGGCAATGCCAACAAATATCTCTACAAGCGAGAATCGCCCCATATAGTTTGCCACGTCCACGGTCGGCGCACGTCCGTTATGGCCAACTTGTAAATATCAAGCGCGTGGATTTCTATTTACTAATCTACGTACGAAATGCGGCACATGAATGGAACGAGGATGAGCTCTGTGTGCGAAAAACCTATCAACATTGTCACTGCGTCTTGGCCTGTATCTGGCTGGCTCTAGAGACTATTTTCTCTAATATGCGGCTCATCCGGTTCCTCAACCCCGCTGTTGCTGCGTATACTTGGACAGAAATTTTTTTTCACCCATGTCCCTCGGAAAACAAAGCAGTTTCACCAGCCATCCGCAAAACACCAGCCAGGGCGTATTAGTCAGGGTCTCTGGCATTTAGGACTTTGGCGGACAACAATGCAGTCCTAAGCCTCCGGTGTCCGATACTTCACAATGACTTCCCAGTGTTGAACCGAGTTCGGCCGAGCTGCTGGCCAGCCAAGTCTTGGAACTCGTGTTGCTTCTTCCCATTATCGTGAGAAGTAAACGGGTTCCCGCTCCATCTTTGGGCGGCGGTCGAATGCCGCAGCCGAATCACCTCATCGAGGCACAAGCTAAAGGCATCCCTTCTCGGTAAGGTCCATCTTCCCCGCTTGGGTGCCCGTCACACGGGGTAATCTTCCACGACTTCAAAAACGTCTGAGGAGAAAGAAGGCTTCACCCCCTCCAACATCGACACAACTACACAAGCGCAGCCAACATGCCTCTTGTGCTGGATCCCGAGTTCGCCAAAGTGTTGGAGCCATTGCTCCCCACCCTGGCAAATGCCCCAAAGGTTGCTGTAGGAGATGTCGTGGGAAGGCGCCAGGCGCTGGACACCTTCTTCGGCCCCGTGTACCACGCGTATCCCGACCCAGACGAGGTCGCCGAGGAGAAACATCACGTCAAGTCTAGCGACGGCTTCGAAGTCCCCATCTATCGCTTCATCAAAAAGGGTGCGCCTACCACAGGCTCAGTATCAGCCGTCTACTATGTGCACGGCGGGGGGTACATCGCCATGGACGTGGCCATCTACCGTAAGAAGATCAAGGACCTTGTCTCCCGGTCCGGCGTCCAGATCTTCACCCCAGATTTCAGACTCGCGCCCGAAGCACCTTATCCCCTCCCCATCGAGGACATCTGGGCCGGGTTACAGGATTTGAGCCGCAACGCCACAAAATACGGTGTTGACCCGGCCCGCATTGCCATCATGGGCGACAGTGGCGGCGGCGGCCTCGCAGCGGGTCTTGGATTGAAGGCCAGAGATGAAGGTCTGAGCCCACCTCTGGCCAAGCAGATCCTGGTGTATCCCATGGTGGACGATCGCAACACCAAGCCCATTAAAGCGCTGGAGCCATTTGCAACCTGGACCATCGATGACAACATCACTGGCTGGCAGGCATACCTGAGCGGCAAAGCAGGCGCACCTGATGTTCCGTACTACGCTGCGGCGGCACGCGTACAATCGGTCGAAGGCCTCCCGCCGACTTACATTGACGTGGGAGACTTGGATATATTCCGTGACGAGGACATCGAATACGCCCGCCGTATCGCGGCCGCCAATATCCAGACTGAGCTCCATGTATATCCAGGTGTGCCCCACGGCTTTGATCTGGTGGCGAAAGATATCTCTGCGACTGTGAATGCAATGGCGAACCGAGTTCGAGCGATACAGTCGATTTAATGGACGGACGACGGGTGAATATGGTCAAAGCCCGCCGTGCATAGAGTATCATACAGGCACTAAGAGCCCTGTGAACCACTCCACCTTACGGAGAGATAGTGCAGATATAAGATCGTATGGAGAGTCTCAAAGGGAGAAAGTTTACTGATTGACATCCCTTCTCGCGCTTCCCTGTACCATGGCAAACTATATACGTCCTTTCTTTGGCAAATGAGCGCAACGTTGAGTCCATGCATTTATTTTATAGCACGTAGCATTGTAGATATCTATGACTGTTTCCCCACACCTAGAGAATCGCAATGACATTGGGTGGCGTGCCGACTCCGCCAACCACATGAAGAGGCGCGCTGGAGAGGAAAAAGGACCACTGTCCGCGCTCTCGACAGACCTCTGCTAGGCGCTCGAGATCCCACAGCTCGCCGATCGGCGTGCCCCAGTGGACAAGAAGCCACTCGTGGAGCCGCACGGTGCCGGGCTCGAGAAACGGGATCGGGGTGACCTCGAACCCGAGCGTGTCGGTCGCCACGGCGGCGAAATGGTGATTCCAGATCCACTTGGCACTCTCTTCTGTGGCTTCGAGGCCGATGAATGCGCCCCTTTTCGAAGCGGCTTCTTGCTCCTCGATACTGGCGTGGACATGCCAGTCGGTGAATCCCGTGCGGAGAATGAGGATGTCCCCGTCGCGCAGGTGCGTCTTTTGATGCTTCAGCACCGATTCCACCTCCTCCGTGGTGATGACGGTGGCCGCAGGGATGGTGACGGGGGGTTGCCCGGTTTGTTGGCGCCAGCCATGGTAGTCGACGAGGACGCCGTGTCCAACGATGCCGCCGCGCTGTACCCACTCTGTCGGGGGATGAAGTGAGAATCGTTGTTTTCCAGAGTGAGCGGGTTCAATGGAGAAAGGGGGGAGAAAGATATACTGTGAATGCCCAGCCTTCCATCTTCCAGCTTCTCGTCAATGTCCCGATGCTTGACTCCTCCGTAGTAGATGCCCGACTCTTGCAGTCCGATATGTCGCAGTCCGTCCCACTGGGAACTGCTCTGCGTGTTCAAGGTCAGGACATCGTCGTGGGCGACAATCTCCAGCTCGGTGCCCTTGAGGCGCTCCTTGAAGTCGATGATCCGGTGGTTGAACCCTTGTCTTCCGGCGCCCAAATGGTTGAAATGGTTCAAGGGAAGATCCAATTGCACTGTGACACCCGCCTTGATCTCCCTGGAAGCCTCCAAGATGACATCTGGGGTCAAGTAGTTGAGAGCTACAAATTGTTTCACACACATACACATACAATCAGCCACTGCCACCCATGGTTTTCTTGCCGAACCCGGTTGTCAAAACTCACTTCCTAGTTCGTCCTGCTCTCCCCAGAGCCCCCATGCATTGCCCTGAGGCTGCCCCTCGGTTTTGGGCAGAGAGTCGAAATCGGGATACACTGGCATCTTAATTCTCAGCAGAGACGGCTCGGGCTCTTCTTCTCTGATACACGAATCGTGGTTTGAGGAAAGGGTTTCTTTTGGGGAACGACCTGCTAGTCAATTTTCCTCAGTCTGGTTTCTGAGGAACGGCCACACCAAGACGCCATGAGTAGTCTGGGACAAGGACCGCTCCGCTTCCAAGGCAAGTAGGAAGAATCCATTTTCCGCCTAGCCTAACGGACGACATACTAGGACATACGCAATGTGCCCTCGTCCCACGTCCAGCAAAGCCCATCACCACCGCGACTTCGGACTCCGCTCTCCGATGTCCCTCCTTCCCCTTTCCCGTCAAACCTCCGCCCCGGCCCCGGATCCCACGAAAACTCAGATGCCCCCTCCTTCCAAGCCACCCGAGGGTGTTATTTGCTCCTGTCCTTAGGGTAACTCCGACAACCTGGCCCGTCGCCCCAACCTTTGAGCTCTCACGCCTTCTCTTTGAACGATCGGAGCAGTCGATTTCCTTGGCTGGTGGCTGATTAGTCCACACTGGGAGTCAAGCGGGGACAGAAAATGTGTACATGTACTAGGTATATGCGTGCATGTATATATGTGTTATGTATACATCTGCTCTAGAGGATTCGATCCCTGATATTCAAAGACTAGCTCAGATTGAATCCTTCATAGCCAGCCGCGGTGCAAGCTTTCAAGAGGGTCTCGTAGTGTGCCAACCCACCCATATAGTTGAGGGCCTCACGGGGCTTCCCTGGCACATTGTCACCCATGTACCAGGTATTGGCCTTGACCATGAGGGTTTCGGCAGTCACGTCATTGTTGACCTTTCTCCATTTCTCCTCTGCCGCCCGAGTCGCGTCAATCCTGGTGTAGCGATGTCGCTTCATCTCCTCGAGAAGGCCCGCGATCCAGTCACCTTGGACTTCCGAGATTCGCGGCCCAATCGCGAATCCAGTCGGCGCCTGAGGCCCGTACATGAACAGCATATTGGGAAATCCGGCAGTGGCGATCCCAAGCTGCGTGGATGTGCCTGCTGCCCACTTATCGACGAGTTTCTGGCCATCAATGCCCGTGATATCGATCTGCAGTAGGCTACCTGTGACCGCGTCGAAACCCGTGGCGAGGACCAAAATATCAAGCTCAACCTCTTGACCCCCAGTGAGTTTTACGGTGGTAGGTGTAATCTCGGCGATTGGGTTTTGCTTGACGTTGTATAGATCAACATTCTTCTGGTGGAAGACTTCAAAGTAACGCGTTTCCAACGATGGCCTCTTCGTTCCCCACGGATTCTCAGGCTCGAGCGGTGCGAGATTCTCGATCAATTCTGGATCTAGACCTGCCAGTCTAGCCCGGGTCTTGTTCACCCAGAAGTCATACATGGCACGGTTCACGACGGGGTTCTTGAGAATGTCCTTGTAGTTGTGCAGCCAGAGGGTAAAGCCCCCGACCTTCCACTGTGACTCCCAGTACGCGATGCGCTCTTCGGGCGTGTCATCTTCCGAGGCTTTGGTCAAGAACTCATAGTCGAAGCCGCCAAAGGTCGATCGGATGTGCTTGAATATGGCTGGGAAGTCCTTCTTTGCGTCAATCTGCTTCTGGACTGTCTTCTCGTCGTAGGTCTCCTGGACCATAGGTAGAGAGAGATTGGCAGTGCGTTGGAAAATCGTCAGATGTTCAACCAGGGGTGCAATCTCCTGGATCACCTGAACACCGCTCGCCCCTGTGCCGATAATGCCCACCTTCTTTCCTTTAACGTCGACCCCTTCCTTGGGCCACAGTGCCGTATGGTATGCTTGGCCCTTGAAGGTCTCCAGCCCTTTGATTTTTGGTATATACGGCTTCGCAGCGAAACCTGTTGCTAGCAGAAGAAACGGGGCTTTGGCGACATAGCCTTTGTTAGTAACGGCTGTCCAGGTGTTTGACTTCTCATCAAAATCGGCCTTGACGACGGCGTTGTCGAATAGAATGTCCTTTTGGAGATCCCACTTCTTGTCAACATGCTCAAAGTACTTGACCAATTCGTCGCGGGCTGGGAACCGCTCCTTCCAAGTCCAGTCCTCCCATAATTCCTTTGCAGCGAACTCATAAAACGGCCAGTGCGTGTCGACACGCGCTCCTGGGTACGAGTTCCACCACCAAATTCCGCCAAACCATTTCCCGGCTTCGAGGACTTTCACTTTGTATCCCAATTTGCGTAGCGTATGCAAGAGATAAATGCCGCCAAAGCCCGCACCGACAATGACGGCGTCAAACTCTTCGGCTTTTGAGCTCCCGTTCACCCCCACTGTTCCATCTGCCAACATTTCGGGACTTAAGATGCACGATATTCAAGGGAGTAGTCTTGATTCTTAGGTGGTAAAATCAAACAGAGAGAGAGAGAGAGGCGAGCACAACTTGAACACAGTTTCAGGATGTCTCGACCACAACAATCAGCCGGACCATCCAGACAGACTGCCGAGAGTGAACATGTCCCTATATAGGCCACTGGACACCAGCACAATCGTAGACTCGTCAATGTCCGAGAGCTTGGCCACACTGGTTGTAGTCCTGACCAGGAGTAGGTTGCGGAGCACGTCCGAACCCTCCAGGCCGAGCCTTCGACCTTTACATACATGCTTGCAAGATCGAAGCCGATGGTGTTTGGAGGTGGTCTGAGGTCTCAAGGTGTGGATGGAATACCTTCGCTTCCAAGGGTCTTCCCCTATCAGCCAAACGTGGTCAGCGGTTTCGACCACATCGGAGCTGGAGTCCGACTTTGGGACGGAGACTCGGAGGTTATGAATGTATCGTCGGTGAATGATTTATCGATGATACGCCCTTAACTGGGGAATCGTATAGCCTTCACACGAGTCCTTCGATTCCGGGCCCGAATCTTACTTTGCGGAACTCGGGATTCGATTCCTAAGTCGATGCCTTGTTACCTTGCACCTGGAGTGTGACTATTCCACTCAGATCGCCCATTTAGGTATGGTGTATATTATCTAGAGCTATTCTACTGTTAGACAGTCCTGGCAACACTGCTGGAAAGTTACAGGATTAATTCTAATTCAGTCGAAGCTTGCCCTCGCCTGCTTTCGAGACCGATTTTCGGCTACTACTCCGCAGAATACGAGATTGTTTCTACCAAACGACCCAGAATGCCGGGTCAATTCATGGGGAGATTGGTATCCCTCATGGCTAGAGGCTCCGCTCTCTCCAGATCCGAACCTCCGACAATTCCGGGGTAGGAAGCCTCGTAGAACCATAGGGACGTAAGGGAACCATGGCCTGTGATTCGCATCAACATATATGGACAGGAGACTCACGATGGGAGCTGTCTCCTTTGGAACGTCCAAAGTTCTCCACACGGTCTTTGTTTGTAATTCATCATGGCGACAGAAGGAACCTTTTCGACGGCTGCAGGGGCAAACACCAAGCTAGAGGAGCTTATGCTATCTCATGCCGATGAAGGCACGCTCCAGGATATCTCCATCTCGAACGCACTGTCGACCGATGCTGAGAAGACTGAAAAGGGGTATTTCACGAGTCTCCGGTTGATTGGGGCCATTTTTTCCCTGGGCAGTGCCGTCGCCGTCAGCTATTGGGGATTCGCTCCCCCAGCGGCGGTCCTGACGTTTATCAACGCAGATATCGGTGAGAGAGAGTACAACCAAAACCTTTGCTTGGGCCGAACATGTATATTCTGACATTGTCGCTCCAAGGACCGAGTAACAATGCTAGTTTGTTCTCCATCATCTGGACAATCTCTTGCGGCATCGGCACCCTTCTCTTTGGCAGGATCTCGGACAAGTTTGGGCGCCGTTGGTTTGTTATCGGAGCGTCCTCAATCGGTCTCATTGGAGGTGAGTGTCCCTAGGCAAGATAATACAGGGCAAGGACATGTCATAGCTTACACTGTGTAAGGAATTATTGCGGCTACGGCTCAGACGATGAATACCTTGATCGGCGCCAGTGTCAGTTCGCACCACATATGATACTATTTCTCTTTCGTCCTCTAACCGACCCTTGCAGGTCTTAATGGGGCTTGGAGCCGGCGTACACACCTGCTATGGTCTGACTGTTGGCGAGATCTGTCCCAATCGCTTCAAGTTCCTGGGTGTTGCATTTGCCTGCCTTCCCAATATCGTGTCCACTGGTTTCGGGCAGTACCTGGGTATTATAAGCCAACCTCCCTCCAAATATCTTCCCTAGTGATGCTGACCATGTAGGTCTTCGACTCGTTCAATATTACAATTGGAGGTAAAATTCTCCTCTATCTCACCAAAAGGGGTTCTTTGGTACTGAATCAGTGTCTTTCTAGATACATCTACTACATCTTCATCCCCCTCATGGTCTTCGTCTTAGCCCTACAGATTCTCTTCTACCGGCCACCAAGTTTCCATCAGTTACACCGTGGCACACGCACGAGACGGGAAGAACTCAAACGGGTCGACTTCCTGGGATGCTTCCTGATTGTTGCCGGCCTCGTGCTCTTTCTATTGGGCGTCTCATGGGGTCAGTATAAAACTGGTGGTTTACTATTCGTTTGATTGACACTTTCTAGGCGGTCAGCCTTTGTCGTGGACCTCCGGAACTATTCTGGGACTTATCATCACTGGAGGTTGCGTGGTGATCGTATTCGTCTTCTGGGGTAAGTTAGCCCTATGACATATTCAATGTGATCAATGCTAACAAATTGCACTTATAGAGGCCTATGGACCCCATCCAAACCCAATCGTCCCGGTCCATTTCTTCAAAGATCTCCGCGGATTCGTCTGTCTGATCATTATCGAGTCTGTGGCAGGGACCGCCTATGTCGCGCTTAGCATTATCTGGCCATCACGTAAGTTCCGACCACGGCGAGTAAGGGCTCTCAATCTGACGGGTCGACCAAGAGGTCCAACGGCTTTATAGCTCTCCTACAACCAGCTGGCAGACCACCGCGTGGTTATCGGTGAGTTTTTTGACAAGATGAACCCTGATTTAAAAGGCTGGATGTGCAGCTGATACTGGAGGGACGAACAGACAACCATCGCTTTGGGCATCTATTCGTCCATTGTCTTATGGGGAGCTCTGGTCGCGATCCTAAAGCACATCCGACTCCAGCTCATCTTCCTCATGTCCATCATGTTGGCTTTCATCGGGGCTATGGCGTCTTGCACCCCAAACAACCTGGGCCGCGCCGCCGTGCTCTCCGTGTTTGCCTCTTTCCCTGCAGGTATTCTGGAAATCATGCCCAGTCTGCTCGTGCAGATGGAGACCAATGACGCAGATCTCGGGACGACATTTTGTAAGTACATAGCAAATCAAAAACACCCCTCCCTTTTTTTTCAGCCGAAAGAAGTGAAACATCTGCGGAACCTTGACCGAGACAACTAACAAGTCCCTAATAGCGATCCTATATGCAATGCGCCCCATCGTCGGCGCCATCATGACGGCAGTCTACCTCGCCATTCTCAGCAGCAAGACCACCTCCAAGCTCGCGGCCCACATTCCACCCGTGGCCACCCAGGCCGGCCTGCCCGAGACGTCTGTGTCTTCTCTCCTCGCAGCCATCGCTGCAGGCACTCCAGACGCAATGGATGCGGTCCCCGGCATCACCGCCACGATCCGAGAGGCCGTCGCCGCCGAGCTCCCCTGGGCGTACGCCGCGGCCTACGCGTACGTGTATTACTCGGCCATCGCGGTCGCGGGCGTCGGCCTGATCGCCTGCTTCTGCGTCAAGGACTACGACAAGTACCTGACCAACCACGTGTCGCGCCAGATATACAAGCCCGGCGACGACGCAAAGGGCAGTGGCAGCGGCGACAGCGAGAAGAACCAAGACCTCGAGGTCTGGGAGAAGGAGGATGGTGCCGACCCGAACAAAGGGACGGCCGAACATGTCACGTCGATTGACGAGGACGACGTGAGCAAGACGACCGGGGTGTAGTTTGTGCAGACACATACGGAGAGAGAGAGACAGACCCAGAGACTCGCGGTCACGCACACCCTCATGTTCTGCAACTTCCACCGCTGCGGAAACGCACCATATTCGTCGTTGTTGTTCGCTTCTTGTGGAATTCATCTGCTGTGTAATACCTACTGCTTCATAAGGAATCGAAACAAAACATGTTTTAATCTGAGACTTTTGAGCGGATTCCTTGAGGCCTAGCTCACGTCCCTGCTTGTCTACTTTTCTCTGTGCCTGCCTGGTTGTCGAGCTAAATGACTTTCAGCCTGAGACAAAGGAATCAATAGCTCTCACTGTAAATAATGAGGAGGAAGGGAAGAAAGAACACAGAGAACTACAAAAGTTCGTACAGTGTATCAATCGATATAATACGACGTTAGGAGATAGGAGCCATTTATTATGATGAAGTCTGTTTGTATGTATCCTCCGAGACTCTCTCGAAAATTCGACTCGGCATCGACCCACCGCCCGATAACGGAGTTTCGAGACGGGCGGATCCATCGCTCTCAAGACGCTGATTGGCCGTGTCGAAGCCTTTGGTGCCTCGGCATCGGATCTCGCAAAGGGGCAGGCAGCTCCATCGTATGAGTTTCCGAGATTACTGCCGCTGTGTTGCTTCGTCGCTGACTTTCCGCAACAGGGTCTTTTTTCTCCCTATTTGTGCCGACGAGGTCCTTCGCGAGATCTGGCTTTCAGTGGTCTTTTCCTCTTTTATTCTCGGTTTTTTTTTTCATCTTGAAGCTCACTCTCAAAAGTGTTCCCCCCGAGTTTTGTGTTGGGCATTAATCATTGACATATTACCGAGGGGCGAGATTCTGTGATTTCACGAGGGAAAGAAGAATGTTGAACCCGATGCGATCTCGAGGCTTTGCAGCTGCTTGTGCTTCAGCCCTTCGGGGCTCCAGAGTGGTGTCGAATGGGCGGCCACTGAGAAACATTGAAGGCGACCGTCCACAGCGTCTCTCGTCGCCAGCGAGAAGCTCCAGACCATGCACCGCTGGCGGTCAACGTCGCTTCGCATCAACGACTCCAGCTTCAGCCAAAAGCGGAGCCAAAGCGACAAGACCGCTTGATGGAATCACAGTCGTCAGCATCGAACAAGCCATCGCCGCGCCATTCTGCACCAGGCAGCTCGCCGACCTCGGCGCCCGCGTCATCAAGGTCGAGAGACCCGGGGTGGGCGATTTCGCACGAGACTACGACACGCGGGTCGACGGGCTCGCGTCCCACTTCGTCTGGACGAACCGCTCAAAGGAGAGTCTGGCGCTGGATCTCAAAAAACCCGGCGACTTGGACGTGTTGAAGAAACTCCTCCAAAAGACCGACGTGCTCGTGCAGAACCTGGCTCCTGGCGCGTCGGCGCGTCTGGGTCTCAGCTATGAATCTCTCAAAGATACCCATCCCGGCTTGATCGTCTGCGACATCTCGGGCTATGGCCAGGACGGGCCCTACGCGAAGAAAAAAGCATACGACTTGCTCGTGCAGAGCGAGGGAGGGATGCTCTCAGTCACAGGCACCAAGGACGAGCCCGCCAAGGTGGGCATCTCCATTGCCGATATCTCGGCCGGAATGTATGCCTACAGCAACATCCTGGCCGCGTTGATGCAGCGGCAGAAGACCGGCAAGGGAAGCAAGATTGACATCTCTTTGCTCGAAAGTCTGGTGGAGTGGATGAGCTTCCCGTTGTATTACACTTACAAAGGCGCACCGGCGCCCACACCGACCGGCGCTTCCCATGCTGCGATATACCCTTACGGACCCTTTGAGACGGGCGATGGCGGGTCAGTCATGCTCGGGATTCAGAACGAACGAGAGTTTGCAAAATTCTGCGACATTGTCTTGGGAAATCCGGACTTGGCCACCGACGCACGCTTCATGAACAACTCATTGCGTGTACAGAACAGAGACGAACTGCGAAGTATCATTTGTAAGGCTCTGGAGAAATATTCCGTGTCCGAAGCCGTCGCAAAGCTCGATGAAGCCCAGATTGCAAACGCAGCAGTAAACACGATGCAGGGCGTTTGGGAGCATCCCCAATTGCAAGCCAGACGGCGGTGGACCGAGGTCGAGACGTCCAAAGGCATGATCCCTGCACTTTTGCCTCCCGGATGCGTTCCCGAAGGTGAGGATGCGGAGGGTTTACATGCCAGGATGGACAAAGTCCCAGAAGTCGGTGAGCATAATGAAAAGATATTGAAAGAGTTGGGCTTGTAGGGCGCAAGTCGAAGTCGACAGGGTAAGAGAGCCAGATGACGGAATTACTCCCCATGCATGAGCTGAGATCGAACCAAAAGGACGACCATGCTGAAGTCTCCAGCTTCATGTCATCGATGATTGAAAGGGCAGGGATGCCGTTCCGCGGAAATCTGCCTATATACTGAGTCGGAAGGATCGCCTGAGTCCATGAAGCCAGCGAAGATTACCATTGGGGGGCGTATACGTCAAGGAACATTGTCAGCACCTGGCGTAAAGGGCCACCAGCTTTGGAGATGCATCCCTGATGGATCCAGAGCAGCAAGCCAGTCCCATGGCACTATGAGATGTGCACCCGGATACCACTCGGCCACAACGCCTGTTCCGTCCGGAGAGATATGTTGAATACCCGATGGAAAAAGTTTCTGAGAAATGTATGGCCGCTTTGGACCATGGTGGTACTTCACTTGTTTCTCAAAGTCACTGTATTTAGACGATAGGGTCTTTGGAGTACCGGTCCGGGGGTCTTTTGCGGACAGCGGCCATAGCTCTCAGCCGGATAATGCATGTGATGTCTTAAAAACAAGTTATTCCCAAGGACTATCCCTGCAGGTGTTTGGTGTCCGACCAGCCTCTCTCTGTACGCCTTGAGACATACTGATGACCAAGACAAACAGTTGCTATTGTGGGGATGTCTAATCATCGTCCGCCTGTAGGGGGCGGGCAGTCCCAGTGTAACTGTAACAGGCAGCAACGCGAGTTTAGAGCAGCGGCAAGGCTATTGCTGTGGACTTGTGGAGCTTACTCAAGACATCAACAGATCCTTGTACGGGGAAACTGCGAGCCATTGATGGTGGTTGTGTCGTTGTGTTGTTGTACTAGTAGTCAGCAGAGTGGGAGTTTCAAAGCGCGGGGCAAAACATGGCTGTCTGACATGAGGATAATCAGCCATATTGGCACCAGAATGGGCCACTCGTCCATTAACTACTTTCTGACTGACGTCAAGAGTCCCTCAGAACATATCAGCTCCGAAACACGGATGATTTTCGATTTACAAAAACTCAGTGATCGGAATATCACGCCCTTCGCGGACTTCCCCCCCACTGCCTCACATCCATGTCCACATCCTGTCGCGGTATCTTGCTTCGTCTGAGCCCTTCTCCGCGACATATAAACCCTCTCGTCATCCCTCACTCACTGCTCTGTCGACAGCAGCAACATCGCCGATTCCAAAACTACCCCGCCAAAATGTCGTCCGGATTGACCACTGTGTTCTCCAAGGATGCCTGCCCTCGTAAGAGAGACCCGTCCCAAGTCATTTCATCTGGACGCGTGATGTTTGAGATTGCAACGAGACGATAGACGATAACTAACCCGCTAATTCTTTCGAATTCCAGCTGCGGGCCCGTACAGCCAGGCCATCAAAGCCGCCGGGCAGATCTGGGTAGCAGGTCAGATCCCCGCGGACTCGACGGGAAAGCTCGTCGGGGGTTCCATTGCAAACCAGACGGAGCAGTGTTGCAAGAACATCAAGGCGATCTTGGAAGCCGGCGGGAGCGAGTTGGGCAAGGTCGTCAGGGCCGGGGTGAGTAGCTATACAATACCTATGCCGATGTTTCCTACGATAGCCACGAACTACAGAAAGAAAAGCTGATCGTCGTGAAACACAACAGGTCTTCATATCCGACATGAAGCACTTTGGAGAGATGAACGCCGTGTATGAGAAGTACTTCTCGCACAAGCCGGCGAGGACTTGCGTTGCCGTGCGGGAACTGCCCAAGAGTGTCGACGTCGAGATCGAGGCCATCGCTCTTCAATAAACGCATGGGACGCCATGGACTAAGGGAAACCAACCACCTTTGGCGAAAAAACTGTACAAAGCCTCCTCTCCCCAATGGGATGGGCGAGCTCGATGGAAGAAAAAGTTTCATCTTTTCTTTTTGCAAGAACGCCACGGTTTTCTAGGGTGTTTTATAGAAACCAATCCGATCCTTGGGACAACGACCAACCCGTAAAACTCTCTGAATGTGCGCACAATATGTTCATAGCTTGCTCCTGCTGTCCTCTCCGTAGTGTTCGTCCAGCTCGACAACCACCTTGCCCCATGTATCGCGCGCACCCAAGTCCGTCAGGGCCTTGGGAACCTCTTCTAGACCGTTGTACCGCTTGTCGGTGAAGGTCATGCCCCTCAATTTGCCTGTGTTGATCAGTTGGAAAATGCCCTTCCAGGCTTCTTGTATTGCTTCCGGCTCTTTGTTTCTGTATTCCCCCCAGTGCAGTCCGACAATGCTGATGTTCTTGAGCAGGACCCGGTTCATGGCCACCTTCTCGATGGTGCCTCCGGCGAATCCGATGACGAGGAGTCGGCCGTTCCACGCTATGCATTTGATAGAGGGGTCGATCATGCCTGTGATTGTGCGGAGCAGTGTCAGCGGAAGACCCCGTGTGTGAGAGAGTGCAGGAATTGATTTGCAGAAAGCCACTTACCGACGGGATCGTATACGATGTCCACCCCTTTCTTCCCGTTGCCTGTTCGGTGCTGCTCGCACAGCGCAACCACTTTCTGAGGCCAAGTCCCGTCTCGATAGTCGACCACGTAGTCAGCTCCATAGTCCAAGCAGACCTGCCTCTTGCGCTCCGACCCAGCTGTGGCAATAACGGTGGCACCGTACGCCTTCGCAATCTGTACTGCCGCCAGCCCGACACCTCCAGCGCCGGCATGCACGAGAACCCAGTCACCCGCCTTGACGCCGGCGCGGACAACGAGGCCACCGTAAGACGTCGGGGCCGTGACATACACGCCTGCGGCATCGACAAAGCTCCAGCCCGGAGGGATCGGGAACATGGCGTCCTCAGACACCAAAAGGTGGCTTGAGTACGCGCCGTGCGTGGCCCCAAACACCCTGTCCCCGACCTTGAACTTGTGGTTCGTCTGTGTGCTGACCGTACCGTCGAGGCTGCTCGCGACCGTGCTCTTGGAACCCTCACGGGTCGTGGGCGTCGCGATTACGACGCCCGCGAACTCCTGGCCGCCGATCCATGGCAGGGGTGGCTGGTGCTGGTATTTCCCCTGGACCTGGAGGATGTCGAAGAAATTTGTGCCGCAGGCGCGGATCTTGATCAGGTATTTCGTCGGGTGCGGGGAGGGCGTTGGGAGCGTCGTCACGGTAAGCTCTCGCGGTTCCGAGACGTATTTTGAGACTTGGATCGCTTTCATGGTGGGTGGGTGACAGGGAGGCAAAGGGGATTATCACAAGAATCTAGATCTGAGATCACAATTAAAACTGGAGATAAGGCAGGATGTCATGGTGTGTATGTGCCAGTATTTCATTGCTAGCCCGAGTTTGGTCCCCCCCATTGATCTCACCCAAGAGGAGCCTCGGTTGTGGAGGCCCGCAAATCTGGCGGGCATTTCAGTGTGAGTGTGCCTAGGCATGCCATATCGGCCAATGAAAACACTCAAGAACCCTCGGCATATACAAACAAGGACTTTTCGACAACACTCTATCACAAGTGGATGTTTGACCGGCCGTATAAAGATGATGGAACGAAAATTGCATTACTTCGGCATCCGCTTGCAACTTTAAGGGATGTTTGAGACGGAGGACTAAGCCTCATGTACAGAAAGGGTGCGGCAAGGGCACCTTGTGTCCGACTTAAAGACTGCTGCAATGGCTGCCCAGCTTCTCAAAGCCGCCGGGCTGATGATACCAAATCTCGCCCATCGGCAATGTCGACCTCTTCGGCAGAGCAAATAGTAGGCCGACCAAGCAGCGTGGTTTCATACACTGCCTGCCACGCTCCTCTCGGCAGGCTGAAAAGCAAAACACACAATCAGGCATTGGCTACGTGGCAGACGAGGCCGTGCTGCAGCCGGCCCAAAAGGGGACTTGCCAGAGACCTGGCCTTGTACCAATACCCTGTACATTGGGGTCCTATTGATTCGCTCATAAACGCTGTACAGGTTGACATGTCATTTGCTAGGTCGGGCCAGGTGAGGCTGTACTTGTAAGAGGATGGGCTCAGGCGCTTTTGACTCCGGTTTCATCCCACGCGTTGTATCTCTCTGCCGCTGCGTCCACAAGATCGAAGTAGGACTGCCATTGAATTGAAAACGCATATTCCATATCTGACCCAAAGTACTAAGGCTGAGACCGTTTACGAAACACCGCGCGCAGAATTCACGACACCTTGGCGGTTGGTTGCCTACCTGCAGCAATCACACATAGCCTCTCACAATTTCATCAAACAGTCGCTCGAGCATCTCACTCTCCTCGTTAACAGAACCATCATCATATCAAACCTATAGCCGCCATCATGTCTGCTCCAGCTCTACTACGAGAGGGAAGCCGCCTTGCCCTCACAGCGAGTAAATCCACGGCAAAAGCCATTACAGATCATGGACCCAAAGCCGCCGCCGCAGTAAGTCGTCGTGTAAACATACCAATTTTGTGCTGTCACATATCGCTGACCAATATTGTAAACCACTAGGCCGCTGCATGGACCGTCCAGAATCCGGGGCTGGCTGCTTGCGGCGCTGTCGGGACTGTCGGCATCATCCTCATTGCGGCTCCCGGTGTCGTCGTTGTCCCAGTACTCGCCGAGTTGGGTTTTGGAGCTGGTGGTGTTGTTGCAGGTACGTTGGAATCAGAGCAAAAGCATCCCGTATCGGCAAATCACAATACTTACTCACATCCGTCACCACAAAGGTACCACGGCTGCCACAATGCAGGCTGGGATCGGAAATGTTGCAGCCGGTAGCGCTTTCGCGGTTGCTCAGAGTGCAGGTGCTGCGGGCTCAGGTCTCGCCGTCATCAACGGGGTGGTTCAGGTCGCTGGATTCGCGATGACCGCCGGTAGCGGAGGACTCGCGTGGATCAAATCCAAAGTTGGAGCATAGCATTAACTCTTTTACGAGCCTCAGATCGCTATGGCGGCAGATTTGGGCTGAGACACAAGATCACCATTCTGAGAAGGATAGGTCTGAAGAGCATGTTGGGGTGCAGAGGGCGTGATGGTGGTGTTGGAAGGGGGATCAAAGAAGCCAGATTATCGAACAAATTGTGTCAGAGTGCTTAATGGAGTCGCCCATTGAGCCTTGAAGTCACTTCGTGGAGATCAGGGACAGCGATAGATGATGTACTCTGCAGTCGCACCAGGCGGCGTGGTATCGTGGTATTCTGCTCTAATCAGGGAAATTTCTCTGGCCGTTTTAACAGAGCACTTCTCTTGGCTGCCGCGTCCTGCTCCCGATTTTCAACCTGCTCGGCATCTTATTTTGCTGGTGCCTTTGCACAACTTGTGCCCGTCCAAGAAGTCATTCCACTAGATCACCCCTTTCTAATCACATCTTCGACTCCGATGAACGGACCTCCTCCAGACCCCAGTCTCTCGGCAATCATCAACGCCTTGATTTCTGGATTTGATGCCCTGCTATCCGGCGTGCGTGCGCACATCGAGAACGAGAAGGCCTTGAAGCAGAGGCTCGAGTTTGCGGCAAATGAGGTGAGTTGGTTCCTCGCGCCTTTTGTTCCCTTCCAGACTGCGTTATGATGAGAATCTTTTGATTAGCTCTAGATCAAGAGCTGCAACCATTTTGTAGCGATGAGCGACATATTGCATGTATTACCTGAATTGCAGAGAGACACCCGATTACTGTTTTCATCGTCCGTGAGAATGGGATGAGAAGTGCTGATTGAATCCTTGCAGTATGACAAGGTCCTAGCTGCCGACAGCACTCTCTCGGCCTCCTCCATTGCACCGAGCGAAGCCGTCCGCAAATTCCGCCAACTTCCTCCCATCGACACAGACGTCGAATTCTCCCTGCCTGTCCGCGAAGCGCAGCAAGCCATACAAACCTACAAGATGTCCAAGATACACGGACCTCAGACCAACGGGGCACGATGTCCAATAGCTCACCGGAATGGTGACCCCGAGGATCTTGAACGAGATTTTACGACCCCTGGTGTCAAGGGGACATTGGGATGTCCCTTTGCGAAGATGCGCAATGGACCTACCTCGTCCGCTCACGATGATCCTATAGCGGCAGAATTCCACCAAGACACCCATTCAGCACGTTCGCCAAATACGGAACAACGCCCGGGTCAATGCCCTATCCGTTTCCTCGATCAACACTCTCCGGAAGAAATTGCAAAATACGTTGAGAATCACAAGCACGAAATTCCCCGAAGTCACGAAATCTGCGTGCGACGATATCAGGGCAATGAAAGCAGTGCCCGACAGTTGGACGCCAAGTATGGGAATTTGGTGAACATGATTCAAGGCCTGGGAGTCAAACATAAAGCATATCTACCCGAGCGAGACAGGATCGAAGAACAGTCGACTCAGGCAGTGGAGAAATGGGCCGAGACTATCAGCGAAGTTGCCCCTGTCGCTCCAGCCCCAGCTCAGAACGACGTGGTCGCTGATGAAGAGCCGCGAATATCACACTTTGACAAACCACTGCGAGAAGTCCGGGTCGGCGAATCCCCTAGTCGGCCATGGGGGATCTCAGTACCCCCGGACAAAGAACCCACACCCAGTGCCTTGGAGGAAGATGATGTGGCACATCTGAAGGTTCACGCTGCGAGTTCCCAGGCTGCTCCGGCGCCGTCTCGCCATGATGATCCGCATGAGCAAAGTCAGAAGCCGTCTCCACCAAAGAGACAGACAGGCGACACGGTTGAGATCAGAGAACCCCGAACCCAAATCATCTTCAATGGGCCCGTCTTCTTCGGATATTCGGCCGAGGCTGTGGCAGCTTTGTTGCAGACTACTCAGCTCGGTAACATGAAGGCTGGTGGCGGATAGGCCACCTACCTGTCAAGGCTTGGGAGGGTCACTTTTTTATTATTGCAGCGTTCAGAGCGAAACAATTGAAGACATGACCTGACGATTTTATGCTTTTATGCTTTTAGAGACAGCTTGCTCTGCTCATGTACAACGTGGATGTACCAGTAGAACTGGAGAGGCGGGTGGATGTATATATATAATGTAGGCACGCAAGGAGTCAACCAATCCAATGTGCAGACAGGGACAGGTTGAACTATGAAGGTCCAAATAATACATTTGTTCTTGCAACGGAAAATTGTGTGAAAGGATAAATTCCACCAGCTCTGACCGTACAAGTCCGCATGACGCGGAATCCCGTAGGCCGTGACTTCAGCGAGCGAAGAGCTTGTGGGGAGGATACAAGCAGCTGGAAAGTGATTTGTTGCGTTGAGCCAGAAGCAGGGTTTCTGGGTTGAGGTGGAAGGTGAAGTAGAAGTAGAAGAAGGAGAAGGAGAAGGAGAACTGAGGTACTGTACCGAGTAAAGCGCCCGACATTCGACGATATGTGTATAGGGTCTCATGTCCTCATACATCACCTGTTTTGGCGCGAGAGACTATGTCTCTGAATGTGTGAGAGAAAAAAAAGAGCGAGAGGAAATGAGATACATCTGTTCGGGAGTTTCGTTGTTTGTCATAAGTGGAAGAGGAAGTGAGGTGAAGTGAAGTGAAGCAATGATAATTATATGGTTTTTCAAAGTGTCAAGGATCACAATTTTGCCAAGAAACATTTATTTGGCCGTCGGGAAAGTTTCTCTTTGGAGCCGCCAGAAAACGAGTACAGGACTCCAAATACCTTGATCCTCGGGGTGTCACTCCCAATACCTACGGTGGAAGCCTCATATAGAACCACCTGCCTTTTGGCCAGCATCTACCATCTATCGTCTACCGGTTAGTTATAGAGACCCGATTTTCGCGAATGACTCCTTACCCACACGTGGTTCGAGGTCAATTTTCTGCATCCCCACCACCAGGAAACCATGACCACAAATACCAAGACGTACCTCGTGTACCGAGTAGGTACAGCATCTTAGAAAGGAACCCAGTCACGGTCTACCCAGCCAAACCTCCTCCAAGAACTCCTCCAGCTTCTTGGGTCTCCATTCCGGACACCGCGTCGAAAACTGCGGCTCCTTGGACAGATCCCACACTCGCGAAATATAGAGCTTGCCAAATAGGATCAAGGACTCCTTTCTCGCCGCGGTCTCGGTCGGCGACGCGTCCCACGCCGCAGACCCTGGGTTCGGCAGGATCGTCACTTTGCCTTGGTTCAGGTCGTCGAGGGTATCGTGCGTGATTTCGAATGGGGTACCTCCTGTTTTTTTGCCAAAGGCGTCAATATATTGTAGACAGGTTCATATGTCAGTGATCAACACAGGGGGGTCTTCCAATCAGAGCCGTATTGCTGGCTGTGAGGGAGAGGGTGTAGGCAGTGAACTGACCTCGTACTCTTTCGGCGATGCTCACGAACTCGCGGAACGTAACGCTATCGCCCACTGCGAACGTCCATTCTGGCCAGTCCTCGGCTTCCAGCAACAACAGAATCGCTCGAGCCACGTCGCCAATCAGAGTCAAGCTGAGAACGTTGGCTCCGTCTCCCGGAATGGCTGCCTTGCGATTAAACACGTCTATTGCCCAGGAGTAGTCCGATAGGTGAGACTTGACGTGTGGCATTCCCCAATCTGCAGAATCGTCAAATGTGAGTTCTTTGCCCAGTCTCCCTTTTGTAAGATACAAAGGAAGAAATATCGCTCCAGAAGCAAGCACTCACTCCCCTACCGGCCAGACTTTGCGGAAGGGAGCGAGCAGAACAAAGCAGCTCGACTTACAGTCCATAAACCAGCCGCAGGAAATCCTCGTGTACTGCAATGAGCTGAATTCGAGCAGTGACGCGGCATCGAGCCACCACTGCACGGTGGGGTCTAGAGGTAGGAGGCTGAGGAGAGCGACTCCGTGAGAATTAGTTCCCGTCCGTTGAAGACTTAGAGTGGCGGCGAAGACAGGGGAAGAGAACTCCAGGTCAAGAGTCAAGATGGACATACTCGGGAACCGTCTTCGCCCAGAATTCGCTCGGTATCAGACGCTTCGTCGCGCTGGACTTGTCTGCAGCTCTGATCAGATTGCACTGTGCCGCGCTCGTGGCTGGGGAGCTGATGCCGATGGTCGAGACGACGGTGTGGACATTGTGTGTCGTCAGTGTGTCAGCAAGCCCGTCCACATCGTCGTAGTCGACATGGAGGTATCTCGTTCCCTCCTCAGACACGGAAGCTTCTGATGCCTTGCGAGTCAGGACGATGACCCTGAATTTGTGGCTCTGTTCAACATGATCCAATATCGATCGGCCCACGCCACCAGTCGCTCCCGCAATAGCGACTGTGATCATGTTCAGTTTCTAGAAGAAAACAGTGTAGCGCAGGGTGACGCAAAGCCTTGCTCGACATGGGGATTTGGAGTCGGAGCTGGTGGACACCCGAGCCGAGGATTTGCGGGGGTGGAATTATTTTCGACATCCTTTTTGACATCCTTGTCTAACCAGAGTATGTGGTTACACATTCGACGCGCCAGGTGGATGTTTACAGAGAGGACAAGACAGATTCACCCTGACGGCCGTTGGCACTCTTTCAACTTCACGGGAGTGAGCGGTTAGTAGCTGAGTGCAGGATCATCAAGGACAGAGTTGGATACGTACCGAGTATGGACAGTGTATATTAGATGTACTCAACTCCACAATCTATTCCGCTTTCCCCCACCAGGTTTTCCTACATCAACTCCCATCTCATGATCTGGAGACCCTACCCCTTCAGTGAAGCTGCAGTTCCTTAGCCGTCACCTCCGCGTTGACATATGGGATACGAGATCGTCGTGCACGCGCACACAAACACACGCAACGGATACGGCCGCACAAGTTCCGGTTTCTGTAAAGTCCCGTTGGGGTTTGTAGAAATTCCCATCAGTCACTCCATCTTTTCCTGGGTATCATGGTGTCGTCGCTGCGGGAAAGGGTCCACATTGATTACATGATGTATATCATACTATACCTTAGCCTCCCTCGCATTCCCTTTTTCAGTCGTCGTGTTGTCCAATGAAGTTTTGCCTGGCCAACAAACCTTGGATAGAGGTCGAAGTTGTCATTTTCCGCCAACAGTGGCGGCGACTCATGGTCCACAGAAATCATGAGACCTGTTCCCTCCTCTTCATGCTTTTGTTTTTAACCAGGAGTAGGCAATTCAATACCAATTCCAGCGCAGGCTTTAAAATCAAGCACCACTCCGTCAGATTTGCCAGATGGGGTGACCGAAGTAGGCCTTCTGAACAACCCCTGGTCTGGTGGATATTTTGTGTAAATGCAAGACATACCGAGTAAAGGCAAAACTCACCACATGCTGAAAGGATAAAAAGCGACAGCTCATTCCGTGCCGGGAGATTGACATACTTTCTCTTTCTCTCCTTCTCCGCGATCTTTTAAGACGAAATACATCAATCAAATCACCGTTCCTGCTCTGATACCTTTCACTCAGCTTAAATATCTTTTGAGAGACCAGTCTGCACCTTTGTTGCTCACGTAGGTGTGGAAACCAACATGTCAAATTTCAAAGTCTGGTTCATCACGGGCACGTCTTCGGGGTTCGGAAAGGCCTTGACCCTCGAGGTCCTTCGTCGCGGTGACAAGGTCATTGCCTCTGCACGAAATGCCGCGAAGCTCGACGAGCTCAAAACTGCCGGAGCTGATACCATGAGTCTCGACGTCACCTGGCCCCTCGACAAGTTGAAGGCACTTGCAGAAGAGGCCCACGGGCTCTATGGGCGGATCGACTACCTCATCAACAACGCCGGGTATTGTCAAGTCGGCGGCTTGGAAGAGCTCACGTATAGTTTCCCTTCATGCGCAAAGCGATGCCTGGTAGACCTGTGTGTTTATGCTGACGTCCATAAGGCCGGAGGAAACTCAAGCCCAGTTTGCAACAAACGTCTTTGGCCCGTTGAACGTGACGAGGTCGATTCTCCCATATATGCGCGCGAAACGATCAGGCGTGATTGCCAATTTCTCCAGCATCGGAGCCTGGCGCGGCACACCCGCCGTGGGCATCTATGAGGCTTCGAAATGGGCCGTCAGCGGCGTCACCGAGACACTGCATCTCGAGCTGGCCGAGTTCAACATCAAAGTCTGCAGCATCGAACCGGGCTACTTTCGATCAAACTTCCTAAGCAGTGGCCACAAGATCCTTCACGTCAATCACATACCAGACTACGACACCACAGCTGTCCGGCAGACAGAGGAACGCGTGGAACGGACAAACCAGAACCAACCGGGCGATCCCGCAAAAGGGGCCAAAGTGATTGTTGATGTTTTGACGGGTGCATCCGGCAAAGAGATCCCGTTGAGGCTGGCGTTGGGCGCGGATGCTTATAGGATCATCCGGGGGAAATGCGAAGAGACGATCAAAGGCCTGGACGAATGGAGGGAAGTCAGCTCGTCAACCGACATTGATGCCAAGTAGAATAAGAGCGTCATTCTCATCGCGGCACTCCATAGGAACTGCTCGATATGCTGCCCGGCAGCCTTGGGTTCGGGGTTGCTCGACTCTCCGGGCAATCAAAGCACTTCGCTTGGAGATGTGAGCCCGGCAACATCAGGCTTCCCGTTGCATCTCAAAGCGGGTGCGTTGCAAAGTGGCATGTTGCCCATAAATAACCCGACAGTGTTCTTTCGACTGTGGAACCGGCGAATTAGCCTGAAGCGACAACCATCAGGCAACAAATTTACGTGAGATACCGTTCGCGAGGCTTTGTCCAAGTCCCTCCAGTTCAGATATACGCCTTGCCCTTCTCTTTAAATTTTCATGCTCAACCGAATGAATATTGACCTTGATTTTAACCACAGAGCTGTATGGTTAGTTTAGAGATGAGGTCGGTAAACTGTGCAGGAGAGGATTACGCTACGCACAGGGCATTTGTAGGATCAGTCTGTGGGTGGCGATAAAGTAGTCATAGCAGTGTCTGCAATCAACCATGAACTGCTACGCGGAGTTGCAAAGCAGCGGCTCCACAAGATACTCCAGGCTTCTCCTCAGAGGATTTGATGTATTGATCGAAACCATGTGTATCCAGTGGATATGCTGATCGGATGTGCGGTGAGGCTCCTAGGAGAGATCGCGGACGAGGCGTTCAGGGTAGGATTGCCCAGCCTGACCAGCGTCTGACTTGTCGAGGGTGGCATCATTTCATTTGGAATGGCGCCCGGGGGGACCCGCATTCTGCGGACAGTGATCCGCGCCACTGCTTACCGGTAACATAACTATAATCGTAGGGCTGTCACGACACGTCCACGAGGGATGAGACGAAAGAGGTGAGCCTTTGGCAAGTTGAGCATCCTCAGTCTTCAATGAGGTGCCGGGGCAATGAAAGCTTGTTTGGGGAAAGTTGGCCGGGCCACGAACTAAGCTTTGTTGGGAATTGGCGTCTTGGCCACTTTCTATCTCGGTATCGATATTTTGTGAATGTCCACAGAGTTATACCAGCACATATTGAAGTATTCGCTATACAAGAAAGCCTCACACCCTTGTTTTGTACAGAACCTCGCTAAACAACGTGGTAAAAAGCAACTTGAGTCGTCCTTATCATCCAAGACGTATCCGAAGCCACAAAAGAAATGCCTCGTGTTCGGTTCCATCGCCCGCAAATGCTTGGAAGAGGCTGGCCTCCCACTCTTGACCCTGGTTACAACGCCATCGTTTGACAGGTGAGATGATACTTGCTTTTGGCATAACAGACGAGATACTCGGTTCTTGCTGGCCACTGGCATCGAAGAATTGAGTCAACCAACTTACGTTTTTCACCTTATCTCCCAACTCTCGCTTATCGTGGTGCGCCTCCAGATTGTGATGGCTGTCCTACAAGATAAGTTAGCCCAGGCTTACCTACATCCAAGTATCACTCCCTGATAGTTCTACCTGGGTAGTTATAAGCGTTGCAGCGCTTTGACTCTAGTGGCCGGCCCTTGTTTGGCTTGCACATGCCTAAATCTGAGTTCGGCCGGTCTGAATGGCTACAATCTCGATTGTGTGGCGCACATTTTACGTGTCAAGGCCATCTAGACCCTCTTGTGCCGTGGCTCCGAAAAAGCAACTTCTTGGGGCAAAGATCTTTGCCCCATTCGATGCCGTTGTCCAGCTTGGCTATTGGCTCTTATCTTAGAATGACAATGGCGGTTTTGGTCTTGCCAGTCCAATCTGAGGGCCGCTAGGTGAGGCTTCTGGTGCTTATCAGTAGACACGGCTCGAGCTGAAATGCGGGCGGCGATCCAAACGTCACAGGGATCCCCTCCGAAATATTTGGTCGGGCACGTTCGGGGAGCCAATACTTACATTAATATTGTCATTATTCCCTTCATCATCTCGGCTGCTTCGAGGTTCTTGTGTTCCACACAGGCTCTACCATCATGGCATCCTACGACGAGAAAAACTACTACGAGAAGGACATCTCTTCCGCCGTCGAGCCTACAGCCATCGAGCCCGTCGGAGTTGGTCGCGTGACTGGCTTCAAGAGACGTCTGCCGCGCTTCACCCTTGCCGTCCGTCATGAGGAGAGCAGCTTTGCGCCCTCGGCGAGCGCCTCCAATGCTGACTTTGACCCGATTCCACCATCAAAGCGCACATGGAATTGGGGTGCATATGTCGCCTACTGGATGGCCGACGCCTGGGCCGTGTCGAACTGGGAAGTTGGTGAGCCATCCTTTTGACAAGGCTGCTATTCTGTTGTATTCGAGAGGGCTCCGATTCTGAATGATTGATGATGCAGCTTCTTCCATGATCGCCGTCGGTCTCAGCTGGAAAATGGCAATTGGCGCCTGTGTGCTGGGTAACGCTATCATGGGTCTCGTCATTACCGTCAATGGTAGAATGGGTGCAATTGTGGGTTGTGTGCTCCTTCGAATGATGGCACCGAGCTGATTCAGAACAGCTTCACACACCGTTCCCTGTGCTCTCACGTATGCCGTTTGGCTACTACTTCAGCTACTTTGTCGTCCTGTCCCGATGCGTCCTCGCCATTGTTTGGCTCGGGTCAGTTTTGTTCGCCTCAGAAATCATCGCCTCAGGATGCTAACCGCGAACAGTGTCCAAACCACGACTGGTGGTCAATGTATGGAAGTACTCCTCACAGCCATCTGGCCTAGCTTTGCCAGGATACCCAATCACATACCCGCTGATGAAGGTATCACTACGGCGGGGATGGTGGCCTTTTTGCTCTACTTCTTACTTCAACTTCCCTTCCTGTGCATCCCTTACACGAAGGTATGATCTTGCAGCCAAACCCCCCTTGATTCAGTGACTGACTACCTCCGATCAGGTCCAATACTTCTTTGCATTCAAGAGTGTTATCGCCCCCATCATCTTTTTGGCTATTTTCGGCGACACGCTGCACAAGGCCGGCGGCACCATCAGTAAGAGCACGGTCATTACCCAAGGCACCACTATCAGCGGTTCGACTCTTGCTTGGGCCTTCTTTGGCAGTAAGTGGTGCTCTACCTCCGCAAGAGACCCCACGTCCTCTGACCAGAATCCTTCTTGCAGACCTCAATGGAGTCTTGGGCAACTACGCCACCTTGGGTTTGAACATTGCCGACTTTTCGAGATACGCCAACAAACCCAGCGCACAGAACGTTCAAGCGCTGGTCATTCCCGCCATCTTCAGTAAGTTGGTCCCTACACCATTCCACAAGAACCTGCTCACCATCTGGAATCATAGCTGTCGTTGGTCTGCTTGGCATCTTCACTGCCGCTGCTGCTCAGACTGCCTATGGCGAAATCATCTGGAACCCCATTGAAATCCTCCACCTCTGGATGGAGTCTGGTTCTCACCGTGGCCGCGCTGCTGCCGCATTTGGCGCCATCGGCCTGATCATCGTCACCCTCGGTATCAACATCTCGGCCAACTCTATCAGCGCAGCCAACGATCTCATGTCTTTCTGCCCCAAGTACATCAACATCCGCCGTGGTCAGCTTCTTGCTGCCGTTATCGGAAGCTGGGCCTTTGTGCCGGTAAGCCAGACTCCTCGTTTGCGAACGCTCTTCAATACCCTGCTGACCAGAACGACAGTGGAAAATCCTCGCATCAGCCGCCAAATTCCTTGCTTTCCTCGGTGGCTACACCATTTTCCTGGGCCCCATGACATCCATTCTCATGACTGAGTACGTACCTCTCCAAGACCCCACAACCCTGTTCCTCTACTCTGTCATATCCAACACCGCTGACTCGTTTGTTCCGTGCCATAGCTACTTCATCGTCCGTCGCGGAAACGTGTCTGTGCCCGACATGTACAACTTTCACGGCATATACCGCTACTCGCCCAAATTCGCCACCAACTGGCGCGCGGTTGTCGCCTTCTTCATCGGCTGCACTCCTCCACTTCCCGGTTTCGTCAACAACATCGTTGTGGCAGGCCATGGCACAACGAGTGTCTCTCTGGGAGGTCAACATCTGTGAGTCTCTTTAGTTCTCTTTTCCCCAACAATCATCTTAGCTGCATCGGAACTTTACTGACCAAACTCAACTCGGGCAGGTTTGCAATCGGTTACGTCTACTCATTTGTCGCCGCCGGCGTCTTCTACTGGGGCTTCAATCGCTTCTGGCCACATACCGAGTCCATGCTGACCCATCCCGAGACGGGCGAGGACATCATTGCAGCCAACGACGCAAAGAATCTTCAGGAGCGTCGCGCCAGCTGGTCTGAGCGGAGGCCGAGTGCCGTGACGAGGTTCTTCTCAGTGTAGACACTCTGGCACGACGTGGCTTCCCCAGGACGCGAATGTTTTTGAAAGAATTTTCTGCGGTTTAGAACTGTTGCGGCTACATTGAACGGCCATGTCCTCAGCAGCATTCCCTGGTTCAGCGGGAGGATAGAACATTGACTCTTGGAGATGCATGGGGATCGTTGAGTCTGGGCTACGTCAACCCGTCCGGGGCGCGAACCTTTATTGGGGTCTTTGTGTAACGTCGGAGCCTCACACATCCGCAAGGAATCTAGGCAACAATGCAGACTGTTAGAAATGATCATTTCCACCAAGACGTTGGGCTCTGTCCTCCCAATCATTCTACCTCTGACTTTCCCTTGTGACGCCACAGACTCGATACGAGTACGACACACCGAGCAGATCGAAGTCGTTGATAGGTGGACCTACTCTGCGATTTGTATCTTTGTGTTTGTTTGTGCGATACCCCTTTCGTCAGTTTATACACAACCACAAGCTTTCACCCGCGTCTACACCGACGATAGGGTAGAGTGGATGCGATGCTTGGGCCAAAGTCATGTATGAACCTCTCAGTTTGAGTTGGCGGAATCGCATCTCCTCCTTGATTACTAGACCCAGGCGATCTCCTCGACATGTTCCGTGCGCCACCAGCCCTTCCTTGCCAGCACGCGGCATCCGCCTTTTCCATCGTCTCTCTCAACCGCGATCTTCTCCCTCTTGCGACACCGACAATGAATCATTCTACCGCTATTCGGGCGGCCGCTGGCTGTGGGACGAAGAGAAACAGCTCCAGGCTCGGTACAGGCAGTTCAACGTACCGGAGCTCCAACGCCTTGCGGCCAAGAGCGTCGGAGCGCAGGCCTGCGTGTCCATGGTAAAACTGGCCGAGGGCGGGTTCAACAGGGTCTTTCGACTTGTCATGGACGACGAATCCGTTGTTATTGCGCGGATCCCATATCCCATCGCGGGACTTGCGTTCAGGAGTACTGCGTCAGAAGTTGCAACTATGGATTTTGTACGATACTATGGTAACAGTGGAGATCGAGATGCGGTGGCTAATATCTGTTCTTTCTGCAGGCTCGCACCGTTCTCAAGATCCCAGTTCCAAAGGTTTTGGCATGGAGCGGATCGTCCAAGAACCCCGTCGAGTCGGAATATATCCTGATGGAGGAAGCCCGTGGAACACCTCTCTACAAGGTGTGGGAAGGCCTGGAACTCGGCGAGAAGTTCAAGATTGTCGACGACATCGTGGACATTGAGAAGAAACTCCTGTCAATCTCATTTACACGGTCAGACATCCTCATGAGCAAGAGCTGATTGCAACGGCAACGTCAGACTGATCCACCATGTCCAGTTACGGGAATCTTTACTTCGCGACTGATGCCTTTCCCGGCTGTGAGAAAGCCGAAATTGATGGCAACGCTCTACAATCGGAGAGAGAAGAGACGGCAAAACGCTTTGTCATTGGGCCCGTTGTTGACACACAATTTTGGAGTCAAGGCAGAGATGCCATAGATGTCGATCGTGGTCCTTGTCCGTTGCATCTGCTGGGACTGAGTCAATTTGCTGACACTCCACAGGGAAGAAACCTGAAGATTACCTCAAGGCGATAGGACATCGCGAATTCTCCTGGATACGTCAGTATGCTACTCCGAAACCTTCACACGGCCCATTTTCTGTTCCCGGAGCGCAGAATACTCCGAGCTCCCATGTTGCGCTCTATGAGAAGTTTCTCGCTGTTGCAGATTCGCTGCTCCCGAAAAGGCAGGATTTGGTCAGACCCACGCTTTGGCACTGGGATATCCATGCCCCTAACCTTTTCGTTCATGATGGTAAAGTAACTAGTCTCATTGACTGGCAAGATGTGTGGGCTGGACCTTTGCTCCTTCAAGCACGTCATCCACGGCTTATTAGGTATGATGGCGAAGTCATCTTGAAATTACCTGAGCATTATGATGCTCTGGTCGACAAGGAGGAAAAGGCACGCATTCGTAGCCAGGTCGAAAGCTCCCTTGTCCTGTGGGTATACGAGTCCCAAACCAAGAAGCACAATCCGATCCTCCACGAGCTGTCTCAGCTACCTCAATGGCGCACGATACGTGACACGGTTGAACTCGCATCGAACACGTGGGACGGGGACATTTTACCCTTTCGACAGTGCCTCATTCGTATCGCACAGTAAATTTCCCCCTTTTGTTCTCCCGCAACTCTCATCGATAGTTCTAACACACAATGGCAGCCACTGGGAAGAGATTAACAGCCAGGTACCTTGCCCGATAAACTTCACCGAAGACGAGCTGGACGCACATCACCGAGACGGGGACGGCTGGACTTCGAATGAGACCTACGACCAGGCGCTGAAGATGTTTGCACAACTGAGAGACCAAGGATTGCAGCACTTGACGGGAGAAGAGCGACGCGAATTTGAGCAGCAAACTCGGTGGGCTTCGACAACCTAGTGCTTGTAAGATATTGGGATCCTTTTGTTCTGCCTGCTTCAAGGACAAGCCGCCTAGCTATCCATTATCGGGTCTTTGAGGTGGACGATTCTTCGAGAAAGATGAGCCTTCACCTCCATGAGTGCCTAGGGCCAGGGGTAGAAGACATCTGCTCTTTGGGTGTCAGCATTTGCTCTCTCGTGGAAGATGCGGTGATGGCGATCTGGTCACCCCCACACAGGGGACTGCCACTTGAAGAAGTGGCCGCCACAGAGACCTCGACATCGAGTCCAAGGCCCTGATGGATGCGAGTCGCAATAACTGCGGCTGGCAGCTGGAAACACGACGAGCAAACCCAGCAGGAGAAAAAGGATGGAAGACACCCGACTGATATTGGGCTAAGATAACCGCAGAAATATATATTCTACAGACTCCTCTCAACAAAAGATAAAATTTACACTAGGCGATGCTTATCCTAAACTTCCCGTTAATAATAGTTAAACTGGCACAACGGTCGACTACTGTGCACCCCCTAGTTCGTCCCCGCCTTTTGCATGTTGGGGTCCTACAATATTAGGTATTCGGTACAAAAGTCCCGGTGCCAGCGACACCTAGAGAATCACAGAATCTTATCATCACGTTGTCGAATAAAATCAGGTCATATTTCGCCCACCGGCTCCAACGCAACTCAGCAATAACGCCGTTCTCGAGAACAGGGCATAGAGCCCAATCCTCCTCTTACAAAATGGTGAATGCCATTCCTGACCTCGTCTCGGCCCGGACAACCCGCCCTCCGTGGATCACCTGCATCTGTCACTCGTCAGACGCTCAACCGCTACGGGGACACGGGGACCAAGTTCACCAAGTCCACCCAAGTCCCCAGAGGATTTTTGTCAAGATTCCCCGCAAGGGATTGGGAGATTCCACGAATAACGGCTCCCGTGGCCCTACACCACACCATTTAGGCCAAACAAACACAAGAAGAGAGGGGGAATCTTTCAGCTTCATGTGAAGCTGAAGAGTACTCGACATGGGACACACTCGCTTGGGGGGCGGTTTGATAGGCTCCGGATCTTCCGTTGGACGTCAAAGGGTTCTCTTCACTGCTGCTCACATGCATTGCTCGCCATTGTCCCGTCTCTGTCTCTGGATCTCGTCGCAGCCCTTCCCTAAACTCCTCGATGCATTAGCGCAGCCCAACACGGTCAACAGTCGACTAATTAGGCGATTTCAGCTGCACGGTCTTGTGTCAAAACGGTGTGGGCAGATGATTCGATTGACGGATTTCGAACACCACCCTCGGTATGGCCGTTGAAGATCGCTCGCGATCGCAACGGTTTTACGTGAAAAGTAGCTGAATGGAGACTTCGCACACGTACCGAGTACTGCTGGGAGGAGCTGCCTCATAACTCCGTTGCTCCTCGAGATGTGGTTTCCCGGCTCTCTGATTCTTGCAGTCTTTACTGACACCCTGTCAGAGACAAGATGGATGATAGCGGACCTCTGTACAATGTGCGCATGAAGCGCGGCCAAGGCTATAATTCCTACATCCAAGAAGTGCGCATCGACAATGCTGTCACAATCACGCGGTTTCCAGAGAACCCGGCGCGGACGAGCGCCTCGATCAGCGAAGCCGACACCCTGGCGCCCGAGCACACAAGGAGTGATTCGGTGTCGAAAGCCGCGCCGGCGTCGGCGCCGAAACCACCTCTCGAAATGAACGACATCCTGGCGACGTTGACCGAGAGCTTGAAGAAAACCAGTGCCCCCGAAAGCCCACAGCAGCCGAAACTGCCGTACCTGCTCAAACTCGATCCCAATGCTCGGCATAATCAGACCGTGACCTTTTCGTCGAAACAGGTCAAGAGCATTGTGGAGATGAACAATGCCATGGGCTTTAATGCTTCGGCCGCGATCAAAGCTACCAGCTTAGGTCCTGGAGCAGAGGCTCGAAGCAGCCTTGCCACTCGGGACGACCTCAATACCAACGACGTCAACTTCCTTGTCCACGTCAAAGTCGTCAATGAGGCCGACGATCGCAAGGAAGAATGGTCGTTCAACGAGGTCCCCGGACTGAATGAAGCGCTCGGAGAAGACAAGGAGCCAGGCGTAATGAAGGATGCACATTCCAGAAGCGTCGAATTCACCCGCATCTACGGCGACTGCTTCATCTCCGACTTCGTCGAGGGAGGCGAGATCTACGCCTGGGTTGGCATCAAGTCGCAAGACCGCAAGAACTCTCGACAACTCGCTGTCCATGCGTCGGCGCAGTTGACGCCCATGGGTCTCCCAGTGCAAGCTTCGGGGGAAATGGATGCTTCGCAGGAACGCAATCGGCTGTTTTCTCAAGCCACGACCTCGATCCGCATCCAGTGGCGCGGTGGCGGCCAGATCAAGAATCACGACTTCCCCTGGGGCATGGACAGTCTGATCCTGATCGCCAATGCGTTTCCGTCGATGGTGGCGGCGAAACCCGCAAAGATCCGTGCCGTCTTGACCCCGTACACGGCCCTGAAGAGTTTCCACGACCATCGATTGTCAAACCCGCGAATCCCGCTGCCGCTGACCTATGACCACTGTGCCATCTACACCAGCACGCTGTACGAAGACTTCATGGCGTTTCAGGACTTGTGCGAAAAGCTGAACACCATGATCAAGGACCCACAAGACTTTCGGAACCGTGACGACGACAAGGCCTCAAAGGATATACAAAAGGCGGCGCTGCAGAGTGGAGATGCGATCGCGACGACACGGCGACCTACCATCGACTTTGGGCCGTCGGAGATGGATGACCCGACGTCAGAGGCTTGGACAGACAAGAAGACCCGGGCACTCATGAACCTTGATGTCATCCTCCGAGATCCAACCCCCAAGCTCACCAGCATGGACCCGGACCCTCAGAAACTCAGCATGATGAGACTCCTGTGTCGCTCTTCGATGATCTACATCCAGGAGCAGGCCGCGGGGCTCGTGGTCGATCCCGCGAGGTCAATCACCAAGCACGATGACCAAGGCCGGCACGTGTACAGCCTTCCAAAGTACATTTGCCCTGGCGTCATTCAGAGTATATTGCCCATCCCCAAATTTGACAACAGTGGGAGCGAGTGGCGAGACAAGGAGATCGCGGACTTGCAGGGCGTCGAGCATATCAGGAATGACCCGTTGAATTACTCATGGGATGTGATCGGAGAGCCCTTGTCTCCGTACAAGAGTTACGAGCACTTTGCCGTTGGAAATTTTGATCTCGATGATGAAGAGTACCCGCAGCGAGTCGCTGTACAGCCTTTTACCGCAGGCTGGTGTCACAGCCGCCGTATCCGGGACAGTCACAACGCCATCAGCGGCATCGGACTCGGGTACGCAAACAAAAAGGCAGTTTGCCACCGCAACTGCAAATCCGTCGAGGTAGAGGAGTCCGGGGGCGTCAGGAACGCCAGCGCAGAAGAACGAGCGACCATGTTCGCCAACATGTACGTCGGGTGCAAGCCCGCGGGGGACCGCTGGAAACAGATCGAAGACCGCAGCCTCAGCGCCTCGTCCATCAACCGCGTCAATGTCTACTACCGTCCCGGCGCCAACTGCATTGCTGGCATCGAGCTCCTATCTGACCCCAACCCCGCCGATTTCAACGACGACTCAAAACGCGTGACGCCCGTGTTCATCCACAAAGCGTGGGACCCCGATGCGACCGCACAGAGCAGCGTGACGGCCAAACTACCGGACAAGATGGACATTCAGGCGCTGTACCCGGGGGACAATGTCTTGGACGAAAACATGGACAAGAACTGGATGTTTGCTGGGTTGATGGGCGCGTTTGAAAAGGTCGGGCCTCCGGGTATGGGGCGGTTCAAGACCGGCAGGGTTTTGGTCAAGGTTGCTGTCGTGTGGAAGAAGAGGCCCGGTGTTTCATGAGGGTTCTCGTGCCTTGCATCGTAGGGTTTGGGATATGGGACGGACGAACCGAACAGCATCGGGGATCTGGTTTGTGAGCGTTTCAGCGGACTTTTTGTGCATTTTTCTATGGATCCTCTATCACAGTCTGGCGTTAATTCAGCGCTCTTGGAATAAGGGCCTAATCTTGCGCGATATTTTGAGTTGAATAAAAAGCATGACTGGGAAGATACCATGTTTGGATATCAAACCCAGCCTTTTGTCATAACCTCGGGCGACTGGATCTCACTTGTTCTTGATATGGAGGTAAAAGCAGCGCCCTTGCTCAAAGTGCTGGAGCTGGAGCCTAATGCCAAGCCTTTCACGTGACTGTTAGATTTCCCACTAAGATTGTGTGGATCTTTTAGGCTCTGGTTAATTCACTAGCCTCCGCAAGATCAACTGCGCTACCAAATAGTAGTCTTGAACAATCCGAGGTCGTCAACCACAAGCACAATTCGATATCAAGTACGAACTGGTTGATCCTCCACCAATCCTACACATGCCAACGAAGAGATATGGACATCTCTTCGGACTATCTGCACGAAAGTCCCACCCTTGGAAACGGACAACCTCCTGCGAATAACCCCCCCATGACTTTTCAAGATCTCGGTGTTATCGAGTCGCTATGCGAGGCCTGCGACTCTCTTGGCTATCGAGCACCTACTCCTATCCAGGCTCAGGCTATCCCACCAGCACTCGAAGGAAGAGACCTTGTAGCTCTTGCTGAGACAGGAAGTGGTAAAACGGCAGCATATGTCTTGCCTGTCTTGCAAGCCCTGTTGGATCAACCACAGCCACTACACTCTCTGATCCTTGCGCCAACCAGAGAACTTGCACACCAAATCGCGGTCGTTGTTGAAGCACTAGGTGCCGTCATATATGTGCGGTGTGTTGTCTTGATTGGGGGCGCAGACATGATATCACAGGCCATAGCACTGGGGAAGAAACCACACATCTTGGTCGCAACGCCAGGCCGTTTACTGGACCACTTGGAAAATACCAAAGGGTTCTCACTACGACTCTTGAGATATTTGATCATCGACGAGGCGGACAGGCTTCTGGATCTTGATTTCGGGCCAATCTTGGATAAGATCCTGAAAATCCTACCGCGTAGACGGACCTTGTTGTTCTCTGCGACAACGTCGAGCAAAGTCGAAGCTCTACAACGAGCTTCTTTGTCGAAACCTCTTCGAGTCTCCGTGTCCTCGGAAAATCAGACTGTTGCAAAACTTCTTCAGTCGTACATTTTCATTCCCCACAAGCATAAAGATGTGTTCTTTGTACATCTACTCACTGACATGGCAGGACGGACAGGTATTATATTCACACGAACGGTCAACGAGGCTCAGCGAATATCTATTATGCTCCAGAGTCTGAATTTTCTCGGCCACGCCTCTTCATGGCCAACTTTCACAGAGAGCGCGGTTTGAAGCGTTGAACAAATTTCGACGCGGATCTCGAAATTTACTCGTGGCTAGCGACGTCGCAGCCCGCGGACTTGACATACCTTCGGTCGATATCATCCTGAATTATGACCTTCCCCACGACAGTAAAACCTATATCCATCGGGTCGGCAGGACTGCCCGTGCCGGGAAAGGCGGTACAGCTCTGTCCCTTGTCACACAGTAGATGTTGAGCTGTGGCTAAGAATAGAGGGAACCTTGGGTCAGAAGCTAGACGAGTATCCGATCGTGAAAGAAGATGTCATGATGCTCTCCCAACGCGTCGGTGACGCTCAGCGGAGAGCCGCGCTCCAGATGAAGGAACTTCACGGGAATAGAGGGAAGCCAGGTGCCAATCTCCGCCGTCGAAGACTTCACAAACCGAAAGATCATGACAACATGGACCTGGATGAGGGTTGAAAGCTCTTTATCCTATACCACGGGTTGCGTCACTTCGTGTATCGAGTTGATGAAATTATTAATGTCTGAGTATACCCTCACGGACACAATGCTTGTATCGACCACATCCCTCAACCTTGCTGGAGACACATCAATTGAGCAAACCGAACACTGCTTCGGGCTGTCTGGTCACGAGAAGTTTCCCGTCATTGAGATGGCTGGGCTTATTTTGTTGCCACTGGCCTCTTCGCCTCACTGTGCGGACTACCTCCACCATCTGTGTCCTTTTCTTTCTGTTTGTTTTTGAGTGCTCTTCTGCACGAGGAGCATCTCTCTTGATAGAACAGGGCTCTCTTCTGCGCAGTCAAACGGATACATCTTGTGGTAGCATTGTTGACACCACGAGCTCTTCTCAGCATTTCCGCGCCGATCTCGGCCCGCATTACGTCGATTGACCTCGTCGCATGGTCGGGAGGTATCAACAAGATACTCTTCGTGCGTGCATTGGTAAACAATGTAGTTGACGTGGCACAAGTCAACTACATTGTTTTGACAGGAGTCAGCAGAAAGAATTGAGTCAAGATATAGGATCTCTATAAACCTCACGCTCTTAGTTGGATTCTCACATGGGAAAGCTTCAGTTTTCCAGTCAAAGATTGACGCCTCGCTCCATGATTGTTGATGGAGAAGCCGTCATTTGTGTCTTGTATAGCTTCTAACATGCTCACCATGACACCATTCAGCTTCCGACGTGTGACAAGACAGGTGGCGATCAACATATAATCGACGCTTATTGCTACTACAGAATGGGGCAGAAAGCGGCGATACACTGAAAAAATAAGTAGCGAGTGAGACATGCTTGAATGGGCAGATACTCGAAGACGTGTCTAGCAGACACGTAATGATTGCATGTCTGAACACAAGATGCATTTTGCAAAAGGACAAGTTTCAGCACAGCCTGATTGAGGTAGCTCAACGCTGGTGTTGATCGGACCACAAAGACTATAGCCAGCAGGCTAGACCTTTCTTGCACGGGACCAGGCGCGGCACTCTGATGAGGAGGTCGTTCGGTCGCGGGTGCTGTGACTCAGTGGAGGAGCATGGTGTTCTACTACTCATAGGAGGATATATGTATACTATGGATTAAATCAGAGAAAACGTACTAGTGCCGCTTAGTGGAAGTCAATAGATACCTCTAAGCGACTAGCGTGATAGTCAATAGGTGTCTTTGGTGCTCTGGGGTAAGGAATAACTGCAATTGGTGTTCTGTGACTCCACCTGGGTTGAATAAGGGCAGCATCACCCTCTTGCTGCATCGGGCGCGAGCTTCGAGTAGTTTTCCAAACCTTGGCGTGTATCTGGTGACAAGCGACGAAGCTCCGTTTTCCTCCTGCCCTCAATTGCGCGGCTGATGCATCTGTTTCTGTTGACTTGACACTCACCTCACATCACCAGCCAATGGAGGGTTTGTTCACCTGCTTGAGATGTGCGCGAGCACTCTCGGGCGTCGCTCGACAACGGCCAAATGCGAGGTTCGTCCAGCAAATCCCGGGTCGACGCAGCTTTACCTCTAGCACCTCGTTGATGCACACCCCGCGAGACCAATCGAGAATGGAGCAGAACCGAAGCTCTAGAAGGGCCATGCGGTCTGCATCTACGGCCGCCGCTCCTGCAGAAGAACCGGATAACTTCGAACGACACAATATCCCCCCTACTGATTACGGCGAGTGGCGGGCCCATGGCCGAGTGGTCCTAGGACCAGGCAACCTCTTCCACCCCTTCTCCCGGTCCCCCATCCCCGAGATCCGGCAAAGAGCGCGGTTCATGAAGCAGCATGCATTGTGTCCACATCCCGTCCATCAACAGACTCGCGTGCCGACTTCACCCCACGACCCCGAAGCGAGGAAAATCGAAGGCGTGAGCACGGAGCCTCCTGCTCACGTCTCGTTCGAGTGCCCGGACTGCGGCATCGCAACGTACTGCTCGGAGGAACACTGGGCAGATGACTTTGAGGCGCACCTGGAAATATGTGATACACTGAGACAAATCAACGAGGATGACCACGATTTGAGATCGGGACGATGGTTTCCCGAGTTCGAGTATCCCGGCCCGCAGATGGATGAAGCCTTGGTGAACATGACCAATTGGGATACCTTTCTCTACACGCGACAGTTCGAAGCGGTGAACGACGAGAGGAGTATGCGACAAGTCACAAAGTTGCTGACTTATCCCCTCACTATTGGGAGTGTTTTGCATGAGCTGAGCCCATACAATATCAGGCCTGGGGGGAGGTTGACTCCAGAGGGACTGAAGAGTTTCTCAGGTGAGTCTTCGTTTTTGCTTAAGACATTGCTCTATGCTGACCCCGACAGCACTCCGGTATACCTTGCATCCACCCAAGACCGGCCAAGGCAAGGACATCAAAGGGCTTAGGCTGTCGAGTCCGCCCGTCCGGATATTCGTCCTAGGTGCACGAGCCGAATCATCTCTACCCCGCGAAGTGTGGACGCAGTTGTCGTACCTTTTCCCCCAGTCCCTCGTACATCTCATATTCATTGGACCCGAGTCCATGATGAATCGCGACGCCGAGTTTCCTTTGCCGGAGAGAACATCTCAGAATCCATTTGGTGCCATCGTTGAAGACCGTGTTTCGCCAAAGATGAAAATCACCACCTACGTGGACTATTTTCACACTCTGCACGAAGCAAATGCATTCTATCCTTACGACCCGTATTTCGACTGCTTCATGCTGTTCCACCCAGGCCTAGGACACCCCGCCTCTTCATTGGAGTGGGAAAACACTCTGCCTCGCCTGTTGGAGACCAAAATCCCTGTCTTGTGCACAGGTTATACAGAGTGGGATATGACTCGCGACTGGCAGTGGGTCATGGAGAAATGCGCGGGCGAAGTCGACCTCCTCATGGAACCTGGGGAGAACAGATTCCGCTCTTTGAGATGGGACTTGAATGATCTTGACCCCCAGGACATTAGTTGTGGTAACTGGGGTGTGTGGGCTTTCAGAGGCAAGAGGTACGTGATCAGCTCGCCGTTTTGGGCACGGCCCTCAATCCCAATAGCCTATGTGCCTGTGCTTCCTTACTGACTTTGCTTCACTATAGGTACGAAGCTACTCGTCGCGACCTGACTTGAAGTGGACAAAGGACCTCTCCGACATTGTACTATTACAAAACGAGCACGGTGGTGGAATCAACAAGTCGGGGGAATTCGCCCTGCAGTGCGCCATCATGGCTTTCTCAAATACCCAAAGGCTACCCTCCCACAATTGGGCGCAACTGCGCCGAGCTTCTCTTGCAGGTATCAAGGCTTCTAAGCATTGTTGCCAAGTTGGACCACCGTGCCGTGCAGATAATTCCTGGAAAGGCCATCAAGCTTCCGATCTGTATCTTATTCCTGGAGGCCTTAAAAGGCTTAGTGCTCACAGGCTCGCCAGGCAGACTGCTGATGCATCGAGAGGCGAAATGGTATATACGCCCAATATATGTGGATGGAACATCATACCGGATCGTCCGTAGTATAAGTTGACTTAATGGGGGGCACTGCCTCATCGATCATCCTGACGTATCGAAGCCGCGGAAATCGGCAAATACGCCCCTTGGCGCGTGGCAAGGCGTTTCTACTGACCAATGCATGGGTCTCGTGCTAATCAGTCGTAATTGGATGCGCAGTTGAGCCAGTCGATTCCGGGGAAGGAGAAGTTGATGATTCAACATTCCGTGCCCTGTTTGATGTACCGAGTCGAGTTGTAACTCGCGAGAGGGCTGTGCAAACAAAATTGCCTCCGTATCTGCCGTATTTGCTTCTTTGTTAGCGTACATCTCAGATGCGTCATATACTGAACGAGAAGAAGAAAGACTCTTGTGTTGCCCTTTGTTGAAATCTGCGCCCGGCGCGTTTGCTACAGATATATTGACCTACAGTACACCACCCTATCCCGCCGGCACGATACCGAGGGGTTCAACCTGAAACCTGACCTACAACAAGATTCGCAAACCTTTAACATCCTCTTATTTGGTCGCAAGCAAGAAGGAAAAGTGGTGGCACCAAGTGTGATATTGCGACAATGAAGTTCCTCCTCCGGATAACCCTCCTCTTCTCCGTCATCTCCTTGATCGCCTCGGCACCTCCATCATCCCCCTCTACAGATCTCTCGGTGCGCGAGGTCTCCTCCCCGCTCGATTTATTCAACCATCTCGAAAAGCGCAAAGGTGGCGGCGGCGGGAAAGGAGGGGGAGGCAGTAGCGGCAGCAGTGGCAGCTCTTCGTCGGGCGGATCCAGCAGTGGCGGGCGCAGTTCTGGCGGATCGTCCACAAGACCAAACGGGCAGCCGTACTCGTTTTCGTCGGCGTCCAACGCTGGTGGACGCACGCGCGATGGCTCAGGCACACCCAAGGCCTACGGGAACAGATACGCGGGCGGCGCGGTGGTGCCGTACACTGCGGGACGCAGATCGCCGTCGCTGGGTGTCGCGCCATTCTTCATTGGCGCGGGCGCCCTGGCGTTCTTCCCGGGCCTCTGGCTGTACGGCAGCGTATGGGCATATCCCTACGGCATCCCGTACTACTGGCTCGATCACGAGGGCCGCAACCGCACCTCCAACGTCACCTGCCTGTGCCAACAGTACCAGGTCTGCGGGTGCGACCCAGACAACAACTCGACCTTCTTGACCCAGGTGGTCACCAACGGCTCCTCCACGCCCGTCGCCCCCGTCAACACCAGCACCGTCAGGACCGTGTCCTTCGACAACGGCACCACGGCCACTTACATCAACGGCAGTCTCGCCAACGGCACCACCGCTGACGGAGGCACCGATCCCAGCGACGAGTCCCAGGTCAGTGCGGCCGTGCGTGCCGTCGTCGAACTGAGTGGGTACTGGGTCATGTTTGTGATTGTGGGTTGGGGTATGTGGACGGTCGCATAGATTTGGTAGATGCATATACAGAGAGGCTGGAGCAGCCTGTCGCAGACATTGAGAATACGAATACAGGGGCCGGGGTGGGACTTCCACGGGAACGAACACGCAACGACGGCCATCACGAAAAGAATGGTGACGAAAGTTCCACCGATGTTTCTTACAAGATAACTCTGAGACGCACAGAGAGAAGGAAAAGAGAGAGAGAAGAAATACGGCTTTCGTCCCGGAGCTCAAGTCACCACCACTACCACCACATCATACCGGCACGGCTGTTTGTGTTTGTGATCGAGTTGAGCCTTCACGATGCATTGCGGTTTTCTATTCTCATATCAACATGCACAACAGATCTTGGGGGAGCGGCGTGGTTCTGACCTTGCTCTCGTGACTTGGGTTTGTTCAACATTGACATAGCTGGTTTTTACCCTGTGGGAAATCCTCCTTTTGGAGATTTGGCATATGGATATAGTACTCCAAATACTTTTTACTCATGAGGCGTATGGCTTCGAGAATGTAGTTTGGATAGACCAAAGAAATGGTGCGAACCTACTACACATCTCCAAAGAGTTGACTTTAATGCGAACAAAAGTAAACTTATCTTGCCGAAAGGTGCATTCAGGCTATGTACAACCTTTTTCACAGCTGCGTGCAATGTCTGAGCGAGTAATTGCATGGCACCAGTGCATAATTCATCCATCCCCACCCATAGATCCATCGCGAGTGAGAACGTCGACATTGCTGTCAATGCCTAGAACAATCACAACACTCAATCTTGGTTCAGCTGACATTCCAAGATATCTGACGATTGGCTTCGAGGTTACCACTGATTTATTCACTATCTTCCGAGTCCCCAGCCATGCGTGCCTGTTACATTGATTAGCTTGATAATGGTGGCAATAGCAACTGTCTGCTCACCCGAACGGCACCCGGGCCTCCCAGCTCCTCAAATAGTCCTCCTTCAAGTTCTCGTGGCGCGCTCGGTTTGCCAGGATATGTGTATGCGACGCCATAGTACACCCCCAGAACGCAGGTGACGAAACCTGCCCACATCAAAAGACCTCGCGCGCTGGACATGAATGTATAGTCCTCCAAAGCGAAAATACCAAGAACGTCATTGTCTTCGTGGACGGGTTCGCCAAAGTTGCGCCGTTCTTGTTTGTCGTCCCAGTCGGCGTACGGGTCACGGTGTTGTCGCTTGATTCGAGGTGGGTTAATGTAGTTGTTGTTCTTTGAACGTCAAAATTAGCATCCTCCCCAAAGCTGTAACCCTGGATCAATGTACCATTTCGGGATCATCTATCTCTTGCTCAGCAGCTTTCAGACATCTCGCAACCGAGAACTGAGCTCGAGGGAGGCGGAATTGAGGCTGGACTTGGGATTGAGGTCGGGTGCGGGCAAGTGATCGTGCGGAAGATGCGGCCAACGTCAAGGCTCGCCGGGAGAGCATCTTTGTGCGGACGGGGCTCCGATGAGCCAGATAATAAGGAAAGCAGTGTCAAGGTCAAATCATTCAGTTTGATGGCACAGAGGGACTGTGGACGGGTTGAGTGCGTGTGTGGAGAGTGAGATGAGGGATGCTTGAGGTTGAAGAATGGCGGGCAGTGATTGGTCTAGGCAGGAGCTGTCAGGGCCTGGGCGGGATTCCGCAGTGGCTTGCGCCCTAAACTCGCCTGTTCCTCCCCCTGCGCTCACTTTCTTCCCATCTCGATATTTTCATGGTTCGCCTCCAACTTCAACCGCCCACCAACAGCCCAAACCGGTCTCAGGCTACCGCAAACTCCGCGAGGTGACTGTACTCGGTCGCTGCTACAAATTGAACCGCGACTCGACCACTTTAACGCCCTGTCCATCGAGCATACCCGTTGTCATTTTGGTGTTTTTCTGAGACTCTCGATTTTGCCATGCCAGGCCGCAATAGCAGTGACCGCGCCAAATGCCGATTCCTTCTCCGACCGGCGACTTTCATTCAGACTCCAACCACCAACATCACGGTACGTTCAACTCTTCACTAAACCCAACATCACATCAGTCGGCTGATCGTATCCTAGAATTGCTCGATAAGAGATCCACGTCGCCCGCACGCAATCGCGAAAGCCCTCTAAGATCCTCCATCGAACCCCATGAAAGTCACGGCAGCAACGATGGCCCACCCACGAAGAGGCGGAAAGTTGCAGGCGCTGACCACAGACCGTCTCCTCGACTCATTTCTCCCCCGTGGAAACGAGTCGTCGCTGAGGGTCCGACGTCATTCATCCAAGATGGCCGTCGAAAGTCCGGGAGAACAAACGTGATACCCCTCGATCTACAGCCGCAGTCAAACAAGAGGCAGACCCGTGCTGCTTTTGATAAAGTCAAGGAAGAACGCCAAAGACAAGCAAAACCTGTTTACAATGTATCCGCTCGCAAGTCCAAGGCCGAAGCACAGATCTCACCGTCGAGGACCATCAAACGTGGCTCCATCCCCCCTCCCAAGGGTCGCGATGTACTCCAGACACACCACCCTCCCAATGCTGAATCATCGCGACCGCAGAGACATCTTAGAGATTCAACCAACAGCTCAAAACTTCAGGCCAAATCCCCTCATCGTCGTACAAGTGCGAGTCATCGCTCACAGATCACGTCGTCACAGGTCAATGGTATACATGGCCATAAGGCGTGGACAAATGGGATCGTGAAGATCGAGCAAGAGAGCGACCGCGATGATTTCGACACCTCTAGCGCACTGTCCTCCAGGGGCTCTACGCCTCCGTTGACTTTGCGCAGAGTTACCTTCCGAGTTCGATTGCCTCCCCCCTCCATTGCTAGTCCCGCCAACGTGCCTTTACCCAAGAAGTATGCTTCTTTCACCGAGTTTCTTGAAAAGGATGAGACAGAACCAAGGGCAGGCGAGGATACATTGACACCTGATCAAGTTAGGAATGAGGCGTTGGCTAGGAGAAGAGTGAGGGATGCACAGAAGCGTGGCGGGTCGCTTGACAAGAAGCTTGTCGATGCGGTGCCCGAGAAGCAAGATGAACCAAAGAGACAGTATGCGCACCACGATCATCTCCTGGCTCATGCGTCCCATTTCAGGACACTCTTAAGAGCAGAACATCGAGATCACAGAAGAAAGGCTGAGCTGCTCGCGAATGAGGCGAAACGGTACGTTGAAGAGAAACAGAAGCGCAACAAGGTGAAGACTGCAGAAGAGATCGAGCAAGAGAAACGAGACGCCAGCTTAGCGATGTATCGAACAGTGGTTAAGGACCTCGACAAACTTTGGGCCGCGGTCAGACTTGAGGTCAATGCCATCCGACAGAGAGAATACGAAGAGCAGCAACAAGCAAAGATGAAGGGCCACCTTGCACGTGTTCTGGATCGGACGGACCAGATGCTCAGTCGACTTACTGAACAGGACGATTCTATGATGGACAGTGGAACGGAGGTCTCATCCCACGCGAGTGATGAATCAGAATCGGAAGATAGCGAGCAGATGTCAGTGAGTGAGACGGAATCAGAGGCTGAAGCAGATGACAAAGACCTTGACGCCGAGATGTCAGTCGAAGAATTGAAAAAGAAGTATGGCAATTTGCCAGAGCTGCCGGTTGAGGATGATGGAGATTTCACCGAAGGCCACCGGGAAGATGGGGAAAGCCCAGATCACTCCGATGAAGACTCAGACCCCGAGACCGAAATGGACTCTGAGTTTGACACAGAGGGAACCAGTGATGAAGAGGAGAACGTGGATGATGGGAGCGAAGAGGATGACACTGGTGGTGGCTTACTTTCATTGCTGTTCTCAAAGAAGCAGATCGCGGACATGTCGACTGAAGCGGGCGAAACAAGTGCAACCAACGAAGACCAGTCTGAATGTCACGATACTCCCCTGGTGGAAGTCTTGGAAGAATCACCAGCGCTAGACAGAGAGCCAGCTCAAGAGCCTTCGATCCCCAGCCGAAATGCCATTGAACCAGAACCCGACGCAACTAGCGAGACAAATATGCTGATAGAAACACCAACTGCTCCGGAAACTGGTGACGTCAAAATGCGAGACGTGACGCCTCCCAGTCACCTTCAGGTTGCGCGACTTGCTTCTGAAGACCCCGGAAGTCAGGTGCCTAGCACCTATACCTCTCCTCATACGACTGCAACGAAAGTGTCCGAACCGGAGTCGGTCTCTTCCATTGACGCTCATGTGGACTCTGCACCGTCCATCACGCCTTCAGAAACAAAGCCAGCTATCAAAACTCCTGTTCCCTCCTTGTTGCGAGGTACTCTTCGTGAGTACCAACACGAAGGGTTGGATTGGCTTGCGGATTTGTATGCTCATGGCAGAAGTGGGATCCTGGCCGACGAGATGGGTCTCGGCAAGACCATTCAAAGCATTGCGCTCTTGGCTCACCTTGCTGAGGTCTACGAAGTTTGGGGTCCTCATCTTATCGTTGTACCCACAAGTGTCATGCTGAACTGGGAGATGGAGTTCAAAAAGTTCTTGCCTGGCTTCAAAGTTCTGACATATTACGGTAGCCTTGAAGAACGAAAGCAAAAACGGAGAGGCTGGATGGCAGACGACAGCTTTAACGTGTGCATTACGTCGTATCAATTGGTTTTGCAGGATGCAAACTCTTTCAAGAGACGACGATGGCATTATATGATCCTGGATGAAGCTCACAACATCAAAAATTTTCGTTCGGAGCGATGGCAGACCATGATGACATTCAACACTAGAGCACGACTGCTTTTAACTGGAACACCTCTTCAGAACAATTTGACCGAATTATGGTCTCTTCTCTTCTTTCTTCACTATGGTCAAGAAAATGAGGGCGAGGACGACGCATTTGCTGGTCTGAAAGAGTGGTCGGAATGGTTCAAGAGGCCCGTGGAGTCGATTCTGGAGCATGGTCGCCAGGTTCTAGACGAGGAGGATCGAGAACAGGTTTCGAAACTTCACAAAGTCATTCGACCATTCCTCCTTCGTCGATTGAAAGCGGACGTGGAGAAACAGATGCCAGCCAAATACGAACACGTTGAGCTGTGCCGTTTGTCCAAACGTCAACGACAACTGTACGACGGCTTCATGTCCAGAGCCCAGACGAAGGAAACGTTGGCTTCGGGTAACTATTTGTCAATCATCAACGCCTTGATGCAGCTGCGCAAAGTCTGCAACCATCCCGACCTTTTTGAAACACGACCGATCAATACATCGTTTGCAATGCACAAGTCTGCAGCAGCTGACTTCGAGATTAAGGATCTCTTGGTTCGTCGGAGACTAATGTTGGACGCCTCGAACGATCTAGACTTTGACTTCTTACGGCTGGCGCCTATTTCGGAGGAGCGGATGTCCATGATTGAAGTAATCGAGACTACTAAACGACATGCCTACAGCAAATTCAAGACCCTGAGGGAGGCACAATCCCGAAGGATCTTGTCATTCTCCCACCATGGTATCTGTAACGACAATGCCGCCTTGTGGTGCGGGACGAATCGGCGCGGTGTGCTCGGATCCCTCGAGAACGTTGGTCGGAGAACCCGGCTTCAGGAGTTGGACCGCACTATGTATTATGAAGCATACAAGCACCATCAACACCCGATTTACGGCCGTGGCCTGATTGAACGGTTGACCATAAATACGACTTATGAGAAACTATCCAGACTGCCACCACGCAGGGCTTTAAGCCGATTCTGGTCTAAAGGGCAGCCAATTCAGTCCTTTGACCTTGTTCATTCTGTGCAGTCGAGGTCTGAACAGATGCAACCCTTCATCGACAAATATGCATGCGTCACCCCTGCCGTGGTGGCGACAGATCTCTATGCTAGGACTGTCACAGACGCCGGAGCTCAAGCAATACGAGAAGCAGCAGAATCGACCCTAAAGGGTGATGCAGGGGATCCATTCCACCTCGCACGGATGAAACTCTCCATTGCGTTCCCTGACAAACGCCTCCTGCAATATGACTGTGGCAAATTGCAGAGACTGGACAAATTACTTCGCCAGCTCCAAGCCGGTGGCCATCGCGCATTGATCTTCACACAAATGACCAAAGTCCTTGATATCCTTGAGCAATTCCTCAACATTCACGGCCATCGGTACCTACGACTCGATGGTGCCACCAAAGTTGAACAGCGACAGATCCTCACCGAGAGGTTCAATAACGACACGCGCATCCTTTGTTTCATCCTTTCCTCCCGTTCTGGTGGACTCGGCATCAACTTAACCGGAGCTGACACTGTCATCTTCTACGACCTCGATTGGAACCCGGCCATGGATAAACAATGCACTGACCGCGCGCACCGCATTGGCCAGACGCGAGATGTCCACATCTATCGCTTTGTCTCGGAGCACACTATTGAGTCCAACATTCTTAGAAAAGCCAACCAAAAGCAGATGCTCGATGATGTGGTTATCCAGGAGGGTGATTTCACCACAGATTACATGAACAGGATGACCTATCGAGATATGCTTGACGAGAATGCCGAGGAGGATGAAGCGGGGAAAGCAATGGATCGTGTCCTAGGCAACGACAAAACCAGTGTCGGAGTACTGGAGCAAGCCGAAGACCAGGAGGATCGTGCGGCAGCCAAAGTCGCGGCAAGAGAATTGCAGCATGCAGATGAAGGTGACTTTGAGGATGGGAGAGCCAGTGCCACGCCGAGGACTCAGACAGGTGATGCCAGAAGTACACCTGCCTATGGCGGTGTGCCAAATGGACCGTTTGGAACAACCGATGCCGCCATCGAAGAATCACAAGACCACAGGATCCATCACATCGACGAGTACTTGATCCAATTGCAGAGGTATCTGATGAAGGACATTCCGCTTGGGCCAGGCAAAGACTCGAAGAAGGGAAAGAAGGGGAGGAAAGGACGCGACGAACACCGCCTTCGCCGAGTGAGATGAAGTTATGTCCAGCCGAAGAAGTACGAGAGAGGTCGCCAGAGCTATTCTCAGATCATCCCATGGGTTGGACTGATTTGATTGGCCATTAACATGTAAGAACAGTTTCTGATGAGAAAAATCTTGAAGTTTTTTTTTTTTTTTTTCAACTTTGGGAGTCTACAAGACCAAGCAAGCGATGGCTGCGTGCTTGTGTGGAAAACGCCCTTCTTTGAGAGGGTCAGGCTTGAGAAGAACGAATGTAACAAAATGACACTTGATTAACTCCCAACATGCACCTACTTTCCCGTTCACTTACCGTGTTGGACGAAAAAGTCCGCTCGCACACTAGTATTCGCAGAGTTAAAGACCGGTGCGGTGACTTTTTGTTTTGGCTTCCTTTCGTATATCCACGCAGAATCTCGGTCTTGTATCCATGCAAAGGCGCGCGGCGTGGAACATGGATAGCTTGCTTGGCATCGACCACAGCGACCGTAGCTTGCGTAGCTAGGTTCGTGGTTCGTGGTTCTGTCGACCTTTGTAGACGACTACGACCTTCACAGGGCCACAGGCCGACAAGCAAGACTCCCTCTCGGAAGGCTTGTGTTTGATGGTTTGGTAGCGGAACGGTTCGCCACCCTCGAAGGGCGCTGAGTTGGGGGGGAATGACACAATCATCATAACAAGTCGTTGTGCTGGTGACCATGGATGGCAATACCGTGAGTCTGGCTAGCCAGATCCACAACAAGCATGGCAGGACTGTGGCCGCGTCCTCTGAGCTGTTTTGTGGGACTAATCTTCCTGTCTGGTGTGGTTACAACCTCCCCCTGCATTTTTAGTTGAGCTCAGGGCGCAGGGTGGCCGATACCTCTCTATATTTGGTGCTGAACTCGGGATCTAGAAAGTGTCAGGACTCGATATCACACGACACTGGTAAGGACTTAAGGGGGGTTCAAAGTTCCACATTCAATGGTTCTCGTCTGGAGTTGTTGACTTGGCCCAACGCTGAGTATGACCACTTTGCTAACTCGATCGAGGAAAATAAGTCCTCTCTTGAGGTTCTCTTTGGATTGTTGAGACCCCAAGAGACAGCCAGATGATGAATGGTGACAACATACGTATCTGCGCCGAGATATACGAATGGTTGTAGAATGCTCGTTGGCCAAGTCTTTTGAATTGAAGATGACGCTTAGAGACATCACCTTATAGTCCCCTCACGGCAGATTCATTGGATGGCAGGTAGTGTGCACTCGTACTTGGATAGAACCTTGGGTGGTCGACGCCGGCCGTTGCACGTTGCAGTATGCCTTTCGATTGTCATCGTATAATCAGGATGCTATCTTCATCGGCTAGAGGATTTCCCTATTATCTCGCGTGAGCAGCATATGTTCGTCAGCCTCAGGACGTGAAGCGGTATCGGCGTCTCAGAAAAGGCAGCGGAACTCATTGGACCGGCAAGACCGAATACTCCATGCCTTGTAGGGATCTTGTCATCTTGTGCCGTGTCCTGGGACCACCTCATCTGCGCCTGCATACTGGGGTAGCATTTCGCATCGCTGAGCATAGCATCCTCGGCTGTAATGCGCTCCATGAGGCAAAGGCTAGGATATGGTGTGAAGCGAGGCTGGAGATATGCTGGGGACTCCCCAACAACATGATTCGTGATAATACATGGGTCTCAGCTCCGGCACCATCGGCCGCCCTGTCAAGAAATGCGCTTCGTGGCGCTCCTTAGCAAAACCATATTAGCCCAAAGTGGATAGAGGCATAGTCAAAAGAACCCAGGAGACTTTGTCGCAATTATGAATAATGTGGACCAAGTTGCGGGATTTTCCAGTCCCTATGATTCGACAGCCTCCAAGCGACGATACTAGAGACCTGATAGAGTTGACGACTTTGCTGGACCTGGTATAGGACCGCGACAAGTTGCAGGATAGGGTAGAATATTCCAAAGGCTGCCTTCACCTGCTGACTCACACCAGGCTTCGTCGCTGGCGTAAGTCGAAAGAGAGGGAAGTAAGGTGCGCCCGCATCTCCACGATCCCACATTGTGGCGTTGGCCAAGGCGGAAACGAAGGTCTGAGCGTGACCAGATTGTAGAAGGAAATGTTCGAGAAAAGTCAGCCCAACTACGCTCTCTGGTTAGCCTGTTTTCCAGTGTTCAGCACAAGTCACACTTATTCGCGCCATTCTTGTTCTAGGGGCGTATTTGCGCAAAGGCAAGAAAGTCGGCATGCCTGGCCACCGGCTCAATCGTAAGAAGTCCGTAGACTTGTGGCAACTCTGGCGGGCCTGTATTCATCTGGCTCTCCTGACTTGTCCCTTGCTTGAGGCACAGAGTCTCCGCTCTATCTCACCGGTTATCGGGACAGTACCACCTTGGTCCACAAAGTTGTCTACCAAGTATAGTTCTCGTTGGATGAGGACCATTTATCGAAAATTTTCACTTGTGCCAAAGTTGCCTCGTTAAGACTGACAGGAGTGCCCTTGGACAAAGAGTATTCGTGGCCCCAAATCGTATTTCAACCGCTTGGCTTATGTCACAAAACAGGTCGCAGGTGACAAAGTACTAGTTGTACAAGTAGTAGCAAGTGTGTTTGGACATTGGTCCGAATTGCTCTTTGGCCAACATGCCAGCCACCAAGGGATGATCAGTTTGGGTTTGGAATAGCATGTCATCTGCCGATCGCTGGCTGGGCGGATTGGGAATCCAGTGCTAACGACGCCACTAACCTTGGCCGCGGTGTTTGAGCCGTCAGCCTAGAGGACGGATCCCCCCAGATTGTATGTGGGCTGGCCGATCACAAGGCGGATTCCAAGCCTGGCGCCGTACCCAAATTGTCTCCAACCTCTTGACTAAGGCGTTTTCTTATTGATTCTTGTTGTGACCCAAGCCTTCTGAAGCTTTTGACGGGCCAAGAATCCGCATGTTGGTCGGTGAGGAGGAGTGCCGGCAGACTGCAGCTTCGAGGGGTAGACATGGGAGGCATCTCGTCTGTAGCCAGTAGACAGGTCGTTGGGGAAGCATTGCAGGGGTAGGGCCAATGCGTCGTCTCTGTATTTCGGAGGTAGTCGTCATCAAGACGTCTCAACGATTTGCAGCCGCTCCAAATCAAATGTTCGGTAGTGGTGGCCAAAGACCCGAAGGACATGCAGAGTGCATGGACCGCAAGGACGACAAAGGCATCTCGGCGCGATCAGGGGGGGCGAGGGGGCGTAGGTACTCGTAGAGTGACAAGTTGCTAACTTAGTCCCGTCTGGTCGAGGAGGTGGAGGAAGATGGAGGCCGAAGATTGAAGGGATGAGGTTGGTGAGGTGAGGGTGAGTGACTGACTGCGCTCAGCCCCTTCTTTCTCTTCTTTCTCCTCTACCTCCTGTCTATCTCATTGGCTCTCTCACACGTCAAACCTTGCCTCGTCTTGCTCAAGTCGCTGCATTATTCCCAGGTTTTCCCTTCCACTACTTGACGCGCTTGGGCCCAAGTCCATTGATGTTGCACAAACCACCTCGTTGCCGTTTCCAGTGGCTGCCTGACCCTTCCACCCTCCCTCCCTTGCCCCTCCTCGCGTCCACCCCCCCTTGTCGTGTCGTGTGATGGCTCCTCCCTTGTTCTTCTCGGTCCAACAATATTCCTATTTCCGAATCACGACTCGATCAGCGTCCCTCCAGAACTTGGCTCCCCCGGTTCCTCCCCCCACATGCTGATGCACAGATGCAGAATGCCACCGGGGACCCATGAATGAGGAGTGACCAGGGTTGCGAGATGAGGAGCACATCACGAGTGTCCAATCTGTGTGAATTCAACCGTACTTGGAGCTGATCTTCACTCTGGTCTGCGTGCCCACTGCTGCACGTTGGCACTAGTGAAGCTGCCTCACCCTGCGAAAGCTTCATAAAGAGATCGGCCGTTCCCCTTCTGCTCAACTTGTCATCCCTCTCTCCCCTCCGCCGTGTCCTCCTGTTCTATTTGCCCGTTAAACCTCCGGAGATCTTGACTGCTACCATGGCTGACATCAAGGATGCTCCTGCGCAGGAGCACCGCAGAGAGAGTATCCTCTTCGCTGACGAGTCCAAACGCAAGGCCAGTGTTGCTCAACTGACGTCCAACACCACCGGAGAGTGAGTCAATCACGCTTCGCGCTCCCGTCGGAGTTGGTTCCACTAACACGTTGTACAGAGTTCGCAATCCTCTGGTGGGCATCCCGCGCGAGCAGATGCTCCAAGATGTCGAAAACTACGCCAATGAAAACGGCTTGACCGACATCCTGCCGCTCTTGAAAAAGGGTGCGCTGGTTGCCCAGAGTCCCCATGCTATCGAGCATATCCCCGAATTGGAAGAGAGCGAACGTCAACTCCTCCGCGAGGAAGTCACCCACCGCTGGAGACACCCCAAGACCCTCTACTTTACCATCGTCCTCAACTCGATCGCCGCAGCTATCCAGGGCTGGGATCAAACGGGATCCAATGGCGCCAACCTGACTTTCCCAGTCGCCTTCGGTATACCTGATTCTGGTCCAGTTTGCGAAGCCAAAGGCAACTGTGAAGACAACTCATGGCTCATTGGATTCATCAACTCCTGCCCTTACATCGCCATCGCCTTCTTGTATGTCCCGTTTACCACCTTTCCGTCCAGGCCATACTGACCCCTGCAGTGCGGGATGGATCTCCGATCCCCTGAATGACTGGCTCGGCCGTCGCGGAACTATTTTCGTTGGTGCCATCTTCTCTCTGCTCGCACCTATTGGCTCAGCTTGTACTCAACACTGGGGCCAGTTGGTCGCGACTCGTATCCTTTTGGGTATCGGTATGGGTCTCAAAGAAGTGACTGTTCCTGTGTTTTCGGCTGAAAATGTAAGTCCCCTTCGTCTGTCAAGACTGGAGCCGGAATTTCCAAGCTCCGAGTCATGTCCGGAACAACATTTGATCACTAACAACAAGCCAGTCCCCAACCAACATCCGTGGTGGTCTCGTTATGTCGTGGCAAGTGTGGACGGCATTCGGAATCTTTTTGGGTACTTGCGCAAACCTGGCGGTCAAGGACACTGGCGACATAGCGTGGCGCCTGCAGTTGGGTTCCGCCTTTATTCCTGCTATACCCCTCGTTGCTGGTATCTGGTTCTGCCCAGAGGTAAGTCAGGTAGAACGACCTATAGAGAACCTCACGACTGACCCGTCATCAGTCTCCTCGTTGGTTGATGAAGAAAGGACGCCACTCCAAAGCGTACAAAGCTTTGCTCCGACTGCGAAGAAGCCCTCTCCAAGCGGCTCGTGATCTTTACTACATTCACGCACAACTTGTCCAGGAGGACATTCTCGTCGAGGAGTCAGCAGTCGCCACTCATGGCAACATCTTCACTCGATTCGTCGAACTATTCACCATCCCGCGTATTCGACGCGCAACCCAGGCTTCAGGTGTCGTGATGATTGCACAGCAGATGTGTGGCATCAACATCATTGCTTTTTACTCTTCCACTGTCTTCTCCAACGCGGGAGCCAGCGTGACGGGCTCCCTGCTCGCATCTTGGGGTTTTGGCCTGGTTAACTTTCTCTTCGCCTGGCCAGCCGTCTGGACGATTGACACCTTCGGCCGAAGGGCGCTGTTGCTCTTCACGTTCCCCAACATGTGCTGGACTTTGCTGGCAGCTGGATTCTGCTTCTGGATTCCGGAGAGCAGCGACGCGCATCTCGGACTGATTGCGCTATTTATTTTCTTGTTCGACGCCTTCTACTCGCCTGGAGAAGGGCCTGTCCCATTTACGTACTCGGCCGAAGTTTTCCCACTGTCTCATCGTGAAGTTGGCATGTCGTGGGCCGTGGCGACCAACAACTTCTGGGCATCAGTCCTGTCTCTTACGTTCCCGCGTATGCTCCAAGCGATGAAACCACAGGGTGCCTTTGGATTCTATGCCGGACTCAACATTGTTGCATTCTTCATGATCTTCTTGTGGCTTCCAGAGACCAAACAGCGGACCCTGGAAGAGTTGGATTACGTCTTTGCCGTGCCGACTCGTACACACATGCATTACCAAGTCAACCAGGTGTTCCCATACTGGTTCAAGACTCAAATTCTTCGACGCAAGGGCCTTACTCCGCCACAGCTCTACAAATTCGACGCGGACGAATATGTTTCCTCTGATCGCGAAGAGGTTACCGAGAAGACGGCCAACGTTTGAGCCCGCGCCTGGTCGATATCAACTACGAAAGCAAGAGCGTATCGTGGACGCCCGAAACAATCTTTACCGAGCATGCATAAAGCACACGTTTATTCGAGATTTTCATTCGAGATTGATGAATCACGTCGATCGCTGAGCCAGAAGACACGGTGGATGCTATGTTGGAGTGGAGAGGCTATCCAGTCTACGCTTGACAAATCGGTCGTGCTTACATACCCCTTTTGCCATTATGCTACGAGAGTAGATCGTTTAGGCAGATTGAACGATGCCATTATCCAAATATTCTTCTGAGGAGTTATCTCTGTATATGCTCGCCGGCTGTCTGACCTAGGTCTCCTCTCCTACTCACTGTTCTGGCCACTCATGCTCATTCTGTACCGAGTCGGTGGTATACGGAGTAGGTGTTTAGTCGTCCCTCGATGGATGTCATGTGCTTGTTGCTGGGTGTGGAGAGGAACCACTCTCCATGCTGGAGATGATCGACCGCAGCCGACGGGAACCCAAAACATGATCGACATTGTGCATAGTGCATCATGCAGAAACTGCGGGATGGGGACTGACTTGATCAACAGATCAACAGGGCCGGGGTCCCTAACCTCAGCACTTTACGACCCATGCTTGGTATGGGTGGTGGATTCGGTCAGGCTGGGCACGGCTCGACGGGTACTACTGAAGTGCGGACAGGACGGAGGATTCTGTGGGAGCTCACCACGCGGGATGCTGGGGAGCACTAGCTGCTCGGGAACGGGTAAGTGGGATGGGAGTGGGAATGAGAATGGGTAATATGTCGATCACGTCGAATCCTTCCCGTCGGTCTGCCGGCTGCCATCGTGCCGTACCCCTTGGAGTAGGAGAAGGAGAGGAGACAATTCCCACCTACATAGGTACCTATCTCACATGCTGGAGCCATGCGACGACTCCTATGAATATGTCGCCTCTTACTTGCCTATCTTGGTCCTGGGTCCTGGGTCCTGGGGTACTCTCTAAACCCCGGAGTGGAGGAACGTCGGGCCAAAGTACGTGTATCTAGGTACAGAAGTCAGACCTTAGCCTTGCAGGTGGATTTGCGGAGCAGGAGATGAGATGGAATCCGAGGGAACAGGGGATCGACAAAGTATATTTTATTGGAATCCCTCGACCCGACATCCCCGGAGCTACCTCTAAGGAATACATGTCGAGTACTCGGAAGGGTATACATCCTCTCCACTCCTCACTCGCCTGTCAAAAGCCTGGCTCCTTGTTAGTTGTTACTCGGGACTTTTTTCCTTGGTCAGGGCAGTGAATGATTTCGGGGCACAACAGGAGACAAGACCAAAGGAGGATCTCTCTAAAACCATTCCTCCCCCACAATCAGACAGACACACTGATCCGCTCTCTATTCTTCCTTCCATCCTTCCAGCATTCTGGCTCGCTCCGTACCGTCGAGACCAGGACCCGAGTCCTGCTGACTCGCTGACTCGGCGGGTTCGTCCCCATTTATGCTGCCGATCTGCCGAACGCAGGAGGGTCGACCTTATTTCTCGTTTCACCGGGTCCAGGAGGGCGAGAACCGAGAATCCTGGCTTGAACTGCACTGCCGCCTTGGGCAGCTGGGGTTACAGAAGTGGCAAGTGGGTACGTCTTCTCTGCCATGCCCTGCCCTGCACTGTTCAACTGCTGTTTCACATGGTTCTTCTTTTCGTTTGAAAGCTGGTGTCTGTTCCAACGCGCGATCGATGACTCCACCGCGGGAACGGAAATGAGAACTCGGCTCTTTCGAAGGAAGTATGGCAATCATGGAACAGTGGTCCTCCACCACTGCTCGTAGCTGGGAGAAACTTTTGCTCACGTTTTCCACTTCCTCAAGGCGTGATCAAGTCAATTTCCATGGTCATGATTGTTAAGGGATTGCCTCGACGCTGTGAACGCTTGCGTGTGCCTGGTTCAGCAGGGCGGGCATTCCTTTCAAGAGTCCCACGCTGGCTCTGATGCTGGAGAAAACTACCCGTGGCTGAAGGTCATCCAGAGGGCATTCCTGCAGACGACGATGCCTGGATATTCTGTTTGCTGACACATCTCACCAAAACTCCTCGACGGTTGGGTTGCTAACTCGTGCATTTTGCCATCTTATGCCTTCGCGTTCGCTGTCGTGGATTTGGAACGCGTCTCCAGTTTGGGCGGCTTTCTTCGAATGGTGGACTGGGTAGACTGTGAAGGTGAAGTCGTCTCTTTAGGCCTGACCTCCAGTTTCTTGGGTGCCTGTCTTGGCGCATTTCCGTCGGTCTTTTGTTGGGGTTGCGAATGAGGCATCCCACTGGGTGGCTTTGGGGGAGCAGCTTGAGGCTTGGGAGGCTTGTCAGGGTTTGTTGATGGTTTCTGTTGCCGAGTTTGATTCGATGCTGTCGCTGGCCGTGCCTTGTTTTCGGCCTGGGTCGTGGCAGTTTGCCCTTTAGAAAGCCCTCCCAGTCCTGGAATTGACGGCATTGACGGCAGCGACGACAGTGAAGGCATGGATGGCATGGATGGCATACGCGGGAGGTAGCTGGTCAGGTCCTTGGACCATTGCTGGAAGTCTGCCTGGCTGCGGCCTCCATCATCTTTCCGCATGTCCTCCAGTTCCTCCTCTGTCGGGGCCTTGGTCTTCTGCGCCTCCATCACCATCTTCTCCAGCGCCTTCTTCTGACTCGATGTAGCTTCCCAGTTTGGAAAATCGCCCACGATACTCCGGACGCCGTGGCTTGCCATCTGGCCCAGATCCCAGAACGGACCACTGATGGCCCCATATGCTGAGCCAACACCACCGCCCAGCAACGCACCGGCTGAAGACACCACGCCGCCGACCAAAGCACCAGTCAATTTTCCCAAAGTCACACCGGGCTGCACGCCGAGTCCAGCACCAGCGGCGAGACCCTGAAACGCACCTGAACGAGTATATTTGGCGGCCTTGCCGAACGACTCGGCCTCGATCTCTTTGTTGACGGCCTTGGCCAGGATTTCTTCGCGGGCGTTAGGGTCGGCAGCGCCATAGGCGGCTTGACGGAGCTCGTAGGCTTTCTTTGCCGCTTCGAGGGCGAGCTGGGCGCTTACGGACGAGCTTTGTTTCACGTCGTGATCGGGAATGGCTGGCCCTGGCTCTGGCCCGCTGGTATGCGTGGAAGATGCATTGGTGGCTGCGGGGTTTGGAGTGCTTTGAGATTGTTGCTTTTGCTGTGACGGTCGTGTCTGCTGCGGCTTAGCTGTCCGCGACGTTTGAGGTGGGAGTTTCTTGGGTGGCATTTTAGCAATGGATGAGTCTGCGATAGACTTTGGTAGGTGTGGATGCCTAACTTGCGCAAAGTGCTGTAGCACTTCATATTAGGGGACTGAGGGGGAGGCGCATCTAGCATATGAGTGGTGTCTCGTGCATACGTCACTGTTACGTGTGAAGAGCCTCAGGGTCTCTGCCTATCACCCACACGGCCACGTACCCTGGCACCCAAGCACCCTACAAGGAGGTGATTGTCCTTTCTGAACAGTCAAAAGAACTTCTGGGTATGACCGAATAAGCTAAGATGGCGAGCCGTGTAGCTTCCGGCACCCGTCGAAACCCTTTATCTGTTATTTCACGAATCACCTTGCGTGATCCCCAAAGAGGCATAGCCCAGTCCCGTCACTCTCATACCTACTACAAGTATGTTCCTAGGCAGGTATTTAGACACCTTGCATTCGCACGCACAGAGACAAAGCCCCTCGTGAAACCCAGATAGGGCACACAGGGGCACAATCAGGTGGGATTACAACTAATTTAGTTCTATCAGCACCTTGGAGTTGCCCAAAACACGCTTGTGAACTTCTGGCCATTTAAACACGCCACATACGGCGATCTTCGCAGCTACTTTGAACGTGAGAAACCATCCTGGCAGACGCAACTGAGGTGGTTGTCGGAAACGGCGCATACGCTCTCAGAGATTCACCGCTGGCGTGTCATTGTGGCTGACGTCCGCTCCCACAACTTCTTGATCGACGGCGGCCAATCGATCTACATCCTGACTTCGGGGAATCTAGTCTGATGCCGCTGGACTGGGATATGAAGAAACCGAATGCAGATGGCGGATCCGTCCTCACCGACATTGGACATTTTGGGACCGTCATGTTCGAAGTCATCACTGGTCGGGATTGCAAATTCGACCTCTTCCAAGACCGGCAACCTGGACATCCCTTTTCCTGGCCAAGCAAGGCCAGTCTTCCGTCGACCGACGGCATATGGCTCGGCCACATCATCAAGGCCTGTTGGACCGAAGGATTCTTTGCCACTGCAGACGAGCTTGCAGCAGCGTTGGACAATGAGCGCATCAGTTCGCCGAACATAACGTAGGACCTGCATCCTTCATGAGGCACCATATTGCTGTTCCATTTCAGAGATCTGCCGCCGTTTCAATGGACTATGGGTGTCGAGTTATGTCCTGTATGATCTCTCTAGGCCCTTGACACCTCATTAGTACTAGAAGGAGCAAGAGATGTATTTTCTATGGATTCTAGAATACTATACCGGGTAGGGCTATGGCTCCTACGATACGAGGCACTTGTACCTAACACTAGCGGCCCTTGTCGCAGTAGCTCCGGAAGTACGAAATCTGGAGTAAGTACCTCGTAGTTCTTTAGCAATACGCTAGTTTACTACCCCTAGTAGAGTTCGGTACAGGCGAGACCATGACCTCTCTGCCAAGCCACCAGCAGCTACAATGGCATCCACTTACCACCGAGCCACCCCCGCATCACTTCTTTCCCGTGTCCGAGCGCGAGGGCGTATCAGATTGTCGTAGCCCTTCACTGTGGTTTCCCTAACAAAGTGGCCACGAGATTCTGAAACCCACAGCCTACCTACTTGTGCATGACTCCTGGTGCCGGCGAGCACTCGTTCCCACACGCTTGACCTCTACTTCCCTTACTCTGGCGCAGGCGCCAACAGCTCTACCAGCTGTGTCATGTCAATCATCTGTCACATCAGCGAAACAAATCAGAAAGCGCATAATGTCGAAACCAGAGAGTAACCCAGACACAACCCGTACCTTCCCCGTTATGTTTTCATGCATGATGCTTTCCGTACTGATAAGTGAAGGAACCCAACTTCTCAACGTTCAAAAGAACCAGACATCCGATTCCTCGTGTCCCGTCGATCCTACTTCCCTAACATCCTCGACTCAATCACAAACACTACCTTCATCCAGCCAATCAACCGCTCAAATAACTCGATCTGAGCTTGATCAGCCGGGATCGGCGGCTCTTGAGGGTCGGCCAGAGGCCTCCCCTTGCAGGGGACGAAAGCGGACGCGAGAACCAGAAGACCACTACTCGCGCAAGCAGCAACAGATAGATCCAAAGTCGGTGGTGGGGAGTGCGGCCTTCCATAGCCTCACCAAGAGCAATTTGGAAAGGCTTAACAAAGAGACAGGAACAGATACCTTCGAGGACATGGCCGACAGAAAACGATCTTTGTCGGGACGAACAAGTTCTATGGGGTTGAAGGAGGATTCAACTTCCGCATCGTCAGAGAAATCGACCCTCTCGCTTGCCAACTATCGCCTGATTGTTCTCGACCGCGCGAGGATTGTTGTTCGTCATGCTGGCCTACCGGAACCCGTTCAGTCCCGAGTTGAAACCATTATCAGTGCCGAGGTTTCCCATGAATGGAAGAATGCTATTTCCTCTATTACAGACACTCTCTGTGCGGACTTTGCCCCGGTTCTCAAAGTAGCGAGCAGGGAAGATGATTGTGTCGAATTGATCTACGACGCTATAGCGTCAATGAACATACACATGTTTGGGCAGAGGTTCATCTTCCGAAGGAAAGCAGGTACGCCAGACCCATCCTGTAAACATTTGCGTGGTCAACTAACATCGCAGCAGACTGGATCTCGACCCTGAAACCGAAAGTTCGGCGCAAATATTATCATTTTCCTCGACTGGCTGTTCCTCTACTGCCTGAGTCTCATGGTGGCATGAAAAGCCTTGATGACGGACCGAAGAAACAGCAGCTGGCAGAGACAGCTTCCAATACACCGGATGGAGCTGGGGCGCCCTTGCCCCCTTGCCCACCTGTGCCTAACCAAGAAGCCAGTGGGATCAAGACCCCTCGCCCAGATGTAACAATTGGATTTGATAATTCTGTGGTATCCGCGGAGCTGAGAAAGCTTGGACTTGGGGAGGCCGACGCTGATGACCTCTTGAAGGTTCTACAAGACCAGGAGGACCTCTACTCTGACCCTACCCAGGCAAGGCTTCTTACGCGCTTTCCATCTTTTGTTATCGAAGGAAAGTCTTATGCGACAGGCAAGAACCTCTACGAGGCACAAAACCAGGCTGCGGTATCCGGATGTATGATGCTCGTCATACAACATCAGCTTCACGAACTTAATAAACGAGTCTCTCCCGGAACCTATCAGGGCAAAGAGCCACTAGCTTTCTCCCTGTGCAGCGAGGGGCCAGTGATGGAACTTTGGGTGCATTATACCACGTCGACCCAGGACATGCGCACCTACAACATGCATCTTCTCAAGATATGCCATGCATCGTGTCGAGAAACTGTCGGCCCTTTTGTTGCAGCAGTGGCAGCGGTGTTGACGTGGGCCATCTCCGAACTTCTGGACGATATCATAAAACAATTGCATTCTGTGTGGAAAGCCGCGCAGTGATAGGGGGTGCCTTCCATGCTGTATTCGACGCCGCACAACTGAAGCAGCCCCTACGGATGATGAAGCAGCATTCCTTCAGTTTCGACGGACCACATTGATCATGGTTTGCTTCGTAATAGGTGGCCTTGCAAACAGCGATTTTGTGTACTTTTTCTGTACTATTAGCTATATTGTGATGGAGCATCCACTGGGTCACTGGCCAAAGATTTTATCCACTACATATTGAGCACGGGATGGATGAATGTATGCCACACACAGACGTGTCACCAGTCCAGATATTCCCCGTCAAACAGCAACGACATTCCTTGCTCTGACAGCTCAGCACGGACTTCAACGGCCACACAGCAGAGTTGGCACATTCCAACACCGCCCCTTTGCCTTTGCCGCCAAAACACCCGCGTCGGTTTGAAGGAGCATGCTCCCCTAAAGTCGTATTTTCTCTTTCAGGTTGTGACCTTTCGACTTATGGCCTGTGACAAAAAAGAGTAGAGCATCGAAGACTCTTTTCTCTCTCAGAGGATCCCTGTGGTTTGGGATTCTTCTCCGTATGAACCGCATCAGTCGCGAGGACGCGCTCATTCGGGTCACCACGAAATCCTCCGAGACGGGTTGGTCTTGTCAAGAACAAGGTCCCACATGGATCAGTCACCACACACAAAAGGCATAACTTCAGCGATGACAGGATCAGACGGCGCGACGATGATATTTCTTCCCGCTCACCATCAGCAACCAAGTCGACTTTCGCCAGCACCAGGTAGCAAGTCCCGACGTGTACTCGGGAAATTGGCCGGAACGCGATCTGAACCTGAGGTATCCGTTCCTCACATGGGAAAATGTGGTCGCCACAAACGGCACCGAGATCGAGATTGAGAATGGACAGACACGTCCGAAACAAGCGACGCCAGGCTCGATACCAGATTCTTGACCGCTCTCGACCATCCTCCAGCCAGCAATCAAAGCCTTTTCCTGGCACATGGCCCTCGACCTGCACTTGGAGTTCTGAGCATTAACCCGGAGATATGACAAGGCCTTTCCTCGACGGTGCTCTTCGACGTTGGTCTTCGACGGTGCTTCATGGGGTCCTCCTGGCCCGGACCCCTGGGATCATCTATTCCACTCAAGTTGTCGTGGGCAATGCTTTCCCAATTTGGGCGTCACTCCCTCGCATCCGTAGGGGGTTGATTGTGGTCCGGCAGAAAGCAACACATCTGGCGAAAACCAGGTATCGCCTGTATCTGGACATTGTTTGAAGACCGTGATGTATCATGGCCTACAGTCACTCACCATCTACATCGAGGATTTGCGAAGGAGCAGCCTCGGCAGGCCGGTCACCTTGGACACTAAACCGATATTCCGGGCTTCATATCCGTCCAGTGACGACGACTGCCCAGGCTCATAGTCGAGGGCATTGATTGCCTCGACCAAATTCGAATCATGAGCCCCACCATCGATTATTCCCTCTCACGCCCCCAGTTTCATATGCCGACTCTTCCTCCTCAAATCCCAGTCTCTCCACTACCTGACGGGCACGGAAACTCTTCACAAACTTCCAAGCCTCCGCGTCGGCCAGATTCCACGCCTCTGCCACGCCGCGGATCTTGAGCACGGCCTCGTCCTTGCTATTGACGGTTTTCCTTGCCTTTCGTAAAAGGTCGACCTCGATTGCCGCCTGCTCTTCTGTAGGTGGGTTGGGATCAGACGCCTTTTTACGCTCGGTGGGAAGACCAGACGGAAATTTGGCCCAACGCTCAGGTCCGGGTACTGGAGGCAAAGATTCCCCATGGGACACGGTCGTCCTTGGGATGGGAAAGCCAAAGTGCCAGTCGAGATCTGTGAGCCAATCCTCTGGAAACGGAGAAACTTCCTCCTTCGCTGGACGGGCGTCATTGGTCGGTGACTTTGGGGGAGGGGGTGGTGGGTTGAAAGACGCAGGGAAATGTTCAGTGGTAAACCACAAGGAGCGCTGTTCGCCATATTCTGATGCCACCGCATCCTTCAAGGCTACTACCCTGCTTGGGCCTCCACGGGCGTCTCCCAACAGATCCCGCGTAACTGCGGTTATCCAAGGATCTCGTTCAGTGTGCCGCCTGATATGAGCAACCGATATGGCATCAGATTGATTCATCAATGTGATCATTGTATAAGGGTGAGGCACAACGGCAATCGTGAACAAAGAAGACGTGTTCCGAAAGGAAGGAGCCGTCGTGATTCTCAATTTCGAGCCAGTACAGGGGGAGCATTTTGGCCGGTTCGGTGGACAAGATGATTGCAAGATCGAACTGGGACATTCCGCAAGGAGCCGAGCCAGATCCTTGGACGGCTGAACAAGCGTGAAGGTGTGGGCTGCAAGAGGCTGCAGGACGGCAATGCCAGCACTGAATGTATTTTGCCACACGACTTGAAGATGTGCGATCATGAGTTGATTTAGCGAACGTCGGCCTTTGTTCACATCTTTGGCCATCAATTCTGCCAGAATAGGGTATTTGGAAGCCACAGTCTTGGGATCATAATGCGCGATGGAAGTGGGCTGCTCGACTTTGAAACGCTCTGCGTCAATGGCATCCGCCATGGTTTTGAAAGAGCTCAGTTTGACGTTGTCGAGTGCGGATTTGAGGGCATCATTTATTTGGGTCTTTTCTCCGGCAAATAGACCAGACCCCAAGCCTTTAAACTTGGTCAGCTCAGGATACTGACCACGGCGGAGGTGAGACAGAAGAGCATCATCAGCAGGGCCCATGGGCAAGCAGTACCAGCTGGCCAGCATGCCGGTGCCCATATGAGCCCATGCCAACCACTGTCGGAATTCTTGCTCCAGCGAAGCAGGCATGCCCTTTGCGTGGAGTGTCTGATAGAGCGGATGGCTCATGGCCTCCGCATCAGTCAGGATCACCGGTCGAAACCCATGTGCCCACCAAGCCCGCCGCCACGTCAATAGAAAATCTTTATCGATGCTCGTTGTATCTTCATCTCTTTCGATCGAAGTGTCGTAGAATGTGTAGATTGGCGGCCGTTCAGCCAGCGGAGGTAAGACGACCCGGTCTTCGTCGAGCGTCACAGAGGACGAGAAGGGATTGAGCCATTTCCAGTCGCTGTACCAGGAGCTGTCTCCATGCGTGCTATTCTTCTGTTCAGGAGGTTTGTGTGCGGAACTCTGGAATGACCAGCGGAGGTTCGGGACTGTGAATTTGGGTATTACATCTCGGAGGACTTCTGGATACGGGATTGCGTCGATTACGGTGGCGGTGGAGGGATTCGACGTCGAAGAGAATATTATGAGGCCACAAACGAAGACTGCCGCGGTGACGATGTACCGGGTAAAATGGCGTGGGGGCATTGTGCTGAAGGACGAAGCGAGTGACTGACTAAACGGGGGAGAAGAAAAGAACAAGAGCGAAGTGCTTGAACGCGTCAAAGGGAATCTATTGAAAGAGCAGAAACATGTTGTGCGGATTGAAGTGTTACAGGATCGAGCGACCTGTGGGCAGAGAGATTGATGCTGCTATCGTTGGTGATTGCGCCACTCGCGCCATATGAAATTGTGACAGGTCGCTAGAGTCTGGGGAAGCAAGGCTGACGCAAGGCTGGCCAATCGGAGTACATAATGGAAGTGCCAAGTCCGATATCGAACCCACAGGTCCTCGTGCATCCTGCTCGCCTGGCCTGCGCTTGAATTCGCTACGGCGGAATATTTTCTCAGGCAGCGCAATGATAATTTTTCCTTTTTCCTCCCTCTGTACAAGAGCCTGGGTGACTCACTCGAGGGTCATTTGTTTCTGCATACACTCTCAACCATGGCTACAGCAGGTGCACACGAAGAGCGCCTGGCTTGGTGGACCCAACTTCTGCAGGATCAAACAATCTCGCCGTTGACCAGAGACTACCCTGAAGTTACCACAGAGAATGTACACAAACGGCCCATCGAGGCGGCCGAGTCGCTTGCTGCTCCGATAGCCACCAGAGATGCCCTGAAAACACTGTCTAGCCTCGCATCATTCACCACCGTGATTCAGACAGCTCTCATTGTTCTGGTGAGCAGGCTAACTGGTGACGAGGATATCAGCATCGGCACTAATGCCAAAACTAACGGCCCTCCATTTGTCCTCAAAACAGCGGTCGCTGCCTCGGAGCCGTTCTCGCAGCTGCTCAAAAAGGTACTAGAACTATCGGCTCAGGCGGCAGAGAAGATTGTACCTCTTGCAGATCTCCAGACAAGCTTGAAGAGACCGGTTCTGTTTCGATTTGCTTGTTTCGACAGCAATGACGATGGTGCCAGTCTACCCGGTAGTGCTGAAACGACCGACTTTCTGCTATCATATTCTTGCTCCGCTGAAGGCGATCTCCGGCTGACGGCGCGGTACAACCAGCGTCTTGTCTCGAGTGCAAGGGTAGCTGGAATCCTGGCTCAAATCACGCAGCTGCTGGAAAATGCAGCGCGCGATGTGAATGCTCCCGTGGGTGGTATCGTGTTCGCCACCCCTCAAGAGCAAGCTCTCATACCCAACCCAACCAGCGATTTGGAGTGGTCGTCTTTCCGTGGCGCTATCCACGATATCTTTGCTGCAAATGCGGAAGCGCATCCTGAACGAACATGCGTGGTAGAAACAAAATCTGAGGATGGGCCAGAAAGAACATTCACCTATCAGCAAATACACGAGTCTTCCAATATTCTGGCACATCACCTGGTCAAGTCTGGTCTGGAGAGGGGTGATGTTGTCATGATATACTCTTATCGGGGTGTTGACCTAGTAGTCGCCATTATGGGTATTTTGAAGGCAGGGGGCACGTTTTCAGTACTGGATCCTGCCTACCCACCTGATAGACAAAACATCTATCTGGACGTGTCCAGACCGCGGGCACTTGTCATCATCGATAAGGCCACTCAAGATGCTGGTGAACTCTCGGAGAAGGTACGGGGTTTCATAACTGAGAATCTGGACCTCAAGACAGAGGTTCCGGCTTTACGCCTACAGGATGACGGCTTTCTTCAAGGTGGCGAAGTTGCTGGAAAGGATATTTTTGAGTCTGTCCGGGAACTTAAAGCCAAAGGTCCTGGGGTTGTGGTTGGGCCTGACTCGATTCCCACCCTCTCTTTCACATCTGGTTCTGAAGGTAAACCGAAAGGTGTCAGAGGTCGCCACTACTCATTGGCATTTTATTTCGACTGGATGGCGATGACGTTCAACTTGTCTGAGAAAGACAAATTCACCATGCTCAGCGGCATCGCGCACGATCCCATTCAAAGAGACATTTTTACACCACTGTTCCTGGGGGCGCAGCTGCTTGTGCCATCAAAGAATGATATCCAAAACGAGCTACTGGCAGAGTGGATGAAAGAATATGGCGCGACAGTGACACATCTGACACCGGCCATGGGTCAAATTCTGGTCGGGGGTGCAACTGCAAAGTTTGAAACTCTTCATCATGCCTTTTTCGTGGGCGATATCTTGATCAAGAGGGACTGTAGATCCCTACAGAATCTGGCGCCCAACGTTCGGATCGTCAACATGTGGGGAACGACAGAGACTTCCAGGGCTGTGAGTTACTACGAGATACCGTCGTGGAATGAAAACGACGCCTTCCTCGATGGTATGAAGGACGTCATCCCGGTCGGCAGAGGTATGCATAACGTCCAGATGCTCGTGATAAACCGCTTCGACCCGATCAAACTGTGTGCCGTTGGCGAGATTGGAGAAATCTACATCAGAGCAAGCGGACTTGCAGAAGGCTATTTGGGAACTCCCGAGCTTACGGCTAAGAAATTCGTCAACAACTGGTTCCCAGGTCATGAAAAAGGCCTCGAGTCAGATAAAGCAAGGTTTGAACAAAAATATAAGAACGAGCCTTGGGCGAAGTATTACCTGGGACCCCGTGATCGCCTCTATCGCAGCGGAGATCTCGGACGCTACACACCGACAGGAGATGTGGAATGCTCTGGCAGAGCTGACGATCAAGTAAAGATCAGAGGCTTCCGGATCGAACTTGGAGAAATCGACACCCACCTCTCTCGACATCCACTGGTGCGCGAAAATGTGACTCTCGTGCGAAGGGACAAGTTCGAGGAGCAGACTCTTGTCAGCTACATTGTGCCCCAAATGAAAGCGTGGGCACAATTCCTTGCCGAAAAGGGCAAAGAGGATATCCCGGACGACGGAACTCTGATTGGGAGAGTTGAGCGGTTTCAACTGCTTCAGATTGAAGTGCAAGAGTATCTGCGAACCAAGCTCCCTGCTTATGCAGTACCTTCTGTCATAGTGCCGATGAAAGCTATGCCTTTAAATCCCAATGGCAAGGTCGACAGGCCCAAGCTGCCTTTCCCGGATGCAGGAATACTCTCGGCACGGACGCGGCGGAAGTCTTCTATGTTGCAACAACTCACGGAAGGCGAACTAGCGCTGGCACACATCTGGGCCAAACTTGTCCCAGGATTGATTCCGCGAACCATCAGTCCAACCGACTCGTTCTTTGCGATTGGTGGTGAGAGTATGAAAGCCCAACAGCTCGCTTATCAGGTCAGAAGAACACTTGGAGTCAATCTCCCAATCAGCAGGATCTATAATCGACACACGCTGAAGGAGATGGCTGCTGTCATTGATCACTTGCGAGCGGCTGATTCTCTGAGTGGTGGAGAGTTAGTTGAGGTTGAAAATGCCGCAGATGGCACTCAATCCAACGGAGTCAAGGCTGAAGACCAATACGGCGACGATGCCCCCATCATGGCCAAGGCGTTGCCTGCCTCCTTCCCTTCTGCTTCCCCCGATGTCCCTTCCGCGCCAGTGGTGTTCCTTACTGGGGCAACAGGCTTCTTGGGATCGTTCGTATTGAAAGATCTTCTGGACCGCAAAAACCCTCAAGTTAACAAAATCTTTGTTCTCGTCAGAGCCAAAGACGAAGCAGCGGCACTTTCCCGCATTAAAACAACATGTCAGGCTTATGGCGTCTGGGACGACTCATGGGAATCTCGAATCGAGTGTGTCACAGGCGAACTAGGGCCGCTGCAACTTGGCATTTCCGACACAAGATGGAAGCAAATTGTTGACGAAGTCGACGTTGTCATCCATAATGGTGCCCAAGTTCATTGGATCAATACATACGAGATGCTCAAGCCAGCCAACGTTCTCGGCACCATTGAAACAATGAAGATCTGCGCCCAAGGTAAACCCAAATTCTTTGCGTTCGTGTCCTCAACCAGCGTGCTCGACCACGAACACTTTGTCTTCGAATCAGAACGCATCGTCGCTGCCGGTGGAGAAGGTATCAGTGAAGACGATGACTTGATGGGCAGCCGAAAAGGATTAGGCACCGGCTATGGCCAGAGCAAATGGGTAGCGGAATATCTTTGTCGCGAAGCTGGTCGACGAGGCCTCCGTGGCTGCATCGTTAGGCCCGGTTATGTGCTTGGCTCTTCCAAGACTGGCGTCACAAACACGGACGACTTTTTGATTCGGATGCTCAAGGGCTGCATCCAGCTCGGTACGCGGCCTAATATCAACAACACGGTGAACATGGTTCCGGTGGACCATGTCGCTCGCACGGTGGTGGCCTGTGCTTTCCATCCTCCGTCTTCTCAAGGCGTCAGTGTGGCTCAGATTACAGGGCACCCGAGACTGCGGTTCAACCAATATCTCGCGGCTCTCCAAACCTATGGATACAAGGCGGACCTAACGGATTACGTCCCTTGGGCATCTTCGCTTGAGCACTATGTCAGCGCACACGCCGATTTTGCTCTAATGCCACTCTTTACCTTTGTCGCGAACGATCTCCCCTCGAATACACGCGCCCCAGAACTCGATGACAGCAATGCCGAGAAGGCACTTTACGCCGACGAGAAATGGACTCGAGAAGATGTCAGTGCGGGAAGTGGTGTCACAAAACGTGAAATCGGGCTGTATCTGGCTTATTTGGTTCAGATCGGATTTCTCCCACCTCCAAATGCTGGGAGAGACCAGGATGGTGTCAAGAGTTTGCCAGAGGTGACGGTATCGGATATACAGCGCAAGGCATTGTCAAGCGTCGGGGGGCGAGGGGGTCTGGCTTGAGCTGCGATTCGACATTGATGCTATTGATACGGCCATAGAATTGGTTAGAGGCCGCAAAAGTCTGGAGCGCAAAAGTCCCCATTGAGCTTGGAAATCCCAATCAACATTGTCACATATCAAATTCGAACACAATTGTTAGCATGACTGACTGTCATTGGCATGTTTTCCTTTGTCCTCCCAACCTTTTCCTCAATTCGACCCTTGCAACAACGAATAGCATTCTCGTGCTTCCACAGGAACAAGCACATCATACCGAGGCAAGCCAAGGCTCCCAGGCTCCGAGCGAATGTGACCGCGAGTTCCAAGAGAGTTTCCGTCTAGCTAAGGAGAAAGCTTCTGTCCTCATTGAGTGGGCGTCCCGAGGGCCGAGGACGGCAAATGGACCATCACTTTCAAAAGTCTTTACACATGGCCTCCTCCACGCGCGCAGATATCGTCTCCATCGTATCATTTTCTGGGGACTGAGTGTGGAGGCAAACATCCACATATGATACGTATCCACCGAGTCCCTAAGCCGACAGTGGAGTCAACAGTCCTCAAAGACACCCATGCAATGCTTCTCAGGTATATTCTCTTGTTTCCATGCTTGTTTCCCAGGCCCATTGGCTTGTTCAAGGCTCAAACTATTGGTCGTCCAGTAGAGCTACCCCTACAACTTTTTATATCTGCTCAATATTCCTGCCGAGGCTCAGTCCTTGGTAAGAGTTGCTGAGATTGGATCCGGCGGAGATAAAAGACCGCTGATACGGCTATCTACCGAGTACGGCAACCTGCCGAGTATTACGAGGTGCGGATCATTGGCATTGCTTGTTTCGTCAACCCCGAGGATGTACACGGTTAAGACGTTCGTGCTCCATCTCATTTCCCCCCAAAGAGGACTTCCGAGTCCGGGGGGGTCCCTTGGAGAGAGTGGTGTTATATTTCTGGTGTGTGCGCGGCACTCTTCTACAGTTGTAAGACAATTTTGGTCCGTCTTTCCCTGAAGCAAAAGATGTCTGTCGAAACGCTTTCTGTGTCTCAACCCGCGGAGTCGACCCTTGGCAAGTCCACCAATCTCACAGTCCAAGAGGTCGAGGACGACTTGGGGTTCGACCCAGATGCCCTCAAGGCAAAATACCTCGCCGAACGGGAAAAACGTATCCGTGCCAACCCCAATGGAGTGGACCAGTATCGTGCAATTGAAGGCTCGCTGTCGCACTACCTCAGTGATCCATGGGCTGGCCAGGACGACAAGCGGGAGCCCTTGGACATCAACACTGAAGTGGTCATCATCGGCGCTGGATACGGCGGAGAATTGATGGCCCACAGTCTTCAGCAGAATGGCATCCAAGATTTCAGGATTATTGAGAAAGGCGCAGATTTTGGGGGAGTCTGGTAAGTCCCCATATCACTACTGCTGCAGCTGCAGCTGCTATTCCGACTACTGCTATATTGCGACTGCTTGCAGTTTCTCTGACTCTGTGCATCTTCTAGGTATTGGAACCGATATCCCGGAGCACAATGCGACATTGAGTCCTATGTCTACATGCCCATGCTGGAGCAGATCGGATACGTCCCCTCGGAGAAGTATGCGCGTGGGCCCGAACTTCTGTCACATGCACAAAGACTGGCCAAAGAACTGGGACTGTACGAAAAGGCCATTTTCAAGACAGAAATCCTGAGCATCCACTGGCAAGAGGAGACTGCGACCTACTCGATCAAGACGAATCACAACGACAACATCCGCGCGCGTTTCGTTGTCGGCGTGGCCGGGTCACTACACCGACCGAAACTCCCAGGCTTTCCAGGTATTGAAACCTTTAAAGGCCACAGCTTCCACTCTAGTCGCTGGGACTACAAGTATACTGGTGGTGATGCTGTCGGAGGGGGACTAGTCAATCTCACGGACAAAAAGGTAGCGATTGTCGGCACAGGGGCCACTGCCGTCCAGATCGTACCAAACATTGCGCCCTGGTGCAAGCAACTCTACGTTTTTCAACGGACGCCGTCGTCTATCGACGTCCGGAACAACCGGCTTACCGATCCCGACTGGGCGAAGAAGCTCGGACGAGGATGGCAGAAGGAGCGGATGGACAACTTCAACACCATCGTGTGCGGCGGGCACCAAGATGTCGATCTGGTCGACGACGGTTGGACAGATATCATTCGCAATCTATACCCATCTCGAGCAGCAGCGGGGAGTATGGGGAAAGAGGAGATGGCGAAACGCCGCCAGATCCTCGACTTCCAGAAGATGGAGCAGATTCGCAAGCGTGTCAGCGCCATAGTTAGCGACCCTGCCACGGCGGAGAGCCTGAAACCGTACTACAACCAATTCTGCAAACGGCCGTGCTTCCACGACGAATACCTCGCGGCCTTCAACCGGCCCAACGTCCGATTAGTCGACACCAAAGGCCAAGGGATAGAACGGCTGACCGAGAAAGGCGTGGTCGCCAACGGGGAGGAGTTTGAGGTCGACTGCCTAATTTACGCGACCGGCTTTGAGCGCGCCACCAGCTGGAGCCACCGTGCCGGCATGGAGGTGTACGGGCGTGACGGCAAGATCCTGGGCGAGAAGTTCTCGGACGGGCCCAGCACCTTTCAAGGCTGGGTGAGCCGGGACTTTCCCAATTTCTTCATGGTCACGACGCTCCAGGCGTTCGTGACGGCGAACTTGCTGCACACGACCACGCTCCAGGCCGAGCACCTCGCCTACGTGATCGCCGAGTGCAAGAAGCGCAATATCCGCTCCGTCGAGCCCACGCAGGAGGCCGAGGACGCGTGGGTCGAGACCATCGTCGAGTCTGGCGTCAACTCGAGGACCTTCCACATGGAGTGCACGCCGGGCTACTACAACAACGAGGGGCAAATCACGCGCAAGCTGGCCAAGAACTCGTGGTACGGCGGCAGCGCGCTGTGGGTCATCAACATGATGAAGGAGTGGCGCGAGGCTGGCAAGCTCGAGGGTCTGGAACCCACGTTTTGGCCCGAATCCAATGGTGCCTAATAGACTTGTTCGGTGCCTGGACGTCTTTTTGCGCCTTTGTTCTTGGTGTCCTGTGTTGATAATCTTCTGAGATTGAATATTAGATGCTTTTGATCAATGAGAAATGAAGTGCCGATTTGAATTCAATGAACGCGGTGCATCACGGTTGAGCCTTTGGAAACAGAATGCATTGCTTTCCATTTCGCTGTACTCGCCACGGCCATGACGGCCTCTCAGACAGACACACGAGATACTCAGAACCATCTCTACCACCGGTTTGTATGCTTCATCAAAACCACCTATTCATTCGGTCGTAGAAACCAGAATGGGCGGAACTATGTGTGGTACAGATACAGAACAATCAGTAGAACCTGACGTTCAACTTCTCCATGGCCTCTCCCAACCCACCGCCACAGATGAACGCGGCCTTGTCGTCACTAAACTCGGGCCTCTGCCTGTAGTGGATGTTCTCGCCGCTGCATTCCGCGGCCTGTCCCGTCAAGCTGTCGTCGTCGATGAAATTCATGACCGCCCTGACAATCGTCGAGGCCGGCGTGATGTATTCCTCCGGGCAGGTGAAGGAGTAGATCTTCGTCAGGGCCGTGTGGACAAGGCCTGCCGGAGGGAGTGAGTGAGTATATCAGCAAGGGCTTGGAAGCTACGTACCTGGACAGATGCAATTCACGGTGATGGGTTCGCCGAGTTCTTTAAGTCGGACGCCCAAGGACCTCGTCAGGCCGACGACCTGTCAAACAATGTAAGTCTCATTCTCATTCTCACTCTCATTCCCAACCCTATCGAAGAAGAGCAACGTGAAAAGAACTCAAGACCTTACCCCCGACTTCGCCGCCGAGTACAGCGGAACAGTGCTCCCGGTGTAAATCCCCGCCATGCTGGACGTGAAGATGATCTTGCCGGCCTTGTCGGGGTTCTTGCGGAAGTAGTGGAAGCCCAGGTACGCGCAGTAGATGGGTCCGTAGAGGTCGATGTCGATGACGGCCGTGTTGGGTTTTGGGGGGTTGCCGTCTTCGCGGTCTTGCTGGTGCGCGTAGAAGTTGATCCGGTCGCCGATGCCCTACACAGGCCCGCTTGATGGTTAGAATCTCTCTCCACAACGCGGGACTCTCTTTGTCGATGAGGGAGGAGTGGAGAGAAGGTAGAGATTACAGCATTTCCAAACACCGCGTCCAGGCGCTTCCATTCCTTCCAGGTCCGACCAAACGCGGCCGCGAGCTCCTCGTAGTCGGCCACGTTGGCCTTGATGAAGAGGGCCTGGGGTCCGCATTGTTTCGCGACGGTTTGTCCGGTCTCCTCGTTGTAGTCGACGATAGCTACGTTCCAGCCCTGTGTCAAGAGATGCTGCACCACGGCGAGGCCCATGCCCGAGGCGCCTCCGGTGACGAGACATACGGGGGCACTGCTCCGTGCGTTTCCATTGAGAGTGCTCATCGTCGCTGGCTACCACAAGCTGTATATGCAAATAAGATATCTGGAGAAGGAGAAGGGTAGGAAGAATGATGGATGCTACTGGAGACTGGAATACTGGACGTGTTCTTCCTCAAACTTTTCGTCGCCTACCCTTCTCGTCCCAGGGGTATAAAGCCAGCAAAAGAATACCAGACGCGTTTACGTGATCACAAGGACGAGCCAACACCACCAACCGAGGGTCTTTGGCGAAAAAGAAGAGGTTAACCGGTGTGACCGACCGGCCGGTTACTCAACGCGGGGTAGAAACTGCCAGACGACGCGGCACGTGCAAGATAGCCATGTCGATGGGCATGAAGCGGTCGTGGTCAGCTCTCTTGTCAAGGCGAGGTAGTTCGTCGGCCAGCATATGGGTCGACGTTGAGTCGCAGATGGGAATTGATCGATTGTGGGTACTACCCCCCCCCCTTTTCCCCACTATCCCTCTTTCGAATATGTCGACAATTTATACTATCCCACCACAATCACTTAACCAAGTCTCTCGTACCACAGAACCTTTAACCCGGAAATTTCTTTCATCTCAGGATCAAAGACGTTTCCCATCCTTCATTCAACTTCGCTCCGTGCAACCTTACGCTTCTTGAGCGCCTTCTCCGCGTCACTGCCGTAGCTATCCCTCTTTTCGGACAATCTCCCAGCCCTGATCTTGACGACGGCATCAATATCCACCTTTTCTGGATCATGGCACACGTCCAATTTCTTGCGGATCCGCGTCAGCTCTTTCCGCTGCGCCGATGAGTCTTCCTGCGAGCGATGATAGGAACCAAGGAGCTTCGCACATGCCGAAATCGTGGTCAAGACTCTGTGTTTGAACGTCGCCGCCGTTACATCGTCAAAGGGCAGATCGTTGAGTTTCTGTTCGAGATATACTTGCGTAAGCTCACTGTCAGCCACCATCACGGCACCTAGCCAGATCTGGCTGGGCGTGTAGAGGAAATATGCGTCCGTCATCTGGGCTGCTCTGGTGAGGAGTCCCTTTGCCGAATCGGCAGCAGACTCGACCCTTTTTGCTGTGAATTTCGTCGCTTTCGGACCATTGCTGCCGAGCCGACCCTCCTGCACCATGGCCATCATCTCAGCATGGCCACCCAGAAGGCCTTTCAGAGGGTGGCGCACGTCGAGCGTGAATCGGAGAGCCTGCAGAAGAAGGAATTCAGGCGCCTTGACATCTTCTTCGGTCATCTTGTCGAGTTCCGACACGAAGGTGGAAAGAGACATGTAAAAGTGATCTGCCTTTGTGGCTAGATATAGAGCGCAGACCATGATCGGTTTGGGATGGTATATCATGGGTGAGTGAGAGAGGTAGAAGCGGCGGAGGTATTGAATCGCGGTGGCCTAGGCATTGATATGCAGTGTAAGTATATCTCGTAACGGTAACATCGTCAGAGGGCATGAAAAGGCACCATGCGTACCACAACACTGGAAGGGATTCTCGGGTTCATAGCCTCTCCCATATCGAAAATCTTGGTACAAGCCCATTCCACAATCTTCAACTCCTCCTGTGCGGCAAGCGTCGGGACACCAGGAGCGGGATCAGCAGATGTATTCTCGTTGTTCTCGCTCGAGCCTGATATTGGAACCCCCGTCTTTCGAATTGCGGCCTTGACACGCTCCGATGCCAGCCGATTCGTCCTCTGGCGGATTTGCGCGAGCTTTTCCTCCGTGTACGACCAATATCGATACTGGGAAGATGCCCTGTACTCGTCGTCTTCGATCATGTTCAAGCGGTCCACGCGCAGTAACGTATATGGGAGAGTAACTGATCTAGTGTAACTCAGTGGAGCAACATAGCGAAGACTATCATTGAATAATTATACGAGGGGTTACTAGTGCCGTTCAGTAGTCTTCGGTCGAAAGCCCCGCCGGAGAGCCTAGCGTGACCGTCATTACATTTGCCTTGGTAGGTAACCCCGTCAGCCATGGAGGTGCTCCTAGATATACTAGGCTTCGCAGAGACAATACTGCCAGTGCTTGGAGTCCTCACGCGGCCGTCCCGCTTTTCAGTGCTCTTGTAATACTGGCAGTAGCCCACCAGGATCACGCCTCCCGAGTGTACAGACTATGCCTCGTCGACTTTTACAGTGGCATGGTGCGCTGTGGTCTGTTTGGTGGAAAGAAATCGACGATGAAGACACCCACGGCGTTCATACCCGTGGCAAAGGTAAGCCATGCAGCCGGATACAGGAGCTGTTTGGTGTGACTAAACCCGAGATCTACATACAGAATTGGTCTGTAGTCTAGAACAAACCATCAGCTCTGCAGTTATACATTGGGACTGCAAGAGGGGAGGCATCCTTGGATCCAAGTTCCTTACTATTGATGACCAGTCCACCGCAACATTCAATGATTGCCGTGGTTCCCATTGCGATCAGGCAACGTTTCCGGTAGGACGGCTTCCGGAACAAATGCCACCATGAGCTATCTCGTTGGCGGTCCAAGGCTATTTGCTCGTGTATCTGATAAAATTCCGTGTTTGCAAACGTGTTGTCCGGATCGTCGGGATTCGCGTGGAGTCTCAGCAAGATCCGCTTCGCGTCATCAGAACGGTCCTTCATTACCAGCCATCGGGGACTTTCCGGGATCCAGTACAGCCCTAGAAGTAGCAATAGAGGCCAGACACATTGAAGAGCCAGGGGTGGTCGCCAGCTTGAAGAAGAAGCCCAACCCGATCCACGCTGACAGCATGTATCCGAAGCCGAGTGTGAGGCTGTGAATGTAGACCAAACTCCCACGGAAATGGGCGGGGACAACCTCACTCATCCATATCTATCGGGGTGGTCAGAAAAGTCTTCTCTCCTCCCTTGCCAGGTTCGAAAGCACTTAGCGGTATGGCCGCGAGCAACAGATAGGCAGCGAGGCCGGAGACGAAACGGTAAAAGATGAATTCACCAATATTGACGCTGCCAGCCATGAATGCTCCCGATATGATACACCATACAGCACCCTGAATCCATCGCGAGCAGTCTATCCTTGTTCCGAGGGGGAAAAAGATCAACCTACCCAAGCAATTGCTGATTTCCGTCCCCACCAGTGCAGGCTGGCAATATGAATATACCCTCACGGCCACGGGTTATGCGACGGCAGAGAAATTCAAACTGCACGAACAGCAGATCCGACCTCGTTTGCACGAGGTCGGAGAGCACGACAATTTAATCCAGGCGACCCCACCGCTGTATTGCCGCGTCCACCATACCTTTGATGTCGTCTTCTTTGGTCATATCGGCATGATGGTACACGATCTCAACTTTACACTCTTCTGCATCAACCCAACTAGCAAGGAGCTATTTCCAACCGTAATGGTGTTCTATGTAGCGATAGCGTTAGCTACACTAGATCCGGTGTGAGATCAGGCTGTTGCATTCGCTGATGCTCTTCGTCAGACTGATTTCCAGCCCATAGCCGTTCCCTCTCAACAATAACAAAGACCTTCGCTTTAGAGAGTCCGCAAGGCTCAAGAATGTCTTTGGGGTTCTGCATGGGTTTCATTTGATGCATATCATACCGGAATCCGACGCAGTACACGAGCACATGCTCGGCAGTCTCGGGTGGCTGTTTCAGCAATGACGATTCTATACATGTTTCGTCAATCGTGAGGACGTTCAACCTTCGCGTCTTTCGGTTACATGTCACGCGAACAGCCCAATGGTCGACAAGTGCGATTCCAAATATCCTGTGCCATCTAGAGGTCTTGGAACGAGAGCTTATTATGAATGATACGAAGCCACACTTTGTAGATACCCCGTACATTCATCGTTTCTCGCATGGGCCCCTTGAACGGAGCGCCGAGGCTCAATTTAGTCTCTGCATCGCTCTTCTGGGTCACACGTACGCGACCGGAGCCCGGGGAAAGTTCACTATGAGTTCCGCGGTCTAGGTGCGCTAGCTGTCGGTATTGCTTTGCTCCTTTGGGAATTCAGATAGCCGAGGGCATCTTTGTCCCGAGAGCCGTCACCCGCCGCGATACACTCTTTAACCCACACCTTGCAGATGACTTGGATTCGCTCTATGGTGATATCTTTGCACAGATTGAGCAAGTTGGATGGATTGAATGGCTTGTGCAAGTCTCCCGTTCGCCGCTGGCGCATCTCTGGGCCTCGTCCTCGCGATTCCCCTCAGAAACTCCGCTCCGGAAGCCACTCCTCGCGCACCACGTCGGCGTCACGGGTCCTTCTGCCATGCAACATCTAAGGAGGATAGAAGGGCTTGCGATCTTCACCTGGAAGAACTACACCCACTTCTCTGTTCGCAACTGGGAGCAAACCGTCAAAGCGACTACGGAGCGTTAAACGATCATAACACCCTATGTGAAACGAAGATGGTGACGTCCTCTCAGAATGAGAGACGAATCACGAGGGTCAACCGCTGGCATTACTTGAGACAGAAAGTCCAAGCTACAAGACTGTGAGGAAGGATTCAGGAGGTCGATCTGAATATCGATATTGCCTAATACGGAAGCATCGATGGTAAGAGGAAGACAAGAAGGACAAGCTTCTCTTACCAGGAGGCAAGGCCGGCAAACACGGAAGGGGAGACCTACACTATCAAGATTGCCTGCCAAGTTGCTTGTCGCTCTCAAATTTGTTTCATTTGAAGGTCTTGCCCTAGGTGTAATTTATCTTGCACTTCATCGACGAGAGCAAGTCACCCCGTGAGGCTCAGAGTGGAAGACCCTCCTAGTTTTGGCGAGATTCTCTAGTCTATAGTCTAATCCACAGCACAAGCCACCAAGTAGCTCTTAACATATCATAGTCAGAAGCGTGTATGCAGCCTGGGCAGCCTCGCCTCGACGAAGCTACATCCACTCGAAATGTGTTTGATTGGCTGTATCCAAGTGGGTCCCCAGGCAGACAAGGTACGCTAGCCATATTAGGAACGCACTTCTCCATTTTTCCGGTGGAATTGGCTGCTTGTTTGTACCCGACAGGCCCCCGCATTCCCCCACGGTGGCGTAAAATTGGAAGTAACCCGAGGATAACTCGAACTATGGACATTGTAATATCCCTCTCTTGAAAAAGAGGTCTAAAGCTTGATAGCTTTCCGAGCTTGAGACTTCGAATGCCAACCTGACCGTCATGCATCCAGGAGAATCACCACCGACGACCTCATCACCGTTGTCGACTTCGGATCAACAGAGGACCGGCTCACACAGGCCGGCCACAGACGCGACCGGGGTACGATCGCGGTCGAACAAAGCAGTTATTCACCGTCGAGCGACCCAGGCATGCCTTCGCTGCCGCTCGCGCAAGGTCAGGTGTGATGTTACCCACAAGGCAGGCTATTGCACCAACTGTCAGCTGGATGGGGCAGAATGCCGAGTCATCAAGTGCAGGCGGCGTGGCCACAGAACCAGCGACCGCCATGCCCTGCATGCTTCACTGGATTCCGGATCTAATCATCGAAATGCGAAGATCGGAGAAGGAGTGTTCATGATCGAACGCCTGCCCGATACACCTGAAGAGGTACGGCACTCGGCCAATGATTGGGAAGAACGAGACAGTGTTCAACCAGATCCAGCTCTCAACAGCTTGCAACAGCCTATAGTGGGTCCAGGGGATGCTGGACCCAAGGCTCCAGTGTCTCACGGCTTTCTACTGTCTTTGACAGAGCAGCCGGAGCTTCCGATCCTGAATGACACTGCTGGCCAAGTTGAAAGGACGGCCGATAGAGACGATGGTCTGCTTTCAGCTCCATCTACACCACCGCCCCTCCATCAGGGCGGTTCAGGCTGGCACACAGCCTTGCCGGACTTTATAGAGGCATTCCCTGTGCGCACTCCCAACGACCTGGAATTCTTGCGGCAGAAGTCGGTATTTGTCTTGCCACCACCGCAGCTTCAACGCGTGATCATGGACAGGTTCGCCGAGTTTGTGCATCCGCTTCTGCCCGTCATAGATCTCCCGGCGTTTCGAGGCGCAATACTAGGGGAGAAGCCCGGACAGAGAGTGTCGTTGCTCCTTTTCCATGCCGTCATGTTCGCTGGAGTGGGAGCCGTTGAGAATGAGATCATTCTCCGGCAGGCGTACATGAGCAAGACCACGGCCAGACAGACGTTCTATGAAAAGGCAAAGGTGAGACCACCGGACATGCTACCTTGTTGCAGAATCTGATCTGTGAACTAGACACTCTTCGAGTTGGAGACGGAGAAGGATCGCATCACCATCTGTCAAGCATCGCTCTTTCTCATCGGATGGGCCAGCAGGAGTAACCTGAAGGACGCCACATATTGGCTCGGAACTGCTATTTCTCAGGCCCATATTCTGAAATTACATCGAGCGGAGCATGTCAGTCCATTGAAACTATCCAAGCCACAGCGGAAGCGGAATCTTCGCCGGATACTGTGGTGGAGTATTCTCATGAAAGAATGCGACCTGTGCATGTCCATAGGTCAGCCACCACGCGTGTGGCCATTCGGTACACCTATGTTGACCATGAGCGATTTTGGTTTGGAGGACACAGGAGCCCTCGGGGTTGAAAGTGTGGTTCCTCAATCCCAGCAAAGACTCGATGCGCTTTCCCCAGCGCTCGCGACAGTCTGTATCTTGAAGGCGAAGCTGTGCTGGCATATCTATCGGATCATGCGCAACATCCACGAGGATCTTTCTCCTTGGGATGGTCAGCAATGCGCCAACCCCTTGCCATTTTTGAGACAGTACATGGTCCAAGAACTCTACCGCTGGCGGTCAGACATTCCCATCGAGCTCAACAGCAAGAATCTGCTTCAAGACAGTCTAGGCAGCACTCCCCGCAGTGTCACATGGGCAGTATGTGCGGTGGAGCTGATATACTGCGCTGCACATTTTCTTGTTCATCGGGACGGCATGCTGGTGGATGATATCTCAGAGCACATTAGCCCAGACTCCGTCACTGACCGCTGTCCACCCACCGACTACAGCCGGTGCTTTCTGCGCCAGGCGGCAAACGAAACAGCTGAGATCCTGGAAGGTGTTATTGACTGCGGACTGGCGATGTTCCTACCTCCCTCTGCCCTGATCAATATCTGCCTAGCCGCCTCAACCTTCTTCCGCGATGCCAACAGTGGCGACGCAAGCACGCGCAAGACCAACCTCCACAAGTTGGATATGTGCATCAAAGTCTCGAACATGCTTGCCGACATGGCTCCGAGCATGCGGGAGGTTGTAACCAAAATGCAGGACGCGAGATCGGTGTTTCAAACTCGGCCATCTCGCTCAGGGCCGGCATTGAACTCCGGCTATGCACAGCCTTCTAATTTGACACTGACCAGCGCTCACTTGGAGGACAGGTGTGGGATAGACCATCAATCGTTATCAGGGAGCACGATGGAGATCAACAATACTGGGGTAGAGGATCGCAATGCTTCCAGTGGCTACCCAGCCCCAGTTTCATACGAATGGAACTTGGAGGAAGATTTTGGTTTTGCGGGACATGCTTTGCTAGATTTTGATCTCAACGGCTACACATGGGCATAGATTTTGCTGCGGTTGGCATATCGAACTGACACCCGAACGGGACGAGGGACTAATTTCGAGCGGCCAAGATGGACATGGACATAATAACATATATATTCTTCTTCCACGGCGTCTCTCCTGTCAGACTGAGCACTAATGTAAACTGGGAAGCATTTCCTTGGCCAACGTACCGAGCCTCGAGCCCAAATCGTCAAATTCGTGTCTCGGTAGATCCGAAACCCTCCAGAATAGATCCCATTCGGCCCGAGGTCGAAGCTGGCTGTTTGGGTATCACAGGGGATCGACTTGTCTCCCCCCAGAAAGCGGGGAATACAAGAATGAAGAATCACATATGGGTAGGGGGGGAATCTCCCCTGGATTTTTGAGGCTCACCGGGACAAGAAAGGAATCGCCACAAGTGAACAGGTGACAAAACTGTGTGGTCGACCACGACGATGACGGACCTGAATATCACGGACGCCGATATAGGTGAGCAAAACCCCCCACTTCACGTCCTGGTGAGGGAATCTGTATATTATCCGTTGAAGTTTTGTTGTGTCGACAGCTAACACGAGATGTCGAAAAACAAAAGGCGACAAGCTTCGCGGGAAGACGGCCGTTGTCACGGGTGGTTCTTCGGGGATTGGACTCAGCATCGTGCAGAAACTGGCCGCGTCGGGCGTCAAGGTCCTGGTCGGGGATGTGCAGCCTCTGAGAGAAGCCGTGGCGGGCGTGGGATTCATGCAGACCGACACGAGCCGGTGGGAGGACCTGCTGGCGCTGTTCAAGCGCGCGGTCGGCGACTGGGGCCGGATCGACATTGTGATCCCCAACGCCGGGATCGGCGACAAGGGCGACTTCTTCGACACGGTCGACGAGCGCGGCGACCCGGTCAAGCCGCGCTTCGAGTGCCTGCACGTCACGCTCATCGGGCAGATGTACACGGTCAAGCTGGCGATGCACTACATGCGGCGGCAGCAGCCGCAGGGGGGCGTGATCGTGTCGACCGTGTCGCGGGCCGGGTACGTCGCCGAGAGCATCCCCGTGTATGGGGCCGCGAAGCACGGGATGGTCGGCCTCATGCGGGCGCTGCGCCCGCTGACGGCGACGTGGAACATCCGCATCAACAGCATCGCGCCGGGCATCACCGATACGCCCGCCCTGCGGACCCTGCCGGACCTGGTGCCCAAGCTGTGGAGCAGCGGCGTCATCCCCATGAACACCAGCGACGAGTGTGCCCTGGCGGCCGTGTATCTGTGCGCCAACGACGCCTACAACGGCAGCACCATCTTCATCAACGGCGGGAAATACCGCGAGGTCGAGAGCGGGTATCAGCGCCATCTGAAGGACATCATGGGCAATGATCCGCGCCTGAGCATGACGCCGGAAGAGAAGAAGATTCTAGGTGAGTTTTCATCTATCGTGTCCCGCTGTAGTATGCCCGGGAGCCGTGTGAGAGTGTGTGTGCTGACACTCGAGGCAAAAAAGAGGACATCTTTACACCGAGTAGTAAGTATTGAACCCGGGGCCAGACAGGAGAGCAGAGAATCCAGAAAAGGCACCCGACCTTACGTTTTGAGTCTCCCAAAGTTTTAGTCAGGCTGTGGGTGGCTATAATGTGGTTTCGGGGTAATACATCGTTTCGGACGGAATCCTGACCAAGACCTCTGATCGGTTGCGGAGGTTTGTCTACTCGTGTGTGTAAAAGATGTCGAACATGAATCCGGAGTCTCGAAATGTGTGACGTTCTGCCTTGAGAGTATTTGCCCTACCTAGCGAGGCTACGTATCTCCAATGTGTGCAGGTAGAAAGAACCAGGCTAGCTGAATTTGGCCACTGCGACATTTATTAATTACGTAATACCCACTGCTCCACACTCAACTATGTAGGGTGTTTTATGTTTTCAATAGACAAGACGAGAAACTCTACCGCCAGGCTCGACTTGGGATATGTGGAGAATAACGGCACGATGTACACCGACGTCAGATACTCTGTTACTCGTAAATTGGGAAACCGGGTAAACCTTGAATCCTCCGGGGCCAGCTAAACCTCAGGCATGCTGGGATGTTGCATTGCGTCGCACGAGCAACTACTCCGTGATCCTCCCCACGAGATACACTACGATAGCTATAGGGAGGAAATCCAGACTGAGCATCAGCAGATATTTACACTGTGTCCACACTGGCTCTGTCAATACCACAGATAGATCTACAGTAGAGCCGTGTGTCTTCCAACATGCTGCTGTTGAGATACTTCAGTCAGCCAACAGATCGATATATATCCCTCGTCCTCATATCGGAGATCTCCTCGTTTTCCTTCGTAAAAATGCTTGAGTCGATCGACAACCAAGTCAACCCGGGGTTGAGTAGGCCGTGGCAGACCAATGACTTTGCGTGGGGCACGCCGACATCATACCAGGCTCGGATTGCGTGATCGCGGGTTCTGGATACCTTCTTGCAACTACATACAGTACATCATGGAGAGGAATAACGGTGACAATAATATCACGCTCGCCGAATCTGGGGTAGTGAAATATATGTTCATGAGAGAAAAGTTCCGTACGAGAGACTTAAAACTTTTAAACCCGCGAAATCATGCCTTCCGCCGTAATCGCCAACGACCCGGCGCCGGCGCCACCGCTCCGGAAATGGCAACGCCCTGCCAAAACCACATTCCAGCTGCCGTGGGCGGATATCCAAGTCATTGACCTGTCAAGGTACGATGAGCCGGGCGAGAAGCAACGGCTAGCGGAACAGTTGAGGAAGGCTGTAAGTTTGGACCATCCCTGAAATGCTCTCCTGGTTTCTTGACGTGTGATGACGTAGGTGCACGAGACGGGCTTCTTCAGTGTGACGGGCACCGGCCTCAGCGAGGAAGAGGTCCAACGACAATATAACATTGGACAGGCTTTTTTCGATCTTCCCGCTGAAGAAAAGGACAAGCCCGAATACAAGTGTGATTTCTCCGTGGGGAACTATTTCGGGTACCGTGCTGTAAGGTGACAGTCCATCCATCCACATTGACTAGAGCTAAACGACTCCTTCAGCCATATGAGAAGAAGATCATGTCCACCGAGGTCAAAGACATTGTCGAGTCGTTCAACTTGGCGAAATTCATCCCCCAGTACGCCAACGAAGCGCGGCATCCGTTCTTCAACACGTACAAAACGGAGATTGAGGACTTTTCTCGCGTGAGCCAGGCCTAAAGAACCCGTAGTGGATATAATGATTTCTGACACGTCTCGCCCTAGAAAGCATTGAGCATCGCCAGCAAGATCTTCACCCTCTTCTCCATCATTCTTGAATTGCCCGAAGACTATTTCTCGTCCAAGCACGAATACGACTCGCCCAGCGAAGACCACCTGAGGTACATGACCTACCATCCCCGTTCCGTCGAGGAAGACGCCCTGGTCGAGAACACGTGGAGTCGCGCTCACACGGACTTTGGGTCCCTGACGCTGCTCTGGAGCCAGAACGTCGCGGGCTTGCAGATCAAGACGCAGACGGGTGAGTGGAAGTACGTGCCGCCGGTGGACAACGGCATCATCTGTAACGTGGGCGACACGCTCGACTTCTGGTCAGCCGGATACTTCAAGTCCACCACGCACAGGGTGATTCGACCCCCGCCCGACCAGACGCACGTCGACCGACTGGGTTTGTTCTACTTCGTCAGGCCTGGGGATAATGTCGACATCAAGCCCGTCGCGTCGCCTTTGCTCAAGCGAATGGGTTTGGTGAGGGAGGATCAGGAAGACGCTGCGCCGATTACGGGTCTGCAATATGTCAGAGAGAGGGTCAAGAATTACCACAACCACACAGACTATGCCGACATGCGTGGGAAGAAGTTTAAGATTGGGAACCTGGAAATCGAGGACGAGGCGGCTTAGAGCTGGGGACTTGCAACAATGGACCTGCTCGATGTACCACAGTCGTGTAGTATTGGTATCACACCGCTCGGTACAAGGTGGATGGATCGGGCCCAAAATGCCACAGCGCGCTGGTCCAACACTTTCGAGAACACTTTCGAGACCGTTTGCGCAATGCGGCGGCGGAGGCGAAATTGGGTGCGCTGCGTTCCAAGGAGAATGAGGGTCCGTGCGGCGAGTCAAGTATAGCTATAGCACCAGCAGACCGAGAGATCCAACAGCGTACAGCTTGCCCTGCTTCACACGATGCTTACAGGGAATATGTGTAAAATATGCGTCAAGTATTGTTGGGGGTTGTCTGACCTCTACGAGGTAGTGTTGGGAGTTCTTGACCGTACAGCCTCGCCAAGTCTTTCATTCTTGTCACTTCGCATGCGCCTATTGCCATTGTGAACCTGTTTGCCCAGGTACAGGAACTCTCGCGTGAACGATCCTGGGTTCATCTTATCATATATTAACCAGCAGATCCTCCTCTTATTGACAAACAGACTCGGCTCCACGACCGTCCGATGCTTTGGTACCGAAGGGAGGTATATCGGTCCTCGCTGCGACTTGGCTAGGGCACGGCGACGGTCAAGCAGACGGCTCGGTGAGTGCAATGGACGTGCTGTGTCGAGGCATCGCTTGCTAACCTAGGAGCAATTGCAGCGACGATATCTATAAAACCGTCGTGAGGGCGGATCAGGGCGAGACATCCCCCGCACAAGAAAATTGTCACTGCGAAAAAGAAAATCGCATTTGTTGTTTTAGGATTTGCCGCCGCCACAGGCACAGTCAATAGACGCACTTATGATTATGTCGATGAATCATACCATTATTGGAAGAGAAGAAAAATGGAGGACAAACCTGCGGAAGATCCTCATTCGGCAGGATACCGCGCTGCGTTGCTTTAAAATACCCATCATGAGAGGCACAGAGCCAAAAAGACAAAACAAAGCGGAGAACGAGCTCGGGAAAGCCGGCTATGAGGTAAATCGACCGCTAGAAAAAATCCGGCCCAACCACGGGCCCAACAGGGACCACCAACAAGCTCGCAAGCGACGCAAGCGAGACCATCCGCTTCCGCCGTGTCGAATCTGTCAAGCCTCTAGAAGACCACACGATCGAGGTCCCACAGTGTCTCAGAAGTTGGGCATTTGGCCAAAAATTTAGCGCGGCCACGATCCCTCGACGCCGTCCGCCGGCCAGTACCAGCTTCAATGAGTAAGTTCTCTTATCTTGTACGGTTCCTACTGCTTTTCAATGTTGTTGCTCTCTCTCTCTCACTTGCATCTCTAGCAACCTCAGTAATACACAGTCGTTTCTGCAATCTTTCTTGCTTTTGGCAATCATGGTTTCCTTTGCGGCGTCCTGCGCCATTCTCTCGCTCTGGTCGGCGTCAAAGGTGCTTGCACAAGTCTGCACACCCTGCGAGGATGTGCATTTCTTTCTCGCCCGTGGCAACAATGAGCCCTACCCAGGACGACAGGGTGATCTGGTAGCCGCCACCTGCGACAACGTGGCCAACTGCGGCTACGAAGATCTCATCTACTCGGCTCTCTACACCGACTTGTCCTGCCAGACGACCTACGATGGCACGATCGCGGGTTTCAAGCAGATGACTGCCTATGCCGACCGATGCCCCAACTCCAAGCTCATCCTGGCTGGATACTCGCAGGGAGCACAGATCGTGACCGACATTCTCGGTGGTGGAGGTGGCGTGTCGTTCAATGGATGTATTCAGCCGTCGACTCCTCCATTGGACCCGACCACCAGCCCAGGAAATCGATGTGAGTTACGGCGCGGTTGCATTGTTTGGATATGGCTTGTATGCTAACATGGACATTTCAGTGTCGGCGGTCATCACGTTTGGAAATACCCGCCATACGGCCAACCAGCCCTACAACTATGGCAATGGTTCCTCGCACGATGGTCTCTTCCCCCGGTCTGGTGACATGTTGACTGCTCTCGACGCATACGCGGCCATTACTCGTGACTGGTGTCTGGATGTGAGTGACAGGCCCGATTGTTGTTGGACTTTTGTCTACGAGCCTTTGAGAGCATGCTTCATCGCTGTAATCATGTCTTTGTCCTAACGTTCTTCGGTACCCAGGTTGACCCCATCTGCGCCAACAACTCCAACGGCATCGTCGCGTCCCACCTTGGCTATTACAACGTCTACTCGGACGAAGCAGCTGCGTGGATCAAGTCGGTCGCCTCGATCACGGACAATTCGGACTTTACTACCTCGATCGCTACGTATGTCAGTGGTACCGCGCAGGACTATGCGACTGTCGGAACCGGCACGCCGTCGGGCGTTGTGACACTTGCGTCGGTGACGACCGAGTCCATCTCGTGCCCGAGCTCGTCGACGCCTGCCTTTGCCGCAGTCAATTCGACCGCGTTGAACAGAACCACAACAGCCTCCAGGTCGGGCGTGTCGAGCAGCCACTCGGCGCCCCTCACGACCACCGCCAGCAGTGCCGCATCCAGCAGTGCGACTGCGGCCGCGACCATCACGAGTGCTCCCAGCAGCACCGGCCCCGTGGCGACGAGCGCAATGACCTCTGCGCCCTCGTCGACCTTTACGGGCGGCTCGGCCAGTAGCCACGCCAGCAACATTGGCTTGGCTCTTTTGCTGGGCCTTGCCATCCTGGTTGTAGTATAAAGGAGCAAAAGAAGGCGTCAACCACCCAAAAAATGAAAGATTTACGCGTAACATAACATAGTCTCAAACAATGTATATAATATAATGAGGATGAGGGGGGATGGGCATTGAATGAACGCACATAATTGACCATAATACACACATTCTTTTCCGAGTGCTCAAGTCATCTACGAATTGTGAGAACCGACACATGAGTTATTTTATTGAAACCAGTGTTTGTCCGTGTAGGAGTACTCGGTACAGATGGATGTAGGTGTGCAGGTATGCAGGTCTTATCATGACGCCAGTGTGTCTCCTACCCACCGAGCACAAACAAGCACAATGAAGGCTTCGACGAGTCCGAGACCTCGTATACCACGGCTAAATGCCCAGGCCCTGGCCCTGACCCTGGCAGAAATCTGCAAGCACCAGCTTAGCTGCATGCCACGGGCTTTTCTAGTCATCCACTCCAATCCACAAGGACGGCTCGTACCTACAGTAGTTCCATGCGAGAGTGTACCCTACCTAGGTACCGTACCTAGAAGGAGGTGCTTGTAGGTACAACGGCGCCTAAGGAAAGGAAATGTTTTAGCTTCCCCACATAACAGGAGGGGGGGGGGGGGGGGGTAAACAGCAAACGGGAGAGAATTCGAGGATAAAAATCAAGGACTGTGGAACAGTGGCAACGGCACTCTTTCCTGGGATTCATAATCGCTACCTACTTGCTACATCCACCTAGATAGGTACCTCAGATAGGTGCAGAAGGTTTCACGCCTAAGCGAGGTTCTGACTCGTGCTCGTGCTCGCTTCCGACTTCGAGGGCCGGGGTACTGCACTGTTTGTACGAGGTACTTGTAGGGTGGTAGGGTGATGGGCAATCTCGCGTTCATTACATGTGCGTGTGTGTGGGTGTGTGTTGACAAGTGTAAACTCTGAATATGCACTACTACCTCGTACTGTAGGTACATAGGTGTGCACTAACTACTCGGTACCTACATACCACCCTACCCACTCATATGTAGGTACTTCTTAACCAAGTTTTAAGTATAGTACTGAGTACTCGATACTCGTACGAATACCCTGGACCCGATGCTCAGGGTTTGTCGTTTGTTAGAGAAGATCCCCCCGCCTGCTCCGTGGTGGGACCCCACATACGAAGTACCTACTTGTGCTGAAGGGGCATAGAGGTAACAAGTAGTTTAATTCATGAATCATGAAGCATAACGGTTTGCACGATTGACGAGTTGAGTGAGAAACGAGGGACAAAGGTGGTCACCCCGCCGATCAGACCTTTACCTTGACGAGTACAGGACTTGTACCGAGTATGTAATGATCATGTCCGATCAAGCTCTTGCCCCTGGTCAGTAATAGTAGGTCTCTTCGTACCAGTCCTCGTGGGAAATTTGTGGGTGGTCTCGGGTACTCATACGAGGTAGGTACATGTGTAGAAACCGTCGTACCACTTCCATAATAATCAAACAATAACAAACAATCATACTCCCCCACCGGTGCCCCTTCGCGTCATCTCCGAGTCACGAGTATCTGAAAGGACTGAGAACACCAGCAACCCATTTGGGGCTGTTGGTGCGTGGAGACACGAGCACGAGGACGTTTGTTCCAGAGTACTCAGTATGTATGTACTCACGAGAAGGAAAAGGGGCATCCAATGCACTCGGTATATTCTTGTATGATATTCCAGCGAGAAACGTGACGATGCGTAGTGTGCTCGTTGATCTTTTTGATCTTTTTTGGGTATTTTAATCTTTACCGGTGTCCATGCCTACCTACCTACCTGCCTGCCTGTCTACCTGCCTGCGAGATATCCCATGTTTTGGGAAAAGACATAGCACACATACATGCCCTCTTCGCTCCTCACTCCTCATTCTTCATGGAGTCACCTAGATGGCCACGATGGAGTCGCTACAGATCGGAACTTCAAATTACATTCCATTCAAATGAACGTAGACCTGCATGCCTACAAAGGGATAACTGAACTCACTGACTTGCACCGACCACTCGCAGACATATGTGTGTGTCCTGGCTGTCAATAATCTCAATCCCTGATCATCATTCAGAAATTGAGAGTGACTTCCCCGTGGGGGTCTGGATGGGAAATGTTGCCCAAGACTTTCGCAGTGCTCAAATCATACCTAGATATCCTCGGCCGTGTGGTGTTCTGTGACGGGTACCTCGTACTTTGGTGATAAAGGGGGCAGCAGGATGAACAGACCGAGGCGAGGCTGTAAGTAACGAATGGGGGAACATTGAGCCGCGGTTATCTCGGCCTACTAGCCGTCATCACCAACTCACCACCAGAAAGTAGCCTGCCTGCTAAACAAGGCGAGCACGGATAACGGCCCCGCATCTCTTAAGTCTCGAAAAGAAACAACAAAAGCAAAGCACAAGTACAGACTTTGCCACAGCTACAAACGATCATGGCCTTGACATACTAGACATGTGTCGGAATGGTGAATGTCGAGGGATTGGAAGTTGGCGAGGTATAGAGCTGCAATAATAGGTATCTCAGATGTGGTCTAAAAAAAAAATAATGCCTCGTAATGGTGAATGGTGATTGAATCTCGCCACGGTCGCCAGTCCTGGTGATATAAGAAGACCTGGAGGGAGCATTCAATAAGTTACCAAGCACCCCATTTTGCAACCTAGAGATCTTATTGGGGGTTCGATCAAGTCAAGTTCATCGTCGTGACGGAAATGTCAATCGCCGAGGAATAGCGCTCTTCGACAGTTGACATGTCCAGATTGACTCGGCTAGAGCATTCCCTTATCCTTGGCTGTCGGTGCACGACTGGGTCGGTAGGTATACACCGGTTTAACGGACTAATCACTATCAAGTGCCCATCAACGAGACGATTCAGCCAGTCGACGTTTTTTTTTTGTCGCGTGGGAATCTCTTTCAAACTGTACATTTACATACTTGTATCTCCAAGGCCAGTCGTAGCCCCCAAAATCGCTGGTAGCTATTAAGTGGTAGCTGATAGGCACGCACCACTTTTCTCAACGACATCGGGCCTTGTCACGTTTTTATTGGTGCGTCGAAACGAAATCTCAAGAACACTATTACTCGGTACATTATCGCATATCGCATATCACAGATCGTTTGTTGGGTTGGGACCACCACCACCTTCACCACCACCACAAAACAATAGAAATGGCCACCAGAACAACCATCACCACCAATCAACAAAAAATGTAAGCTCCTCGTAAACTCCCACTCACTCAGAAATCCACTCTTTGATATCTCGCTCACCTGTTAACACTTCTCCCAAAGCTCCTCTGCACACTACGACCCGATGCGCGCGGAGGCATCGGCGGCCGTCGACGTCGACCCGCGCTACGTGATGCGGGGCATCGACTTCAGCCTCCCGCTCAAGGAGCGGGTGCTCGAGTTCCAGAGGAATTTTCTCGACGACCCCCATTTCGGCGGCTTCGACGCCTACGCGCTCAAGGACAACGTGCGCTGCGTCTCGATCGCGCCGGGCCGTACGGAGTGGGAGCTCGAGGTGCTCCCGCACCTGTGCAACAAGGGCGGGAAGCTGCACGGGGGCGCGGCCGCGACCATCCTCGACAATCTGACCACGACGGCGCTGATCGCCGCGGCTCGCCCTGGATTCATGGACCTCGGCCACGTCAGCCGCAATATCAACATGACGTACCTGCGGCCGGTCGTCGAGGGTGCCACCGTCAGGGTCGTCTGCGAGCTTGTCGCCGCGGGGAGGACCCTCGCCAACATGAAGGGCGAGATGCTGGTCGACGGCAAGGTCTGCGTGACGTGTCTGCACGACAAGGTCTTTTTGCGTCCCCCGCCGCCGCCGACGTCGTCAGAAGAGGGACCCTCCTCCAAGCTGTGACTCACTCACTCATGGTCGAACCCTACAAAGCTAAAAAGGTCTTTTTGGCTCTGGGGTAAGGAGTGGTTGAGGGATCGACAGGTAAAAAATGGATGGATAGATAGACCCTCAAAGTTACCGAGAGCTAGAATTTTTTCGGAGATGGGGTTTTGGGATATAGAGTTGCGATTAGACCATGGCACGGTGTCTTGGTTGTGGGCGTTGGAATGGCACTGTCGATCGTGACGGATAAGAGTACATGCAAAGATTAGACATCAGCAATCAGACGAGATGGACTCCAAAAGCTGGTTGATAGACATGAACCAGGATGATCACAGAGTCAGTCCAGGTCTTGGACACTTTGTCGAACCATACAAGGTGCAGGCTGAGATATCTCATTTGAGATGCGCAGAGATTGCGGCTCGCAGCCTCGCGTAGCCGCACACACACGCCAACGGTTTAATCACAAACACACAAACTCTGTCAGCAAAGTCCAGTCTGTTTCGGGACTCTACGTGAAAGCAAATCTTGTCTTCAGAAAAGGAGTGCCCAGCCTTGGTTCGCCTCGAGGAATTTGGTACCCATCGCAACCAAGTTGAGGACCTCAAGGAAATGGCCGCAACCACTGGAAATCCCGCACTGCCCAGCTCATGTTCCTTTGGATAGGCCCTCATCTTCCAGGTTTTACGTCGTTAACAAATGTGGAATAGAGGACGGTGAGTAATTTGGACTGACGATCAGAGGCGGTGTTCCGTAATACCATCATCTGAACCACATTTTGCTCTGTAAGTCCAGCGCGACTCAGGGATAAATAGCCACTTCTCCCACGCATACCTTCGCACTCTAGAACACTTCACACCTCATCTATAGGTGTCAGCTTCTCACCTTCCGACTTCGTTCGCCACCCTAGTACATCGTCGTTGCTATCATGGGTGCAGCCGCGTCAGCCGCCAGGGGCGCGGCCGTCGTTGGCGCTGAAGTTGCTGAAGTCGCTGCGGTAGGTGCCGAGGCCGCAGAGGCCGTGGTCATGACCGGCGGCGCTGCAGCAGACGGCGTCTTGGGTCAGACGGCCAGCAGAATCGCCTCATCTTCAGGGTCAACAGAGTACTTTTCAGCATTAGGAAGTCGTCAGGGGTCGCAGAGCTCAGCCTTTCGAAGCGTCACCATGTCCGAGGAGTCATTGCCGTTAGCGCCTGGGCCTGGGTGGGCGGATCGGATTTACAGTATACCAAGGAGACCAAAATCCATCGGCCCATCATTTAACAAGGGAAGGCCATGGGACGGGCGTGGATTCAGAAACCACCCTGCCTCAGAGGGAGGAGCATACCAAAACTGGGAGCTTGGACCCGGGGGAGAACCACCGGTGCCTGCAAAGTTGCCACAACCCGAGGTGCCCGGTCGTCGGATTCCGGGTTCGACGTCGACCAATTCAGAATTCGTCCGAACTCAAATCAAAGGGAAACAGATTGCTGATGATTGGTACACAAGGGCCGAGTCGGTGTATAGCGAAGAAGAAATAGCAAGCTTGGTATCGGAGGAGGAAATCACGGGATCGGCCTGGTCGCATGAAGCTGCAGATGGATCCCAAATCGAGCGATTCCCAGAGTATTACTCACCACCCAGAACACCCTCAGAGATATCAGCGACCGGAGCGTCAAAGGGCTCGGCCCCGAAGTCTCTCACTGACTCGGAAGAATGGTTGCGCTCGTCAGAATCGTCCTCAGGCACTGTCGTCCACCACACTCCTCCCAATAACCCAAACTCCATGGAGGCCATCGATGGGTCCGCCGAATGGCTGTCGGGGTCGGAGCCGGAATCGGTAGCAGAGGCTTCCATGGATGCCACCTATGGCTCGTCAGGGGAGGAATTGATCGAAGGAGAGGTCATCTACGACGGACATCCACTCGGAGCTGAATCGCCCGCCTCCGGAGAGTCAACAGGAACTGTCATTCACCACCGACCAGCAGGGGCGGCAGCAGCATCAGAGGCGGAAGCCGTAGGGCCAAAGAAGTGGAGACGATGGCAAGACTTGTGGACCCCCAAAGACATCCTGTCCTTCCCACCGGCGACGAGATTCAACGTGCTCCGAGGTCAGAAAGTCACCGCGCCGATTTTCTTCGAGCCCGGAGCGGCGACGAAGCCTGATGCCAAGACATTCGCCAGGTTTGAAAAGGCAGTCCGGCATTATATCAAGAAGGAAGGAGCCTTCACGGGAGAGGAGGTCTCGATGCTGTTCGGCAGGAAGCCAGGACAACTGACCGGCGCCGAGTTTGTGCAAAAGATCGGCAAGCCATTCTGGCCCAAGAAGGCAGCAAAACTCAACGCGATGTCAGGACCAGAATTTTCCAAATTGACCGCCCCAGAGCTTCAAAAATTGCTGCCGGCTCCCTCCAGAAGTAGTGTCGGCGGAGGTGCGGTTGGAGTTGCCACCTATGGGATGATTTTGGCAGGGTATGTTTATACAAACACAATGGGCGAACTGCACGCAGACAAAATGAAGGACAAGTACAAAGATATACACAAGCGTTCCGAGATCGACCCTGATACACCTGAGCTGGCACGCGAACCTGTGTCACCGACGACCCTCGTCGTCACCGAAGGGCTGACATGGATGTACACTGACCCGCTCCCGACACTGGGCATTTACACTGTCAACGACACGACATCCTCGGTGTTTGATGGGGATTACATCACCGTGCCCATGTCCCAAGGCACTGAGTATACACTCACCTTTCCGCCCGAGGTGCAGCGGATTCATCTCACCAATGCCAGCCCGCGGCCAATCTGCGTGGCAGGTATCAACATCACAACCTCGGACAAGTACTGGACGAGCTTGAGTGGCAATCTGGGGGATCTCTTTGACGCCGACCACTATGAGACCGGGCAGCAAGTTATGAATGGGTCGACGTCGTGTACCTGGATTGACCAGAACCCAGAGGGGATCGGGATTGCTGGATTGACCTTTGAGCTGGTCGACAGCGTGCATGTTCCTGTCAAGCTTAACGGTACCTTGCCGGTTTTCTGGCTCTCGAATGACACTCTTCCGGAAGATCTCGCCAGCGACCAAGAGCTCTTTGACTTCACTGAGCACTTGGTCAAAAGCCAGTTGACCAAGTCGAGTGCAAAGCGGCTGTGCGAAAACCAGTATTCCCAAGGCCCACACTTTGTCAGTTTGAATGAAAAGCTATACTGCGACATGGAGGCTCGACAGCTCTATCCTACCTGCGGGGACGAGGCTGGAGAAGGAGTGTGCTTTGATGTCGACAAGGACAAGCTGGTCGAGCCAGAAGAGGGAGACAGTGAGGACGACGAGGCGCATGTTGAGGGAGAGGTGCAGGTCGAGGGGGTTCGTGGCTCTTTCACCAAGCGGCGGGTTGCGAAGGCGAGGAGATCCAAGGTAGTCAAGAGCTTCAAGCATGTGCATGTGTGGGAATGAGGTGGGGGAAGAGAATGGAAGCAATCACGAGATGAGACTGAGATTGAAGGAGTGAAAGAGTGCGTGATGTTGTTCGATTGTGCATTTTGAGATTGGTATGTGTTTGTACGTGTTTGTCTGATTTGCTGAATGTTTGTTCGTTCGTACAAGAGGCGGAGAGGGAGTGACGGAGAGCGGAGAGGAGAAAGAAAGGAGAAAAAAAGTAAAATGCTTGGCACTGGTATGGATTTCGTAATACAATAAATTACCTTCAGTTTTCTGCCTAGGCCATGCCAAGCTAGTCCTTTTTAAGAAGTTTGCCTTGATACCTGACGGCCCCAATACAATCGTCATAGTCTCACTGTGGCGGCCCCAGTGACTTCATCGTTGCGCAGTCGCATTGGATGGTGGCATGGCATGATGTTGCTTCTGTCCAGGCAGCATTCATTCTTTTCCATACAAACACCTCATTTTCTGCGAATATCCTTGGAACTGTTGAATCCTTCTCTGACCCCCATCCAACTCCTCTGCCCTCTATCCCTCCTTATCTAAGATTCTATTCCTGGGTTGCTCTGTGTGTGTCGACATCATCCCGTCCCTTCAAAATGACGACCACCCCCCATGGCTATTCGGACGAGAAGGTCCCAGAGATCGAGGTCCTTCCAGCCCCAGCTACTTCAGCACCTCCTGCGAGACGAACCAGTTTCACCAGCCGACTGCTCAGATTCGTGGTCACCGTCCTCGGCGCCATTCTCGTCTTCAAAGCGCTCTGCAACATCGTCGGTTTTCAGTCTAGGAGCTTCTCGAGACCGTGTCACGGTATGAACCACCAAGTTCCCGGCCACAGCGCGCAGCTGTTTGACGATGACGGCCACCACCAACACCCGTTCCCACCTATTGACGATTGGAAACCGTTCAACGGCACCACTCACTTCGAGTTCGAGCCCGCCCAGGCCAGTGGCCTCTCCGTCCGAGGAGCAAACGTCTTTGGGAAAGTCGTCTTTGAAACGTCCAAGTTCTCCGACAAGGTCGTGATTGACTTGGACATCAAGACCAACAAGAAGGACAAGCACGGCGACGTGACGATCAAGGAGGACAATGGCCACCTCACCATCAACACTCCACCGTCGGGCAAACTCGAGACTCACACGGCCGTCACCATCCAGATCCCGTCCAACATTATTGGAGAGTTTGCCCTTCCGCGATTCGAAGTTGACGTTCCACGCCACATGGTCGACTTCAGCCAACTGCCCCAGTCTCTGGAGATCGGCACCTTCACGATCCGAGTTGGGAAGGGCTTCGTCAAGCCAGGCCCTGTGCATACCAACACGACCCAAGTCTCCATCGGCAACGGCGCTCTCCGCGGCACCTTGACGCACGCACGCTACGAGACCAATGTCAACATAGGCAGAGGTAATGTGACCCTCAACATCCCCTCAATTTCTTCGGGCAACCAAGGCTCGACCCACATCCAACTCGGCCACGGGCACCTGAACGGTAGCCTGGCGATCTACAATTCGACCAACATCGACATCGGCAGTGGCAACATCTACGTCAACGTGGCCTTCAAGTCCGCGACAACGCGAGCCACGCTCTCGACTCGAATTGCGTCGGGCGACTCGCGTGTCTTTGTCGACTCCATCGCCGCAGAGCGATTGTTCGAGGCATCCCACACGTCCGTGGCGGGCGACCAGCTGATCACGTACCCTGCCAACTTCCAAGGCACGGTCGATGCGCGCGGCATTGTCGGGGACATCAAACTCGAGGGCAAGGACCTGGCCGTGGAGAAAGTCGTTGGCGGCATAGTGGGCCGACAGGGCGACAGCAACCGGAATTCGGTGAGTGTCAAGACCGTCCGGGGCAAGCTTGATATTCTGGTCGGTGATGAGGCTTCGGCGCAGACGGGCCACGGGCGTTAAAAAGCAGTCAACCAGCGCTCCCTTTTGAGAGCTATTGCCTCGAGGATCGAGTCAGCGGGACATGCGGGACATGATGATGTATGTTATGCAAACGGGATAAGGGCCTGGGCCCTGGGTTAACAAAAATTGGAGACATGGAGAAAATGAGACATGGAACACGGGAGACATGGCTGTACAAGATCCATGCATACACAGCGTAGGATAATAACGACCAGGAGATATACCTGGATACATTCATTCATTCATTCATTCATTCCTTCTCTCATGAAGGCCCTTGACATCATAAGGTCCATCCATGATTCGATCCATCCATGGTCTACAATCCATACATGTATTCTCCATACTCTATATGATGTATATCACTAGGAATCTCCCTTACCCCTTTCTTTCTCTCCATCCTAAGTAGAAATTCCTCGTTCTCTCTCTCTCTCCTGGATATTTCATACTCGGCACCAAAAAACACTTTTCCACCCAGCCCCTATTTACTTAGGAGGTGGATGGTAAGTGAAACCCGCCCCCCAGAGGGAGGCAGTGTTTTTTTCCGCATGATCGCCGCAGAGGAGGAGGTTCGATTCCGGAGGTTCGCCTACTTTTGAAACCCAATTTCGTCCATCACTTCTTTTGTTGACTTTTCCAAAGTCTCTTTCTCTTTTTGTTATGGTGTGTGGTTGTTGACTCTGTTGTTTTAGTCTCTTTCTCAAAGGTAGGGGTCTTTGCGATTCTTGCTGGGTTTTTCGGCGGTGTAATATATATGGGTGGGTAATTTTTTTTGAATCTTCACTTCTTCACATGCACTAGGTAGTCAAGTGACTTGGGTGCTGGCTGGTCGTTGGTGGTGGTGGAATAGTTGCCCGTTTTGACGGTATATCGTGATTGCTTCACGCCAAGGTTCTTTCGACAGGAAAGGATGCGGAGATGGAGCAAGTGTCTGGAGGTGGGTCAGTCGTTGGGATATTCCTCCAATACAAACATCCATGCGTGGTAAGTATGTGTGTGTGTGGTTGTTGGTGACAACCGTATAGCAAAATAGAGGGCTGGAGCAAGAAGGAAAGGTTTCGCCCAAGGCTTGGATAGAATGCAATACCCACAATTCCATATTCAAACAGGATTACATCCTTCTGCGACATATTCCCTCTCAACGCAGTCCATCTGGACATCTCTCGGTGACCTCAAGTCATTCCCCTTTGATCCCAGCTGCTCTCCAACCCAGTGTAGCGCCGACTCTGATCAGCTTCTCCCTAATCCGACTGTCCGTCCTAGGCCCGAGACCAGACCACCACCGGTCTTTACAGCCTTGTCTGCTGCCTTCCTCCCAGCCTCGCTTGCCTTGCCCGCTGCATTTGTGGCCGATGAGGCAATGCCCGACGTGGAACTGACACCAGCTGTAGGAGTAGTGCCCAAATCAGGGATAGAAGGCGTGGCTACCGGACTTGAAATGTGTTGGGAGCTTTTCTGATTCTTCGCGTCTGCATCCTTTGTGGAATCCTCTCCTTGTCTGGCGCCCCCCGTCATCGCGCTTGTGGCAGCGTTCCCAGCCCGCTTAGCCGCCGCCGTGGCGTCCTGAGAGAGACTAGCCAGCCTCTCGCCGATGGCTGTAGGAGTTGGGGCGGCGGGAACTTGAACTTGTTGACTGGAGCTCTTCCGCGGTCCTAGCTTTGGTGGCGGAGATCGCACGCCACTGCTGACTTGCCGTATGAGACTCGGTGTCGGGACTGAAGTGGGCGGAGTGGGAACCCCTGACCCGGACGGGGCGAGGTTAAGCTGGGGGGACTTGATCCCAGACAGAGGACGATCGAGTTTCGCTGGAGGAGATTTCACACCAGAAGGAGTTCTGTTCAATTTCGAGAGAGATGGTGACTTGACGCCAGAGGAAATCCTGTCGAGCTTAGCGGGTGGTGACTTGATACCCGATGGAATTCGGTCGAGCTTGGGTGGTGGTGACTTGACTCCTGACGGTCTCTTCTCCAGTCCCGGTATTTCTTGTACGGGCTTGGTGGTGAAACTCTCCTTTGAGCGATCGGACGACTTCTTTGCGAGTTTCGGCGGCGGTGGTCTCTTCCCACCCTTTGTCGAGCCCCGAAACCCAATACTCGGCAGGCTCGGTAGATACGCCGCTGCTCTGGACGTATAGCTCTGCCCTGTCTTTGTCGCACTCTGGGCAGGAGCACCCATTGTATTTGTATCCATTGCTGGTACCTCTTGTGCTGCTTTGCCCGCCTCGCCCACCTTCTCCGTCGCAGTATCCAACCCCGTCTGCACAGTCTGAGCCGTATTCTGCACCGTCGTGCCCGTTGCTTCAGCTACTTCACCTGTTCTCTCCCGGGCTGGAGCCGGTATGCGATCTTTTGCCTGGTGGATTATCGGGGCCTCACGAGTAGCTCGTTTGGTAGACTGTACTGCCGGATTATCTTTGGGATTCAGTGTGTTTTTGACAGTCGGTGCGACCGCGTCGGATACTGTGCCTGCTGTGCCTTTTGCAGCGGTGGTGGTAGTCTCGGCTGCCTTGTTGGCAGAGTCCGTCGCCTTTGCTGTCGCAAGCTTGGGGGGCGGACGGGATTTCCTCTTGCTGGCGCCTGGAAGAGAAGTGATGCTGGGCAGAGAAGGCAGATATTGCGAGGCCTGCTGGACGTAGCTTTGAGTTTGGCTTGTTGCTGCCTCTGCTCCTTTGGATGCTTCGCCTGTTAATTTGCTGGTGTCGGTAGCGTCCGGTCTCTGAATCGTGCTGGGACTGGAGCGGCTTATATGTGGCATACTCGGCAGATGCTTGTAGATATAGGTGGCATAGCTCTCTGTCGCAGCTGGAGCACCTTTGGCCGTTTGACCTGCAACATCGCCAACCTGGCCGGGATCTTGTCCAGACTGTTGGAGGTTGGCGACAATCTTCTGCGCATCTTTCGCGGCTGGCACGCTCGGTACGTAGAAATACTCGATCGCCCGGGTCACCAGGCTCTTCTGAGTCTGTTCTTGGATCTTCTTTTCCAACTCCTCGGCCTCTTCTTCTCCCTCGGCGGCCTCGTCCACCTTGCCGCCATGAGACTCCCTTCGCATCAACCATCTTTTCCGAGCAGCAACAGACTGCTTCTCCTCCTCTTTTTCCATCTCCACCAGCTCCTGTCGTTCCCGTTCCACAGCGGCCATGTCGATATCCTCGAACCCGATTTTCTTGAGGATTGCGCCGATCAGATAGCGGTAGCGCTGGTGGCTGCTGATATCCTCCGAGACATCAAAGTTTTCGACGGCGCTCAGACCCTCCACCTTCTGCAGTCCAGCCACGCCGTACTGGATGGCTGACGTGCGGTACATGAATCCGAGGACGTAGTCGTTGACAGAGAAGACATTGACCAGCCTGCCAGCGACGACGCTGCGCAGGATTCTCCAGTCACTGGTATCACTGGGCGTTGGCGAGCCGATCATCACCGCATTCTCAACGATCCCAAACTCCTTTCTCTTCGCCAGGTTCATGAGACAGGTGTAGATGACGCGGGCTCCAAGCGAGTAGCCGATGAGAGTGACGGGTCGCTCACCTTGGGCGCGATTGACCAGAGCATCTGCCAGAACCTCGCCTGCCTTGTCGGCACGGCTTTTGGCAACACTGAAGGGGTTGTCAATGACTCTGGCGACCTTCATCAAGGCCATTGGCCACATCGCCGCAGCAAGTTCTGCGAAGATGGTCCGCGAGATGATTTCCTTCTGTGCGTACCCCCAAGCGGCCGACTGGACCATGCCGTTCATGGCATTTCCCAGGTTCAGCAACGCCTCCAGTTCGTATTTCAATGCAAAGACTTCGGCGCCCGTCCCCAAGGAACGCCACGGCTTGACCACTTCCTCTTTCTCCGTCAACCAACCAGAGATGCCCAGGGTGACGCGAAGTTTATGGTCGTGTTCGCTGGCTTCTTGGGCACCTTGAGCTTCGTCCTCACTGGTCTTCTTGTCGCTCCTGCCATGGACAGGCAGGAACTGAAAGTCTTCCACTTGGCGCGCATACGAGTCCATCATCTGGCCTGTCATACGCCCACCATATGCACCAAACAGTCCACCAACGAGGACGGCACTGCCGGCCACAGAGCCCAGATAGGCGGCCGCGGATGTAGCACCAAGTCCGAGTCCGCCCATGACGGAGCCGACACCTGCAGCCACCAGAGGGGCGGCCATCCCACCCGTGACACCGAGGACTGCCGCCCCAGCCGCCGTCGCATAGCGGACTCTCCACTTCCGGGTCTCTTCATTCTCCTTGATCTTCTTCATCTTTTCCTCGTCAGCGGTCAGCTCTTTAGCTGCTTCGAGCAAGCCTTTGGCCGTCGCATACTCGTCCTGCTCAAAAGTCTTCAGGGGGAGCTTCAGTGACGACGTCAAATTGAGCAGCAGGATCCGAGAGTAGGCAGTGTAGTGCTCCAGAGACAGGAGCAGAAGCAGCAGAGAATGAAGAACCAGCGTTCGCTTGTCCATAGGCAGTTTCGTCAACGGAGTTTTGGTGGGTGGGAACAGGTCTTTAAATTTCACATTGACAACCCTAGACCCAACCTCCATGACTTTCCCGGTGGTCGTTGGCACTTGGGGCCTGGAAAAGGCACCTTTGGCACCCTTCCGAATCTGTTCCTGGGCAGTGCGTTCACTGTTGACGACTTGGCCAACCCGCAGGATGACTTGCTCACGCCATTCGTCAAAGGCCTTGAGAGAATCTTTCTTGAGGTTCTTCATCTTCAACGTCGCCAGATCCTTGTCGATTTCCACCTTCATTTTACGTTCGCGGTCATAGGCCGAGACGTCGACGCTGGCTGGGTCCACCGCCATCATCTTCTCGTCCTCGGTCATACCTTCACGAAGAAGCGTCTTGTCCAGCCCTGCTGTTGAGCTGAAGTTGTCAAGAATCACTTTGCGCATTGACTCGGTCACGTTGGCGATGAGGAGTGTGAGATCGGCACGTTGAGCTGGGTCTAGGATGCTGGCGAGGTCCGTCTCGTCCGCACTGTTCGCCTGGGCATTGGCAGCCAGCTCGGAAGCGGGTTGTTCAGCCATGATGGCCACTGCTGGTTCAGTTCACCTTGCCACCCAGTGATATACTATGGCGTTCAGGCACACTCGAATAGACCCGAGGCAAATCGCAAACACTCGAGAGGCTTCAGCAGCAGAGGCTAGCAGGTCGAGTGAAAAGCCGTAGACAGGTTAGAAGCACAACAAAACAAATAATCGCAAAGGAGACGAAAGTGTGGCGGTGCATGTCTCTCTTCCAAGCTGGCAGCGGTTGAGGGGGTGAAATGACGTTATGGGCAAACTTGTCGTGCATATCATGATGCTTGTCGCTTCATCTCTTCGACCCCTGTTCCCTGCAGCCACACAATCACAGAAAAACACTGATTTGATCGTGGGGATCACAAGAACCTGGAAAAACACAGCAAAAGAAAACATCCAGATTGAAACATGTTGTAATCTTACTTTTCGTATAGTATTGCGTTCAGTCGTTATCAAATCTTGTCCTTGCGTGGGCTCGTCGTCTTGGACCTTTTCCAACCCAAGAAGTCTAGAATGGTACAAAGTCACCAAGAATATGTATGCAATTGCTGGCCGATCCTCATCACTCCGGTCGCCTTGCTTGATATAAAATGCAGCTTGAAAGCCCGTCGAGCCATAGCAACCTATAGGATGGTTCCAAAGCTGATCACATAGTTAGCAAGACGTGCACAAACATCTCAGTCAGTGTGTAAGACATACCCAAATGTCTGCTTGATGCTGCGAACGTAGTAGCCTTCCCAGTTTCTCTGGACCACCTCCTCTTGCCCTACCGGCACCCCAGTCCAGGTCACACGCATATTAGTTACTCGGTCAACATCGTTCTGGTCGAAGAAAATTTCCTGAGTGCTCATGTGTCCTTCCGGCCACTGCGCTAATCTCCATTTCTGAATAAGTTTCTTGGGCGGCTGTAGTTCGACAAACTCTCCAGTGACATTGCCGTCAAAGATGGAGAACTTCCCGCCCACCTTGGCGCCTTCGAATAGTCGAGGCGGCGCACGAGTGAATGCCGCGAGTCGTTGGGGGTCGGTAAATGTCTGATACATCTCTTCCGCCGTAGTCCGAAATTCGTCCGTGGCAGTAACGGTGGTCGTATTGACGGACGATTTGCCGCTTGTGGAGGTGGTTGTTGGGGCAGGAGACAGAGGCTTCCGTTCTTTTTCAGGATGCCACGTGGGAGTTGCGAAACCGCTCGAAGGATTAGAGCCAGGAGCGTGTTGGAGGTCTTTTCCATGCTCTTCAATCAGGGCAGGCCCGAATTTAGCAAACACTTGTCGAAGTTGAGGGACCAACTTGGATCGGACTAGGTCTTTAACGGGCTGTTTCTCTTTCTTCTCGGAGTATATGTCAATTTCAAACTGCACAAGTTGTCAGTCGTGTCCTGAGCGGAATTTTGCGTGATGCCGCAACACGAGTACATACCACATAGTCATCAGGCTCGGTGTCATATGCACATTCAGGGACTCTGATGCTCCCACTGACATCGGTACCGTCTTCCGTTTTGCCTGTTGGTCACAAATGAGCAACCTCTCCTCACGTTTACATGCAACGGAGTGGTGTACCTTCATATTCTAGTTGTAATGCAACATCAAAGATTGTGATGACTTTTCCCTTCCGCTGGCTCACCTCCACATCGCCGTCCATGGAGATCAATCTGGTGATCTTTGCCGACACACCATTTTCTTCCGCCGAAACCTTCTTCACCTCTGTGTCTAGATAGTCTTTGGCCCAGGGGCCAGCGTCTTTGTTGACCCAATGCCAGTTGTTCGGGTTGTGGAGGACCATGGTGGGACAGGGAGCAAGTGGTATTCAGGGTGTCAGAGGACAGTTCCTGTTGTAGATGTAACACAGATCAGTCTCAGGGCTCACCGAGTCAAACATGTGAACTTGTGTTTAAAAGGGGTGGAATGTTCAGGTTGAAGGCTTAAAGCCATGTAAAAGCTGATCCGCATGTAAAGAGTACAAGTCTTCTCAGACTGGTGCCAGCTGGATTCTCATCATAAGACGCAACAGGGGTAAAGTGCTATGTGCGTTCACTACATACCTTTCGACAGTAGCTTTAAAGAGGACATATGGTTGAAGGAAAGAGGATCGCGTGTCAGGAACAAGAAAAAGATTGTCGACTTTCGACCTTCCAGGCAACGGAATTGGAGAGAATTGGAGAGAAAAGCAGCTTGACTGACTCGCTGGTTGTGGCCGCAGCTGCGAAAAGGGAAAAGAAACAAACCGAAAGAGAATCCATGCCAAGCTTTTGGTTCTACCGAGTACTGTAACTGCTCAAGCTGCTCAAGGTTGCTTGCTACATGGCGAGTTGCCCACTTGGCCCGCCTTGCCCGCTCACGCTATCGACGTCGCCGTCACCGACGATACACACCTGATCAATACTCCGCTTCGCTGCGCATTCGGCAATGTTCCATGCCCCATCCCATGTGATCAGCTCTATCAGAAACCCCAGCTCTAGACTCGCGTCCTTCAAGTCGCCTCCACCTCAATCCTGCATCCGTTCCTAGCGGGCATTCTCGATGTATTCAGCAGTGGGTTTCTCGTACTTCGCACAGAAGTATTTCGCACTGTTTCTCGACAGCCAGAGGGTGAACTTGCTGAGTTCGGTCTTCAAGCGAGCAACAGCCTCCGCGTCCATATTAGTTTGAGCAATCATCTCCGGCAGGTTAACAATCATGCGCGTCAGGTGTTCAGCCCCATAACAATCACCAGGACCCTTGCCCTCCCAATCCTTGTACCGTCCGGACTCCCAGAGCTTCCGAACCTGTCACGATTAGTACGAGCATAGGAAAGTAGACTGTAGCACCCAGGAAATAATGTACCTCTGCTAGCTGACTTCTCTCAAAGCGGTACAATAAGATCTTACCGACCGCTTTCTCAAAGTACATCTTCAAGCCAGCACAAAACTCCTCCAGGATGTCCGCATCAGCCGAAGTAGGCAGGCGGTTCAACTTCTCTTCGTTGAAATATTCGTCGATGATGTAGTTTGCTGGAGCTTGACTCGGTAAAGGAACGAGAAGGAGTGATTTCGTGACATTCTCCCAATCGTCAACAAGGAGATTCTTCAGATGGTCGGGGACGTTGATGCGGATGGATGGACGGGTGTAGAACGCGTCTTCCTGTAAAGTCATGTGAAAAGTAAGCACGTATTCCTTTTTCAGGGTCAAAATCATGGATATGAATCATGTCGTGCTGTTGCAAAGGGTAAGGGGCCATCAAGTAAAAAGGGAGGATCCAATTCCTAATCCCGGGTCCTGGGAACGTTCAGGGGGTTTGCCTCAAATGCAAGGAGCTGTCCCAGATTCAACCACTTCTGCGGCGAAAGCGAGAATATCAAGGCCAGTGATGGGTCGGTTAGCAGGGAGCCGGGCACGCAAGGCACCTTCCACGTTGTTGGCACTCAAGCTCGGAGACTCCTGTTGTCGATCTGGAATGCTGCCATGTCGCATACAGGAATCCTCGGGCTCCGGGAATGAAAAGTCGCATTCACGGCCCTGCAAGTTGCAGTTATTGCAGATCGGCTTCACCCCATCGCACGTCACACCAAGTTTGATGCACTTTTTGCACGCCTTTTTGCTGGAGTTGTCGAGGAAAACCGTGTCAGTCGATCTAGTTGTTTGCGCGGCAGCTTCAGAGGCATCACAGCCGATGGAGTCAGCAGACCGGCTTGCCTGCGTTGCAGCTTCAAAGGCACGGTCGGCAGCCACGGCGGCAAGGGTGCGTAGACGGTGGTCGTCAACGGGCGGTCTCTTGACTTTCGCAACGAAGGCATTTATGATATTCGCCTCGTTCTCCCACTCGAATTGGTCCCAGAAGGGTGCGTTGTCAGGCACTTCCTTTAGAACCCAGGGGGGGCGATTCTCAAGCACACTATATGGCATTTTGACCAGGAGTTCTTCACGTGCCCAGACGAGACATCTGTTGGGGATGGATCTGAGATTTTCCTCGGTCCACCCTGGAGGGAATTTATCTCCATCACGGTTCAATTTCTCGATGAGACGATAAGGGAACTTGAGAGCATCGAGTGGCGTGTTTGATCCGGGAGGATCAACCTCAAAAGGTTCTCCAGGGGCACTGGTTGCAGGGGCAGCCCCGTGATCTTCACCATCGCTATCGATGTCGGATGGGAGCTCTTCGAACTGCTTTGGCAGTTGCTGTTTTGGTCCACGGGATCCCAGCTTGTACTGCTTTCCTCTCTTGCGCGCGTCTCTGAGCTCCTCGTCGATGACGTGCTTTTCGAGGTACGAGGTTCCACCGATCAGTGCCAGCTTTGGCATCTTCGGATGTTCTCTGAGCGAACTCTGGCTGAAGAATTCGGGCTCATCCTTGGGTGCGGCCAGTGCAAGGAGGCGATCCACGTCTGCAGATGTGTAGTTCGTGGTGTCTTTGATCTTCCAAGGACGCAATGCCTGTTGAGGTCGGGGGGACGCCATGCTGCTCCTAGAATTCCGGAGCCCTCTGGAGGGTTCTGGTCTCGTGTTGGTGGGCTTTGCTGTCCTTGGGATCACGGAAGACCGTGATTCTGCAACACGGGTTTCGTTGTTTCCCTTAGGAATGGCTGTGGACATGGACTTGATCATGGACTTGGACTTGGCGGTAGAAACTGCCGCTGCGGTCCTAACGCTCCTCCTGACTGAAGTGACCTCACTTTTGTCACTTTTCTTATTGTTGTCCTCAGTGACCGCACACTTGTCTTCCGACTCTGTGTCGAAGAGCAGTTCGTCTTCTTGGTCATTCACGATGTCAGAGCTGACTGAGGAAAGAGGACTACATTCGGAGGATGATGAGTCCCTTGGTCGTTCTTTTCCCACATCAGACTTCTTTCCGACATTGATCTTTCCTCTGCCACTGACAACTTTTGTATCTTTTATGCAGGGTGTAACAGCGTCAGGCTCTGGTGATGATTTCTCTGACAAACCGCTTGATGCATCGTCGATACTGGAACTTTCATCTTCAGACGACTCTGTATCAGACTCACTTGACGTGGACGTATTCGCTGACGGTTGTGTCTTATTCTTTTTTGAAGCCTTCTTGGCCCCAGGTGCGGGTTTTTCAGGCATATCAGGACGATGGTGCCGGTCTCTCGATTCCTTTTGTCGCTGTCGCAAATTTTCCATGGTTGTTGATTGGTCCAGGGTTTCACTGTCAACCAGGCAAATAGTAGTGGTGATAGATTGGGCTTCAATGGGAACCTGGACATCCAAGTTTGGTGGGGGAACCTGCTTCAAGCTCGACGCATACTCCCGGGCAGGCTCGTCGTCGGGCAATCCAGTAACCCAGGACATCATATCGATATGGGGGTATTCATTGTGACGGGAATCACGGGCATCATTCACACGGGTACGGGTACGCTTGTGGGACGGGGAATCACCACCAACCTTTTCCAGATCATTGTCTCTTGCACGCTTGGATCCCCTACCACCGGCAGCAGGGACAGAAGATGTGCGCTCCTCGGACCCTCTGCCAGATCCAATCTCTGACCCTTGACCTCGGCGGGTTTTGCTGGCCATCTTGGGATTGGCTTTGAGCGTAGCCTGATGGCGCAGGTTCGCTGCCAACTCTCGGTTATCTTCTGTTGGTTTCCGAAGACGATCTTGGGGAACCCAATCGTCCCAGCTAGAAGAGCACTGGTTAGCTTTTGAACAACTGGGATAAGTGGAGAATGGACTGGGGATGCAAAGAACTTTTGATGGTGAAGTCAGTTGTGAAGCACGACAAAGTGCACAAAGCGCACACTGGCCGTGAATGCGCCAAATTCACGGTCGGATATGTCAGCTGCCCGCACAGTTCATTTTCGCTTGGGTCGGTGCCCGCACACAGAACATGACAATGTCTGAAGCAATCACACTCCATGACACAAAGAGAATGACGGTTTCACAGATCAAGGACGCGACAAATGGTGAGAAAGGATGAAAACCCAAGACTCACGTGTTCTTCCAGCCTTTGTAATGAACCTTGTAGTGAAAGGGGGATTTCGTCTCCTTGGGATCTGTTCTCTTCACGTCTGTGATTTTGGCATCATACAGCACCTCTCCGTGGAAGCAGAGCGCCTTCTCATCCTTCTGGAACAGTGGTTTATTGTCGTTGGACTGTGGAGCCATGAGAATGCTGAATGAGACGAGTCGTTGATCTCGGGATATCGAGACAAAGGGGGAGACTTTGGGAGGCGGAAGAGATGCCTGACAGGGCGCTTGACCAAGGAGACGGAGGAGAAACTGTCAACACGAGCAGACAGTCTCTAGGGAGACAGAGAAATAAAGAAGAAAAGAAGGAGAGGACAAGAAAGAAGAGAGCAGAAGAAATTGAATACGTTGTCGTGGCATCGAAGGGAGAGGCAGCGACTTGCTATATGAAGCCCAGTGACAGAGCCAAGACAAAGGCCGCGCTCATTGGCTGTCGAGAACGCGTGGTTGATCCGAGGTTTTTCCGATCCGAGAAGTCGTGAAGCTTTGTTCTGCCTTGCACGGACTGAGACACAGCATCTTTACAGGGCGAGGCTGAACAGAGATCCTTTTTGATCTTGCTCGGAGAGATTTGTGAGGCAGTACAAGGTGCAAAGGTAAGTCGACAGATTTCCATTGGTGTCTTAATCGTGCATCCGAGCAGACTCTAATGGGTACCTCTCAGCGACGCGTGTTTGCTACCACTACCACAAGATCGCATTTCAGTGATCATACGCTCAGCGATACTATCCTTTGGCTTCTGTAGCCTACACCGACATCTCCGCTGTCTAATGAACAAGATCCAATCTTCGCAATCAAAACGAATACGTACATGTCGAACTGAGCATCCAAGCCTTGTCAACTCATCTGCTGCCTCTTGACGAAATTATCCGGATTTCAAGCAACTGCTGTAGAGGATCAGGAGTCAGAATCGCACTCTCGGGTCATTACTTGCAAAGCCCATCTAACACGTCGAGTCAGAACCCATCATCACCCCACGACAAGGCTAGCATTTAAGGGGAAACCAGTCAGGCTTCATCGGCAGGAACAATTCGACAGCCGGTCTGTGTTCTCGGCGCGTGCTGACAGCAAACAAGCAAATTCAATACTTTTTGATTCGTTCTACTTGAAGGTGGACCGTGGTGCGGATAATTGGGTTCTCGGTGTTCCCTGGCCACGAAGCTGAGGGTTCGGCACATCGCAACAGACGACATCGATCTCAGTAGGTTCTGGGAACGTGGACTTCTGGAAAGCTCCACCTCATTTAGTCTGAACCAGAACCGACTTCATTTCCTCCGTGAAGCAGAAGCAGGGCAGAAGGGCATTCGGTCAAACGACTCAGCACCCTTGAGATACGCAACCACCATCCCCACCCAGGTACCCAGCATCATGGCGTCCCATACACCCTCGGAATCGGAAATTCTCACATCCTACCTCCTCCATCCTTCGCCCCTCTCCACGATCTTGCCGTACAAGTCCTTCCTAGCACTCCTCCCGCCCAGTACAGCGTCCTTGGCACGCCAAAACCCGACCGAGCTGAAGCGTCTGTACCGGGATCTGCAGTTCCAGAGGGCCATCGTCATTGACGAGGTGCGACAACGCATCGAAAACGAGTGTCACCGCAGCGTCGCACTTACGGCGCTGTTGGGGCGGCAAATCCACCGGGAGGAGGGGACGAAGAAACCGTCCAGGAAGAGGAAGAGGGCGGATAGTCGGCCGGGGGACGGTGATGGCGACGGCAAGAATCCTGCCCAGGCAGCAGACGACGATAGTTCCGACGACGACGACGCCGGAGAACAGGAAACGCGGTTCGACACGGCACTCCACAGCGGGCAGACCCTGGGGAATACTCTGCCCACGGCGAGTGTCAAGCACAATCACACCACGACGACGCTCCTCCCCGCCATGACCGCCGCCAGAAGAGAGTTGTCTTGCGAGATCGCAGATCTAAAGGACGAGATCGAGACACTGCGCGCGCAGAGCAAGGACGTGGTCGGCAGCCTGAGTGACCTGCGATATGGACGCTTTGCCCCAGTGACCGGAAGAGCCAGCGGAGACAAGAAGAGCGGCACCACCGCCGTCGCCGCTACCACCACCACCAGCGCAAACACAGAGGATGAGATGTACAACGAGCTCGAAGCAGTTGTTGTAGATACATTGAAGGGGTTCGTAGACCTCGTGGAGGGCGCTCTGTCGGATGGGGTATTCAACCCTGTATACGAAGAGGCCAGGAATGAATCGGAAGAGGTTAGCGATTGAGCAGGAAGGAGGGAGGGACTGTTGGGTCTCTACATCACAGCATGGGAGCAGGGTGGTTGGCAAACTGCAAAGGAAATCCCACATCTTGAGACTGGCCTAATATCCTACTAGTAGGTAACCTAGGTGTGTTCTTGATATTAATAAGATATCGGTCTTCCGCGTTTGCTAGCGAGGGTTCTCTCTCTTTTGAATTTCGATACAGGCGTGACAGCAAACAGGCGAGGAACACACGAGTGCATATTGAGTGTCGATTTGTTCATTTCGTAGATAACGCGCTGCGTGGTAGGTAGAAACATATACCCTAAAACCAAATCCATTCCATGTTTGTCAATCGATTTCCACTCAGCAACTCCGTTATGTCGTTGTCAGACCCCGGTCCCATTCTGCCTCTTGAACTTGACATCTCACACATCTGCGTGGTCTGCCACGTCCTACTTGTGCGCTGCAATAACCTTCTCCATCTCTTCTTTGCTGCCCATGAAAATCCCACTTCGATCGTGGATACCTTCGGGTTTCACTTCCAGCATCCTGTCCATGTTGCTGTTTACTGCCATGCCACCTGCATTCTCCATGACTAGTGCCATAGGAGCACACTCGTATAGAATCCTTAGCTTGCCCTTCGGGGACTTCTTATCTGCTGGATATGCGAAGATACCTCCATACAGCAAAGTGCGATATGCATCGGCGACCATGGATCCAATGTAACGAGAGCTGTAGGGTTTGCCGCCCTTTTCGGTGGGGTATTTGAGCGATTCGAAGTACGCCTTGGTTTTGTCGCCCCAGTAAAGGGAGTTGCCTTCGTTCACAGAGTAGATGGCTCGCTTCTTGGGAATGCGCATGTTGGGGTGTGTGAGGATGAATTCTCCCAGGGCGTTGTCCTAAACATCGATCATGTCAATACGGGATGGGTTGATTAACTGCATGAAGCAACGAAATAAGCTTCCTTACCAGGGTGAATCCGTTGACCGAGCCGCCTTTCATAGTGATGACAAGTTGCGCAGAGGCGCCGTACATGGTGAACCTGCTTCCGTCAGATTTGTCCCATTCCTCAACATCGCCGAATTTCCATTTCCGACTTACCCAGCAGCAAGCAATTCAGTACCCGGCATGAGGAGATCCTCTGGGGACGGTTTTTTGCCAACAACACTGTCTGGCAGCTTCATAATCCCAAAAATGGTCCCTACACTGACACCTGCATCCAAATTGCTCGACCCGTCAATGGGGTCACAGGCCACAACATATCTGGCATCCTTGCTGTCATCAAAGTATATCACATCCTCCTCCTCTTCCGAGACCAGCGCCCTGACCTTTCCGGAACCTCGCATGGCAGCCACAAAGAGGTCATTGCCAATCACGTCGAGCTTTTTCTGATCATCGCCTGTCGTATTGGAAGAACCAGCAAGGCCGGTGAGATTGATCAACGTGGCACGTCGGATATAATAGGCAATTGACTTGAACGAGAATTGAAGGGCATGGCAAAGCAATCTGCAAGCACAAGCAATGTCAGCTCTGTAATGCTATGTGGGAGAGGGATCGAAACTGACGTAAAGTCGCCGGTGGCCTCCTTGTGTTTTGTCTGTTCTTCTGTCAGGAATCTGGTGAGAGTGATGATGTCTGTGTTGATTTTCTCCTCGCCAGTACCGGTCGACTGGCCATTGCTATCTCCGTTGGTAGCCATGTTGCAGCCTTTTTCTTTACAATTTCTGGGTATGGAGAAGGAGTCTTCAAATCTGAGCAGTGGAAGGGTGTGAAGGGCACGCGATGGGTATATTGGCCCTCGGTAGAATGGAAGACGGACGTCAAGAACACGGACAATGAAAACCGGGGATGCAGAAACCTAAACTGGCGACGAGAAAGGACCAGAGGGAAATAGATATTAAAGAGAAAAGGCAGAGGCCAGATATCGCAGGACAAGCCAGTGGTTTTAAGGAGGAGCTGCTGTCAATTCCGGAAGCCCCATATCGGGTGGTTTGAAGTGGTGGCAGCAGGGCAAAGCATTGTCAACATCATTGTTTGGCTCTGGTGGCCCGCTATGCGGGAGATGATGACAGTGGGCACTGGGCAAAGGAGGCTTCTCCGCATTAAACAAGCGATCCGAGTCAATCCCCTTACAAATGGGAGACGTTGGAAAATGCAGTAAGGGACGTGGTTGAATGGGTGGAGGGATGGAGGGGCAAAACTGCGCTTTGCGTTGGAAACTGACGGCAGCCGAGGGATCTTCGTCCCGACTTCTTCCGGCGGGCCGCTGGCCAGTGGAGGCACGTGACATTGCATAGAGGGGCGAGGCTGCGTTGGCATCACGGAGCACGTTGAAGACATTGGGAATTCTCTTTTCTCATGATGCGGTCCACGCCGTGTTCAAGGTCTCCTCGATATTAAGTGGCTATGTCATTCCAAGAAGGTTGCAGACTTTTACAATCGTCCTAATCCGCTCGGGGTCTCGGGAAACATCACCCCGAGCAACCGCCGTCGGGCAGTTTCGGAAAGAGGCGACAGCAAGGTCTCCCATCCAGATCAGCCCCAACCCCATCGACTCCCTGCCCAGCAAATCGACACATTTCATGCTTGCCCCAGGCTTTCTCCGGATAATCGTTCGGCAGTGACAACACAATTGGCCCCAGAAAGGAATCCAGGTCTCGTAATACTTATTCAGCCAACCCCTCATTAGTACAATTGTCAACGACATGGATGATTTCATGCGTCATGTCTCGTTCAGCTTCTCTGCTCGATGATAGAACGGTGGCAAAGGCTCGAGTTTCTGTCTCAAAACCCAGACGCGGAAATGCCAGGCAGCATTCTTCAACTGATAACTCATATGCTTACGAGTGCTGACACTGAACACTTGATCTAGTTCTTCGAGTGTAAGAGCCTGGAGAACGAGTCAGCATGACGTACGATGCCAATGTATATTCAGTCAAACATACTTTGGTTTCGGGAACAAATAGGAGTATCAAGAACCACAAAATGATACACCATGCGCCGTACCACGCGAATGCGCCTTGAGGCTTGAAAGCCGTCAAGAGATGAGGCCAGGAGAAGCTGAGAATGAAGTTGAAGCACCATGTGGTGGCCGTCGCGAAACTCATTCCCACATCTCGAACGTGCACAGGAAATGCTTCGGCCGAGTAGGTAAATGGTACAGGGCCTTCCCCAGGCGAGTAGAAGACCTGCGAAATGTCTGTCAGAACATCTGTTGCCCTCCTAGAAAACCACTTTACTCACCTCAAACAAGTACATCCCTGTCGTCACCATAGCCACCTTAGTTTTCTTGTCGTCAAACCAAAAGCTGAAGCCCGTCCAGAGTAAAAAGATCGCCAAAAAAGGGAACGTGAAGAGTAGCAAGTTGCGGCGTCCCCATCGATCAATGGTAAACACGGCAGGCAGCGCAAAGACCCAATTCAGGATACCCGTACCCATTGATGCTAACAGAGCAGCTGAAACGGAGTATGAGCTGGACAAAAAAATCGTGGTCGAGTAGTACGCGATCACGTTAACTCCGCAAAATTGCTTGGGTTTGCGTAAGCGACAAGATGGTCATGATATCTCAGGGGACAAGACGGTCTTACCTGGCCGAACATGACGATCCACGATGCCCAGGTTGCTCGTCGGTTGCGCGGAACGGTGAAAAGCTCGATGAACTGAGTGAACAAGTTCTTGCCCTTGTGAGCCTGTCGTTCAAGCTCCACGCCAACGTAGGTGTAATAAGTATCCCGTGCGGCTTGGAGGTCAGTGAACCTCAAGCGTCGGAAGGATTGGAATGCCTTGTCAGGTCGGTTGTGCTGGATGTACCATCTGTACAACGGAAAAACATGTTAAGAAAGGCCTCTTGTCACTGGGGAATTGGTTTCTCGTCCATACCTGGGACTCTCAGGGCAGTAGTAGACTTGGGCGCACACAATCAGAGGAAGGACAACAGTGCTGCCGAGCATCAATCTCCAGCCAAGGTCTGGGGCGAGCCCGCCAAAAGCCACGCCCATGATGTTTCCAAGCATGATGCCTGGGAAATCGTCAGGAAGCTGATTCTTACACGTTTCTGCGAGAGGCTTACCGAAAGCAGTCCACATTTGCCACATCATAACCAAGGCGCCACGGATCGGGGCTGGGGCACACTCGGCAGAGTAGACTGGCACTGTGGAAGATTTGGGACCAATTCCAAGGCCTAGAAGAAGACTTAGCAGAATTCAAGGGGTAATGATCAGCCAACCAACTTGAACGGGGTCGACATACCCAAAACAAACCGTGCCAAAAACAGATTCACCCATGAATTAGCAACCCCTTCCCAAACCGAGGCCACGGCAGCAATGAAACAAGAAATGAAGATAGTCCCTCGACGGGCAAAGATCCTGTTACACGGCTCTGTGAGCCAGCAACCGAGAATCGCACAGCATACTAGAAAATCTGTTAGCTTCTGGCATAGAAACCTCCCTCATGTCGCAAGAGTTCTTCTTGGGTGTTTTTGTGGTGGGCGGGAAGGGTACTTACGGTAAGGTGCGCCAACAACCAGTCCGGTCAAGTTATCAACCATACCTTGGCTGAACCGCTTGGTGGTGACGTTGAGTTGTTTGAGATAAAGAGCTTGGGCACCGTTGTTTACTGTCTCGTCCATGCCCTGCACAGCAGCTGCTAGCGAACACATGACAACCAGCCAATAGAGGGTGAATGGCTGAGACCAGCGATGCGTGTGCTCTCGCTGAAGCACTTCTCGGTCTTCAGATGACAACTCGGCGATATTGTCAGTGGCATTTGGAGATTGGGCCACCAAAGCGCCTTTGCGAAATGAATCGATATACTCCATAAGGTTATTATGGCGGCAGAAGAGCTCGACATCCTCCAGGAGTTTCTCCTTTGGAGTGTTAGAGAGCGGATTCTCAAATGCGGCGCTCAGTTTGCTCATGTCGACGTCCGCGAAGGACCTCTTGCGGGGAGGGGCATTCTCGATATTAGTGGCAGTACGCTCACTGTCACCAGATCGCCTGTCATAGGGAACTTTTTCTGGTTCAGCCATGTTGACCTAATGTGAGTAATGAAAGTCCAGGCTTCTGGCAAAAAAAAAAATGAAAATGGTTCAGGAGAGGGACTAGAAGTAGGCACCACCTATCATGCCTGGGGGGAAAAAATAAGCAATCTCGGCCAAACATATCAAGAGAAGTCAAGACATTCTTGTATGTCTTGTCACAGTCCGCATCTTCAGGCACGCCCTAGTCCTTGCTGAACTATTGATGGTAAAGCGTTGTGGGGATCACCATGATCAACAGGCGACGTCATCGTGTAGGTTAGGCCACAGATAGACCAATACTTATATGAAAACACCCACTTGGAGTCCGGTTTGAGGCAGCAACTGAGTCGTGGAGTTGTCCAATGCCGTCCCAACCGATAGACAGAACATATCAGAGCCCCTTGACCTGGTCGACACCGAGGTTGTGACTAGTCGCTTGCATGCTAGACGTCAGATCGGCAAGCCGATCATCCGTACTAACTCGGAGCATTTTCAGGATGCAACGTGGGTGATATGGATAATGTGACGTTGATCGAGATCCGAGTTCTCTATCAAGGACGAAGTAGAAGTGGAAAAAGAGGCTCCGACGCCGATCTTGGCGATCCTGAGCTTGGCAGCCTTCCTCGACTTGGGCTCCACTCTCCTCTCCCTGATCGGAAGCCCTTCTCCATCTACCACCCACAGCGACCCAGAGCCCTTTGCCCGTTAACAGATGGTACGGCTCGCGTTGAAAGAAAAACCTTACCGTTCACAAGATCGCTAACGTGCAGCCTTAAAAGCTAGATGATGTAGAGTAAGAGGGATCAACTACTACCCAACCCTTCCGAGGCCACGGAATGACCAATAACCTTAGTGAACATCAGTATTTATATCGACAGACATTGGAGAGGGATCACAAGAGTAGCCCGAGGTATCCAAGTTTAGCTGCCATTACACAGCTAGGCTGTCTGGAGTACAACACGAAAAACAGCCCAGTCCATTGTATATACATCGTGTCTCTGTTCATTCCTTCATTATTCATAGCTGTTCACACTTTGGTTCGCTCAATTGTGATCATCTCAAATGTCATTGTCGACAGTTATCCCATGAGCAAGACCTCTCTCATCCTACTCGGTCGCCTGTATAGATTCATCCCATCCACCAACACTTTCCAAAAACATTTTGACCTGTCCCTTCTTGCCTTGTAGGGCACTTCCCAGCGCTTCGAGCCATTGCTCCTCAATCATTGCCACTTGCTGCTTCAATTCTGCCGTGGCCGTCTTTTCTTGCTCATCTCGAATCTTCTGGGGATCTTGTCCGGGTTCGGGTCCATCCAGCTCGGCACGGGCTCGCCTGGCTTCAGCAGCTCGACATGTTGCTGCTATCAGGCCCACCTTGACTTCGTGGAGCAGACAGTGGAGATTGCTTTGAGATTCAATGAATTGATAGGTCGATCTCTCTGCGTGATCAAGCAATGTGAAAAGGTATTGTTGTGGAAATCGGCGGTATTCGGGGTTCTCGGCGTATTCAGCATCAGGGATTGCAAGGGCACCGGGTCGATCCAAGTCATCCGGAATCTTGTGGATCAGATCCAGCAGCCCCGGCGCGATGTCCCAGAATGCAGACGATTGAAGTTGGACTTCGTCTCGAACATGTTCTGCAACAAGGTCGACAAAGCTCTGATATCGTACTAGTGCTTCTTCACAAAAGGTTTTGTGTCGCTCAGCACTGTCGCGCTTGAAGAAATCCTCCGTATCTCGAATCTTTTCGTAATTGCTGACCTGATGATAAGGCAGAAGCACAATGGCTTTGTACTTGTCGTTGCGGGCGGTGAGGAGGTCGAACAGTTCTTTATGGACGGTTTCGCGCGTTTCAAATAACCACTTCAACTGTGTTAAATATTCCAAAATTTCGGGCATGGCATCCCCCTCTTGTTGTGGTCGATCCAGGTCCGAGGCCTGCATGTCTGCGGCCAATTGCTCGGTCAATGCAGTCATGTGGGCACTGAGCTGTGTTGCACGATCGTGGAGCATTTCGTGCATAGGGTTGATCACCACGTCCTGCAACGTGTCGAACTCTGCTTGGAGGCACCCTTTCTCCGACAGGTTCTCCTCCATTTTGAGGGCTTGCTCGGCTTCGGCGGCTTCGGCATACGTGATACTTCCCTCGTTAATCTGCGCCGAGATATTTGTCCGAAAGTTTTTCTGTCCTTCGGCGATCTTGCGTTTGTGATCTGCCCTCAAAGCCTCTACGCTTAGGTTATGTCGAGATCTTCTATTCTGCAATTCACTCAAGTCGCTGAGTGTCCGCACGATCCTGCGATAGGTGGCCAGCTTTGGATGACTATTGTTGACAGCAGGGTAGTGTCGTGGGTATGGCGGAGGCAGGGTAACGAACCGTGAAATATCGAGACCCTCTGGAGGAAATGGAATTGTTGGAGCCATCGCCTGGAGCGGTAGACCCTCGGGATCCTCGTAAACGCCAAATGCCTCCGGATGGGTCTTCTCATCAGGATAGCCCTCTGTCGAGCCTTGTACGTCACTGATATTGGTGGGTGTAGCGGCTTCAGACAGCACTTCCTGCATTGACAGGGCCGAGAGACCCATGTACTTGGATTCTCGTTTGGATCTTTTCATCTTACCTGTTACGCCGTCAGTTTCCGAGCCAGTTTGTGACTGCCACCATCGGCTGGCAGTTCGACCACGGGAGCTGAGTTCGTCATTGCTCATACTGGCAATCGGTGAAAGTTCCGGGCGGTACTCTTTCGACCACATTTCCGCACGCTGGGTTGGATCGGCCCGAATCCCGTGCATAGGTGATCGCATTCTGCCCGGTGTGGCAGCACATGTGTCAATAGGACCGTTCGTCCCAAGCTCACTAAAAAGCCGCTGCTTGGCTTCCTCCGGGTTGAAGGTCCCATCTGCAAACGGAGTTGGACAGCGCTGCCGCTGGATCATTGACTCCTCAACGATGTATTCCATGAAGAGTTGCAATTTCTCAAGCTCAGAGTTTGCTTGGCTCTCCTTTACGAGGAAATGTTGATGTCGCCGCGAAGCTTCTTGCATGAAGAGATCGTATTCGACTTGGGCGAGTTCGGACACTGAAGACGCTGTTGAAGGGAGAACGCTGTGCGCAGAAGTGGGGTTCTTTTGACTCAGTGGTGGTGTAGGCAGCGACTTTGGCAGGACAAGTGGCGTTCGTGTTCGGCTACTCCTCCTCGACAGGGCTGGAGGAAACGGGGAATCAAGGGGTTGATATTCAGCGTCGCCGCCCCGGAGCCGACTCCTGGTCCTGCTACTGGTCCGCAAACCTCTTCGGGCAGTTTCCGGGGAGTCTTGTTCCAAGGCCAATGTGCCCAAGGTTGGTGAATGTTCAGGACTGATACCAGTCGGACTCAAACTGCTGAACCAAGGGTCAGTGTCAATGGTCAAGGCGCTGAAATCGGACAATTGACCCTCGTGAAGACTTCGACGTTGCTTCCGACGTTCCAGCAGACCCTTAGCAGAAGAAACACGGAGAGCAGCACTCCTGGTCAAACCTGTGGGTGCAAAGTCCTCACGATCGAGGTTTGTCGTCTCAATATGTAGCGGCATCGGTGTTCTGGAGCTGGATCGATGAGAAGATTCATCCCTCCAATTTGCAGGTGTAGGAGGCATAGGACTGAGTAGAGGCGCATGTAATGGGGCGCGATGACCTGATCGACTGTTGAATCCAGTGGCCTGTGGTTGAGCAAGAGTTCGACCCGATCCTGCACTGTGCGATCTTGAGGCGGAAGGTGGTGGCCCCGGAGGCGGACCAGGTAATGGCATCCCCGGAACCCAGCTTCTCTGCTTGGAAGATGATCTCGATGAAGACCCCTCTTGATTCTGAACTGACGACGGCTGAGAAGAACAGGCATCCGCGGATGCGGCTCTTCTCGATGCTGGCGCAGCTGGGACTTGTCCAAGGTTGCCATCAAGTGGTGGATATAGAGGTAGCTGTTGTTGTGCAGCCACGGTATTTATTGATAAAGTGGTCCCCGTAGGATGTCTTGACACACCCACAGTGGAGTTTGGCCGTGATCCAAGCTGCTGCGAGGGAATACTCACGCGGCTCTGGTGGTGGTCGAAACCAGCAGATCGCCCTGACGGACTGAAATACTTCAATCCACTTGTATCGCTAACGGTCTGGCAGCTTTCACCGAGAGAATGAGAGCCTTGATTAAGTGGCGACAACACTCCGGCAGTGCTGGTCGGGGTGTTTATCTGGGACTGATTTCCAGGAGCTGTAAACGTCGAGTCTGCGGGTGATATGGTTGACCCAGCACTGGTGGCTTCACGGACAGCAACACCTATCGCGGCAGCGGCAGCGGCAGTGGAATATGGCGGAGGTGGATTGGTATGCCCTTCTGTAGGGACACAGGGTTAGACACTTCTCTTTGCCCACGAAATATTGATATACCTTCTGCTTGTGAGCCTGGATTTCGACTGTCTGACCCGAACGATGTTCGTCGACTCCCCCCCACCCACTCTCTAGGGTCATAGGGCACATTGTAGTTTGCTGGCATTCTTGCAGCCATCGGGATAGCACTTTGCGGACTTGGGAGAGGCGAATGTGTATATGTCGAAGAGAAGGGTCCGTAAAGCAACGGTGCGGAGAGGGGCCCTGGCGATGGCAGACCGCGCGCAGAAACAATGTTGATGTTCAATGGCGGTGGGAGGGGGACATGGCTGAGACGAACTGGAGAGGCCGTGGGCTGGCCATCTCTCAACGGCGGCGGCGGTGGGAGAGGAATAATGACGGTAGGAGTTCTTGGGGATTGTTGATATTGAGCCTGGGCGTGTTCAGCCGCAGGCAATGATCGACTTTTGAGATGTTAGCCTGTCCGCCTCAGAGCTCTAGACTGTGACATAGAACCACTGCTTTGAAGGCACACATACAAGGACATATTGTGAAGAAACAGTCTTGCCCAACCGCCAAATTCAGATTGGTGGGTTAAGCGCCCACACGGTTCATGTCACATTTGCGCATATTCGTCGTAGGCCTCGCATCCAACTGACATCAGCGGACGACCGGTCTTCCCATTCACCGACTCAACATCACATCAAACTCCTCCGTCGATGAAAATGGAAAAATATAAATGAGCGCGGAAACAATGAGATATCCACAACCTGATCTTGGACGAAGGCGAAAGATGAGAAGGCATTGAGGGCGATTACGGAAGTGGGGACAAGTCGAGTGGCAGATGTTTTGTTGCTATTCTTTGCCCTGAGGGCTGCAAGCCAAGCCTAGAACCATGATCGCTTAAGCTGTCTATAGGGCATGTGGCCGGAGAATAACTCAGGCACTGGGTGGCCTGAGTTGAGAATATTCGACGCTGACTGGGCTAATGCGAACAAATGAGCAGGAACCCAGAGCGGAAGCGGGATGGCGGGCAAGCCTCGCGTACCTAGGATCGACCAATGGAGCCTGGAATGGGCTGATGGCAAGTGGGCGGAGAGAAAATAGCAGCAGCTATAACGCAAGGGGAGGAGGAACACCTACGGGAGGACGCGAGCAGTTAGGCACAACCGTCCCGCCCATAAGGTCAGCTTTGTTGACAAGCCGGGGAATCTGGCTGCCCCTAAAATCTCCTTCGCTTAACCTGCTGGTTTTGTCAAGAACCACTACGCGTTCAAATTTGGTGCAACCAAAAAAAATAAAATTGTCATCGCTTCAAATCCAAGTGTTTATCTTCCACAACACCAACTTCACCTCTTTATTTGTTGAGATGTGTGAGATTATCTGACTTTGCTGATATGATACAGCATGCTCACGCGGAAAATGCTATAAGCGTCGGTATTGTCGTTGGTGCTAACACTATGCTTTTGACTTACTCGTCTGCATGAGCCTCAAAGTGAAACCGCTCATCTAGCCTACCCTTCCCAGACTGACAGCTCCCGTCCTCGCCCGAAATGACGCTACACACACAGGAAGGACATCGGAAGTAAAAAGGAGGAACAAATGAAGCTATACAGTGAGTCTTTCTCAGTCCTCATACCTGGCTCAATGATGAATCTGCATACCGTAACAAACTAGAGTCTTTGATCCTTCTGGAAATGAAACTCAGTATCGCAACGCACGTCAGTCTGATCATGCAGGATTTCCATATCACAGCTGCCGCTTCATTGAGAGTCCTATATCTGACATCATCCATAGGAATTTGCTCCCAGCTGATCGAACACCCCCCCTCCTCGCCCACAACTCTGAGCATCCGGTACGTTGAACTCCTCAACCTGGCACCCCAATCCATCATGATGATTGTTTTGAAATAATATACGCTGGAAATTACCGGCAGAGGCTTTCAAGCCGTGGAAGATAACAAAATGGCTATATCTGATCCTTCAATTCCATTCACAACTCTTACAACTCAAGGTCTTTTGAGGAATCTGCTGACTTGTGTTCGAAGACAGGTATCGGAAGGTAGGGTTGGTACTCCCACCTCCAAAACAAAGTGACCTCCTTGATGAATGGCACTGGGCTCCGACCACGGCTACAATGCCGCTGGATTTGATGGAAATGCCCCATTGTGGCAGGCCTAGAAAACCTCGCCCACTGATTTGCCTCATCTCCTTCCCAATCATATTCGTCTTTCGCAACTCGAACTGATTGTCTCGATCTCGAACAGGAGAGCTGGAAGTATACTGAGCGGCTGAGTAGGTCTTTTCCCCCTTCATGCCCGCCTTTTCATGATGAACTTTCTAGATGACGAGTCTTATCCAGTACTCTGATGCAGATAAACTCAAACAACCATTCATGCATTTCCTGACCTTTGTCTCTACCTACCACTTCTCCCACGTCTTGATGGTGTAATGCTAACGATCGAGTCTTCAGATCATCTGTTGATCATCTATTGCAATGCAAGTATGTTCACGGCTCACACCTCTACCCTCCTACATATGATGAATCGACACATTCCAAAAGACAAGCATATGTCCAAGTCAACTCAGGTTGATGAAGACGAGACTGTCCAGCCTGACTTGCATCCACACCAACATTCTACTCCTCGATCCGTTCGGTGTGGTTCTAACAGAGATTTCGCGCAGGTTCGCGTGGAAAGGTCTTTCGCATGTGAGTTACATATTCTTTTCTCCAGTGCTTCGTATCATGATGATTTATTCTACAATTCACGACGGTCAACGTAGCTTATGTTTTGACGACCACCGCCTGTGACAAGGCTTAGATCTGAATATTTGCAATTTCCATGGTGTTTATGTTTGCAAGCATGGACTCGGCTGACTTTTCCATATGCAGAATAACACTTTGTAGCTAGATATCTGCGACAAATACAATATTCACCTCTTTTTCTCTCTCTTTCGCATCATTCTAGATTGGCGGGATTCACTTTACCAACTCTCATTTTCATTTTCACTCCGATTTGCCCTCGTTTTCCTTTTGCCCTGCTCTCACTTCAACTCGGCCCCTCTCTATTAGCTTCAGCATGGGCTCCAGAACAGGGACTCGATCCAAGAGGGTCTACTCAAAGGCGAGGCTTCAGCGTGCCCTCGACGTCTATCATCGGGCTTCCCAACGCCTGACATCCACACGCCATACTCAGGAACGTCATCTTCGCGAGGATTACCAATTCCGACGGGTCAACTCCGCCTGGAACTTTGCACAAGCCATATCATGGTATGATGATGATTCGTCTGAGGAATACTGTCCCACCACAGCCAAAAAACGTCGGCTTCCAGTTCGCAAAATCCCCAAAGCGAAACGAATCAAACAGGAACCTAGGCCAACAAACCCAGCATCCTCCCCGGAAGCTCGCGATAAGTCTTGCCGATCTCTAGTCACGCTCAAGCTCACATCCAGTGCTGGCAGAGCCCTGCTAAGTGACATTGCCAACAAAGAAGGCACTGGCTCTGGGACCAGGTCAGGTGCAGATGGCGACTTGAGAGAAGGAGTTTCTAAGGGTAGTGTACAATCCGGTCCTGTCTGGGACGGGATTACCTTAGAAATTCGAGACGAAGAGAGTGATAAAATTTGTGGAGGAACAAATCGCAGCGGTTTCAAGAGGAATAGGGATGTTTCGTTAAGACCTGAGGGGCCGACAGAATCCAAGGATCCCAGCAAGGTCTGCTATGCGAATACCAGCCATTTAACTTGCGAACAAGGTCAAATTGAAGCTGCAGATTCTGTTGAGCGCAGCCTTCCAAAGGAGGCAAGGACTGGAGATACCTTGGTCAACCGGCCCACCGCCACCTCTCACTGCCCTTCTGCTCCTGCTCAGCCAACGCCGATCCAAATTATTCGAGCAGCAGCCGTAGAGATCCAACAAGCTCGGGACATACTGGCCGGGCTTTCTAGGGAAAACCCAATTATCCTAGATTCGCCTCGATCCTCGCCAGAAGCATCTCCGCAGAACGAAGAATCCACGTTTCGCACCTTCACAATAAGCACCCCATGGGCTCATCCGATCAATTTCAAGTATCTTGAATCGTTGAATAAGCCATGCCACTTTTGTGAGGACTTCAGATATGGGATCTATGGATATGGTGTGATCTCTGTCGAGGTCATCCAAATCATGGAACAGCCAGAGCTGCAAGAGATGGGCAATGGGCATCTAGCTAAGGGCAAAGAAGCAACACGCATGTGCGTCAACTGTTCTTTAAACCGACTCCATATTTCTCGATGCAAAGTCCATTCAATGCAGCGTTTCGCAAATAGATCTGAAGAGCTCCACCGGAAGTACATCACACAGTTGACTGGCGACAGCTATCCCCAAGGACCAGCGCTCAGACACGGGGTGTACCACACGTGCTCATTGTGCTCGAATGCGGCGTTGTGGAGCTGCTGTGCCGACCAGAGGGTGGACAAGTACTTGAGGAAGCTGAACGACGGCAAGGGGAAAGGTTGCGGGCTGGTTCTCTGTGATTCATGCGCAGGACAAGTGATAATGGACAAAGGGGTTTTGAAGAAGACGACGGTGCAGGAGGTCAACGGCTACGATTGTCGACGGGCAGATATGGAATTCCTCTTTGCAGGAAGCTTGCTTCACAGGGCGTGGGCTTGAGGGAGGTGGCCTCGATGCGACGAGCTATGAAGCAAAAACAGGAGGGATTTGGTGCGCCGCCGAGTGTTATCAGGTTGTCAAGAGGGAGAATGCAGGATGAAGACACCCTTGGAGTACGAGTATAGGAAAAGGACAGGGCGCTGAGTGGGAGATGCTGAAGTGCATCCGTGTGTGTGTTGTTGCAGTCGGTTATCCTGGCTCAAGGATACCCTCGCTATCGATCGACCTTCGTTGGCAGCATAACAGCGTTTCAAGTAGGCTTGGTATGTCCCTCGCTCATACTCAGGGCTCAGTCTTTTTATTCTGCTTCATAGCTGTACCATTGTGTTTCTGCGAAGTAAAAAAGCTTCTTCGTTGCCGCCGATAAGAAGATGCCGCTGCGCTGCGATAAGGAATCATTGTCCCACTCGTAAAAAAAACATGCCATTCCCAAAACACGAGCACCAGCACCAGCATCATCAAACTGGGAAGACAGTCGGCCTGAGCTATCTTCCGTACGCATCATATCATCTTCCTCTGCACTTCTTCCCACCGATCGCCGCCATCTTCTGCCAAACAGGCTACAGTAACAAACACTTACCCTGTCGGCAACCGAATTTGACTGATTGCCTGGCCACTTGCGCCACCGCCCTTTCCACACCGAACTACCTACCTCCAAACGGATCGATAGCGGAGATCATGAGACTTTAAGAGCTTCAAAAGATGAGGACACTGTTGCTGCATACTGCTCATTAGATTGATCCAGTCACCTCTGCCTTCCTTTCCACAACGACGCCGTAAGCCCATTGCAGGCACAACTCACCGCTCCCCAAGTCAGCCATGAGTTTCGTTCAATCCAGTCCATTGGCTATGTTGAGCAGGAGTTCTTTGAATCGGGTGCTGCAGACTTCTGAAGTGAGTGGATGAAACTTTCTTTGCGTTTGGTCGAGTTTTCTCTTGAATCAGGCTCTGCATATTCTATCTCGTGGCCTCTGATGGACGGAAAGACCATGTGATGGTCAACATTCCTCTATCCTCAAAGGAATACCTCCGACTTGACAGCCGAGGCAACCTGCCCCGTTGCAAGGGTGATGAGGCTCGACACTCTTAGGCCTGGGAATGTAGCCATCCGGTGAACCGACCACTACCTATGTCTCGCCCACCCACCGCTTTGGCTTTCTGCATGGAGTAAGCCGAGAAGAGAAGGTCCTGCTGTGGAGAAGGAAGCAGATCTGCAGACAATTTCCCCGCCGCTGAGAAGGGCATTCCTGAATTTTCCGAGCGGACATGATGCCCCGTGAACCAGCGAGCCAGCAACCAGAGAAAATTGTGTTGAGCCGAAGAAAATCCCAAAGGCCGCACAACGAACTTCACGTCCATCAAGCCATCACCACGCGACCAGCCGCCTTCCCCTGCGAACCACCAATCTAGCCCGAATGAGATGTGGTCTGATTCTCGACAAGTTCCAGTTTGCACCTGCCTGTGACGGTTTTGGCGTGAGCGTTATTCTTGGTCTTGCCGGGGCATTCAATCAAAGATCCCTCCCCCTCCGTTAACGCGTGCGGCGAGCCCCGTAATCGACCTGCGGCAGAGATCTCCCTTTATTTCTCGGAGCGAGATCCATCATCACCACCACCACAGATTCAACCTATCTTTGATCCTCCCGGCCAACATATTGCTGAGATGGGCCAAGACGTGAGCACGCCCGAATTTTCCTCTTGAGACTTTCCCTACGCTGAGGGCACGAGGCACGGGACAAGCCTGCTTGCTCAACACATGCGACCTCTACCCCCTGGTCCTGCACCAACCGAAGCGAATTCTTGCCTCAACCCAGCTTCTGCTTTGTGCCATTCACGTCGTTTATGAGTATGGGGTTTTGCATCCCTGAAAGCGATCGAGTATGATGTCGCTCGTGCGCCATTTTGTTTTGTTCGGTTTGTGTAATTGGTTATACACCAACTGACATTGATGTAGTCCGAGGTCACGCAGATTGTGGTGGTTATGGTGGGCTTGCCAGCTCGAGGCAAGAGTCTGATCGCTGGCAAAGGTTTATCTAACCATCTCTAGATTGGGCCTTTTGTGCTAACGTGGCTCAGTCAAGAGATATCTTCGATGGACGTCGGTCAACGCCGAGGTATTCAACGTCGGCAAATACAGGCGGACTGACAATCCCCATCCCGATGCCAAATTCTTCGATGTCAATAACGCTGAAGGCGAGAAGGCTCGCCGCGCCGCAGCTGAGGCGGCCGTTGCTGACATGCTGATGTGGTTCAAGGACAAGAACAATAAGGTTGCCATCCTTGACGCAACGAATTCCACTAAGTCGCGACGGAAATGGATTCACGACAAGATCGTGGAGGCCAACCTGCTTCATCTCTTCGTCGAAAGCAAATGCGACGATGAAGATCTCATCATGGCCAACATCCTCGAGGTCAAGACGACATCACCAGATTATATCGGCCAGGATCCAGAGGTGGCCGCCAAAGATTTCCGCAACCGTATCCGGAACTACGAGAAAGTCTACCAAACAATAGATGAATCAGAGAAACACCTCACCTACGTGAAAATCATTAATATTGGGGCACGTGTGGTGATCAACCTCATCCAGGACTACTTGCAATCCCGCCTTGTGTACTACCTCACCAATCTGCACATCAAGCCACGCAGCATTTGGCTATCTAGGCATGGCGAGTCAGAATACAACCTCGAGGGCAAGATCGGTGGCGATGCCAACTTATCGGAGCGTGGTGAACGATATGCGAGGATGCTGCCCGAGCTCGTCAAGCGTTCTGGGCTGCCTAAGGATGCTCCTTTGACGATATGGACCTCGACTTTAAAGAGAACAAGCCAGACTGCACAACATTTGCAGAAGGAACTCGGCTGGGAGAAGTTACAATGGAAGGCGCTCGATGAGCTGGATAGTGGGGTTTGTGATGGGATGACGGTAAGCTGAATCTTTCCGAAATTCCATGCACCCTCCATCCATTCTTTCTTAGACACTAATTAATCTCTTCCGTTTGTACAGTACCAGCAAATTGCCGAGAAGTACCCTGAAGACTTTCAAGCTCGCGATGACGACAAGTACAACTACCGGTATCGCGGAGGCGAGTCCTACCGTGACGTGGTTATCCGTCTGGAGCCCATCATCATGGAATTGGAACGAAGCGAGAATATCATTATCATCACGTACGTTCATCTTGGAGCATTTTCGGTCTGATTTTGCGATCAAACTGGCAATGCCTTCCTGTTTGTGCAAAGGCGCTCTTATGCTCCTTGTTTCCCCCCCCCCCCCCCCCCTTTTCCCTCCGAGAATCTCGTTATGCTGACAAACTTTTGGGGGATACAGTCACCAG